TTAATTTAATTAAATTAATTTTTTTTTTTACTCTCTGTATATTTCTTTTCTTTTCTTTCCATTTTTTTATTTATTTATTTCAAAGCATAATAATTATAATAACAAACACTTTTAATATATTAATATACCCAATAAACCAAACCCTGTTATTCATTTTTTTAAAAATAGAAAATATAATATTGCAAGAATATAAGAAATTTATTTTAGAGAATACAAATCATACAAATTATTTTAAAGCATTTCTAATACAACAACAAATTATCACAAAAACATCAACAATATGAGTAGAACTTCAATCGATTCATATAGTTCGGATCAAAGTAGTCCGTCTATAAATTCCTCTTTATCACAGGATCTGGAACAACAACCTCAACAATATATTCCAGATTCTACACAACCTCGTGCAAATTTACATTTAACACGTACAGAAACTGTAAAATCGTTACAAGAAATGGGTTTGAATTCAGATGCTGCTATCCCAGATGTAAACGCTCCTCAAACAACTAAAAATGCAATTTTCCCTGAAGAATATACTTTAGAGACTCCAACTGGGTTAGTACCCGTGGCGACATTACATTCCATTGGTCGTACTTCTTCTCGTATCTCAAGAACACGTACTAGACAAATCGATCGTGAATCAGATTCGGAATCAAAAGCTGAAGAAGAAGAAGAGGAAGAAGAAACTTCAAATGATTTAGACCCAGATATCGAATTCGTTACATTTGTTACTGGTGACCCTGAAAATCCTCATAATTGGCCCGTTTGGTTACGTTGGGTGTTTACAATTTTATTATCAGGTTTGGTCGTTTGTGTGGCTTACGGTTCAGCTTGTATTACCGGTGGTTTAGGTACTGTCGAAAAAAAATTCCATGTCTCACTTGAAGCTGCTATTTTAAGTTGTTCTCTTATGGTTATTGGATTTTCTTTAGGTCCATTGATTTGGTCTCCTGTCTCAGATTTATACGGTCGTCGTGTTGCTTATTTTGTTTCAATGGGTCTTTACGTTATCTTTAATATTCCTTGCGCTTTAGCTCCAAATCTAGGTGGTCTACTAGTTTGTAGATTTCTTTGTGGTGTGTTTTCATCATCAGCTTTATGTTTAGTTGGTGGTTCCATCGCAGATATGTTCCCTGCATCTACTCGTGGTAAAGCTATTGCTGTTTTCGCTTGGGCTCCTTACGCTGGTCCAGTGTTAGGCCCTCTAGTGAATGGTTTCATCTCTGTATCAACTGGTAGAATGGATTTAATCTTTTGGGTTAATATGGCTTTCGCTGGTGTCATGTGGATCATCACTGCATTCATTCCAGAAACTTACGCCCCTGTCATCTTACAACGTCGTGCTAAGAGATTAAGAAAGGAAACAGGTAACCCTAAGATTATGACTGAACAAGAAGCTCAAGGTGTCTCCTTGAATGACATGATTACTGCCTGTGTCGTTAGACCATTAGTATTTTCAGTCACTGAACCAGTCTTGGTTGCTACATGTTTCTACGTGTGTCTAATTTACTCTCTATTATACGCTTTCTTCTTTGCTTTCCCAGTTGTCTTTGGTGAATTATATGGTTACAAAGATAATTTGGTTGGGTTAATGTTGGTTCCAATTTTAATTGGTGCTACCTTTGCTCTAGTTTTCACTCAATGGTGTGAAAGTAAATATATTAAGTTAATCAGTGAACGTAAACCAACCCCTGAAGATCGTTTGCTAGGTGCAAAGATCGGTGCCCCTTTCGCTGCTATTGGTTTATGGTTATTAGGTGCTTGTGCTGAAAAACACGTCATTTGGGTCGGTCCAGCTTCTAGTGGTCTAGCCTTTGGTTTCGGTATGGTGCTGATTTATTACTCATTAAATAACTATATTATCGATTGTTACGTTCAATATGCTTCCAGTGCTTTAGCTACAAAGGTCTTCTTAAGATCTGCTGGTGGTGCTGCATTCCCATTATTCACTACACAAATGTATCATAAATTGGGTCTACATTGGGCTTCATGGTTATTAGCCTTTATTTGTACTGCTATGATTGCTTTACCATTTGGGTTTTCCATGTGGGGTAAACAATTAAGACATAAACTTTCCAAGAAAGATTATTCTATTGATGCTGTTGGTATTTAGAATCATTATTATTTCACATTTATATTTACATTAACATTTTCATTTCTAATCTCTTTTTTTCGTCTCCACTTACTTAATCTATTAACTTTCTGTAAAAAGAAAGTGATAAGTTTAAAAAATAATTAAAGAACAAGACTTTTTTCTGCACATCTCTTTTAACTAATATGTATACATTCATATATAAATATACCAAATTTAATAAACAAATCAAAAACATATAATAAAATATCAATACTCATAAAATAATAAAATATTTCCCTCTTTGAATGCCTTTCTTTAAAAAAATTACGATTCATACTTTTAGTATAGAAATTAATATATACATATAAACATTCTATACTATACTATTTTAGTTCATGACGATATATTTTTATGATTACATCTATTCCTTAGATTCATCATCCTCTTTAACAATCTTAGTTTTCACTAATAATTCCTTAATTTCTTCTGGTTTGTAAATCTTTTGATATATTTCTCCAGTTTCTTTATTTTTCTTAATTGTTGCAAATTCCAATCTATCATGAGTCAAAGAACTATTATCAGTAGTTTTTGATAATGTCTTCAAAGCCAACTCAATGGCTTCATCCACAGTCAATCCATCCTTATAATCCATTTGTAACAAAGTTTGAGCAGCAGATGTGTTTGCACCAACACTAATGGCTTTCCAACCAGTATAATTCCCTGATGGGTTGGATGTGTATAATTGGAATCCATATCTATCATCGTACCCTGCGTAAATAAAGGAGACACCAAATGGTCTCAACCCACCATGCTGCGTATAACCTTGCTTTATATCACTTAATTTTCTAACTAGGATTTCCACAGGTATTTCCTCATTATAAGACTTCAAATATTCTTGAGCAAACACTCTAGCGGTATTTATCAGAATCTCGGCATCAGCAGTCAACCCTGCAACAGCAACAGTGATCTTATCACTTAATTTATATAATTTTTCAACTGATGTGTCTTGCTCTAGTAGAGTACTAGTAACTTTTCTTTCTGCAGCAAGCACAATACCATCTTCAACCATAATACCTATGGCAGTACCAGCATGAGAAATAGATTCTAACGCATATTCCACTTGATATAAACGCCCTTCGGGGGAGAAAATTGTAGTTCTTGAATCGTATCTTCTGGAACCCATTCTAACTTGTTTGATGTATAAAAATATGAATGTCTTTCTTTTGCTAATTTAAGAGTCAATTGAGTTCTTATCAAATAAATGCTAACCACCTCGACTGTTCTTTTATACAAAATTAATTTAAAGGTTTTGTTATTCACCATTTGCCACCGGGGAAAGGCGTTCTTACTGTGTCTGGATTCTAGAGTTAAAGTGTAAAGGGAATTAAATTAAGAAATCCGTCTATCCGTGAAAAGTGATGCTGAACAAATAGAAATGATGCTACCCGGCGTCACTACATACGGTATGTACAGATTAATTCTCATCACTATAATTATCTGCATTCACAGTTATATATGACTTAAGGGAGGGCCTACATACTATTTCTAACTTGTAACAGTATATATATACGATTCAGCATGCTGACATGTCGAGTGAAGGGAGAACTTGATATATTAATTCTGGATGAGTTAACAAGATTATTTTAGTTCAATATACAAACATTAATCCTATATTCATTTTAAACTCCTTTCCAGGTCCTACCGATATGACTATCATATACTTTTTAGTCTTAAGTTTCCATTTTTTAAAACACATTAATTAGCCTTCCCTTTTATGCTAAACTCTGCAGTTCATTTGTCCATTACATGTAAAGAATAAAAATATGTCATATCAAATGAACTCAAAAATTTCGGAAATCGGCCGTACAAAGACACCGAGAGAAAGAAAGACAAATTCAAAGGGTGCCAATTTGCAAAAAGATAACAAAGAAAACCATATTGATATTATTAATAAACTTAAAAGGGAAGGGAACTTCTTTCATATTTCATTTAGGCTTGATAAAATTTTGAGAAGAACTACTGAAATCTAGATACAGATACATACAATAAATAACTAAATAGCACAATATGTTAAAAACGTCATTTTTAAGATCAGTTTCGGCAAGACAAAGTCCCATGATTCTAAAGTTAGGAACAAGGTCCATCGCTACTAGCTTCTATGATTTGAAGCCTGTTGATAAAGATGGCAGAGAAGTACCATTTAGTGAATTTAAGAACAAACCAGTTCTTATTGTAAATGTTGCTTCAAAATGTGGTTTCACTAAACAATATACCGATTTGCAGAAATTATATGACGAATATAAGAAATATGGATTTACCATTATCGGGTTCCCTTGTAATCAATTCAAGAATCAAGAACCTGGCTCTGATGAAGAAATCGCACATTTTGTAGAGACTAAATATGGTATTACATTCCCAATATTGAAGAAAGTTGATGTCAATGGTGAAAATGCGGATGATGTCTACAAATTCTTAAAGTCGAAGACTGAGGATCAAGGTGATATCAAATGGAATTTCGAAAAATTTCTGATCAATAAAAACGGTAACGTTGCTGTACGTGCTGAATCTAAAGTTACACCCTTTGAATTGGAACCTAAGTTGAAAGAATTGCTTGAAATTGACTAGATTTGTTTTTTTACCCAAAATAACGGATTTTTCAAGAGTCTGAGTTTTCGTTATTGTCACTCTTCTTTGATATATGTGAGTGAATGTGATTGTGTTCATAGATATTTGTTATGTAAACATTTTTTTTAAAAATAATTGTAAATAGAGAAAAAAAGAACCACAAAAGAAATACAACGACTACAGAATTATTAATTACACCTTTTTATTTTTATTTCTATATATTCTCATATATATCTTAAGCTCACAATTCCTGTGGACTCATGTAGCCCATGCTCTCGTTTGCTTCTGCCATTAACATTGAGATTCCTAACGGTTTATCTGCATCTGGCAGTGGCAAGATATCATCTGCATAATGAAGACTCTTCCTGCCTATGATTGGCACTTTATGTATTAACGAATGTTTATGAAGGAACATAGTTAATGTATCAACAGCTACATTGGTCTTATCGTCAAGTTCATCATCATGATTTTTCACCGGTAGTAATTTCAATAACATATCATTATACTTAGAAATTGATTGTTCTCCACCTATTGGATCATTTATTGTACTTGAATTGTTCGTTGAATCACGCGAGTTTCTTGTAGAACTGGAAATTAGTTCTTCATTACCCTCTTCCACTTCTGATTCTTCGTATTTCTCCTCATCATTATCATCCTTGGCCATTGCACTCTTCAAACTGAAAAACAATTCTTGTGCTTCTGGAATTATACCGATCCAATTTATTAACAATGTTTGTAATTCAAAAGTACATTCTGATTTGCTAAAATCAAATTTATTACTCTTCATCAGGGTTTGGACCATATAACAAATCAACTTAATTAGCCCAATGGAGTACAAAGAAACATTATCACCTTCTTTAATAGCATGATTTAGGTCATCATCTAATGAATCTGTTGACAAGTTTGCACGATCATGACCATCGATTGTGGTAAAATATATCGCAGCACTCGTGAAAAATTCCTGTAATAACATTTTGTTTTCAATATTAGATAATATAATATTACCTTGTCTGGAAAATTTAAACATATCCTGTGGATCGCACTTTTCATCTTTGTCAACCATCAAATTAGATAGTAAATCATTTTTCTTCCCTTGTTCATCAACGTTCATATCAAATTTCTGACCTCTAAGCCCCATTGCCAATTCAAAAATATAATGAATTAAAGAATGATTTATTTCAGTATGAGTGATAAACCAAATAAGAACCCTTCTATACCCACTACACATTAACATTTCGTCCATTAATCTCCAAGAAAGTTGCTGATTTTGGTACAACATTCTTTCAAATGCTGATTCTTCACACCATATCTCATATATATCATCAGGTGTAACTAATTTGGAATTATCATCATCTAATTGTTGTCCAGCGAGGTCTAGACCCGCATTTTGAATTAGTATTTGTTCTTGTTCAATTTTCACACAAGATGCAACAGATTTTAACAATGTTTTTGCCTCATCCTCGCTCAATTTATCAGATGTAGCCTTCAATATCAATTTATAGACATCTTCTAATTTAGGATATTTTATAAATTTGTAATTGGGAGAAAAATAAAAATTAAATCCACGAGGGACATCTCTCCAATCTTTACCACTATAATCAAATTCAAATGAGGATTTGATCCTTGAAGCTAATTGGTCATCACCGCTCTTCTCACCTCTATCTGTTCGTGTTTCTCCATCCCATTCATCATGGTTGGCTTTATCGTGAGCAACATGACTAGTTTCCTGTGCAATCTTATCATCTTCAAATATACAATGGCACCTCCGTCTAACCTTTTCACTACCTTCGTCTGTTGTTCTATTTTCATCATCCTCGTATTCTATATCGTTATAATCATCATATTCATATTCAAACATATACCTGACATCTTCGTCAAACCTATCACCTGCTTGTAAATCAGCTAATAATTCAGTGATATCCGTAACACCGCATCCTAATGCAAACATTGAAGCTGAATGAGTTCTCAGGTCTGCCAATAATGAACCTTGACATAATTTTCTACCATAGGGTGACATGAATGTATTGAATGGTTCGTGTTTAAAATCATGCTGATTAACCTCGACATGCTGATTCAAAACAGTTGCAACAACTACGCGGAGAGCTGCTGATCCTCTTATAGTTGCCCTAACCATTAATGGTGTTTCAAATGTTTCATGAACCTCTTCCATTCTATCAATCTCCAGACCTAGTAATATAACACAAGAAAGATTTTTCCATAATTGTATCATTGACGAAAGAAATGGATTCATCTGGATCGGTAAATGAGAATATAGGGAATATATTGTGTAAACAGCCATAATGTTTATCATATATACCAGCTCTAAATCCTGCGTATTCATCCCCTTTGGAAGCCATTTATGCAAATTACCTTTCCAATGTTTTTCTGAATTATTGGTAACTGATGTTAATCTCTCATAATCCTCACAATTCAACTTCTTTAATGACTGACGTATGATTTTTTGCATATTGAAGCACACCAAAAACCGCCAGTCAAATCCATCATCCACAACCAAGTTATTTACTTTATAATGCTTGACAATCAAACCTATGAACATTTGATAAAGTAGATCTATCGATATAATTTGAGTATCATTCGGGAGCGGCTGAGTGAGAGGATCCACTAACCCAGACAAAACTTTAAATTGAGTTAGTAAAAAAGGAGAGTCAAGTGTTTCCAGTTTCAGTAGACGTGAAATAATAGAATGTCTTGAGACAGTTTGCTGAACCATATTAGGTACCTTTATGGTTCTATTAGATTCATCAAGTTCCCAAGAAAATATGAGTTCGTCTTTGTTTATCGGAGCTTGTATAACAGAATCACTTGCGCCATTAGATTCATCAAGATAAGACTGTTTTTTAATGATGATTCCATTCAACCACTGAGAAATATTTGCCTTACCGTTTGAACCGGCTAGAGAATTCACATCATCTATTTTATTATAATCAGTTCCAACTCCTCCGTTTTGCAAGGTACTTGCCATCTCACTTCGTGCCAATGGCATTGTTGCCAAGTAAGCATAACTTAATGGCACTGTATTATAATAATATTTTTCACAGTCAAATGAATACCACATATATTGATCATTAAATTCATAAGTTCGTTTATATTTTAACACAACAATTTTCATTAAAAATGATCTCAAAGCCAGTTCAAGGATAGTATCTATCAATGGTTGGAAATAAATGATAAAATCCAACAATAAATTATAATTTTCATCCAATATGAAAGAAGCCTTATTTGAAGGTGAATCAATTAACGATGATAGAGATATTTTATGCAAGCAATTATGATACTGGGTTATATCTATAGATTCATCTCTATTCAATATAAGAAACCTTAACAATTTGAGTAAATAAATTTGTTGATTACTATCCCAATTCTCTCTCATATTTTTATAACCTCTATGAATCTCTTTATTTTTTTCTAACCATCTTTTGAGATTAATTAATGAAACCTGGAGAGGATCTTTTGGTTCACTGAAGTAAACTATGTGATGCAATACTTTTAGGATAGATATCCCTGATCTAGTAGTAAGAAATATAATCACCGATGCTTCTAATAATAAGGACGGTATAAGTGAAGAATCGTTTAAATATTTTTCATTCAAAAATAATTTTTCCAAATGTTTTATTGATGAAATAAACTTCCAATCTTTAAATACTTCATCAATAGGGTTATAATCTCTAAATAGTGAGAGTTCCTTTACCGGGATTCTATCCATATCATAGACATGTTCGATGGTATTTTTATTCTCTATACGTTGTTGATCATTATTCCTAGATACTGACTTCTTTTTCGGTACCATGATTATAGTATGAGAAATACTTTAATTAATAATTAAATATATTGTGATGCTAGATGAAATTATATGGTTTTCTCTTTAATGCTTCCTTCTGTAGCATATGAGTGTAAAATTAACCAAAAAAAAAGAAGATTTTATAAACATATATTTAAACCGACAGTTTCTTGAAACTGTTATGCTTATATTTGCTACTAGCAGTATGAAATATTCAAAAGAATAAACCTTTTTGCAATATCCATATATATATATATAAACTCACAAGTGATATACATTTTACTGTCGATATGAGAACTTCAGCTTAGTATCTTTCAAATTATTCATTATGAATGCAAAATAAATTCATTCATTCAATAGCGAAACCATTCCCAGACATCGCGCCGACCGCCTTCTTCGTCATATTGTATAAAAAGTTGACAGTGAATACTGTTATCTTTGGGGGAATTTCTTCTCATCGCAAAAAATTATGAGTAAATAAACATTTAATGTATTGCGATATGTGTGCATAGGGAAGTGTTATCATATTTCATTTAGTCGAGTCATTCCTTGTCAGATAATATTTGACAAGTCCATTGTAAGCTGCTTGATCACCTTCTCGCATTAGAATCCCCAATTCCAAATTTAATGGAGAGTCAGCATTCGGTTCACTCAGTAGTCGTTGTATAGATTGAACCGTGTATAATAAATTGTAAACAGGTGACCACTCACCTTTCAATATATCGAGACAGATTTCTCCTGTTTCGTAATTGACATTTACATGAGGCATATGATTTGGTTCGAATTTCACTTGTGGTGGAGTATTAGGGTACGATTCTGGAATAGTTATTAATAATCGAAAATCATATCCTTCAAAGGGAGTATCCTTAGGTCCAACAAGAATAGCGATCCATGATGCAAGATCATCCTGAGTTTGTGGTAGTAACAAAATATCGTCTTGCGCCATAATTGCTTTATATTCTTTTACCAAACGGGACATCTTTGTATTATTAGTTCTCAATATCCTCAGGCTTATACATATATATATTCTATGATTGTGGTGACTAAATAATCTGACGAACCAGATCGTATACACCTCCCTATATAAGCTCCCAATGAAAGATCAGACACACTTATAAATATGAATGCACTAGTAAATTGAATCTGAAAATATGTGACTGCGTTTCCGGTTCGATACTCGCCCAATGCCAAAAAACTTGTGATATGAGACAAAACGGAAAAAAAAAAAAGAGAAAACATATTCAGAAATTCGAAGAAAACCCGAATTAGTTTAACACTCAATGATTGATAGTTGAATATTTAAAAGAGATACATATACAAAAAAGGGGAAAATATTAAACTCTGAATAAAGATCAGAACTATAGCATAACATCGATACAAACATAAAAGATGAACATTTCAAACGGTAGTAAAGTTGCCAATTTAATCACCAAGTTAGCCATTCCAGCAGGTTTAATCCTAACAGGGGTAGATTATTCTATGTATGATGTGAAAGGTGGTTCTCGTGGTGTTATCTTTGATAGAATCAGTGGTGTTCAAAAACAAATTGTTGGTGAAGGTACTCATTTTTTAATACCATGGTTACAAAAAGCTATTATATTCGATGTTCGTACAAAACCTAAATCTATAGCCACAAATACAGGTACTAAAGATTTACAAATGGTTTCATTAACATTGAGATTGTTACATAGACCCGATGTATTAGAATTACCGAAGATTTATCAGAATCTAGGTCTTGATTATGATGAAAGAGTATTACCATCAATTGGTAATGAAGTATTAAAATCTATTGTAGCTCAATTTGATGCAGCTGAATTAATTACTCAAAGAGAGATTGTTTCTCAAAAGATTCGTGATGAATTAGCTACACGTGCCAATGAATTTGGTATTAGATTAGAAGATGTTTCAATTACTCATATGACTTTTGGTCAAGAATTTACTAAAGCAGTTGAACAAAAGCAAATCGCTCAACAAGATGCAGAAAGGGCTAAATTCTTAGTGGAGAAAGCTGAACAAGAGAGACAAGCTGCAGTTATTCGTGCTGAAGGTGAAGCTGAATCTGCTGAATGTATATCAAAGGCTTTAAGTAAAGTTGGTGATGGGTTATTATCTATTAGAAGATTAGAAGCATCTAAGGATATTGCTAAAACTTTATCAAGATCTAATAATGTTACGTATTTACCAAGTAATAGAGGATCTAGTTCAAATGATGGTAATGAAGGTACATCGAACAGTTTACTTTTAAATATTGGCCGTTAAACAAAAAAACATGAAAATTAAAATTAAAAGTCTGTTGACAAACATTTTTACGCACCGTACCTCCCATCCTTTTTTTAACTTATGTATATTCCCAATTCAAATTATATCAATGAAAACAAAATAAAAAAAGATTGACCATTTTATTTTATTTTGTCTATATATAAAGTACCCCTATTTCATCATCTATTTTAACAAAGTATCTGTAAATAACAACCATAACAAACAAAAAAAATATGATTCTTAATAGAAACATCATCAATTGAAGACATATATAGAAAAAGACAAACAAATATATTAATAAAAAAAAATTAAAGTATTTAAAATATGTGAATGTAGATGACTCCATCATATATATATACATATATATATATTTATATGAATAAATTTCCAAAATATATGGGAAAACAAGATAAAAAGTAAAGGGTTGTAGAATGTTAGAAAATGGCAGTAACTTCAAAAAAAAAAGAAGAGTAGGTTTCTTGGTCAACGAAATGAATAATAAAAAGAAAAGAGAAATAGAAAAAAAATAATAATTATTAAAAAGAATTGTATCTGTACAAGTTCTAAAATGTGGGGGTGGGGGTATACTATGTGTTATCCAAATAAAACCATTTACGTCTTTTTCTAACATTAAATAATAATAATAATAATAATACTAAAATGGTATTATAATTGAACGAATGAATTTGAAAATAAAATAAAAGACAAAAAAAGAAGGTTATAGAAATTTCAGAAAATTCTTATATTCTTAATGATTTCATCCAAATGTAAATAATGTTTGTGTGGGTATATTAATTAAAGATTAAACTTGAGAAATGGATGGAACACCACTCATATCTGTTGGAACACCTGCAGAAGCGTTATTTCTTCTTCTTCTACCGTAGAATCTAGAAGTAGCAGAAGAGAAAGCACCATTTTGAATCAAAGTGATGATAGACATAGTCAATTTAACAATGAAGATGAACATTGAGAAATATAAGAAGGCTACCAAAGCTTGAGTGATTCTACAACGGTTTTCATCACCTTGAATAATCTTATTACCGCTTCTGTAGGATTCATTCTTACAAGAATGAGCTCTAATACCGACGGCAATAACTGTACCAGCAGAGAAAGTGAATGCGAAATTTAGGAAATCTAGACATACTAGGACTAAAGGCCAAGTCAAAGGTTCCCAGAAGTTAGCAGCTATACCGTAGAAAGAATCTGTTGTTAGACCGAAAGCAGCTGTAAACATACAGTAATTGACTCTACCTGAGTTTTCATTCTGTGTATTCAATAAAGCCGAAACAAAGGCCATACATATAATTAAGAACATAGCGTTCAATATACGTAGTAAGTTATCAGTAGTACTTAGCATTTTGTATGTGTGTGAGTGTGTGAGTAAAAAGGGTTTTTTTGTTTAGCTAGTTAAGTTTTTATATTTTTTGTTATTAAAGTAAATTAGCTTAGTTTGTAATTACAAAAATTTGTTTTAATATAATGTAATAATCACAATAAAAATATTTGTTGTTGTTATTTATATTATTATATAAGTCAATTGAAAGAAATAGAAGAGAATAAAACAGCAGAAATAAAAAAATAAAAAAAAAGAAGGTAGTGAAACAACTGAAGTTAAAAGAAATGATAAAATATAGAAAATTGTAGAATATCTAATCCCCTTTATATATATATGTATATATATATATATATAAGTCAAATATCAATTTAACTTAATAAAGAAAAAAGAATGAGAAAGAAAGTAAAAAAAAAAGGACAGAATAGACCAATTACTAACTCTATCCTCATTTTAATTGAAATAAAAGAATAAGGAATTACAACCGACCTCTTGATGAGATGCAGTAATAAAAATATGCATTATTATTAAAGAGAAAGAAAACAAGGGGATGGATGATATACTAGAAGATACTACAGAGAGAGACAAATAACCAAGGGTTAACTTCCAATTAAAGGAAATGAAAGAGTTGTTTCACTATAATAACAATAACAATAATTATGGATGGATATTGCAAGAGATGAGGTCCCTTGTTTTTTCCCGTTTGTTATTCTAGTTTCTTAGTAAACAGAATAGTAAAATAACAGAATAGCAATATTATTTGCATATCGGTGATTGACCATTCGTCGCTGTCTAACAGAGAGGAGAGGAGGAAGTTAGAAATGAAATATTTGGGCGGTTTACGTATTATTGCTATCCTGTTTTCTGTAAGAGAGAAGGAGAGAGAGGAGTCGGTAGTAAAAAGACATAGTGCATAGAATAAGAACAACAGAAAGGGATATTTCTGCCAGGATTGATAGAGAGAGAGTAAGGGATTCTTCTCTTTCATGGCAATGACAACGGAGCAGCAGCAGCAGCAGCACCCTTCCGTAACAGTTCCCATAACCGCGGATAAAGCCGAATGAAATAAGAATTAAGAAAAATATGTACGGAAACGGATAAAACAATAACAAATACACGGATAGTAAACCGAATTAATGCATCAGAGAGAGAGAGAGAGATATTATTATCATAGGTTATGCGATGCCCATGGAGAAAGGGGTGCAGAGGGGCCTGCTTTTTTCGCTTTCTGTTTTGTTTTGCTTGTTTTTTTGGTTGCATTTCTCCCTCTCTCAGCGCAACGGGAATTGTGTTGCCGTCAAGATAGAGAGAGAAAGAGAGCCATTTTTGTTTGTTTGTCTGTTTAAGGCTGCAAAAGAATAGGAAGAGGATTAGCTTAGACTCATCGGATAATAATAAAAACTGGAATAAATTAATGTGTCGAATATTCTAGACTTCTCTATACTAGTAAGCTGCATACGACATATGTTGTAATTGACCTCCAACTGCTAATATGTAACACTAACAGGGTTTTCCCTCAACTCGTCACTTATCACCTTGTGAAAAGAGGAGATGAAATCTCCTCTCTCAGAACAGCATAAGAAAGAGAAAAAAAAGGGAAACCCTCCCCCCCCCCCGATGTATAATGCCACACGGTTACACCAATTTATTGCGCAAGGGCAGAAAGAGAGGAGAAACAGAAAGGGATATTTAATCCGTGTCCCCCCATACATCATCACCGGCGACGATGGCAGAGTATAGCCATTCCATCTTATCCCTTGTTTTTGTCTGTGTCTTTGTCTTATTTTCGTAATTACGATTATTATTGCTAAAGAAAGAATGGAAACCCTTAAAAATCCATCTTATTCTACTGGTGGTTAACATAACATTTTAGCCGTACTGCTAAGTTAAGTCTAACTTTTACACACATATATATTTAATTACCATTTTTGTTGTAACTACCAACGACATGGTAGTAATTTACTTGCGCAATAAGACATCAATGTCCTGTTATTGTTGTCCAATACTATTTCTTAATATATTCGTACATTTACTTATTACTGTGTACACTCCAATACCACATGGCATTGTATTATATAATGTAACGACTCACTCGCCTTGTCCAAATAAAATTGTAATGTTTTCCTAAAAGAATTTAATTTATCATTATTTTTTTTCAGGGGGGGGGGAGCGAAGGGAACAACTACATATATATATATATATTTTTTTTATCATTACTATATAATATATTATTAAACACACCGTCTTGATAAGAGGGATTACTGGTTTAGAACCTCTTTATAACTAATACCACAGATATACACTCAGACACACAAGCTTATCAGTATATATATATATCTTATCTTTTTTGTTTTGTGTTGCAATGTTGAAAATTAATTCGCCAAAGGCAAACGATACATTCTCAGATATCATTAAAGAAAATGAGAGAACTGCAAAAGGATTACCTGTCACGAGAGTGAAACGGAGTAGTTTTGCTATGCTCAATACCAAGGAGTATACGTCTCCCTTCAGAACGGGACTAACTGGGGTGGGGAAGACTCAATTGCAAGCTTTGAAGACTCAACGGTTCCCAACGACTAGTGCTACGTCGGACTATAATAACTTAAGTACAAAGGAATTGGGATTTAAAACTTTAAAAGATAATGATAAAAGAATTAAGGATATTAAATTCCCTCAATATTTGACAGAAAATGAAATTAGACAAGCTGGTATATTACATGATTTGAAAGGGAAAGAGGATAGATTGCAATATTGGAACGATTCTCAACAAATATTGGATTATACAAAGAAAGGCAAATCAAAACAAAATAAGAATGGTGTCACTGCTGCAACCAATGAGTCAAAAACTAATAAATTTAATGAAGTTAGATTAAATGATCAATTGGAAGACGCTAAAGAATTAAACCCACCCACCATTGAATCCACGAACTCTAAAGAAATTGAACAATTAGAAGAATCACAACAAGATAATGTAGAGACAGCATCGATTCCTATGTTTACAAATATTGGGAAATTGATTCAACCCACAATTGATTCTAATAATAACATACTAATAACCAGCAATGGAGACAATTATATTTGTATGGATTCATCAAATCAAAGTATAATCAATAAGAATAGCCTTGTCGACGCTACTGATCTAATTAACAGATATAAAGTCCTTAAACCACCAATGGATCCTAATAATGCACCAAAGGTACCTTATTCAGACCCTTCAATGGCTCACAAGACTACACAAGGACAAACTGAAGCTGATCAACAGGTAAACCCAATTGCATCTCCAGATGATCAAGAGATGATCGTGAAAATAGACAAATATGGTCATGTTTCTAAAGCAGTATATGATAAAGTTATTTATGAAGGTGATGTCCATACAAATTATTTGATTGATTTCGATGAACAACAACATAAGAAATATAACGATAAAGTTGAAAAGTACGAGGATAAATTCAAGAGAATTCAACAAAAGAGAGATATCATCGATCAAAAAATGAACCAATTGAAAATGGACACTTTAGGGAAACTTGAAGTCATTGATAATAAGTTAATTAAAAATATAATGGACTCTAATGCTAAATATACTGATGATAAAGCTCATATTATGAAGGAGACAGAATTGACTAAATTGAAGAAATTGAACGAATGTAAATTCTATTATCAAAAACAGAAATTGATTCAGGGTCAAATTAATGTACTTGGTGTAGAAAGAAGTAACGTTTACGATGATTACACAGAATTTGCTAGTCACATGAATAATGTCTCAAGTGAATTAGATGCAAAACTATTTAGATTAACTCAAATCAATTATCAGAGTGATCAAATTAGAAAAGAAATTGATGGTTTAGAACAGAAGAGAACTGTTTTAGAAAAGGAAATAGAAACCAATGAGAAGACAAATGAAACTAATACAAAGGAATTATCTCAATTGAAAACTGGTGAACATGAAAAAAACCAAAAATTGAATGAAATTAATGATACGATTACTGACAGACTAGCATTGTTAGCTATTGTTAAACAAGAATCTAAGAACGAAAACTTGAAAGTAGCGCAATTAACTGACAAGATTAATCAAAAACTTAAAGAAACAGAAAGTAGAATGCAAAAGGAAATTGATGACAATAAGACTAATTATGAAGGTATTATTACTCAGAATAGGACTGACCTTCAAGAAAAGATCGCTAATTTGGAAGAGGCTCATAAAGAAAAGATGGACCAAATTACAAAAGATTATGATGAAAAAGTGGCAGCATTACAAAAGAAGGTAGCTCAACAACAAGAAGAAAAAGAAGAAGCAGAAGCTGCTGCTGCTAGAGCAAAGCTAACAGCTGCTCCTGAAGATGATTCTTTATACTCTTATGAAACTGAAGAAGAAATTATATATCAATGAAATTATTATTTTCAAAATTTTCGAAGATATATATTGTATATTATATTTAAAGACTAATATTCGAGGTTATTTTGTAATAATACTAAATTTTAATATATGCAAACAACGTAATAGACAACTAAATAAGCTCACCATTAAATCGAAATTAGAATAACTACTTGAACACAAAAATATCATGATTTACATCATGATGATATCACTATTACCCCTATATTCCAATGTGCGATCCCAACTATGTGAAAACACACAAAAGGTAAACACATATACAGAGGATTACTTCCTGTAGTAGACTGTAATGGTGCACCACCTAATTATATCTCCTTTATAAATGATATATTTTCTGTTACATTATATTTGGCGTATGTTGTAGCCATTCATTTTTGGGTATGTCCTGATAACCATTCTGAAAACTAAGAACCTTCATTTTGACGTTCTTTGTTTAACTTTGAATTAAACTGTCTATTCCTATCGTTGATAAACCCACCCGCAAATTGCTCATCACGCTCTGTTTTCTTTTTCAGAACCTTATATCTTTTCTTGGCTTTTGAATTTAAATGGTTGACAAGTTCATCCAATTTATCTGATTTCTCATTTTCGCTGATCTTGAATTTCTTAATATCCTTAATTTCTTTATCGTATGTTTTTTTAGCTAACGTATCATTTGATTTATCGACCTTTTCTTTTATACGCGCTTCAAACTCATATAGTGGTGTATTGAATATATCTGCACCAATAGTCTCCAATTGATCTTTATTGATATCATCCTCTTCTTCACCAAGATCTTTGGCACTGTAAACAAGGGGCTTTTGATGTATTTCAACAAGTTTTCTATCATCAATTTCTATATCCTTGCATTTTCTTCTTAGCTCTTTAAATAGCTTTCTGGACTCAGAAAAATTCATTACTTCATATTATCACTAGAATCGAACTATTCGTATAATCAGGAAATCAACTATCTGTATTGAATTGTAATTTACTTCTTATCGATTGTTAAGTATCAGTTGTTTAACAAACTAAAATTATATTGGCACACAGAATCATGTCGCACGGACATCGAAAATTTTTCTCCTGAAATTTTCAAAATTGAAAAAAAAAAATGAATGCGGTTAGATGTGATGCTCATCTCTATTTCAATGAATAGAGTATATCAATCTATAAACTTTGTATATTTCTCGATTGGAATTTTGGAGCGTGTAATCGATTAGTCAATATCTGCGACTAGCATAATATATACTAATTGGTAGAATAGTAGTGAGTTTTATATCATCATGCCGTCCCTTTCCCAACCTTTTACTATCACGCCTATTCCAAGGCAATCCACTCCATCGCCAATCTTCATTTCTTCTCATGGCCTAGTACCTAATACAAATGAGCTAGATATCGCAATCTCTAAATATTCGATATCTAAATTTTTAGTTCATCCTACCCCAAAGCTTATTCATAGTAATGCCATTCCTTCTAACCAGATCATCACTGCTTTTGACAATAACGTTTACGGTTCATCCCAATCAAAACATTCAAACTTTCTGCATTTGAACCAAGATGTTAAACTCTCTATTCCAACACCAGTAGTGAAATGTCTCTCTATTAAAGATAAGAATGACATCACAAATACTACAGTTATCTTAGAGGATGGTACAATTCAAAAATATAAGGACATTGTTCTAGAGTCTGCCAAGAAGATCCCATACAACAAAATACTTCAAGCTGAGTTCATTGAAGGTAGATATGCTCTAATAATTTCTGCCAGTATTGTTACTCTTTATGATTTGAAGACTACTACAGAGCTTCGTTCTAGAAACAATATTGGTACAGAGAATTCAATTTTTAAATTGTTAAAAGGTAAATTATATAAATATAACAAAAGTACTTATACTTTTGAAATATACGATATTACAACACTAAATCTTCTTCACTCGACAGTTATCCCATTTATTCCAGAAGGTACAAAATCTGTCACATATGCTATTGTCGGTGATAATAGAGTTGTCTTAACAATTGACAACGTTGCATATTTATTAGACATATATTTGGGCAGTGTCATTACAACAATAACATTCAAACACCTTAAATGGTTTAAGCTATTGGAAGGTGTAGAAGGATCGTTTGTTCTGGGTGTATCATGTACTTCAAACAGTGGTGAATTGAAATTAGAGATTGTTAATGTCGAATTAGGGAGTTGTAATCTGAAGGATTCGTTGGGTAAGAGTTTCAAGAATTTTGTAAAAACCAGTTCGAAGGAAGATACTGAAGCAATCACTCTAAAAACTTTATTATTTGATGATTCTGTGGATGCCAAAACCAAAAAAATAGAGATCAAAACCTTCAATTATAAGGACATTTTAGCCAAATTGAATAAAAATACAAACAACAAAGATTCATTTGATAAAGTGTTTTTTAAGGAACTTGATATTGAAAATGGGCATTATACTGAAAAGGATAGGTTCATTGTAAATCAAGAATTTTTGGCAGATGTTATAGATCTAATCTTACAAAAGTTTAGTTTTGATGACTCCACCGAGTATCCAAAGGCCCTAGCATTTTTGTTAACACACCCATTATTCCCAATCCAGAAAACTAGGGGATTACTTGTCAAGTTTAAAGAACAACCAACTCTGTACAAACAAACAATAGTGACTTGTCCAAATCTTCCTTTACCTGAACTTCTAAAAGAGCTTTTCACTATTAAGAATAATGAATTATCGTTAGATATATCTTTGAGAATTTTGGAAGATTACACTACAGATTCCATTAAAGATGCATTGAAAAAACTTCCTAAAGTTGAGATTGAAAATTACATAGAATTCATAATCGATAACGATCAAGAAGGAGAAATACAACAAACTGTGGACATTTCAAACCAATTGTTCGAGCTATTATCATTAATTATCGATTCCGTCGGATTGTTTGCTCTTGAAGGTAAATTACTGACAAACTTGACAGCATTCATTAATGAAAAAGTTAAAATTGCTGAAAGAAATACTGAGTTATGGTACACAATAGACTACAAAACTAAGGATTTCATGATTGCACAACACTCTAATAACAACAATAATGCTTCGAGTAGGAAGAAAAAGTTACCAACATACACTGTTGAATATTTAGATTTATAGAGAAGTATATACATATATCGAAAAAATCAGTCAAATTTTTATTGTGTATGGTGATGTATGAGTTATATTAAATTACACTATTCTATATCAAACTGGAATTTGTTAATGCTTTTAGGATTACTAGAAGAATTGATTAAAATATCTGTATCAGATGTGTGCAGTACTTTTTCTTCGTAGGTGACATGTTTAGAATCTTTACTAACCAAAATAACAATTTGGGATCTGGTACCATAAAATTTACCTTTCGTAGATGTTAAACCAACATCTTCATCATCTTCATTCCCTAAAGGTGGGACGAATATTGTATCGTACGTAACAGTTGGGTTTATGTGATACGTCTCGTCTCTTATTTCTTGTGGGATAGTGCATGTTGATGCAAGGTTAAAACATTCAGAAAGCATATTTTCGTCAGTGCAATTATTTTTTGTTCTCTTTATCATTTGTTGCAACTCTTGGAGACCTGATTTTGTTTTTATCCATTGACGATTTTCGTTAATATTGAATGTATTATTGGACAAGACAAAAGAATATCCATCATCTTTATCTAAAACTGGAAAGGTTTGTCCATATGTATCAATTATTCTATACTCTTTTTTGTTGATGTCACCATAAAAGAGACTGAAATCTCCAGATTGTGTTAGATCTGGATATTGTTTTTGAAAATTTTCAAAGGAATTCCAGTTATCAAAACTATCTTTAAGCGAATTAGTGTTTAAAAACATAAATGGTATTATACCTCTTGATTTAGGACCCTTAGAAGACTTATTAGGTAATGTATCAGCCGGTCTTAAGTTTAAGATATTGGCTACTCTCCCTCCTCGATTGATCCCTATCCAAGTTCCAAAAATTTCAGACTTTGATGCGGTACTACCGTGGGTCCTTGCCATATCATATGGAGACAGAATAGACGAATTTGTATGCCAACAAGTATCATGCGTACTTCTCTCAAAGAATTCATCCCTGTTAGATATGAGGATCAATTCATAACCCGGATGAGATCTTGTAGCGAACAGAATGCACATTAAAATTGTGTATCGTATAGTAAGTTGATAATCCCTATAGTTTGCCTATCTTATCATAATAACAGCATATGAGATACAGAAATTAATCAAAGTTTTACTTTCCAATATTAAAAAATAAGATGTGGAGTATTTTTGTTTGCCTAAGCTATTTGAAATTTTTGAGCTATTTTCTTTTATATTTTCCCTTTCGGAGTTATATAAACAATATAGAAAAGATCTGATCAAAATTTTAACAATACAAGGGTCCAAGATAAGAGATATTTCTATAACATTAAGATATCGAAAGTTTGTTGAATTATATAACGATTATATTCATGTATGTATGTAGATTAACTATGGTAATATGGCAAATAAAAAGTGCCGATGTCACCAAAGATGATTGAGTGGGTCTTACGGATGATGAGAAATAGTTGATTTAACAATACATCCTATTTTTTTATCCATATACATTAAAAATTGTGATAATTTACGGAAATTAATCGAACATTCTATGAAAGAACCCTTTAACACCTTTTTCTTTCTTATGTTTCTGATATTTCTCAATATCTTTACGATTTTTTTCAATGGTGACTTGCATCCTAGCAGCTTCGTTTTTTTCCTGTTCCTTTGTGCTTCCTCCAGAGACTCTTGTGTCTTCTTTCTTCAAGGTTTCTATAGTTTTCATTTTTACCAAACCTGTGTTGGTCTCAATAGCATATTCTTCTGGAAATTTTGAATCATCTGGTGCATGTGTAAGTGGGGAGTTAATATCAGGGAGAGCAGCTTTTTCTAAATCAGACCCTTTTGCCCTTAATGAATCCACTGTTTCAGATTGATCATTAAGAGCGTTATGTGTTACTACTTTTTCTACAGCATTTGAATCTAGTTTTTTCAATGTAGTATTACTTACCTTTGAATGTACATCGGAATGATCTCGACTTCCAGTTCTATCTATATTATGAGATTCACCGGAATGTCTATTACTTAGTACAGTATCATTTCTTACTAAATCGTTGTTTGTAGTGTTTTTCTTAGTACCATCTTCAACACCTGTAAATGGTTCAGGTTTGTATGAATCGACAGATGAGAATGAAGAAATATCGTCAAATTCTGTATCTGTTTGACTGTTCGCACCTTCCATTTTAGATTTAATTTATTTGGTTTATGTATTATAAAATGCTAACAAAATAATTGTTGTATTGTTTATCGTTCTTATGTTGCTATAGAAATGACTTCAAAATATGGAATGCAGAATTATATTGTAGATTGATAACTAATGCATATAGCTAAATTTGATCCGTTATTTCTAGATCTCAATTCCACAATAACAAACTAATATGAATAACTAAGTCTTTCTATTAATATATATACTCGAATTCGTTATTTTTCCAACGTCTCCCCTTTGTTATTTCTTTCCCAATTCGCTGCCAAAAATTCAATGACTTCATCCATTTTCTAAATCCCTCTTTGTTCCTTAAAGTATAAATTAATATGTGCGAATAATGAGCGTAACAGATGGTGTATTATGGGCTGTTTTTTTCTTTCTGGTACCCGCTTTTTTGTTAGATAATTATTTAGCGCTCCTTAATCCTCCCTGGTGAAAATACTACAGGATGAGTCCCAAGCATTGTTAACCACGGGTATTCATTCACTTGAATTTAAGCAAAAATTACTAAGAAACACACATCTATTATGTATTTTTAGTGTATGTAAGTAATGTAAATACCGTTGGGAATGAACTAGATGGCTAGCTACTTGATAGATTAGTAATGGAGATGAATGCTGTTTTATGTGTATTGTAGTGTTTGAAAATACGCTAATAAATAAATATATAAAGATGCTTAAATCGCTTTGATTAAGTGTAGTATTCGTTTATGTATAGGATCAAGAACTGACCAATGCGTAGCCTAGTAAATCTTTGAATCGGGTGTCCTTGATAGTCATCATTAGCAAAGAAAGTTCCACAAATAATTCGATATTATCCTGTCTCATCCTTTGTAGTGAATCCGATTCAATCATCCAGAGAACAGAATCTGTCTCAACTTTGATGGTCACTGGATCAGAACCGATAACCCTTGTATCATTATTTTCATTATATTTATGTACCATCTTACCATAGCATGTTCGTGTAGATATGGTTTCATAGAGACAACCTTGTGGAAGATTGAAACTTACTTTTAAGACACCACTTTCTACAATGAAAAAAATATTATCAGAGTATGTAAGGATGGAATCTGCTGAAAAATCTTTTCTCTCGAGGTATGAAGATAATTGTGACCAAAAGGAGATTGCTTTCTCACGTTCTACCCGGTCTGGAGATATAATCTTGGGTCTGTATTGTCTCAGAACAACTAATAGCAAGGTCAATATTGGTTCTTCTGTCTCTGATATATCATTCAAATTTTCAGCTAATGTGTTCGTAGTACGTTGCTCATTTCTGAAAACATCCTGTGCAACATGTAATATTTGATAATTTCTTGGTGTATTGACAGGTAGAGTATAATTTCGACGATTCGAAGATTGAGTAGTGCCTGTGATTGTCGATCCTTGTGCTGATTTTCTCTGTTGTTGTAATCTTAATTTGGCTCTTTCACGTAACTCTTTATATTTAAACAAGAATTCATTTTCACACCATTCCAAAGCACTATTTAAATCATTAAAAAGTTCAACATCTTGTAATAAGCCAACGTTATTGAACGCCTTATAGATATGGTCTCTATCGCATATTGAGGAAATGATTAATTGTATACCTTTTGTTTGAGTAAATCTTTTGATTCTATTGAACCCCTCAGCTGCGGAATAATCTATATTGTCAGCATTTATATTTTTGAAATCCAAAACTAAATATTTAATTCTTCTCTTGGAGGAATCGTTATCACTAATTTCTAATAACTTATCTATTTTTTCTTCGATGGAAATAATCGTTCCAAAAAATAGCATATTTTGTAGTTTCAGAACATATATTTGTTCACCAATACCTCTTAAGAAGTTCGATTGAACTTGATCTCTAGCTACTGTACTTTTTGCGACTGTACCATCGAATTCTCCATTGATAGTTTGTAATTTTGTACTATCCACAAGGAATTTGAAACATGCAATCAAAATACCAACAACAATACCAAGAACAAAATCAAATACACCCATTGTGAGTACAATAATAACCACAGTTATATATTCAAATACTGTTAATTTATCCCAAGTATCCCAGATTGCCTCAACTAATAATTCGTATCCCAGCAGAAAAATTAATGACGCGACAATACAAATAGGTATGTATGAAATAATGATAGGTCCAATAATCATTACACATATTGTTAAGAAGGTCAAAATGTATCCAGCGATTGCAGAATCTGCACCAGCACGAATAAACAAAACACTATTGGTGTAAACTAGATAGTTCTGAATAGAGCCAACTGCACCACTTACAAGGTTTGACCACCCATGGGCAATTAATTCTTTATCCACATCATATTTATCCATTTGTAAAGACATGGCAAGAGCAGGAACATTAATCGGAACATGTAAAATACCAAAAAAAGTCAAAGCAAGCATAGTTGGAACCTGTCTTAACACTAGCATCCAATGCACCTTCGTCAAGTCAAATAGTTTGTAATGATCATACCAACGTGTATCAGATGCAGCCATAGGGAAAATCCAACCATTATGGCGCAGATTATTTAGAGATAAATTTGGTAAGATTGCCACAATGAAATGGAATAAACAAAGTGTCATGATATAAAAAGATGGTAACACCAATGAATTTTTAAAATACTTTTGAGTTAAAACCAGTATAACTGTCAATACTAGAGGAAGAAGCCATTTCCAAATCGTCTTTGAATCGGCAAATAAATGTGTAAGGAATGGGATAGAATACTCGAATTTGGCAACACGTGTAGATACTTCAATTCCAGTAATCAATAAGAAGTAACCAACACCACCTATACAGCCGATAAGAATATGACGAGGGAAAAATCCAACAATTTTACCTAATCGCAATTTCCCTAGACTTAGAAATGTAAAACCCGTTATCAACGTACTAATACAGTAACAAAATATAGTAGTGGTAATCACTTCATCCTTTTGACTGTCCGATGGAAGGGCATTCATAATGGCAATGGCCATTGTATGGAAAAATGGTGTGACCTCTATCATTTCACTGCCAATACCACATGGAAAACTCGACCAGCCACTAGAGAATACAGTTTGCGATATGATAGTGGATATATAAAACATTGATAATCCTGTGGGTCCCAATTGTGAGAAAACTGGTTCTGTGATTGGAAATATGATCATACCATAAGACAAAGCATCTAAGATGTTTAGTAGGAGCCCTAATACGGCTGCTGGTAAATATCCGACAATTTCTCCGGAATATGATGACAATCTTTCAAAGAGGCCCACAGGGCGTGATGCCGAATTTGAGGATGATATGGAGTTATATGTGGTTAATGCGGAATCCCTTTGTAATTGAGAGGATTTAGAAGCTACTGGTGATAGAAATAATCTTGAATATTCATCTGTTCCATCATCGGAAGCCTTTGATAAAGTAACAGAAGGAATGCTATTTTCTACATCTCTGTCAGTAATGATTTCTTCCATCTCATTGTATATGTTATTATTATTGTTGTTGTTGGTGTTATTGTTATTGATGTTATTATTGTTGGCAATACTCTGGTGATGATGATCATTTCCGTTCTCTATGTAGTCTATATATTTTTTGATATTATGATCTTCGATTGATATTCTATCAAAATCTTTTGAAATCTCTGCCGTCTCATCATGTAATTTTCTTGATTCATATATTGGTTTATTATAAAGAGATTTTGAAAATTGACCAACGTTCAAGTCATTCCTCGATGACCTCGTCAAAGAAGGAGACCCCGATACAAACCTATTAATATAAGAGCGCCCAATATAGGAACCATCATTGTGAAGGAAAGGGAGACTATGTTTATGACCTGCATTGGGTATTTGTGAATCAGTGTCATTCGTCATCTCAACAGAGGATGACAAGTCTTGATGTTGTAATCCTAGAGATACCGATATAGATTCGGAAATCGAAGGTCTGTGTTTTGTGTTCTTACTAGAGATGTGAATTACCATATTTTATATCAAAGTTATATTTTCATTTCTTTCTTCGTTGGTTTTTAACTTTTCTTATATCAATGAAATTGGAAAAATTAATAATATTTATTTTTTATTTTAATGCCAAATAGTTGATTAAATTGTAAATTAGCCTTATTTATTTTTCTTAGAAAAGTAGTTTTACTTGAAATATGTGTAAGTAAATAAAGAAGGAAAAAAGTTGTTCATTAACTCGGATTGGTCTACGATTATATATTAAAAAAAGAAAACGAAACAAATATATATATATATATATTGATATAAATTAGCAAACTAAAGAGGTTAATTAAATTACAAATAATATGAAATCGTAAGTCGCCATCACCTACCTTTCAGATTCTTATCAAAAGCCAAGAGATGCAATCATTCTGAATAATGAAGACCTCTTTCTCACAGTTAAGGACAATAATAAACAGTTTCTATTAATTTTTTTTTCATGACTATCTCTCTCTGTCCGTCTTGATGCGCGTCAACTCAGTGCAAAAAATTCATACATTAGACACACAACACACCCCAGCTTTCAACAGAGGGAGAAAGAGAAAGTAAGATAACGAAAGATTAAAAGTGAAAAGAGAGGTGTTTCAAGCAAGAGCAGCCACTTCTTGACTCACAAACAATTATTCCAATGCGATTAAAATATGTTGGACAATAATTCAACCACAATTTTTTAGGTATTTTATTTCAAACTTGCAGTTATCTCATTGACAACTGCCATTTTTTGATCTTGGCCAAATACTCAAATTTGCCATTCCTTATTTTCATTACTTCCGGAAGCAATGATTACGGTAGTTAGAAAGATAACAAGTTAAATAAGCAATCAAGATTATGTACGTGATGAAACCTTCATAAAATATGTGGTAATAGTAAATAAATAATAATTTGAAAAAAAAGAATCAGAATTTTCTAATATAGCGTCCTTGAATTCATTCATAAGAATGTAACAAGATCAATTTTCTGCGCAGGAACCGCATTCCCCATTAGAACCTCATAATATAAATATCACGAGAAGAACTGTGAGTTAAAATACGCAAATGATATCATCGTATTCTTTTTAAACTTGGAAGGTTCATGGGGATTTTAAAAATTCAAATAAAAGGAAATACTAAGATGAGTAGAAACAGTAAACATAAAATAAAAAATTTAAAACTTGCAAACTTAGGACGTCGCTTTATATATAATAACAAAATATGTGAAAAATAAAATTTAGCGCACTGCGTCGGCCGCCCCATTAACTAAAAAAAAACTTCGGCATTTTCTGTTTCCAAAGTCATATGTTTATAGTTGGGTTATTTGTTAGGGTTTATGAGGCTTCTACAGATGTGACAGCATGTAATGTAGACATAAACAGTTATGGTAGGATTGGAATCTCGTTTGAATTGAGAATGAGAAGCTTAGATAACATCAAGATCTGCAGAGGTAAATTACAATACCAATTTTATTGGCATTCATTCAATTATTATTGGGTTTTTTGAAATTTTACCTCTTCAAAAAATGATTTCACAAGTCAACAAATTGGAAAACAAAAAGAAGAAATAGTCCTACCAAATGTTATTGAAATAATTAAAGAAATAATCTCCTGTAATTCTTCATTAAGTCTTCTAATAGTAAAATAAAGATAATGAGATAAAACAAGACAAATCGCCACGTGAGGTAACAAAATAAAACTCTAAAAAATAAATGGTCCCTAGCGGGATCGAACCGCTGATCTTGGCGTTATTAGCACCACGCCTTAACCAACTGGGCCAAGGGACCTTATTATATATACCTTTTAGGTTAGAACTATATATTTACATAATATGACTTAGCCGGGTAACGATTTGTAAATTAGTGAGGTTTTGTTGAATATGTAGCGGCGGCACTAAAAAGGCTAACATTAGCTTAACCTAACTGAAGGTGAAGGTAGCTAATATAAGTAGAATTTAGAGTGTGCTGCACTGTCGTATATATAATAATGTTATAATATAGAAAGTAGCAATACTTGGTTATTACAATTTTATGTTTAGTAAGAAATTATTACTAACTGTTCAATATGATTCTAGAACATTCTTTAAGAATGATTAGTAAGCAAGTATTACTAATTGTTTCATAAGTGTCTAGAACATGTTTCAAGAATGTTTAGTAAGAATACTATCAATATTTGGTAGACTGCTTTCCTTTCCCAAAAGTATAAAAGGAACACATATTCTAACTTTATATATATACAATCTTCCTTATATAGACTTACTTTATATAACATAAAATAAATTACAAGATTATACATTTGAATATCTATAACTATGTCCGATAATTTCAACTCGAATACTAATCGTATATTCTCGATTTCAAACTTACGTTTACAAATAACACATGATATATACTGCATAATGTAGTATTCGTTCCCCCTACATTGGGTTTATTGGAGCTACATAGTCCAACGTTACTATGCACAAAAGATGAGCAGTTTAACAACAGCAACTCTGTTTAACAGGTTTCACCTATATCTGATATTGAAACAAGAGTTTGTTAAACAGAGTTGCCGTTGTTAAACTGGTCATTTTTTGTGCATAGTAACATTGGACAATGTAGTTCCTGACAGAAATTATGTGAAATCAAGATATCTAAGATGTTCTAATAAGAACTAAACATTTCATTAGGTAATAGTCGTTTAGGCCATAATCGTTTAGAAAATAAGTTCATTACTTATCAATCGTTTAGATAACAATCGTTTAGGAAACAAGAAGAAACGAAATATCGATAAAATAAATAATATATAAAGACAAAGAAATCTGAACTTACATTCAAAGTTAGATTCTATTCGTTCTATAAATTATATATAATATAAAGAGACCGATCGATTATCGTATTATAAAATGTCCGAATTAAATAAAGTAAAGCTTGAAGAGACTAATAGAGGTAAACACTCTATCTCAGATTCTCTACACTAACACTAGTATGCATGGTTCAGCTCAGTATCATCAAATTCAATTTGTTAACGTAAGTTATTTATCACATTATTTAACATGGTTTACCTGAGTAGATTTCTTTAGAATATGCTCAGTTTTTTATTAAAACTGTCAGAAATTAAGAGTAATATGCACAACTCTTAATTAAAATAGTTAAAGAAAAACTTTGATAAGAATCAGCCATTGATAAGGATCAAGTATTAATAAGGATCAAACAAAACAAAAATGAAAGGTGTGATTGAGGAAAGAAAAACCTTTAAAGAAAATGATATAAAAAGGAAGCTCTTAATGTAATATAAATAAAATATTGAATGTTCTTTAATATGTAACTTATATATATTATATATTATAAAGAGGCCGATCAATTATCATATTATAAAATGTCCGAATTAAATAAATTAAAACTTGCAGAGACTACTAGAGGCAAACCCTCTATCTCAGATTCTCTACAAAAACAAATATTATTATGTACCTCAGTAAGATATGGTTGAAACATAATGTTTTGTTTATAACTTAGAGGTGACAAAACATATGTGTGTGCAATAAATCTCAAATGTCCTAACAAGAACTAAACACTACGTAATATTTTATTTAATGCTGATTGGGTAATTAGAGAAACATAAATTCAAAAAAAATAAATATATATATAAAGACAGGGAATTCTGAACTTAAACTTTAGGTTAAAATCCATTCGTTCTATATGTTTTATATGGTAATTAAAGACCCACTTATAAATAATAGAAAGTATTAACAAAAAATATTTGCTTTATTATAACCATTTATATTCAAGCTCCTACTAAATCTCTTGCAATAACAATGAACAATGAACAAATCCAGTTCTAACTCTGTTATGAAAGCTTCATATCAAGAGGTTACTAAGAAGTATATAGAGAAATTATATGTTATGTCTCACTTTATGCCACACTCTGCATGGTGAAACCATTGTTTGAACCGGATATGTTGTTAGTCATACTTTTCGACGTGTAACTGATTATTCTTTAATATTTGAACATAGTTTATATAACATTAAACACTTAATGTTATTTGCATACAGTGCCTTATCTTTAATTTTCTTCTCATCTTTTGACAATGTACATCATCTTTTATTGTGATAATACTTAGTGATGACACAAAATAATTAAAGTGTCACCACTTATATTTCAACACTACCTTCTACGTGTGAATAAAAAATGAAGTTTGAACTTAGAAAATGACCTTTTATAAAGATGAATAGAAACGTATTCACCTTTATGAAAATATTTTTTTAAAACGGCTGAGTTTATTTTCTACGTAGTTACAAAAAAAAAAAACAGAGCTGTATTAAGAAAGAACTATGTATTTCTCCTAGGATTTTTTATGTTATTAATAATCATTTATATTTTGAGTGATTCAAGATAGTTGTTTAACATTTGGTAGGAATCAGTACTTTATTAGATAACTAACATCGACTCTTCAATCTATGTTTCTTCAGATCTAAATAGCAGCATCATTCGAAGTGACTCAAGATTTATCAAAGTTCCTGTGTCCCCCTTTTCTATTTCTTATATTCAAAAGTAATTTTGGGCTTCTTTATAATCATTTCCAGTATTTGTCGTCAACTTACAATTCTCATACCTCCATTCTATTCCATCCATTTTGGGGGTTTTTCCTATTGGAAATGTTGATTTTAACTGTTTGATATCTCTTTCAATAGGTTTAAATGACAATTTGTCATTAGTTTTTTGGAAAACATACCTCAGTAATACGATCAGAGGTATCAAGAAATCGTCTAACATATCCACTAAAACAGGAATAAGCTCTGATGGATCATTATCATGTTGCTTTTTTTGTATTCCGTTTTTAAATGAAAGAACTCTGTGTTGTAGTTTATTCTTCAGTATTTCTTTCTGTTTTAGGAGACTCGTTTGACTTAGCTTAGATGACGATTTTTTGTCTAAAGTTGTCTTAGTTATATATTCTCGAGGTACTATATTTGAAAAATCGTTTATTGTCTCCTCTAGCATCCCAATAGCAACACCTGTTTCATTTTTATGAAAGTTATCAATAGACATTAATAAAAAAACGGATCCCTCCAAATATGACAACAAGTGCTTGTTGATTAAATTACTAAATTTGAAACCCTGTGCATTATTATAACAACCGATACATAATTTGGCATTGAACAGGCATAATGATGCTGTTGACGCCATATCATTAGTTTGAAGATCTAACTTAGTTGTTTCTGGATTAGACATTGTAATTTTTAATTTTAAAAATGAAAGAATGATGATACTCAACTGGTATAATATTTGATATTCCTCAATACGGTCATTTATGCTATGGGCGAATTTGGTTGGAATATTGTTGTTTATTAGGTATATATTGAGAAATTGTAGAAGTCCAAGACCCTTCTTTACTTGTTCACCTGCAATAGACCACAACTTATTTTTTGGGTCATTACTGGAATATGCTCTTTTTAATAACTCTATTGCAATATCGGAATAAAATGTAGAACAATTTATAATCGTTATTGATAATTCAGAAGAAAGAGACTCGAGCCTTTCATGCTCCTCTAATATATTATTTATAACCGTATTAGCATACTCTAGGCATACTTCAATTTTGTGGAGGAGATCATTTGATGTCTTAGTCGAAGATGTTGAGATGGAGGCTATAACATTGTCTCTCAAACCCCTTAAAGATAAGGGAAAAGTCCGTGTTTCGTCTCTTAATGATGGGTACGATATCTGATTACCTTGCATGATTTTTGGGTTTGAGGAGCTCAGTGTAGTAAGTTATTTTTTATTCCTTTCGCATGTGTATAAACGGTTCTTGGTACTTGAATTATGTTCAACTTTAATAAATTTTCAACGGGCGAACCCTCATTCCATAATATATATTAAATGAGGAACTTCGTATGTTAGTTGAAAACTTTATAAGAAACTCCATAATCAATTGGTAAGAAAATAAATATATTACACTTGCAATTTAGAGGAGCCTATATTGAAATCTAAACTTTTACAAATATTGAGAATGTGAATAGTTGTACGTTAAGGATTATATTTACAATATTGGGAGAGCCCAACATATCTAGCACTCTTGTTGTCATCATAAAAGTATTATATTATTTATAACGAATATGTGCTATATAAATGAAATGTATATATGATTTTTCTCTAAATGCATCAATTGTTATCTTTGTTGGGACGAGATTTGATAGTTCTTTCTGTGATCGTATTATCTAAGTCAATTAGATTATCATCTTTACTGAAACGTTCATAATTAGTACTATTACCATTTTTCAAGTTTTTATTTTCTTCTTTGAAACCATTTTCTTCAGAATTCCCATTTTTATCATTCTCATTTGAAAAATCTATTAATAATTCACTACTTGCTTGTTTTCTTTGGGCATCTGCTCTCCTGGAAGGGGCACCTGTACCATCAAGGAATGTAGATGTACCCAAACCTTCTGTGTAAGAACCGTGTATGGTTCCTGCCTCCATTATGTCACTCTCTGAATTGTCACGGAAACTATCAGATTCTGTCATATAACTATCATCATCATCTACATCATTTGCACCAAAAATATCATCAAGTATATCGATATCTATTTTTTCTTCTCTTTTACTGTGTGTTCTCTTTGGAATAGATACAATTGGCTCATTTTTTTCATTAGGGAAAGCCAAAATTGGAGCATTTTTATTGTCTCTACTATTTCTACCTGGAGAAATGACATCAAATGGTCCATCATGATGGAAGGGTAAACCCGGGAACCCCGATTGATCGAGTTTATCTATTACATCCATATTTGTATCAGAATTAATAGAAAGTTTCCTAGGTCCCTTCTTTGCAGTTTCAGGATTTTTGATAGAATCTGTATTTTTAAATGATTTACCTAAGCTACCATGTTTAAAGGAGTCTTCTAATTGAGAAGCTGACATATGATCGTTGAAGAATTAGAGGTAATTTTCCTTTTAATTTGTTGTCAAAAGTTGGTCGGTTATCTAATTGGACTAATCTCCTAAACGAGTGAATAATTACCAAATAACTAATGGATAATGATGGCCTACCTATCTATATGTTGTTAAAGTTTTGATTACAAAGTGTTTTTTAAGAAAGAATTTTATAAAGTAGATTTACAAGGAAATACAAACTTCGGTTTAAAGTATTAGATCAAAAGGGAGAGTTAATTGTTACGTCTATTAACGTTGCCGCCGATTTTTCACATATTTTTTTTACTTTTCACTGTTGCATATTTCCCCTTTCTGGTTTCGTTCAGTTCGCTTCCCTTTTCTGACCTTCAAAATATGAGATTGAAAAACGTAAAAAGGATTTGACATTTTTCCTATGCAGAAAACGTAATGTTATGAACATTTGCCTTTTGTTGTATCATTTTTATATTACATAAAGAATTAAGTTTAATGTGTATTTAAATATATTATTGTGTACAATAACGGAAGGTTAAGGGTATCATTTTCCGGTTTGCTTCCTATATTCTTCAATATTGTTAATCGTCTAGGTCTAACTAAAAGTTAGAAAATCCTTAGAATTGAACATATTGTTGGTGGAATAATTCATGGTTTTTAGAATTTCCTGAAACTTTGATGTAATCTTCTTTTTTTATCTTTTCTTGAATGATAGTATGTAATTGAATCAAGTATGAATCATAAGACGTAATTTTGTTAATTGTTTGATCTTCGCATAAAATTCTGCTGATTACTTCTTGATAATAATTATCTACCTCTGCTCTTAATAAGACTATAGGTAAAGATTGTTTATTACAAATTTCACACCAGTATTGTACCATATTCCTTGCCTTCTCATTGATTTGTGTATCAATCTCAGGAAGAATACCACCATATAATGTGATATCACCAAGGGCAATCGTAGGATCAATTCCTAGTAAATCTTGTAATAGCATTCTATTAGTGTTCTTATTGAACATCAAGTACACTTTTTCACCATCACAAATCAGATAACAGCCACCGTTAAGAAGTTGGTTGTATCCATTTCTTACAGATAATTCCATTATAGATTTTGATTCAATTTGTAACATTTTATTGTGTACATCATAGAAAGTTAAATCATTTTCTTCTAATAGTGTATGCAATGGGATAAATTGAGGATATAACTTGTATGACAATCTAGCACTATTAAGCATTCCATATTGGAATAGATCATAAATTCTCTCATTACCACGAGTACTACGGAAATTTGGTTTCATAAGATCAGATTTTTCAAAAGATAACAAATACATAGGTAACGTCTTTATTGCGTCTGGAAGAATTAAAGAATTTGTTCTTCTACCAACAAGTGCAGTGTATTGAGTTAAGATCTCCGCAACTTTTTGTTCGATGGTCTTTCTAATCCCAATAAAATCACAATTTCCAATCGTTCTAATAACATCCTTTATCATAATACGCATTAAGGAATTTTGATTCATAAATTTAAATACTTCCGCCATATTATTAGACACCGCACCGGTACAATTGATGGAACGGACTTTTCTTATACCATTTATATCAGTGTACAGGATAGCTGTTTGAAAGTAAGCATCTTCTTTTGCTTTAAGCTTATCAGTATATTTCAATAGGACATCTATAACTGTATCCTTTGTTATAACAGGGATCAATGGATCACGGTCAGAGTAGTCTACAGATTTTAAGTAGTACTGATCAACAGTCAAACCAGTCGAACAACGGACTTTCAGTAAGGCCTGATAACCGACAATGTTTGAAATGTTCTCCACCATGTCATTTATAATTAAATGGTCATCCATTTCCTTTTGAAATTTTGGATAATACTTTAATGTACCTGCTGTCATTTCGACTGGGGTAACGACTGTTAACATGTCAACAAATGCGTCAGAAGTTACGAAAATATCAACAGATATGTAAGATTTTAATAATTCATCAGACAATTTTCTATAGAAGTCGTTGTCACATTGTAGATTCTGTTTCAGATTGTCATCCTTTCTTACACTTAGGTTACCATTGCCAACTGTTGGTAATGAATTTAGAGAACAGATTATCTTACCACCTTGGTTGCCTGTAAATTCAGATAAGGCAAGTTGGGCAGCTTGAATTGCAGAACCATAGCAATTATATGGAACAGGGCCACCTATATCGTTTCTAATAAAATTTTCAATTTTCCTTAAGGTGTCAGTAATTACATTTATAGATTCCGCAGGATCGGCAAACAGGCCATTATAGAATGGAATAAACACATCAGATAATTCTGCAACAATATATTCCTGTGCAGCATCTAAATCTGGTCTCAAGTTATAAAATTTCAATTTGTTGTCGAATGTCATAATAGCAACCTTACATTTTGGTTGATAATCAATAATATATTCTATTGATTGTTTAACGGCTTCAATAACTGCCATTGCACTGCCATTTCCAATGGCCATTGATGTCACGTCAATGACAAAAATATAATGTAATGGCAGAGGTTCTTTAGCTTGAATAGCATTGTATTCGGAAGGTGCAAGAAAATCCACTGTACCATGATTCATCTCTAGTCTCCCTTCTAAGGTGGTTGCGTTTCCACCATTATCTATACCCGGAAGTATATCCATTGGCATTCTTGATTTAACATTACAAATGTTACATAAGAATGTTGAATCGTATGATAATTTATAACCAGGATTAATATAAGAACGGCAACGTTGGCAACGAACTGGAGCTTTCACGTTATTTTCCGCATCTACAGAACTGATAATGGGAATTTCAGAACCATCTACGGTTACCAATTCAGCAAATGGCTGTATAGTCATACCTAATGGTAACTTGGTTGCATGTCTCAACTGTTCATTTTCAGGAATATTTAACATCGACAAACTCATCGTTCTTGGATTACATGATCCCTGATCGACGCTGTAAAAACTAGTTGTTGGTAATGGTGCCACAGAGTCATTCACAGTTTGGAATGTTTTATTCAAGATATTTATTTGGTCTTCCCATCTCTGAATAGGAACATAATGAGAAGAAGTACCTTGAGCGTCGCTTACGTTGTTTGAAGAGATATTGTTCCCAAATTGGTTAGCCCCTGTCATTTGATTTTGTATATTTCCATTAGAAGCACCGTTGTTAGACATCGGTGAATTCACCTGTTGTGAGGTAAATATTTGACCATGCGCAGGTCCAGCCCCACCAAATTGAGCAGCATTGTTAAATTGGGGTGTATTCATGTTTATGTTAGGTTGACCTTGGCTCATAAATTGTTGATCATTTCCTTGGGCTTGCATTCCACTGTTAAAATTATCGCCATTAACATCGTGGTATGCTCTGGCAGGTCTCTTGTGTTTCCTGCCACTCTTTGACGGTAGTTGAGGCTGCTGATCCAACGACAGATCAGACATTTGTTGGTACAGTTGGTCCTGTGACATAATGAGGGACGTTCTGTGGTTGTTTATGTATTATATTCGAAAGGATGGATGATAGCTTTTAAAATTATGGAACAGTTTTAAAGGAACATAGGCTTAGCACGTAAAGTGATTGGGTTTTTTTTTGTTAATATTCTCTATGATTGTTTGTTTTTTTCGTTCTATTTTCTTTTTCTATATCGTTCATTGTAAGCGAGCGTCTAGACGGACAGCGATAAATATTTATTTTTAACTGTCTGGAAACAGAGGCTGACCAATAAACGACACATAACTAGTGGTCAAGAAATTTATTTTGTTAAGATAATGACCTGAATAGACATGAATGAGATAATGTGATATACTAAAATCACTGTTTTAATATTGTACACTTTAATTAGGGAATCGTGAAATCTGGCAAACCAATTTTATAGGTGGCCAAATTCAGAAGATAATGCCAATTTGGTGATATTATTTGGAGAACAGAGTTGCTTCTGGTAGATTTTTTGTGTAAACGTAAATTTGAAATCGAGAATATACGATTGGAATTCGAGTTGAAATTATCGGACATAGCTATAGATATTCAAATGTATAATTGTGTAGTTTATTTTATGTTATATAAAGTAAGTCGATATAAGGAAGATTGTATATGTATATAAAGTTAGAATATGTGGTCCTTTTATAATTTTTGGAAAGGAAAATAGTTTACCAAATATTGATAGTATTCGTAATAAACATTCTTGAAACATGTTCCAGAACTATATTGAACAGTTAGTAATACTTGCTTACTAAACATAAAATTGTAATAACTAAGTATTGCTACTTTTGTACATAGTAACGTTGGACTATGTAGCTCCAATAAACCCAATGTAGGGGGAATGAATACTACATTATGCAGTATATACCATATGTTATTCTATATACGGCAGTGCAGCACACTCTAAATTCTACTTATATTAGCTACCTTCACCTTCAGATAGGTTAAACTAATGTTAGCCTTTTTAGTGCTGCCGCTATATTTTTCAAGTATAACTGATAAATTTGAAAACAGTTTTTCTTAGACCAAAATGTAATATTTTTAGAAAATGAAAATTTTAAAGTTTTTTTAAATTTTTGTAAAATTTTGTGCTTTTGTAGCTCAGTCGGAAGAGCGTCAGTCTCATAATCTGAAGGTCGAGAGTTCGAACCTCCCCAAGAGCATTATTTTTATCAAATGTTTCTTTTTTTCCCTTTTGAGCAAACTTAATACCTATACCTCGAATACATATTTCCAGAACTGTTCTTGAGTTATAATAAGCTCACTTTATTATTTATTATTGAAATAATGAATTAAAAAATATTATCTACAAGAAGAATTCGTACAACTAGTACCCAGTTCATTATTTTGGGCCAAATATGAGTTTTTCTAACCTACTGAGAATATTATTAGATTTCACTACACCATCCTTAACCCACACTCCGTATGAGTTCATCAGGTTTGCCATCATTATATCTGTGAATAGTCTGTCTCCAACAACGGCTATTTCACTTGGGTCCTTAATAATATTATGGCAACGAAAATAATCAACAATCTCATCATGACAACCTGGTTTTTTCGTTGAATGTCGTAATACATGTACACCTATAGTGTCTTCTATAAATTTGGCCTGTACGTTATCTATATCATCATTTGACCCAGCGCTATTGCTTACAATGAGTAGCGCCCTTCCTTGATATGTATTTCTCAATAACTCCCATTTATTTTCATATTCATGCCATACTTTATTTTCTTTAGGAAAGGCAAAACAGTTATCCTTGTCTAGAACAACTGCTTTGATATGTTCATTGATAGGTACCGGTAAGTGATTGAAAGTATCAATTACTAGGTTTGGTCTGCAAATATATGGATTGTATAGTATCCTGAATGCATTTAATGTACCACTGAGATTCATTTGAAAGTAATTATGGTTTTTTGTTATTCTTTTGTCATTTGTTCTGTAAAGTGGAAGGTCATCTCAAGATATCTTGCTAAATTCTTTTTCGCTCGGATATAGTAAATATTAGCGCCAGAAGGAAATGCTGTAAACGATGCTGTATGTAAATTCCACTTCATAAATAATATTTGGTATTGTAAATATCCTACTCTTATTCTTATCAACAGATTAGTGTTAAATTAATACTGCGTAAAAGGATCGTAATAATTAACAATGCAAAATGTAGGGAGCATAAATGTCAGGTACTAATAGCTATGTAATAATAGTTGACCGCAAATCGGAATTTACATTCAGAAAGTGATAATTATAATGAGAGAATATATATGTCTGTATTTGAGTTGATATTGATTCAAAAAAAATATTAGATATTTATTAATAAAATAAGAAGCATAATAAAAAAATCTTAACAACGATTTACTATTCTTGTTTTGGTGTCTATATGGGAAAGTGATTATTTGGAACAAAACGTAAACAAATATTAGAAAATAATTTTACGCAGGTTCATTCACTTTCCCAAAATATATATATTACATACCATATTATTATGGAATTAACATCTTCCAACACCAAATGCCAATCCATGCTATGTTATTTTACTCTTCAGTATCAATCGTTACTCTCGAAATATCAGACTCTCATTTTACATCGGTTTAAATTATATATATATGCAATTAACTGCGATAAAGGATCTGTGCAATCTATAAAATAATGACTTGTGTTCAGTCGTCCTTTGATATAGTCTTACCTTTATTAACCTTTGTTAGAACGGTTCTGCCTTCTTTCTCAGTCTCTAATGAATATATTTCTCGTTTTTCTTCTATCTTTAGGTCTTTCTTTGGATTGGGCTTTTGTGAACTATGTTTTGATTTACCAAATAGTTTTGAAACACTCAATATTTCAAACGTAACAAAGACTATTATAATGGTCAGTATAAATATTTTGTTCTCATTATAGAACTGTATATCAAATACATTTGGTGGTACGTCTTCCATCCCACTAAATTTGGGAGAAAATTTGTTAGTTAGGGGAGCCACATCTAAAATCATATTATTTTTTTCAACCTCATTTAAATCCTCGAACAGTTTAGGGAATATTGGCATTGACTTATAGTCTCTCTCTGGTACTAGACTTGGATGTAAAGACGTCAATATAATGGTTTGATCAGGCGATGGTAGTTGTGCCAGAATTTCCCGGAAGTATAAATCAAAATCGATAATACTTTGTAGACGTGCCACATCATCATCTGGAAGAGGTGAATAATTAATTTCTATTATACGTTTCCCTGAATCTAAATAAGTTGTGAAGTCATCACTGTTATTTCCATGTAGGCTAATATATCCTTCAAATTTGCAAGTGTCCTTAGTATATGTAGTAAGGTCTGAATAATAATCTTCTGGCAAATTTTTCACTTGTTCGAATTTTAATTTTGTCGAACTTTGATTTAAATATCTTTGAAGAAATTTCAATTCATCTTCATATTCTATTAGATCTAATTTTCGTAGACCTGGAATGTTCACATAAATGTACGTATCAGAATTACAGTGGTCAATTAATTCATGGGAGATGATCTCAAAGGATTCTATTGGTACCGTAGTCTTAGGATCATAGTTTTTTTGATATTTTAACAATCCAGGAGACACTTTATGAGAAAATAGAAGGACAGGAACACTTTTCTGGACTACTAAATTATCATTTGCCCCGGCTGTGATTGGAAGTAAAACTAATAAAAATGATAGAAGGCCAACGAATAACATTTAGGTCTGAACTTATTCTTCAACGATGAGGGTATTCTATCGTTCCAAAACAACAACAACAACAACAACAACAATACTGCTTCTGAGTCTGTGTTTTATCTCTATTATTACGTGCATTCTTCTGATCTTCTAGTTATTGGTGTTTTATCTCAACGGGGGCTTCATTATATATTTTTTTCTTTCCCTTCTTTTCTCTCATTACGTTTCTAGTGAAGGAGGACGTTTCAACAGCATTATTATACAGTACAACGGACTATGAAACAAAGATAAATGGGTTTGAAATAGCCCTTTTATATTACATAAGCATAGTATATCCTGTTGAAGTTTTGGATATAGATATCGATTTCCATGAGCTATACTGCATCGTGTCCTATTATCTTTGTAAGTTATATAAAGAAAAATAAAATCTTAAAGATATAGCTTGCTTCTCAGTCTATGCTATTTATATTTTTAATTAAACTGAATGATGCCCCTCACGAAACTAATAGTAAATGATGTCAGTTAATACTAACTTTGTACTGATTAGTATACCCACTCTACCCCTCAGAAACATCACGTTCCACGATTCTTGACAGGTTCGATGGCTCTCTTTCAGTTTCAAATAATGGAAAGCCGCCCCGAGCAAGCGCCTTCTACTTTCAATGAATGGAGTACAGAGAAAACAAATGTAATATACTATTTCAAAAAAGAAAACCCAAATAGTGAGCTGAAATAGTATTAAAGAAATCGGAATTTTGATATCAAAACAACATATCTGAAGCGTTAAAGAGGCATTCAAATTATATTTAAATTATTCCTTTATCGACTAGGACCACAAACAACATTAGTGATTTACTTTGTTAGACAAATTTTGTTGCGATAATACTTTATTTATTTATTTTTAACAAGAAAACCATCTGTATTTTTGGTAAAATAGTGGGAAAAAATCACACACCAGAAGAAAGGAAATTTTCTCAAATAATAGGATAGATAAACAACATATAAGATCCTGATTTAATATATATATATACCACAAGAAAATAATTTCTCGTTTAACTATAATAATATTGTGTGGAATTGCAATCAAAATATAAACCTTGATTTCTTTTTCTTTTCTAATACTTTTCTGATCTGTTATACATTTTATCAGAATTAACACCTCTTCATATATATACATACATCATAAACCAACTAACATACCTTACCAATGAAGAAATCAACAATAAACACAAATTCTATGCATAATGTGAAGTCAGCTACACTGAGATCACCATCGACTTCAGGTAATGCAGTGTCAAAGACGAAAGCAATAAAATCTGATAAAGATGTTGACACGATATTTAGAAGAACTGAAGTAATAGGTAGAGGGAAATTTGGTATAGTTTATAAAGGTTATAATATCAAGACAAAACAGATTTATGCGATTAAAGTGTTGAACTTAGATTCCGATTCGGACGAAGTGGAAGACGTTCAAAGAGAAATTCAATTCCTTGCATCATTAAAACAAATGCCAAATATTACGCGGTATTACGGATCTTATTTACAAAACACAAGCCTATGGATTATTATGGAATATTGTGCAGGTGGATCACTCCGTTCTCTTTTGAGACCAGGTAAGATAGAGGAGAAATATTTGGGAGTAATAATGAGAGAACTCCTGATTGCATTAAGTTTCATTCATAAAGATAATATCATTCATAGGGATATAAAAGCTGCCAATGTCTTAATATCAAATGATGGTTCGGTGAAATTATGTGATTTTGGTGTGGCAGCGCAATTGAATCAAGCGAGTAATAGAAGACAAACGATGGCAGGTACACCGTATTGGATGGCCCCAGAAGTAATAATGGAAGGTGTTTACTATGATACAAAAGCAGATATTTGGTCCTTGGGGATTACTGCATATGAAGTTGCTACAGGTAATCCACCTTATTGCGAAGTAGAGGCCCTAAGAGTAATGCAACTAATCACAAAATCGAAACCACCCAGATTAGAAGGTAAGAGTTATAGTGTCTCGCTAAAGGAATTTATAGCCTTATGTTTGGATGAAGATGCCAACGAACGTCCGACCGCTGATGATTTACTTAAGAGTAAATTTATACGGACACATAAAACAACCCCTACATCTATTCTAAAGGAACTTATAACGAGGTACTTATTGTTTAGAGACAAAACTAAACGCGATAGTATGAATCCGATTGTAGATGGTAATTATAACAAAATCGATAACCGTATAGAAAGTGATCGTAAATCAATAACGAATGGTGTAAATGATGATAACTCCGAAGAAGATATAGATGTAAAATGGGATTTTGATTCTTTAAGTTCTGCAGATTACATTGTTGAGAATAACATTAACATAGACAATATTACGAATGATACCAACTATTGGATGAATGAGCAACATGACAATTTGAATTATGCATACCCAGATGAAGATCAATACATATATTACCAGACCAACAATAATGTGAACAAGACGTATTACCATGGGACAACCATAGGGAAAGCTGCACCTGGTACTGTATATCATAACTCTACATTAAGTGCAATGCCTTCACATCAGAATGGTACCTCCAACATGAATAGTACTGCATTCCATGGTACTGGCTCACATATAAACAGTAATACAGGGACAGGTACTCATTCCAACATGAATGTCGATACAAATGCCCCCAAACAATTATTGGAATTATTTGAAGAGAATGATACCATTAATGAGGCCGATGAAGATGCTGGGAATGATTTGGGGCGTTTGCCGCAAAACATGTCAACTACACACATGGGATCACTCCTCGAACAGTCAATGACACCTATTTCAGATAATAATGCTCGTCCTGTCAACATCTTAAATAATGGATCTTTTTTCAGTCAAAGCACTACATCTTTACCTGTTTTACAAACAAAATTCAACAGTATGTCAAAGGGTCCAACCAGTGCAATAACATCGATACCAACCTCTATTGAGATTGAAATACCCGAAGAATTACCTACAAGTACTACTCACCCAACAAGTGCATTTGTGGATACCTCCTCATTACATACGAAACCTAGATCTTCTACTCTATCCACATCACCAATGTCATATAAACAACCACCGGGTCTATCTAGACGATTAACTGTGAGTGGCAATAACAATCCAAGCCGTAGCGATGAGACAAATGGAATTGCTTCTCCTTCGTATCCCAATTTGGCACCGCCTCCTCCCACCACCATTGAAGATGAAATAAAGAAGTCCAGTCATTCTGCAACTTATTCAAAAACAACTAGTAACAATGGAACCATAAATGAATCGAGGGAACACACGATGACCAGTGCACCAAGTTCTTCCATATTCAAGAATGTTCATAGTACCCCATCACCATCCAAATTATTACATTCAGGGTCAATATCCCCTAATCGTAAACCTACGGTGTCACCTTCTACAAGCTCGCATGGTATACTTGGCCATAGTACTAGTAATCTAGGGAATCCTCCAATGATGAAACCACTTGGTACGAAGGTTGATTCAAAGAATACCATGTTACATCCCTTAGATACTAATATGTCAAACGGTGCTGGTACCCTCCCAAGTACATCTACAACGACGAGTGCTACTATCAATAGTAACATCACATCAACCACCAGTACAGCGGTATTAAACGATACTAATGAAGAAAATGAAACACCATTGACAACCAATGAACCTGCGGTTAACACAAGAAACGGTACTACAACAACTTTGAAGAGAAATAATTTCAATTTGAAATTACAAATGCCACTACCAACTACAATGACACGTAATAAACTATTAGACAATCATTCAACTGCTAATAATGGAGGAACCAATACTAAATCTTCTACATCTAATGTGATTTCCAATGGTCCAGTGTCTGCACCAAGTGAAAACATCAATCAATTTGGGTTTAATACCAAGACTACAGCTAATATTCCTGTGTCAATGACACCTATCAGTGAGAAACATCTAGATTTTGGAAGTAAGATCAAGAGAAGTTTAAGTGTATCTAATCGAAAGAATTCTTTATCATCTAATGATTCAAATGCTAACAATAGCAGTAATAATATTACTGGAAGTCAACAAATATCTGATAATAGTATTCAAGACTTACATATGACAAACAGTGAAAATAGTACGGAAGGTTCTCATTCCAGGACAGAACAATCTCTGGAGAATAACAATGAGAATAACAATAACACAAACGATCAGAATAAAAACAGTAAGATTGAAGTAATAGGATCAAATATTGCCGATATACCTACTGAAGATAATATCATATCTGATGTAGGAACTACCACCAATGCATCCACTGCATCCATAGCGACAACTACAATAACGAATACAGACAATCCTAGTTCCAATTCCAATTTAATGAAGGAACCTCCTAAGACCTTGGATATGAGCATGTTTCATGATACTTCATTTACTGTAGATACTAGTGGGCAAATTGGTGGTTATGATAGAAGACGTATAGATAAAAGGCCACAATTATTACAAGAATTGGAAAATTTACTTGGAATGTTTGAAAATGGTCTTCCTGTACTCGAGAATACATTAAAAAAGATGTTACAAAATCCTAATGATATTTTATCTACACAACCTCCAAGTAATAATACTACTACAAATAGAAACACCAGTAACAACACAGATAGTAACGAGACAACCATTACAAATCTAGGGGTAAACGCAAGTCCGTCAACAAATGGAACGTCAACTACATCGGTTGGTTTAGCAGCTGCAGCAATAACTGGCCCACCTTCTCCTTTAGCACTACAGGAAAATAGTATCATCACAACGTCTCATTAAACACGAGAATCATACAAAGTGCATAGTTAAAAATAGATATATATCTATATCTATATTTATATTTACATAATAATAAGTTTCTTTCTGAGTACATGCTTAGAACAACGGTACCACTGTTAATGTTCATACCGAAGTAACTTATAAACAATATACAATGATGTTACACTCAAGTGGCTAGCCCAAACTGTAATTGACAAGAACAAACAAAACCAACAAAGTAGTTGCATAAAGAATGTCTCATTTAGGAGTCGACTACAAAACCTTATAGATGAATCCGGAATTACATATTTATTCAATAAATATGTAGTCTTCTACGTCGTCTACAGGGCCAAGATATTTCATCTACTAATATAAACTCTTGAATTTTTACGCGTTAACCTAAAAGTAACAACCGCTTAGAAAGACAGCAGTAAATTAATTTAATTCAACCTTCCATCTCGTGTTTTCTATTAATTTCAAACAGTCCCGCGGATACTTTCTTATAACCGTGTTCCGTCATCCTCACATATCACAGGTGACGGCAACGCGCTCACCAAAAGTCAAGAAACGACCACCACCACCACCACAATGAAACATCTCGAAATCTACAAGCAGTATAAAGAAAAAGCCCGCCACGCCATGTAAAATAGTTACCAAAATAAAAAAAATAATTAACCCGAATAGAATCGGGAAGACCATAAAGAAGCGCTTGAGTTCTTCAAGCGTTGTCTTTTATTAATACATATATAGATGTATATATTTTGATCCGAAGAAGGCAGCGCAGTATCCAACGGAGAGAGAAACAGATAAACAACTAAACAAACCCAGCCAACTCAATTTCCTCGTTATTTCGTCATTTGATCTTAATTCTTCTTTTTAATAATAATGACAAAGGCGATAGATATACTAAAATAATACCAATCAGAATATATACCCTCTGTATTCTGATTTGCTGACTAGGTAGAGAGAGAACAGTTGCGAATGTCGAACCAAGTAGTTTCCCCAGATATCTTTACAAATTGCAAGAATATGAGGGCTTAATTATTGTGATGCTATGGTCCCTTTTTGTCTGTCAACAAACGTATAATAATGCTTGTTTGTTGTTCGAAGACACATACAAAGAATGTCCCTTTTTGAAATAAATCCGATTCGAAGCTCAATTGTTTGATTATTCTGCAGATTTGTTTCCGATTGCGATCTATCCGTTAACGATTTTCGTAAATTAAATTATCCTCACAAACAAGCATTAAATGTTCATATATATATATATATATATATTCTTAAACTAAATATTCTTGTTTTTTTTTGACATGTGCTTAAGTTGCATTAACGTCACTACTATGAATTATTAATATTCACTGAACACAACCGTCTGTCATTCCTAATTCATTTCACCCCGCCCCCAAAAAGGAAAATCTACATCATTTCTTTTGGTTAATACAAAATCAAAAAACAATAACATTTTATTATTTCATCCCTTTTTGTTACATCACATATACAAAAAGAGCCACCTCTTCTTCCTCTTTCGTGCTTCTTTCGATTTTCTCTCTCTATTAAAGGCGAAAAGTATCACAAAACCGAAAGAAAGAGAAAAATAATAATTTAAAGTGAATTTTCGTATTTTCTTCATCTCTCCCACCCCCGTCGCGCCCTCGGTATCGAGCAACAAACTGCGTGTGAAATTTTGAAAAAGAAAAAACAAACAAAAACAAGCTAAATATAACAATCCAGGTAAGACAAATTACCAAATAATAATATATATACAACAAAAAATTGAAAATTGATTATAATTTTTTGTTATTTTGAGAAAACAAGCTGACCAAATAAATAAGATCCTTATAAAAAGATAAAGTCCATCATCATCATATTGACTAGGTTTTTTTATTATTGTATCAAAACAAACATCGACCATCTTTTTTAGTGACAGATCAATCTCGTTTGATTCGATATATTGTACTATAAAGCTACTATAACCCACTATTATTTTTTTTTAATCAAAATTTTTTGAAATTTCTAGACCTTCGCTTAATTTTTTTTAATATACATTCCTGATGATGCCTGTCAATACTGCTACAGTTCATGGAGATAATCCTATGCCAATGAAGAATTTTAATTTAAAAGTTAATAGAAATAGCAATAATAATAATAGTTCATACTATAATGATTCTAATCTAGTAACCAAAACTAGAACAAAAAGTATTGGATCAAATACTTCTTCGTCAAATAGTAATAAGATGGTAGGTCTTGGTATAGCGAGAAGACCAAGTGACAATTTATTGCTAAAATATAGTAATAGCGCAAATAATAATAATACAAATAATTTACCTCCATCATCATCACCTCCTAATACTTTTTCAAATAAATCAAAGAGTAGAAATACTAATTTAATGAAACAAAATGATAACGGTAATAATAATATACCTGAAAAAGATGAAAAAGAACATGAACATGAGGAACAACATCATTATGATGATGTTATGATACCGCCTCCAAAGAAACATTTTAGTCTGAAAAATGATAGACCAATATCTAATGATTCTATCTCTACAAAGGCCTCTGAATTATTCTCATCACCTTCGTCTGATTTAAATTCAAGAAATTCATCAATAGAAAATGATAGCGATATCGATAATAATTCTAATCATTTGAAATTAAGTACTACTAATAATAATAATACAAGTAGTTTAATGGAAGAGAGTATAATATCCGAAGGTAATTCTACTCTAATATTGAACAGTAGTGAGGGGACTGAACAACAACAACAACAACAACAACAGCATTTTGATCAACAAACACCTATAAATACTCATACTGTTTTAGAAAGTATTAATACACCTGCATCACAAAGTAGTCAGCGTTACTTATATAGTAGCAATAATGGCAACAACAACAACATCAATCATAATAAATTCAATACTACTAATGGTAGCACACCAAACTTTAAACATATTCCTAATAACAGAAACCATACTACTACAAACCTTTCAAACGGTAATAATTCTAGTGGTAATAATACCAACGGATTCTATAAACCTTCCCTGTATGGTCATTCAAACAGTACTACAGCTATTTTAGCTAACAAGGCTCCACTGACAGCCTCTCAACGTTATAGATTAAGAAAAGAACAAAATGAAACTTCAATAAGAAACACGATAAAAGAGAAAGAAAAATTTTACGATGAACAAAATGGTATCCTTGAATTACAAGAAGGTGATATTGATGATTCATTAATATGGAACATCCCAATGGCCTCATTTTCTACTAGTTCCTTCCTGAATACATCCTCGGGAAAGCATCACAATGGGAAACATAGATCATTAGCTAATAAACAGGTAGTGGATTTAAATACTAACTCTTCGACATCCACAATCACTGTCAACAACAATAACAACATTAATAATGGTCCAGTAGGGAACACTGCAGTCCTTCATCACAATTCATCAAAGTCAGCTCCTATAAATAATGTCAAACAACTAGGTCACAACCATAGATTTGCAAATTCAAGAAAGGCTGCTGTTAGTATGCCAATGTTAGATTTCCATGATATGCCGACGTCGCCAATCCCCGGTATCAATGGAATATCAGATTTACAATATATCCAAGAGACGACTAAGAATTTATCCTCAGTTTATATCCAATCACAAAATAGGTTGTCAAAATCAAAACTATCTCAAAGAACTCAATCTGCTGACTTTTTACCTCTTGATTTGAAAGCCGCTAGCGAACAAGGCATGGAATCCTTACTGTTAGTCTCTGAAGATAAATTAGAGGCTGTGAGTAATTCAAGACCAAGTTGGCTACCTCCAAAGAATCCCGAGGAGAAAAAACTACACGAATACGAGATTTCTAAAAGCATAAGTATGGCATCCATTGAACAATTAGATAAAAATAAAAATAGAGACGTACGTAAAATCAATGATGAAACAAATAGAGCTAAATTGATATTGTTATTGGATCGTGACATAACTCGTAATTCCTCATTGACGAGCCTTAAGAAAATCGTGTGGGAGACATCCTTTTCTACGGAAAGCAGAGGTCAAATATATGATGAAGTCTTACAAAGTAAAGATAGAATCATATCTAAACATTATATGGAATCGTTTGATGAACTATCTAAACTTTTAAACACAATGGATTTCCCAAAGGGTAAAGAAATTGAAATTGAACAATTGATTAAAAATGATATATTAAACAAAAGGTGTGGACAGGAGACGCAGGAAGTTTCTAAAAACTTAATGTTAATGTTGAAATTAAGAGCAGTATCTTCTCAAGGTCTCATTCCAGGTGATGCTTTATTATTCCATCATTTCTTAATCGATGGTTCGTTCAGTTCCCTTAGGGAGGTATGGGAAATGGTTAATTTACTTCAAATGACCTGTTTCAGTGATATTTGTAAAAACAAATATGACTCCAAGATACTTCAATCTCGTGGAGTTGTTGCCAATTATTTATTAAAGACAGACGACTTCAAATATGAATTCAATTCATCCTGTTTGAATTCTACTACATGGTGGAACATTTTGGAAAGAATTGACCATGAATTATTCATGTGGACAATGGATACGATTGTTGTAGCAAATGCTCAAAGTTTTAAGAACTATCCAATAAAAAAACAAGATTACGAAGATAAAGATTGGGAGACATATTGTAGCAAGAAAGTTGTTGTTAATTACAAAATCTTACTTGCGTTCGCATTGAATGTTTTATTAAACTATCATTTTGGTTTCAATGATCTAAATGAATTAGCAATATTGGATGACCAAGGATTTTCTATTCCAATTCCTATGGAAGAATTATTGGACTGTACCGAAGTCAATGGGATGTTTATAAGGAAGTGGTTGCATTATTACAAAAGATTCTGAAGCAGAATTTATTGTTAATAAAACATAAACATACCAAAAAGAGTCAATAAAGAACACTCACATATATATAGTTGCATATTTAATATGATCTTACATAATATAATAAAATATAAGATTCATAATTTTAAAAATCAAAACACAAAACGGTAAACAGTTGTATAGAGATGGATGGTTGGAACTCAATTGGTCATTTCTGTATTACTTTTGTTCCCTCACATGTGTAATCATTATACATTTTGAGGTTAAAAATCCATAATGTAAGTTGTGCGTAGGCAGACGAGCGGGCGCATTCCTTATTTTATCTATAAGCCGTTCCTCCCCTCAAAATATTTATTGTATATATACAAAAATAATTGTAACAGCTATTTTAAACAAATGAGAACTTAATTAAATAGCGTCATAAGAAAACCTACATACCAATTTAAATATAAATACCAGATTCCAATTGCAATACATTTTACATATAATATATGTCTACCCAAAATAGGATTAAAATATTGGCACCTGAGCCTATAACGCTATTGCAAAATGAAGAAAATGATACACCACATATGCCTACACTCCCAGGAATCCCCACAAGAAAACATAGAGCATGTAGTTCTGTCAATGATAACTTCAATTTTAGCAAAGTTAGTGTTACAGATTGTACCATCCTTAAAGGTGATAATACTTCAAAATTTGCAATGTGGAAGATTACTATAATTTTACAACCGAGTGAAACGCTAATTGAAAGGACGAATAAACCACAGGTTGCTTATCCCAAGGTTCAAACATATAAGAGATACTCTGATTTTGTAACGTTTCGTAATATAATTATTAACAAGATTGTGACAAATGGTGAGACCTCCGAGAATATATTATTATTATCGAAAATACCAAAACTGCCGCCGAAGATTCCTTGGTATGAAATATGGCAATATCAGAAGGCTAATTACAATAAGAAATGGCTTATAGAGAGAAGAATAGGTCTAGAAATTTTTTTGAATGGAATAGTATTAAACCAAGATGTTGTTCAAATATGTCGGTCTGAGATATTACGTTTTCTGGAAGAACCATCTCCAGAATAAATTACAGATTTTCATCGCATTTAAAATTTCAATAATTTTAAGAGAGAAAACTACGAAAGAAAGCAGAATCCGAAGTAAAAAGAGAAGAAGTCCTCATTCATGTGATAGGGGTTAACGATTAAACAAGTTATATCAGTGTTTAGTTGCTTAACATATCTTCTCTTGACTGGCCATTTTGTAAAAAAAAAATATAACGGTTTATGTCTCATAGTTGATAGTTAGTTGCTCATCGACATCTGGTTGAAGCCATTTTTACCCTCCTCTTCTTCGTGTCTCGCGATAAGCAGAGAAACAGAAGTCTCGCCCAGCTAATTCAATGGGAATAATTATTAATAATGATTGTAATAGATGCGCACATGCATAAAGTTACACTCCACCTCAAAAGAGGTGGACGACGCGATGACAAACGGGGAAAAATTTCATTAACTTTTTCTCCCCCAGAGACCCGAAGACGTAATTGAAATTGGAAGAAAAGTAAGTAATCAATCATTTTCCAGTTTTGCTGAATAAGAAAACGTGTAAAAGTCCAGATGTTTTTTCAGTAAGATTACTTTGTAGGAGATAGCGTTTCTTTTTTGTCGTTGCTTTTATTATCAGAGAGGGAACGAGAGAGAGAGAGATTGAGAAAATATGGGTAGTTATGGTAATGGTACTAGTCGAGAAAACACAGAATTCCACAGTTAGTAATGTATCGAAAGAGCTGGGTGAGAACTTGATTTCTCGTTTTCGCTTGTAATATTTGCTCTTTCGATGGAATTTCGTACTAGATTTTATTTTTGTTACCGTCGCTGGACCTTTAGGCTCAAACCATGTCTTCCCTGACTAAGCGATCAGTTGATAAAATTGTGATTTTCTTCATTATTTTTAAGGTACAAGCATTTATCAATTCGAAATTTAAACATCTCGAACTTTCAACATTTTGATATAAATAGAAGAAACTCGTTTTATTTTTATTTTATTTTTCTTTTTCCTTTGATTATTTAATCATTTTGTTTTCCCATTTAATGCTTTTCACTAAGACATTATTCACAAGATTACAACTACAAGGTAAACTTAAACAGAGTATAACTTTAAACACTATTAAATTCAATCATATAATTATTTCAAAAGCAATGGTTCACAACAAAGTCACTATTATTGGTTCTGGTCCAGCTGCACACACTGCTGCCATTTACTTAGGTCGTGCAGAAATTCCTCCTACTATGTATGAAGGTATGATGGCTAATGGTATTGCTCCAGGTGGTCAACTAACTACCACCACTGAAATTGAAAACTTCCCTGGTTTCCCAGAAGGGTTAATGGGCGGTGAATTAATGGATAGAATGAAAGAACAATCTGTTAAATTCGGTAACAACATTATTACTGAAACTGTTTCAAAAGTCGATTTATCTTCTAAACCATTTAAATTATGGACCGAATTCAATGAAGATGAAGAACCAATTACTACTGATGCTTTAATTATCTCTACTGGTGCTTCCGCTAAGAGACTACATTTACCAGGTGAAGAAACTTACTGGCAACAAGGTATCTCTGCTTGTGCCGTCTGTGATGGTGCAGTTCCAATCTTCAGAAACAAACCATTGGCTGTTATTGGTGGTGGTGATTCTGCTTGCGAAGAAGCCCAATTTTTAACTAAATACGGTTCAAAAGTCTACTTGGTCGTTAGAAAGGACTATTTGAGAGCTTCAACTATCATGCAAAGACGTGTTGAAAAGAACGATAAGATTGAAATTCTATATAATACTGTCCCACTAGAAGCTAAAGGTGATGGTAAGTTCCTAACTTCCCTATTGTCCAACAATGTCAAAGAAAACAAACAATTTGATCTACCGATCAATGGTTTATTCTATGCTATCGGCCACAAGCCAGCTACTGAGATTGTTAAGGGTCAAATCGATATGGATGAAACTGGTTACATTAAGACTGTTCCAGGTACATCTTTGACATCTGTTCCAGGTGTTTTTGCCGCTGGTGATGTCCAAGACTCTAAATACAGACAAGCCATCACTTCTGCTGGTTCTGGTTGTATGGCTGCTCTAGATGCTGAAAAATTCCTTACCGAACTTTACGATTAATCAAGTCAAATATTATCTCGCAATAAAATATCACAGAAAGAAAGAAAAAATCATAATTCTAATAGATTTTTTTTAATTCATAACTCTTATATAGAAGTATAGATGTGTTTTAACATTCATGAATAAATAACAAATAAATACTATTTTCAAAAGTATAACAATTTTTATTTAAAAAGAATGTTCGCAAGTTTTGGAACTCACTCAGTAAACTAATGATAAATTCTTTTGCCACTAAAATCATATTTTCTGATATATAGTTTAGATTAAAATAATTGATACATATATATTTACATACAAATACATATAATATATTTTATTTTATTATTATTAAATTTTTGAATTTGTCTTTAGATTGTCATATTTATATTATAAGTTGGTTTTCTTGAAGTTAAAAAGAATCTGAATAAAGAAGATTGTTTTAAAAAAACATACGTAGGTGCATGCAAGAGAGAACAGTACATAAACACAATGTACTCTTATGATAGGTTAACGCTTCTTCAATTGTAATGATCTAACTTGTTCTTCCAATTTCTTTACTTTAGTTTGGATTTCTTCTAAATCACCATTTAATCTAATTCTTTCATTAACAATATTTTGTTCCCATTGTCTAAATCTTTGTTCTTCTGCTTTAACTTGATCTGTGAAGTATTTCTTTAAAGCATTTTCTTCTTCTTTATATTTTGGATTATGTGACAATTTTCTTGCTGGTGCCTTTAATGGCATTGACGAATCACCATTTCCATTCATGTTATTCTCATCATCTGGACCATTTGTTCCTTCAAGTCTCAATCTTCTATATGTTTCGTAATGTAGATCCTGTGTACTAGTTATGAGGTCTAATAAATACGTCCTTAATAGCATACTTCTCAATTTACGGAAATCACAATGATTATCGTTTTCAACCTCGACAAGGCCCCAGGGGTATTTTCTTGCGACGACTTGAGTACCTTGACCATTATCGTATTTAGTGGTAGATCCAATGATTGCAAATGGCATTGCTTCTATCAATTGTCTGGCGTGTTCAGCAGCGGTAGCGTCTTGATTAGTAGTAGCATTATCAGTTGACACAGCTTCCTTATTATTACTGTTATTTTCAAAATCCAATGGAGGTGTAAAAATATGAATCTCTTGAGCTTCAATGACTTGTCTAATTCTACTCTTGAAGACTTGTAATTCTTGTAAGGTCAAAGTATCAGATTTAGCAATCACAGGTATTAAATTAGCTCTTGATGAAATTTTCTTCATAGTTTCAATATCTAATGGTTTTAAACCATGACCAGTAGGTTTAATAAAATATAAAACTACATGGACCCTTAAATCGAATTTAACTTCACGATGAGGTTGTTGTTCTTGACGCATATATGAATCATGTTGATCGTCGATAAAATCGACCAAAGTTTGCCAAGCTTTAGTATTGTTAACATTGTCACCAAAACCAGGGGTATCGATTACATTAACACGCATCTTAAAATTTTTCTCTTCTAATACAGCACGAGTTAAATCAATATCGACAGTTTTCTTTAGTGGCAAATGACGACGTTGATGTGGATCGGCATGTTTCAAAGTGGTTTGGAATAAAGTGTTGATGAAGGTAGTCTTACCTAAGCCACTTTCACCACAAACCATGATTGTGAAGGTTCCCCCTCTTTCACTAACGATCTTATAACGTTGATTTGGTAGATTAGCAATACCAACAGATTGAGTAGTCATTTTAAAATTAGAATTAAAATTGTAATATGTTCAAAAAACACGAAAGAATGATTTGTGAGATAGTACGTCTAAACTAAATATCAAAAGAATCAAAAAAGCACAGAATTCAATTTATATCTTATAAGTAATTCTAGCGAATATATCTATTCGTTTTCGTTTCGTTTTTAATTTATTTTTAATTTACTTATCTGGATCTAGTTCTTAAACCGTTCTCCTTGATGTTTGGTTAAAATGTTGTAAACAAACAAATAAATCGATGTATCTTAGAAGAATAAAGCCAGATAACCAATCCAAAAAAACAGTACTATAACGAACAATTGTGAAATATCAGATAACTAAGTACCAACTGGAAACAAACAGAAAAAGTCCTTCTACTAACAGATATACCGATAATCTAAATTGAAATATAGTATTCTCCACCAAGGTCAAGAACGGTCCTTTATTGAGAATCAAATCACCATTATTGCTACAATATCAATTCGTAATAACAACAACAACATTTTTCGCTGGAATTATTTTTGTTCTCGAGCGGGACGTCACTGTGTACGACAGCTATAAATACCTTTCAGTGGGAAGATATCGAATACTAATTACAAGTGAAGACAAGAGTTCAAGTTGAGAAGCACTGTTGGTTCTCTGGCTGTTGTGTCAGTAAGTTCACTAGTATATTGCTGGTTCAACGCTAATATAACACATGTATCAACAACTCTTGGCTCTCTATATTTATATTTATATATAGCTCTTAATGAAACAGACAGTTAGCGTGCGCTGCAAAGGTGGATCGACGGAGAAGAGAGCGCAGCAGCAGCGGGAGAAAGTGCTAATAGTCAGTCGCATCAGCAACAGCTACAGCGACAATAACAACGTCACATCGAGAGATCTGAAACAATGGAAAGCACATTCTTCGCTTCTTATATATATCCTCATATGTTAAATACATCGAACAGAAGCTGGGGATGTGTGAGGGAAAGGTAGACTTGCTAGGACAATCTTTCAATTCATCTTTTTGTATGGTAAAATATTCTTACTTTCATGAAGTATTATGATGTCACGTCCATCTCATTACGATAGACACCATAGCGGTGGAAGAATCACTGGCGTAACCAACCCATTACTGATAAAGATCCAGCGAGCATGTCGAAAGACTTTACACGAACCTGATCTATCGTTAAATCTAGAGATTGCCGACTTGGTTAATGAAAGACAAGGTGCATACCCTCGAGAGGCATGTATTACCTTGGTGAAATTGATCAATTGTCGGGATCTACATACTGCATTATTTGCCATTGCTTTATTAGATGTCCTTGTGAAAAATTGTGGGTATCCCGTTCATCTACAAATTTCAAGAAAAGAATTCTTAAATGAATTGGTAAGACGATTCCCTGATCACCCTCCAGTTCATTATTCTAATGTACAAAAATTGATTCTTACTGCCATTGAAGAATGGTATCAAACTATAGCTAAACATGGAGAAAATAAAAAAGATATGACTTATATTAGAGATATGCATAGATTATTAAAATTTAAAGGTTATAATTTCCCAAAGATTGACCCAAGAGATTTAGCTGTATTGAAACCTAAGAGACAATTAAAAACTACGAAAGAAATTCAAAGAGAACAAGATATTAAACAAGCTGCAAAACTAGAAGAATTGATTAGACGTGGTACTCCAGAGGATTTATTGGAAGCAAATAAATTGATGAAAGTTATGGCTGGATTTAAACAAGATAATATTATTGAAGCTAAAAAATCAATGAACCACGAATTAAATAAATTGAAAAATAAATCTGAGTTATTTAATGAATTATTGAATCAAAAGATACAATCAAATAATGGTGATGCTGATTCAAATAAAATAATCGATGAGTTATATTCAATCTTGAAAACAGCTCAACCGAAATTTGCAAAAATTATTGAAGAAGAACAAGAAGATGATAAATTAGTTCAAAATGTAATGGCTTTTAATAATAAGGTGGATGAATTGTTGAATAGATATATCTTAATGAAAAAAGGGAAAACAAATCTTGAAACCACTACTAATAAGATTGATGCTTTCTCTACATGCACTGATGTAAGATCTTCATATGATGATAATGATAATGATAATAACTCAGGTGCAATTGCTCACGAAATCAATTTGATCGATTTTGATAATGAACCTTCCCATTCTCCATCTCCATTACCTTCAATGTTGAACGGAACAGCTTCAAATCCGGAAGATCTAATTTTTGACATGTCTAACACAAGTAAGAAAGAGAGTGTTCCTAACGATAATTTAATTGATTTATTAGGTGATTTCAATGAATTGAATATTTCGAAGTCTGTTACAACCCCTCAAAATTTTGGTATGAGTGGTCACATTCAGTTGGGTACGTCTACTGTTGCTATACCGGTGGTCACGAACAATACTATAAATGGCATTATTCCTGACACATCTGAGGATTTATTATCTCTTGATCAAAGCAATAGTAGTTGTAGAAACAGTAATTCTCCAGAATTCCAACTATCAACAGATCAAGGAACTATCATAAACAAAACTAATTCAAGAGTTTCAGTCAACCAGTCTAATAATATTAAAATTGACATGATTCAGACAAAATTATCTGCAGATACTCTTAAAGTGAATCTAATTGTTAGTAACCTCACTTCTTCAGATGTTTCGAATGTAACATTATCCCTGGCGGTTCCAAAATCTGTATCTTTGAAATTAGAAACACAATCTGCAGATCATATGTCTGGGAACACCATCGACGGGGTAACACAAGTTGCCATACTCGAAAACATTTCAAAAAGTTCAAGCAAACCTTTAAAAATTAAATGGAAACTTAATTACATAATCGATAGTATTACTCCAATTGAAGAAACAGCTGTGTTTTCATTTCCCAAAATTTAACGAATCTGTACTTTTAAAATAAACAAATAAACATAGTTACACATCACATTACAATGCATTTATTGTTGCCTAACCCAAAATAAGAGTAACAGTATTCATCCAAATCATCCATAAATTGTATAGACATCTATAGAATTAAAATCATACAATATCTTTATTGTTATGTAGCCTTTTGACTGTGAACTAAGTTTGCTTTTTATTCAGTAAGTTGAAAGCCACGCTTAACCTTTTTTTATCTGTCATGAGGAAAAAAACTCCAGAATGATGAAATACATTTAAGGAACGATCGGTTTATCTTTGATTGAAAATACTTCTCACTCGAATTCAATGTACATCACAGTACATTGCTGAACATTGTAGAATATATTAGATCATGGATAAATTTTTTGATTGGTACGTTTCGACGTTTGACATAGAGGTACAGAAAGGTGTTCGTCTAGCAAAATCAGAAATCAGTGACCCTAATAGTGGGTATGGGTTATACGTTGACCAAACCTTGAGTAAATGTTCGAAAGAAGATGCAGATGACTCTATGGTGAAGTCAAATGAACTAATACGAATTCCTAACAAGGTCACATTCAATATACACTCAATATTATCTATGTTCAATGACAAAACAAATTATCCAAGTATTGATGCTCACTTATTTTTTACAGAGAAGATAAAAAATGTGCTCAAATCATTTTATAAATGTTCAAGTATGAGTGAAATGTTCTCAGAAACAATAGTGATTACGCTTTATTTTATAACATTTTATTTCTTACAGAGTGATTATGACGTACCAGAAATTTTTACTAGATATTTAGAAGATGTTCTGTTGTCTACAGCGGTGAACAATCCAATTATGAGACCCGAACTTTACCTTCAATGTTATAAGCAATACCCAAATATTTTAGCGAATGAGATTATTATTGATTTGTTTACTAAATTTTTCGAATCTGAATTATCTCTCGATAGTGCTGCCAGTAAAGATACTATTCGACAAATATACGGTGCTATCATATCTAGAGTTCTGGACATTCCACATGAAATCTCCGAAAAATCTGATGATTTTACCACAAGAACAAGTTTAGTACCAATTTTAGATTTTGTTAACCATTCTTCCATTACACCATGCTGTGTTTTTGATGTGGATAGAACTACAAACGATATCACTTTAAAATATCCAGAATCTATAGAAGATCCAGATGACCAGACCAGAAAGGAATTATTTATCCAATATTCTGACGTTATTGAATATACTTCATTCAACTTTGCTTATGGATTTATACCAGAAGTAAATAAGGATACCCCTTGTTACTTTAATTTATCAATTGAAAGAGATTTCATTCCAAAATATTATAGAAATTTTTATAAATGGTTTGGTATAAACCCTGTTGTTCAATTTTATAAGGATAACAAAACAATGACGTGGCTTATAAATAAAACATTGAAAGAATTCGACGAACTGTTACTTCCTTTTATGATTAATTCTTGCATAGAAAATGAAGAAATTTGGTCGTATAATAGTAATGCATATAAAAGTTTTGCCAATTTTTCTTCAAAAATTGATACAGAGAGTACTGTGGTTGATTTAAATAATATATTTAGGAATGAAATAAAAGGAAGAGAGCACTCAAAGAATGATGTAATTGGGCTAGCACAATTGGCATGGACTATACGATTTCAAGACAATAATGGGAAAATATTAAAGAGAAGAGTTAATAAACAAAAAGCGTTAAATATATTCAGGAACTTACCTGTAAACGATCAAGAAAATACTCGTAAAGCGTTTGCGTTATTTTTCCAAACTTATATTACGTACAGACTAAACAAATTGGAGGATTCAATAAATATTGGCTCTCATAAAGAACATATTAAATACAACGAATCTGAATGTCAGTCCTTTATTGATTTATGCAATATCGAGATTGACATGCTGAAACAAGTAACCTCAACAGATCTCACTTCTTTATTAAACACCACACTTACAGTACAACAAGAATTGGATGAGGCTTTACTACCACCCTTAATTAGTTTTTATAAACAAGAAGGGGATATACCTGAGGACAATGAAGCTGAACAACATGAACTCATCAATGAATGTGACGCTTCATCCTTGGATGATTATAATGAGCTTGATTATACAGATTTTGTGACCCAAGAACAAGAGGAATTCGGTCAATACTTTACTTAACCTGTCTACATATAAATGTAACTTATTTGCCTTGTATGTATGATATTTAATTACCTTAAAAATTCGTTATTCATCTATAATTTGCAATCATTGTAACTTGGAAGAGAGCGTAATTTCGATATGTGATTACTTACTTACTTATAATAGACTTTAAATGATGTATACCACGTAGTAAATAATTACGCGTTCTTTCACTTTCTCGCGCTGGCAAATTTCACAACAATGAAACTTTCCAGGACAATAAGACACAATATGTTTGCTAGTTTGAATGAAAGAAAAGTTTGACTAGTCCTTAAATGAATATTTAGTCACGACCTGGTATCATCTTTCGTTAGTCAAGTTTAGAAGTCTAGTAGGCTCATACAACCAAAGTTAAAAAATAATGAAAGTCCAAGTATTGACACTGATTTCTGCTGTGATGGCATTGATTTGCCCTATCCAAGCCATGCACATCTACTTAAAGCCAGAAGAAACAAAATGTTACTATGAACATCTAACTGCTAATAGTTTATTAATTGGTGACCTTGATGCATTTGTTGAAAGAAATGGTGCATTTGTGGAGGATTCAGGTATCAAAGTTAAGGTTACCATTGATGAAACATTCGACAACAATCAACGTGTTTTGAACCAAAAGAATTCTAACAGTGGTGATTTTTCATTCACTGCCTTGGAAACAGGTGAACATAGAATATGTTTAACTCCATCTTACAGTGATGCATCTGCCAACATTAGAGTATTTGTTGATTTTGAGATCAGTCACGTTCACTCATTAGACAGTAAAAGAAAGGACGATGTCGAATCCCTAAAGTCTAGAGTCCTGCAATTGACCCAAAGACTTGATGCTATAAAGGGTGTTCAAGGTGACATCAGAGACAATGAAGCCAAATTCAGAAATCAAAGTGAATCTGCCAACAGTAAAATTATGTTCTGGTCTGTTTTACAAGTCATTGCTCTAGGTTGTACATGTGCATTTCAATTAAATTATCTAAAGAACTTCTTTGTTAAACAAAAGGTTGTGTGAACGATAGAAGGTATATATTACAATTTATCTAGTAAATATATATACATATTTATATGATTTTATTACTAATTCCAAATTACTAATAGTATAAACAGTTTGAATAAAATGGAATACTTTTGAACTCCATAATTACTATTACATACTCTATAAGATAAATCGATTGCAGCGTCCAAAGTACCATCGATAGACTTAAATATTTATTTTGATTATCCTTCTTTAATATATAAAAAGAAGTTAATAATTAGCTCGAATAAAATCGTTTTCTACGAACATTATTCTCTTTTGAATATCAAGAAAGTGGCAGGAATACTATTTTAAGGATCTTACGAAGTATTAAAAGACTTCGTAGTTCCTAATTTTCCAAAGTTGAGAAAGCACCCCATTATAAAACGAATTGTAGATATATTTAAGATATACATGCTTAGGTTCCACATAAGAAAAATGTCTTCAGTGCCAAAACCAATTTATCCTTCAGAGTTTGTTAACTTTCTAAACGCATCTCATTCGCCTTATCATGCTGTACATTCTATTAAATCTCATTTGAATAGTAATGGGTTTGAGGAATTGTCAGAACGTGATCAGTGGAATGGAAAAGTCAACCATATGGGCAAATATTATGTTACCAGAAACAACTCTTCTATCATTGCATTCGTGATTGGCAATAAATGGCAACCGGGAAATCCATTGGCTATTGTCGGGGCACATACTGATTCTCCCGTGTTAAGAATTAAACCTATCTCCAAGAGAATTTCTGAAAATTATACTCAGATTGGTGTGGAATGCTACGGTGGCGCAATATGGCACTCGTGGTTTGATTCTGATTTATCAATCGCTGGTAGGGTTATGGTCAATGACAACAAGACTGGTAGAGTTGTTGCAAAGCTTATTGATTTAAACAAACCTTTACTTAAGATCCCAACATTGGCAATTCATTTGGATAGAACAGTTAATGAAAAATTCGTTTTTAATAAGGAAACCAACTTATTACCATTAGCTGGTCTAGCTAGGGATTCAGAAGTTGCTGATAAAACTTCTTATAAAACGAAAGAAAATGAATCAAATGATGATGCGTTTAGTTCAATTAAGTCAATTGTAGAAAGACATAATAAAGAGTTATTGGATTTAATTGTACAAGAATTGAAACTAGCATCTGTCGAAGAAATCGAAGATTTCGAATTGATTCTTTATGATAATAAGGCGTCATGCTTAGGTGGGTTAAAGGAAGAATTTATTTTCTCAGGCAGACTAGATAATTTAACTTCTTGCTTTACTGGTATGCATGCCCTAACTGAGGCTGCGGACTTGGATATTGAGAATGAAAAGGGTATTAGACTATTTGGTAGTTTTGACCATGAGGAAATTGGTTCCTCTTCTGCCCAAGGGGCAGACTCTAATTTTTTACCGAATATTATGGAAAGATTATGTTCATTGAAGGCAGATAATACAGATATTGATTCTCCATTGGTTAAATCATTGATTTTAGAAAGTTCGGCAAAGTCATTCTTTTTATCCTCTGATGTTGCTCATGCCGTTCACCCAAATTATGCCAGCAAGCACGAATCAAAACATAAGCCAATCATTGGTTCTGGTCCTGTTTTGAAGATTAACGCAAACCAGCGTTATATGACCAATTCTCCAGGGATAGTGCTAGTGAAGAAAATAGCCGATACTGCTAAGGTCCCATTACAACTATTTGTAGCTGCAAATGATTCTCCTTGTGGTTCGACTATTGGTCCAATTTTGGCGTCTAAAACAGGTATAAGAACATTGGATTTGGGTAACCCAATTTTAAGCATGCATTCAATCAGAGAAACTGGTGGTGCAACTGATCTTGAATATCAAATTAAATTATTCCAAGAGTTTTTTAGATCTTATAGTACTTTAGAATCAGAAATAATCGTATAGATGTCTATTGACTCTATATATTTAGGTACTATTAAATTTATAGTTTAATATGTTATAATATAGAAAGTAGCAATACTATCAATATTTGGTAGACTATTTTCCTTTCCAAAAATTATAAAAGGACCACATATTCTAACTTTATATACATATACAATCTTCCTTATATCGACTTACTTTATATAACATAAAATAAACTACACAATTATACACTTGAATATCTATAGCTATGTCCGATAATTTCAACTCGAATACTAATCGTATATTCTCGATTTCAAACTTACGTTTACATAATAGAATAATTTAACGTTCGTAAAATAAGAATCAGAAAAAATAATAGATATGCATTGTTAAACAGAGTTGCTATTGTTAAACTGCTCATCTTTTGTGCATAGTAACGTTGGACAATATGTTCTATCTGTTCATTAATTTTTACAATAATAAGTACCGCTACTTAATATTTCCACAAAACTTATAACAAGTAGCTGTTGTGTATATAGCGGCAGCACTAAAAAGGCTAATATTAGCTTAACCTATCTGAAGGAGAAAGTAGCTAATATAAGTAGAATTTAGAGTGTGCTGCACTGCCGTATATATAATAACACATGATATATACTGCATAATGTAGTATTCGTTCCCCCTACATTGGGTTTATTGGAGCTACATAGTCCAACGTTACTATGCACAAAAGATGAGCAGTTTAACAACAGTAACTCTGTTTAACAGTAGCTCATTAAACAATGACATGATTAAGTTAAATTTATATTCCATTTGTTTGTTTTAAAGAGTCTCAAACAAAAAACTCATAATTAAGGCCTTGTTGGCGCAATCGGTAGCGCGTGTGACTCTTAATCACAAGGTTAGGGGTTCGAGCCCCCTACAGGGCTTTTTATTATTTTTTTGTCATGCAAAATAATAAAGGCAAGTTCTATCAACCCTTAGTTCGAGTTTTGGAAAGTTCTTGCGTCGTCATGCTTAAGTTTAATTGATCTCGTAATATTTTTTATTAAAGAGATTATAAAGATTATGTGTTTTTTTATTTATAAATAGTACTAACTATTGATATGCAGAAAATTAATGAACCTTAAGAATGGTTTCATTTGATAATGACTCAAAAAGAGTTGGTTTTGGGATAAGATCATTTTTAGAAACATCTGTGCTTTTGATGACTTTAAAAGAACCAGTACCAATAGACATAGTTTGACCTAAAATGATACATTCAGAAACACCTTCCACGGCGTCACGTTTCATATAGAATGCAGCATCGAACAAATGATCCGTAGTCTTTTCAAAAGATGCTAGTTGAAGAACTGAGTCTCTCATTTTACTTAGACCAAATCTTGTAATACCTAGAACTTCACCCTTATATGTCATGACGTCACCAAGCAATTGAATGTGACGCGGATCAACACTCATACCGTGATTACTCATAGTATAATCAATTTCTCCAATGATACTCGATCTTGCAGCCTCAATACCTAGAACACTATTAACTTCCAAAACATGATTAGTAGTCGTTTTAGAACCAATGACACCATCAGTACACATCACATCACGCAAACCATAACCTTCAACAAGCAATTCTCTTTTACCATCATCACGGATATTAATAACAGCTCTAGCAATCTCAGGCAGACCCTTGACAACAATTTCAGGCAAAGCACGACGAAGTTGTTGCATTCTGTAAAACAAAGCATTTTCCAATGGTTCCTTAAGTGATGCAGCAGCTGTCTTTGGTTTCCCAGTATCAGAGTCCACCTTGACACGAACCTTATCTGGAAGTTGTACTTCAATACTTGAAAGGTGAATCTTCAGTTTTGGAGCACGTGCAATAGCAACAACAATGTCCTCTAGGGTTAATTCCAATTGTAATTTTTCAATAGTACCCAAATCAATACGGATTTGAAGATATGCTTGGTTATTAATGTAAACATCTTCTATGTAAAAAGCAATATCAGACAGTAACGTTTTTTCCACTCTTCCCTTAACCACTCTTGCAGCTCTTTCATCATCTTTGTTTACAAGTACTGCGTTAATGATAGGAGTAGAAATTACTTTAGAAGCATTAATAATTTCCTTAATACGAGGAACACCTAATGTAACATTCATAGAAGCAACACCAGCAAAATGGAAAGTCTTCAACGTCATTTGTGTACCAGGTTCACCAATAGATTGCGCACCAATAGCCCCAACGGCTGTACCTGGTTCAACTCTCGCCTTACGGTACTTTAATAGTGCAATGTTTAAGAATGTTTTAACGGATGATTCAGTAATTTTGAACAGTTGATTTACTGAATTTTTAATTGTTTCTGGAACCGTTTCATCTGGATCCATACTTTGCATTTCAATTGCAGGTTCAGCTAACATCTCTAACATGCCTCTTGTCTTTCTTACATTAGCAAGTTTAACAGATTTCTCTTCTATAAAGTCTCTAATAGAAGTATAGAAATTTCTTTCAGCATCATTTTGATCAACATAAGCATCATCATCTTGCTTCTCCTTAGAAACCAATTGACCAACATTATCATATCTAATCAGTTTATTTTCAAGAGGACTCAATATATTGTCCGTGACTTGTCTAATCTGATATGGTAATAAACCAACTTCTTCATCATTGAAAGAGATATTTAAGGAATGGTCCCATGATCTAACGAAATTAACAGGTTTAGCATTACCTTCCATTTCTAGTGGATCTAAACCATCACCACCATATGTGAATTGAACAATACCATTGGACGATGTTCTAACAGTGTTATCATATTGACATGACAAATCTTCCAAGGATTTCATCAATCTACGAGACATATAACCCGTCTCGGCAGTTTTAACCGCAGTGTCAACCAAACCTTCACGACCAGAAATAGCGTGGAATAAAAATTCAGGAGGTGATAAACCGGAATAGAAAGAGTTTCTTACAAAACCCTTAGATTGTGGAGTCTTCGAATTCTTTTGGAAATGAGGTAAGGAACGGTCTTCGAAACCATCAGGAACACGATTACCAGATATAATTTGTTGACCAACAACAGCAACCATCTGGGAAACATTCAGTGTAGAACCCTTAGAACCACATGTCGCCATAATCAATGGAGCATTCAAATTATCTAGTTCATTAATACAGACATCACCAACTTCTTCTCTAACCTTCGATAACAGACCACCAATCTTTGCTTCTAAGGTTTGTTCTTCATTACAACCAGGTTGCGTTTCCAATTTCCCTTTATGATATAGATCAATCAATTCATCACACTTGGCATATGCTATTTCGACTAATTCTTCCTTCTTTTGTTTCAAATCATCAGCTGGTGTAACATCATTGATACCAATAGAGAAACCTCTATTACCTAGATATCTTGCACAAAGTTTGGCCATTCTATTCATTGCATCTGCAGCTTCTTGTGGACCGTAATCACGAAGAATTGTATAGAAAACAGAATGCTTCTTACCATCACCCAGAACAGACTTATCCATCACACCACTCAAAATATTAGAACCTCTAATGATTACGAACCCATCATTTTGAGACATTTCGTTTGGTAGATCTTGATGCTTTGGCGGGATAAAAACCTTATTCTTAGCATCAAGATTAATAACAACTGGAGATTTGTGACAAGGTCTAATTAATAGTGAAAAGACTTGTTTACCAGTCCATAAATAATGTGGCTTCATAATCGCTGGTGGTGGAATATCGAATTGCATATTACCATCTGACATCATAGACAACAGTTGGGTTAAAGATGCTCTATTAAAGAATGAATCCTTGTGAGATATCAGATAAGACCCAGTAATAAAATCTTGCGTAGCGGCAATAATAGGTTCACCGGATTTCGGCGTCAATAAATTATTTTTAACACCCATCAAGTTGATGGCCTCAGCTCTTGCTTCTTCTGTTTGTGGAACATGTAAATTCATTTCATCACCATCAAAATCGGCATTATATGGAGTACATACACATTCGTTCAATCTAAAGGTTCTCCATGGACGAATCTTAGCGTAATGTGATAAAATAGAAAGTCTATGCAAAGATGGTTGTCTATTAAATAGAACGACATCACCATCTTCCAAATGTCTCTCTACAACATCCCCATATCTCAAATTCTTGGCCAATTTCAAACGATCACCATAACGTAAATTTCTTCTAGCTTCTTCATCTTTCTTCAATAAATAGTTAGCACCTGGATGAACATTTGGACCATTTAAGATTAATTGTTGTAATCTTCTTTTGTTATACATAGTGACCTTCTCTGGGAATGTTAATACTTTGGCAACTCTATCTGGGACAGCAACTTCATCAATAGATAAATTTGGATCTGGAGAAATAACTGTTCTACCTGAAAAATCCACACGCTTACCTGATAAATTACCTCTAAACCTACCTTGTTTACCCTTTAAACGTTGACAGAAACCTCTAATTGGTTTAACTTTACTACCACCACTTGAAGCACCTGGCATCATTGCTGGGTTGACAGAATCAGAATTAATATACATGGCGACAGTTAATTGTAAATAATCCCAATGTTCCATCATATTATTAATGGAGATACCTTTTTCCAAACCTGCTTTAATTAGAGAAGAGGTCCATACGATTTCATTCAATTTAACAGTCAAATCATCTTCATTAGAACCTGGTGAATCTTGCATCATAACAGATGGTCTAATACAAACCGGTGGAGCTGGTAAATATCTCCAGATATAAGTCTCTGGTCTACCAGATTTCACTGTTGCATCAATACCTAACAATTCACAATCTTCAGATTTTATTTGTTTAAATAATGTTAAAGTCTTTAAAGGATTCAAATCATCTGAACAACGTTTCATAAAACGTTCTAATTCTGGATGATGAGATAAAACTTCATCCCAATCTCCAACCCATTGATCTTTTTCTGGAGCTGATTTCTTACCAACCCATCTGAATGTATCATGAATAATCTTTAACGCAGCAGAACCTGCTCCGGCTGCAGCTTTTTTGACAACACCATTCAATGAACCACAATGTAGACATCTTCTTTGTTTTTTACATTGATCCAATACTTTCTTTAATATAGCCATTCTTCTTAAATTATCTACACCTGGGCGTCTTAATTCACTTAAGAATTGTCTTTTATCTTTATCAGAAAGTAAAACAGCTGAACAATTTTTACAAATACCTTGTAAGATCTGAATTGTAGCTTTAAAATAACCAACATGAAATACAGGTAAAGCCAATTTAATATGACCAAAATGACCATGACATGACGCTAAATTACCATGACAGGTAGTACATTCTAAACTTGATGAAGAAACACCCATCTTTGGGTCTAAAGCACCACCTTTCTTTTGTTCACGTCCTTTTTCTAAATCGAATAAATCACGAGAAGATATTTCAACCTCAGATTGGGCAACAATATCAGCTGCACTTAGTGCACTAAATTGAATACCACTGATCTTCTTTGGGGTTTCACTAGTGACGATTTCTCTCATAATGATGATCAGCAATTTTTTTCTTTTCTTTATTCCTTCCACAATTCAATTAAACAAACCTTCAATCAATAAAATAAAAAGAGAGATATTATAATATAGTCTTTTTGATACGTTTTCCCTTGCTTCTTCTTAGTACAATTATCAATAAAAAATCTTGTAATATATACGTTTTTGATTATTTCTTTCACAAATCAGAAAAGATTGATCCCATAAAAACAAACAAACTATGAGTTGTTAGTCGACGTACTGGAAACGAAAAAAGTTATTTGTTGATGTATGGATATCAAATAGAAACTTAGATTGTATCCTTCTCCTTTACTTTTCTATATATTCCAAAAAAAAATAATTCTAAAAAGTAATAAAACAAAAAAAAAAACGATGAGATGTGAATCAAATTTTTCAAGATGTCTACTTAATAGTTTATGTCAGACAATATTGAATATTTTCAACCCGTTCACATATCAACCATTTTACTGAGCGAGGGGGATTCGATGCATTGAGATAAAATTCAGTATTAAAACAAATTTTTTTCTTTCTGCCTTCTCACTATAAATTATGCTCATCACCGCGCGCGTGTGCAGCCGACCAGAAAAAATAACAACACAACACAACATAAAACACGCACACGTAACAACTACTAAGACATACATTAACATTGTCGCTCTCTCTCTTTCTCTCCCTCCGTCCCACTTAATAAACAATATTTTCTCTGTTTTGTTAAAATTAATTGAGAGTTCAGCGGCAAAAACCTTGTAAAATCGAACCAACCAATAATAGGTGACGGTTTATCAAGCAATACCAGAAAAATCATTATCATAATATAAAGTGACCATGCTGGATATAAACCAGAAACAACTAGGTAAATATTTATATTGCTCCTATTCAATTGAACACAATTTATATGTCAGTCTTAGTTTCAGAATAGGGGGCCTATACCTTATGTTTTGCTTGTAATATGCTCTGCTACAAGTTTAAAATAACCAAAAAGTATAATTCAAAGGACTGTCTAGCTGACATCTTGTCTTATGAGAAAGAAAACCCCGTTTCATTCTCCATTTGTAAGTGTTCTCTTGTGTAAACCAAAATTAAAAATAATAGTAGTTGTTTGAACTACTTTTCTCAATAATAAAAGTAAATTGAACTGAACTTCCTTAGAATTAATGTAATATGAATAACATCAAAAATTCATTATCTTATAAACTTATATCTTTGATAACATCATGTTGTACGTTTTAGGGTTTTTAAATGTCTATAGAAAAGAGCAAGTGATAACGCGAGCAGTCTGAAAAAGCCCTAAGGTGGCAAAAATCTGAAATTGGAAATAATAGATATATAGATTGGATATAGGATACTTTAATAATAATTTTAACAATTCAGCATTACGTAGTAATTGAAGAAAAAGACAATAAGAATCCATTTATCTTATTTATCAGCCAGTTAGACGAGATATTCTAAATTATAGGTTTTTTAATCGTGGATAATAGATCGACAAATATATAAGAAAACAAACAAACGAACTAAATATGGCTACTTTGGAAGAGTTAGATGCTCAAACATTACCAGGTGATGATGAATTAGATCAAGAGATTTTGAATCTATCCACACACGAATTACAAACTAGAACAAAATTGTTAGACAATGAAATTCGTATCTTTAGATCCGAATTACAACGACTTTCTCATGAAAATAATGTTATGGTTGAAAAAATAAGAGACAATAAAGAAAAAATTAAAAATAACAAACAATTACCATATTTAGTGGCTAACGTTGTTGAAATTATGGATATGGATGAAGTTGATGATACTGAAAATAATGAATCAAATACACAAGGTGGTAATGTTAATTTAGATAATACAGCTCAAGGTAAAGCTGCTGTAGTGAAAACTTCTTCTAGACAAACCGTTTTCTTACCAATGGTTGGTCTAGTAGACCCAGATAAATTGAAACCAAATGACTTGGTCGGTGTAAACAAGGACTCTTATTTGATATTAGATACATTACCTTCAGAATTCGATTCTCGTGTGAAGGCTATGGAAGTCGATGAAAAACCAACTGAAACATACTCAGATGTTGGTGGGTTAGATAAACAAATCGAAGAATTGGTCGAAGCAATTGTCTTACCAATGCAACGTGCTGATAAATTTAAGGATCTTGGGATTAGAGCTCCTAAAGGTGCGCTAATGTACGGTCCTCCTGGTACCGGTAAGACTTTGTTAGCTCGTGCTTGTGCGGCTCAAACCAATGCTACATTTTTGAAATTAGCTGCCCCTCAATTAGTTCAAATGTTTATTGGTGAAGGTGCTAAGTTAGTCCGTGATGCTTTTGCACTAGCTAAAGAAAAAGCTCCAACGATTATCTTTATTGATGAATTGGATGCTATAGGTACAAAGAGATTCGATTCTGAGAAATCCGGTGACAGAGAAGTACAAAGAACAATGTTGGAGTTGTTAAATCAATTAGATGGTTTTAGTTCAGATGATCGTGTTAAAGTCTTAGCGGCTACCAATAGAGTCGATGTTCTAGATCCAGCTTTATTAAGATCCGGTAGATTAGATAGAAAGATAGAATTCCCATTACCAACGGAGGATTCAAGGGCTCAAATTCTTCAAATTCACTCGAGGAAGATGACTACTGACGACGATATTAACTGGCAAGGATTGGCAAGATCTACTGATGAATTTAATGGTGCTCAACTAAAGGCCGTAACTGTGGAAGCAGGTATGATAGCTTTAAGAAACGGTCAATCATCGGTGAAACACGAAGATTTTGTCGAAGCCATTGGTGAAGTACAAGCTAGAAAGTCGAAGTCTGTCTCCTTCTACGCATAGATGATATATCAACATCATATTAATTCATAGAGGCTTGATTTTCCTCGAACTACATAAATAAATAAATATATACTCACATGTATCAACTTACAAATACTTATATCAAAAAGTCAATTAAATAAAAAGAAAAAAAATACCTCATGAGATGATATATTATGAAGATCATCATCCTTATTCAATTGATTTCACTTTATAATAATATATTCGGTTGTTAATGAAAGCAGCTTTATTACCTATTAGGCAACTTGAAAAAATATCAACTTGTACCGGAGAGAGGGTGCTGCCTCAAAAAGCAGCCATGAAGAATTAAGCACAAAAGAAGTGACAAACTCTTTTATGGTTATTTTTTCAAATCTATTAAACATTATTATTTTCAAATGTAGGATAGATTCAATAGTCAATTATTATATTATAATTTAATTTTGACCTTTATCAAATGGGGCAAACAGGTTCAACTACAGAGAGTAATACATCTAACGATGAACGCAATATAAATACAATCCAAAATAAATACCACAACTGTTCAGAAATTGAAGATTATTTCGAGAAGAGAGCCATACGGCACCTTACTACAAGTGAATTTTTATCATATGGACTATCTTTAAATGACAAGAAAGATTTAAGGGAAAAATATCCACCAACTTTGTTAATAGAAAGATTGAATGTGCCTCAAGAAAATCAGTTACTTATTGAAATTGTGCTCACCATATTCAAAATATTCAGTAATTTTCCACTAATTAACGATTCCAACAAAGAGACTAGTTTTGGTGGTGTTTTGAAAAGCATTGTGCTTCTCTCACCAAGATGTAGGAAATATATCGGCAGTAGGAAATTCCATACGACAACCCTGATATATATTGCCCTTTCCAAGGTTAAACAAACATATGTTGAAGATAATGAATTACCATTAAATGAATCTTATAAAATCCAAGAAGTTGTAGATGATTATAACGACACAAATCTTGGAGATATAACTGTGAGTGCCGATGTAATGTTACAATTTATTACATGGTTATTAGCGCTTCAGTATATATCGCCTTCAAATAACTGTAAATTAGATTACAATATTACATCTGAAGAATGGAAAACCTTTGAACACTCAGCAAAATGCGTAATTCGATCAATGAATTCAACTGCTTTTACCTCATCTCCATCAAAAGAAAGTATGCGTAATATCACATATGAAGAATACTCTAGCGTATTTAAGGTTATTATACCTAATATATTACTTGGATTAGAGAACTTAGTTGAACATTTATTATACAGTGAGAAAGATTTAGTAGAGACTGTCCGTCCATTGAGCAATATTGAAGAGTCCAGACTACTAACAAAGGCCTTATTTAGTCAGATTATGGCAGCAGTACCTAAAGAAATAATGATTACAAAATTGCAAAAACTATATATCGGTAGAGAAAGTGGATTTTCAATGAGATCTTTGCAGTCAAAAGTGTTTAAATGGGTTGCACCTACGATCTTACTAATAAACGGTATGCGAATTACTGATGATATTGAGTATGGAACATCTAAAAATCCTAGGTATAAGAAATTCTTAGAAAACTATTCAAAACTAAGAAATGAAGATCAATATTTAGAAGATTGTTTCCAAAAGAAGAGGAAAGTAACATTTGCTGTCTATATTAATGATCCATGGAAAGTTACCAATAAATCATTTTTTGGAGGTGAACATACAACAGTGATACAATTAAGTCCGAGACAGGATACATACTGTGCAAATACCCTAGATGTAGTATTTTTCAATACCATTGGGGGTGGTATCGGTATTGGGGATTCACAACCAATAATTAAATCGAAATTAGAAAGATACCAACCAGGAAATGTGTCATTGACCATCGACAATGCTTTAGAATTTGGTGCCTTTAGGAATGTCGGATATGGTGGGAAAATAAACCCAAGTTCATTACAAATAGAAAATGATACTCTATCGAGAACATATGAACTGAGGTTTATTATTCAAGACATTGAAGTTTGGGGTTGCGGTGGTGAAAAAGAATTGGAAGAACAAATTAGACAACTGCAATGGGAAGAAAAAGAGGCAAAGAGAAGGCAACATGTTAATTTAAAAAGTCTCGGAGAAGATAGAGCTTTGCTGGAAATGGCTGGTCTTATTGGACAACATCAAAGTGGTGGATCAATGTGATAATTATAACTGGAATATACAACTGGCTGTATAACTAAATAATTAATAATCTCTTTCCTAATATAAAAGAAAATCATAATACTGCCTGAGATATTTAAAGAATATAGCAAAACTACTATATTGCATACCAACATAATATGTTAAAATAACAGCATAATACTAAACACGTCTTACAATAATAATCATGTTAATGGTATTTCACATAGTATAATATATATATAGTTATACTTGAAAACATTTAATTATATAAGGAAATTCAGCTATATAATTCTAAATATCCTAATAGTCATTTTGTTTCAGTTTTCTCATTATATTTATACATCGTCAAAACATCCAATACTAAATAATTATCTAGTATTGAACACTAATTAGATAGTCAGCTAATTGTTCAACAATTTTGGTAGCTTCACCAGCTTGAACAGTTGGTGGGTAGTGTGCAATAACAATGGTTTGTTTAGTTCTTACACAAATAACACCTTCAGCATCATGTCTACCATAAATACTTCTATCGTCTGCTCTCAACATCATAAATTTTTGACCTTGAACATGTAGACCATTGGATTGTAAACCGGATGGGTCATCAAAACCTTTTGCGATTTCAGCAATTTCGGTTGGTTGTAAAGTTAGGCTGGAAGTGGCCCATGCGGCATCACCAGCTCTAGAATAAATAACAGCCCTATCAACCTTACCGGTAGCTACTAGGTTGTCTGTGTATGCTATATTTCAATTGTGGATTATTAAGGGAATTGAAGTACACAATTCTCATTCAATATTGTTGTTAGTATTAATGATTGATTTTTTTTCATATTGAATCGAACCAAATATGGTGACCAAAGTTAATCTATTCAAAAGTCCCAGTTAAAACATAATGTGGTCACCTTCAATAGAAGGATCATCACTGGTATCCCATTTATGACATTTCGAATCAGTGTAAATAAAAAATAAACGAATAATCCCTATTAGCACATACCTTGCCAAGACATCTTTTGGTAATTGTGATTTTCTGATTGAACTTGATTTGATTTAATAAATAGATCTAAGGAAAATCTAATTTTAATTCAATTCGTCTTATTTAATTGATTTATTTCCAGTTAATATATAAGGAGTATTATTCAAAAACTTTTATAGATAGTTGTATTTATTTATAGGGTGAATATCTCGTCGTTCGCGTTATGTATTCTATTTAGGTAATATAAGGTTGCCGTTGAAGGTGACGTAGGGTAACAAATAATGCAGGAACTATTCAACTATAATAACGATAAAAGAAAAAAGATCTGTTGAGCAATGTGACTTATTATATCGGTGCTATACCAAACATATTTCATCCATAACAAAAATGATCATTGTAGTACTATCAAAAAAATTTAAAGATACTTATTCTTATATTTATTTACTACATTACAATAGAAATACGATACAATATTTTGCATTCCTATACATTTATTAACAAAGACTATTCGTCATCTTCATCATCGCTGATAACAGCTGCTCTTTTCTTCTTTCTTACTTCTCCTGTAGATTCTATTTCATTGTTATCTTCTCTAAATGTAGCTTCGCTTCTTTTCATATTTTTTAACCTTTCAGCTCTCCTTCTCTCTTCTTCCTCATCATCTTCTTCTTCAGATGCATCAAGTATATCCTTTTCTTCCTCTTCTTCCTCATCATCTTCTTGGTACTCATTTTCATCCTCATCATCATCAACTAAGAAATCATCTTCCTCGTATTCATCCTCATATCTTCCTCTGGATGGTGCATTAGTGGAAGACTTGGGCGTAGAACGTCTTGCAAACGACTCTGGTGTAACTTCTCCAGCATCGAGAAGTTCATTTTCTCTAACTTGCCTTCTTCTTCTTTCTCTGAAGATTAGTTGCTGTTTTGTTTCTAGTGCTTTCTTTTCAACTTCCGGATCTACTTGAATTAAGAAAGTGCCTGGACCATCGTGCTCTATTTTGTTTCTTCTGGCAACAGCTTTACTTAACCTTTGGTGTATCTTGGAATTTGTAGATGTTGGGATAAACATTATTGTCTTATTAATCTCACCACCATTAATACATTGCATCAATTCCTGTTGATCATGGGAGACAGTTAGGAACGTGTTATCTGTGTCATTTATTAAAATATCAGTATATTCAGTTCCTAATTTCAGGGAATATGACCCATCTGACCATTTCACTATTCTTGCATTGGATTCCTTAAACACCCTCTGGTTTGTATCACGAGAGTATCTCCATCTTATAGTATTTTCATCGACTAAACGATCACCAATTTTATCTTCTTCTGATGCCTCATGTGACAATCTGTGTTTAACCATATCTTCAAAGCTGGGTGGATCAAATGGAACAGGATCTATTGTCAAAAAGTGTGGAACTTTAGCATAATAAATATGTTTATCCTCGTCAGGTCCTGCAGCATCTTCACTGTGTAAATTTGTAGTGTAGGGAACCATATGACGTACAAGTTCAACATCTTCTTCTTTAAATGCATGGTCTCCATCCTCATCAGCCGAATAATTGTCTGCATCTTCACCATAAAATTTTCTGGTATACATTGCTTCTTCTTCATCCATATTCTCATCATGGGAACGAGAACGACCATAATTATCAGGATGTTCGTTTTCCTTATCATCATCTTCTTCATCATCACTCACCCCTTTCTTCGAACGACGGTTTCTAACAATGTCATCTTCTTCGTCATCATCATCACCAAATAGGTCGTCCATTGCTTCATTTTCTGGACTTTTAGATCCTTCAACAATGGTGGATTCAGTTACGTTATTCTCAGTAGAATCTTTGACTGATTCATCATGTTCTTGGTCAATTGGCAAGGTACCCGACATCCTTACAATTTTTTACTGTGTGGATTTATGGGTTTGGTTCTATTAGATACTAAAGAATGTTAATATCGTTACTAAAAGTAATTCTAATCTTGGATTTTTTCACTTTCTCAATCTTTCTAACGGTATTATTTCTAAACCTTTACCATATTCGTTCCTGCTGTTAGATTAATTTTTCAGAATTCATTTCACGCTTTGGTTTGACAATTACTTGAAAATGTCAAACATAACAACAAAGCGAACTACTAACTCAATTTTAAGAGTTACCCTCAGGAAGTCAAATGGGTTGATATTAACGAGTTTTATGTAAAGATGCATAAGTCGAGTGATTCTAATAATAGATCGTACGATCTGGATGATTATTATAAAATATATTTCATTCTTTATACAATTTGTTGGATTATGACTCATCGATATCTGTAAGTGTGAACCAACTGTGCAATTCTAGATGACAGTTCTATTTGTATTTAATTTTAGTAGTATAAATATATGTATGATTTTAAATTCGTAGACACTATGATATATTTGATGAGTATGTCTATATATGTATATACACTTGCCCTGTTGTCTAACAGACGCGTTGCATACACAAACAATTAGATATTGTAGTTATATGATTAAAAAGAAACCACATGAAAGGAAATATTGTAAGGTCATAATTCCTTAATCTAACGTCATGATAATGCTTATAACAACAAATCCATTCTTGAAAATACTTCGATAACACCTGCAACCACTTCTAGTTGTAAATCGTGGCCTGGTAACCCCTCAATCTCGTCCTCGACTTCTCTGTTAAGATTAATAGATATACCATATTCAGATTCACCATCTAGTTTAAAGGGATATTGAGCAAATTGAGCTAGGATTTCGTCGGATCTACCAATGGCCCTATCACGTTTATCAAAATCTAAGGATGCTAGAACATTTTCTAAAACGTTAGCACCGTACGCACTACATATCAATGCCAAAGTTCGAATTAGGGCAAATGAAGTTGTCTTTGGGAAGAAATCATTGTATTCTAGTTCCATATTTCTTGAGACAAGTACTGAGAGTATTCTACGTTTAATTGCTTCTTTACATGTGGAGTCTGCCACAGGATGTGTAGCCATATCAAATAAGAAGAAGTTTTTCATTTCAGTCCTAAGAACACCCTTATCTACTAAACCCTTAGCTAATCTTTCTCTTACTTGCTTTAATTGGTAGTTAATTTTCATAAGATTCCATGTTTCACCACTTAATAAATCAATCCAATTAGCAACAGTTAGGGGTTCATCATTTTTCATCAATTGTAATGTTTCATCTAATAATACTTCACCTGTCTTAGTACCATCTATAACTTCGACTAATCTTTCAGATACATCAAATCTCTTTCTAGCAGAATCATCTAGCATTCTAATTTTTCCTCTAAGGGCCAATTCAATTAATATACATCCACGTAAAGCATACGATATATTATCGTTCCAAAATGATAAATGACCCTCTCTATCCTTTAAACCCATAAGTAATACTTCTTCCATTAGTGTCAATGTGGGTATAGAATAGTCACCTTGCAGCTTAGCCTCCTCTGGGTCATACGCGACCCTTTTACCGACAATTGAACTATCGTCATCGTCATCAGCATCTTGGCTTTTATATTTAGTACGTTCAGTATTAGAGGCTGAATTCCTCACATCATCAGCTAATTGTTCTGCTGTAACGGTAGGTGATAATTCTGGTCCACTACTGTCTGAACCAGCTCTGTTTACTCTACGACGTTGTAAGGTCGACATTATTGTATATTTATAGTAGTTCTTTAATCTTATCTGCCTAACGGATTTCAAAAAGAAAAATCGGAATAATGTAATTGGTGTTAGATAATCGTGATATTGACTCTATATTCTTTGTAAAACTATTTTTGTATTCTCCTTTCCTAATGATTTAGGTTCTGATTATAGTAGGTTCCTCTACGATTTAATTTATCTATCTTTCAATTTTCCGCTATAGTTACCGTCAATATAAACGGTCCCCGTTGTGTTCTTCTCTTTCTCTCTCTGTTTATTTAGTTTTCTTCCCATCCTACTGTGGAGGCTCATAATTTCTCTGAGATGTAAAATTTCAATCATGTTTTGTGCGTCGTTAATTATGATATTTTAGATATTATTAGACACATAATATATATGTATATAACAATATATTGGTATATGAATCCTACAATCAGAAACAATTAATACAAATCAAGGGACGATATCATCCATACAAATGCTTCTAATCAATCTAGTTTTTCTACTTCGGGAACATCCAATATTCTCTTTAGGGGTTCTATGCCTTCTCTGTCTTCTTCCTTCACAAATACCAAAAAATATGGCGTAGCAGTATTACCTTCTGTAAAATTGAATACCTCTGATTCACTGACTTCAGTTACCGTCTCGTCATTATATTTCCTCCATATACCGGTGACATTTGGATCCTTTATGTAAATCCAGTAATGTCCATAGCTCGCTTCACCTCTGTGAATAAATACTGCAAATAATGTATACTCGACATCTTGGAAAGCATCAAATTGATGTGTAACTTTATTCTCTAATACATTAATTTCATTGTAAATAGAATTCAATTCATTATTCACTTCATCAATTAGATGGGACAAATTATCTCGAAGCTCTTCCTTATCATCAATTTTAATTCCTTGTAGTTCTAATGTATCCGATTTCAAAAACTTAATTGTCTCCATGAATGCCTCCTTTCTAGAGAGCCCGGATTCATTTCTGTTTAGTAGTTCTATTTGTCTTTCCCTTAATTTTTTTAATTTTTGTTTCATCTTTGTAGTTTCTATCTTCTTATTGAGGAGTTCCGTATTATCTGACTCAACATATCGATCCATATAAAGTTTATCAGTAAATTTTACAGGGTCGATAGATTTAAAAGGCATAAACCTTTCTCTGTCGTAATAAACTCTTTGGATCTGAACTTGTAAAATGGTTGGGAGAGAGGTTATCGATACAGTTCGCTTCACATCACCATATTCATCCATCGTAAGTAATTCATCTTTAAACGAGGAATCCAATGCGTCATAAATATCTCTTGGATGATCGCTAACGTTAACAAGCAGAGAAAGAAAACGTTCATATTTGGCACGAATTTTGGTAGAATCGTTAATTGGTTTGATTTCTTGTTTTGTTTTTCCGTAAAATAAATTTTTGATTAAATCGTATTGTTCTAATTCATCATCAAGATTAATAGGTTCAGATGCACTTTCTAATTGGTATAAGACATTACCAATGCATTCTGTAACATCCTGTTGTCTACCCATTTCAAGTGCATTTTCAAGTTGGTCGGTACTAATCTTGGCAACTTTACTGGAGCTAGCAATATCGTTTTTAATTTCTATCTTGTTTCGTTTTTCATCTTTCATCATATCATAATCAGCATCATTCATATCGATTAAGTTTGGAGTGACATCGTTAGGTGACTTTTCTTCGTCAATATCTTCCTCAGATCCTGCAATTGAATTGGAAATGACTTGGATATCATGTTTTTCATTTTTTTTCATGTTTTCCTCAGAGATAGGAACACCTGTAATCTCGAATTCTACCTCAACATTACTTGGTGCAAATGCTAAATATGCAAGTTCGTGAGTAGGCGTCACGCACCTTGAGTTAGTGTATATCATATTACGAAATAAATCTCGAAGTTGATATGTAAATTGGATAGATCTTTCTACTTCATTGTCACTTACCTCTCTACCACCAATTCTTCTCTTCTCCTTTAATTTACTGGTATTAGACTCAAAGTCTTGAATTGTATTCTGATAATCTAAAATATATTCACGTAATGGGGCAATGCTAAAATAATATTGCAATAAAGAATTTAAGTAACAAGTATTACCTATGTTATTCAAACCAGTAGGCCAATTTTCTGGAGGAAGACAGTTTGGATCAATAGTACCTGTTTTTAAGAAATAATCTATTAATTTAGATCTTTTCTCAATTCCAAGTTTAGTTAATGCTGCCTTTAGGTTTAACAATCTATCTGGTTCGATAATTGATTCATTGTTCCAGCGTTGCTGAAATACATTCAGAATTACCTCATCGTTTGCATTTTCGTTAACCTGAAGTAAGTTCAGTGCTTCTTGGTAAGAATACTTCTCAGGACTATAAAATTGTTCAAAAATTGGACATTCGCAAATCAAAAAATTGAATAAAGACAAGCTTCTTTTGTGAATGGCTACTGTGTATAATGCACGACTGCAGTCAATCTTGAGACCGGGTGCATCGTTGACTTTGATTGAATAGGCTGTTTGGACGATATCATCGTCCACTGATTCATCTATTTCTAAGGTTCTATAAGCTTGCTCAACCAAACCATATGGCTCGTAATCTATATAAAATCTTAATAAATCTGATTGTTTATACTTGGCCAAAACCCTAGCTGCATTTTTAAGATCAGTGTGTGCTGTAGAATCTGTACTGAGAGACTCGTGTTTGTAAATGGATAATAAGAGTTTCTCATTCATGTCTGCGATATTGACCTGGGTGGGATCTATTTTGAATACACGCAATGCATTATCCAGCGCCTCCTTTCCAACAATGTTTTGTTTTCCACAATATGCCACTAACTGATACGCTCCTTTAGCATTGGCGATGTAGGATAACGCATCGTAATAAATACCAATATTTTTAGTGTCTAACGAGATTAAAGTTTCATAATTTCTGATGACATCCCTATCACTGTAATATCCTTTTGTTGACAAATTAATGAAATGGAAATTGAGATCTAAAGAATTTTGGGTATCAGAGTTTAAGAATCTTAATGAATTGGATTCGCCACATACCTGATATAATGGAGATATTGAGAAATGAGTATGTAAAGAATTGAGGGCGTTACGAGTTTTAATGTTCGCTTCCAATTCATCCTTTTTGGCAACCTTTATAGCAAGTTGGCCTCTAAATGCAAGTTCCATACATCTCCTTATGTAAGTATCTCTAAGTGATCTCACTTTTGTATCTTCCAAGTATGTAGAAAGTTCAGGAGGTTCATATTCGCTTGAAATATTACCCGTATCTTCGTCTTTCTGTTCGTTTAGAACAAAATTATATTTTGATATCAACCAGTCTGGATTAATGTGTGTATTTAGGGATATATTATCTTTATCGATAGTTCTTACTGGATCATTAGCATTGCGACGATTTAATGGACCTCTAAATATCTTGAACATTGTGTTGAAACAATCTGCTGGTGAGATGGTAGTTTCAGGAAGTTCGTCTCCCAAACGATTTTGGGCCTCCTGGTATCGCAATATAATGTTTGCCCTTTTAAAACTTGCCACATCCTCCGGAGATAAAAATTCTGACTGAAATATTTCGATAATAATTATCCTATTTGTATCATTCGACGCATAAATTGCATAATCAACCAATAATGGATTCTCTTTGTGAAAGTTAGGAAAATCGGGTTCATCCAGTTCATGCAAATTTTCAACTAGATGGTACTGTGTAACGCCTACTTGTTTCATCCTAGTTTCTAAATATGGACGAGTCTTGACGGATATTTTCAAATGGTAGAATGGAACGTCAATAACCTGATCCTGATCCTGTAATGAAAGATTTGGGTTAACTAAAATACCATAGTACACATTAATTTTATTATATTCAGGACATGTAACAGATTTGTATTCATATTTTGTTTGTAATGATATTTGATCAACAAAACTACCGACAGCATATGTGTCCATGTTTTGTCGTTTATGAGAGTAGGTTAAAGGAGAAAGTCTTAGTTGACCTCGAGACTTCTCTGTAGAGTCACTGTTTGTCGTATCAAAATCTGTAATGAAGGATATATCACATATTATATCGTCAATTAACCTATCTACAGTTTTCATAGGAAAGGATCTCGAGAGTTCTGGATACAGGATGTGCTTACCATCGTCAAATAATTCAGGACCTTTTTTATTAACCTCTTTCAAGGATTCAGTAGAATCTGTATCAGTTTGCGACTTCATATCAGCAGAAGTATCTATTAAGCTACCAGTACTATATTTATTGGGTCCTCCATTCATTACTGTATTACTAGCATATGTACTAACATTTTCAGTGGCGTTTTTCCTATTACTTGCGTCACTTTGTTCCATCTTTATTATTTGACTAATAATAAAGATTCAATCACAATAATAAATATGATTGACTTTATATTATTGACCAAATTTATTTGAATTGCTTCGTAAATGATGAACTTCTTCTATATAAATTTTTCTTTTTGGAAAACAATGCATTAGAACAGGTTCTTAGTTTTTGAGGGTCGGCATAGTTCTTAATTATCAAGAAAATATATATTTATGCAGCGAGTAATAACCGATTCTTGAAATCGAGGGACTATTCTTCATTATTGTAAACTATAAAGCACAAACAAAAATCTCATGATTTGAATACGCATCTATATGACAATGTTATGATATCTTTTTAATTGTTGTTAAAAAAACAATCTACCACTTCTATTATGGTTATTTAGGTATGTTATTTACATATTTCTTTTTTTAATTGTATTTATATAAGTTCTAACATTGTATAAACCTGTATACAATGTTTTTTAGAAGAGAAGAATTATAGATAATCTAGATTCTTTCAGCAGTCCAAATTGCTGCTTTACATACAGATTTAATTCCTTCGGTTAATAATTTGTATGGAACAGCCATATGTGAATCATTCTTGATGGCAGTATCTAAATGTTCCAACTCCTGATCTCTAAATTCCTTAATTATATCAGTTAGTTTTTTTATCTCTTGTGGTTCGTCTTTAGAACCATCTGTCTTCGAAATATTGAACTGATTGGCCAAACAACGTAATTGTTCATTATAATGATTGCCAATTACTGTTTCTACAGCCTCTGTACAAGCCATTGCAGCCTCTGGTGAAATTAACGCTGGTGCAACTCCCATGACAGTAGCACCTAATTTCCACAGTGGAGTAATTAAAGATGGTCTCGTCCTATGTTTCAATTGTAAGTTATTGAAAGTACTACGATGATGAACCTCTTGTTTCCACATGTGATCCAAAATGGGTCTCAGATGTGGATATTTATGGCTCAATACATATATTTGACCTCTGTAAATATAATCTGCGCCTAACTCCCCAGCTTGATCCACCCTAATTACTCTATCCAAGTAAGCCTTTTGGGCTGGAGACAATTGCTCGAATTTGTATCCATTAGCTGTTTTCTTTTCAGCAACAGGTGTTGATTTGGCTCGCAAAGGGGACAATATCGAAAAGGATTTGGTTCCGACAGTCTTTGATAAAATTGTTCTCCCGTACATTGAAATTTAATTCAGCAAGATATCGTAATTGTATTTACTCAATCGTATAGTTTAAAAGTATTTCAGTATTTCGAGATGGATGTTTGCCCAAAACCTTTCGAAGAACTTTCCCTTGTTTTTACTAAAAAGGTTCCTTCAAAATTACAGATATCATTATTCGGCACCAGTCTTTTTTCCTTGCTGTGCGAGTTATTCGTTTTGTGTGGTATTGAATATGGAGGGTAGCATACAAAATATGCATATAGATATATAGGTAAACTTGTATATTAGTTCCAAATTACGAGTATCTGAAGCAGACAGGTTTATAATCAATTGCCTGTACACATTTTATATTGTCATTTATTAAATTGTAGGAATACGACCATTATATATGTTTACATCTTTTATTATTTACAAGACATGTTGGTGGGGTTGAGTAATTGTGTTTGATGAAGACAATATATCAATCATTTCAATTGCTTCTGTAGGTTTGTCCTTATTGATAATAAATAGTCCTTGTAATTGGGCTGTGCTCACTGATATCTTGAGTTTTTCAAACTTCAATAGGAATTGTTCACATATTTCGTGCTCGCCAGGGTAGAATTTTAAGAACATATGTCTTACTTGGAATAACGAAGCGTTCCCTACATAGACCTTGAAATCAATTCTGCCGGGACGCATTATTGCTGCATCTAATTTCTCAGGATGATTTGTAGTCATAAAAGTAATTGTTTCTTCAGATGATGTTACACCATCCAAGGCATTCAATAATCCACTAAATGTTACGCTGGACTGAAATCCGTTTTCATCAGACTGGCTTCTCTTATTGAATGCGGCATCAATATCTTCAAGTAGTAATATACTTCTTTCAGGCATATTATTCATTAGATGGTTCAATCGATCGTCTGTTAAATTATTCTCAGAAAGATTTAAAATACAAATATTGTAGTTAAGTTCACCTGCTAATGCCTGGATAAAACTTGTCTTACCGGACCCTGGGGGACCATACAGTAAGTATCCTCTTCTATAAGGAATACCTCTGTCGGAATACCATTTACCATTATGCATAAATTCATTTACATCTTTGACAATTTGTTCTTTGATACCTTTATCTAAAACCACGGATTGTAATGCCCTCTTAGCCTTTGGTTGGCCAAATTTCCTCCATTCAGGACCAAATGACGTGTAAATGACAGTTTTCCCTTCGTTAGTCTTTAATGCAATATCCTTGGCCTCGTTCAAAATATCATCGAAAAGATGTCTATCTCTGTATAATGTGGTAAGAGTTACAGTCTCATAAGGTGAACTATTTACAATATCTATCATTCTACCTGACCTTTCTCTTTTAATTAAGATAAATGCGCCTTTATATCTGATCCAATGATTTCCGGGACCTGGAACTAAGGAAAATTTGGTGGTGATAGCACCATTATCATGTTGAATATAATTTGTATTGACCGATAGGTGTTTCGAGATACGTTTTGGGTATCGTCCCATCCAAGTCAGAAACCACGCATATGATTTATCCTTTGATTGAATCTCTAAATCAACAATCATTTGTGTATATACAACCCTACTCAATTTGATAAAACCTGAACGAGCGATGGCCAGCCCAGAACCTAGAAGCATCAACCCCCCACCTGCTGCAAAATATGGATTATTAGCCATAGCATCATTGGCCATTTTTTTAATCTTGCCACGAAATGAAAGTGAATCAGCATCAGTAATATTTAGTGGAACTTCATTACCAGTTAAAGCAACTGTTCCATCAGCTTTCGTGGTCACTTCTATATTGTCGTGAGGATCGCCAGTCGGTACCGTCGCCATTGTTGATGATGCAGTATATCAGTCTTGTGCTGTTGATAATATATTACACTTCGTAATAAGTAATTGAACTATATATACATATATGATATGACTGTGAAGCTTTGCCTTGTTTAGAATAACTTCTGCACGTAAAAGGTGAGAAATTGGTTCTATAATTTGTTCTATTAAGGCCTAACAAATTTTGTTTTCGTCTTTTGCGACTCCGCATAAAATTGACTATTTACCAATTAGAATATCAATGAGCCATCAATTAAGAGCAACGTTGAATATGAACTATCAGTTAACAATATATATTTATTAATACGAAGTAGCATATATATTTTATTTAGATATTAGAACAATCTGGTTTCACATCTCTCCAAAGGGGATACATTGTCTGCATATTATCTGGGTCGTATTCAGGATAATTTTCCTTGATGGCGGCTATTAATTCGTTGTACCAAACCTCATAACCTTTACTACTGAAATGTAAACCATCCAACAGAAGATCCTTCCAAGAGTCCCTACCAACTTCAGTAAAGGATTTGTGTAAATCAATAAATGGTACATTCTCCTTTTTGGCTAATTTCTTCAGGCTATTACTGTACAGCTGTAAATTATCAACAGTTCTGATATGACCCAGTTTTATTTCTTCTGGTTTTATTGACTCCCATAATTCACGGTTAAATAATGCTAGACCCATGAATATGGGTTTAATGTTATTTTTCCTTAACATATCGACTAATAATTTCATATTCTCGATGTATTCATCCAAGGGAACAGCTTGTGGACCACCTAGACATGAATCGTTAGCTCCAAAATATATGGTTGCAATAGCAATGTCATTGTGGCCGTGTTCCTCCAGTATATCTTCTAGTACTTTAATACCCCACCTGCTGGTGTAGCCAGCATATCCTCTGTGTAAGATATCCAGTTTCCTTGTATACACATTAGATAATGCAGCACCAAGGGAGAATGGTTGAGTAGTATAAGCGAATTCCGTTATGGAATCACCAAATAATAAGAATTTTTGGTATTTTTGCATTGCTATTTGATAGTTTTGACTGGAGCTGCTGTCTGTTTGGAATTAATAACGATAGACTTTTCACATTTTAGTTATAATTTAATTTCGCTGTTAGAAATCTAGTTTATATATAAATTGGCAGTGCCATTTCGATCTATTGTTTAAATAATAGATCGAAGGTGAGCTGTTTAGTTGATTACATTCGATGTCCTATGTCATTGTTTCATTACTTTCGGGTCCCACACCCTTTACCGAATAGCCTTCTGGTCTCTGCGCCAAATATCTATATCTATTTTTTATTCTCGACTCGTTCACAATGAAAATTCAAGAACCAGGAAAGCCTAAACAAAAAAAAGAGAGAGACATTATTCACAGAATCTAAGCGTAGACACGATCAATTCAAACTTACAAGATTTTCCGTATTTGGAAATTTTATAATACATTAATATGGTGCGGTTACTATTATTATATTTTTTTGCTGTGATCTGGGTAGTTTTCTTTCTTTCTATAGGCGAGCATCGTGAAAGTTCAAAATTACCTCAACTGACCTTTAATAATTTTCAAGATATTAGTTGTCCCTTTTTCCAATTTATTCATTTGACGTAAAATCAGAGCTACATATTTCTTAGCGGACGTTCTTTTATTTTTACTTTTTATACAGTGGATTAGATTCATTCCTCAGTCAGTTGAAGATCATTTAAAAAGAAACCTAGGTTAAATATAGATTTTAAGTGCTGCAATCAAAAGCAGAAAGACACATACCTATTGGAACTTACAGAAGTCCTTACAATCATCGCATTAATCCCCAGATTTTATAATGACTTCCATCCTTGATTCAACTCTAACATCTTCTATTAACCTTCCTCATGATGAAGAGTTACCTACGTGTGTTCGTTGCAAAGAGGATATTACAACTGGTCATGCTTATGAATTAGGTGACGACAAATGGCACACACATTGTTTCTCCTGCTATAGATGTGATAAACCTCTAAGTTGTGAATCAGATTTCTTGGTTTTAGGAACAGGTACATTGATTTGTTTTGATTGTTCTGATTCATGTAAAAGTTGTGGTAAGAAAATCGATGACTTAGCAATAATTTTATCATCATCTAATGAAGCATATTGTTCAGGTTGTTTTAAATGTTGTAAATGTGGTGATAAGATAAAAGATTTAAGATACGCTAAAACCAAAAGAGGGCTATTCTGTCTGTCTTGTCATGAACGACTTTTAGCGAAAAGGAAATATTATGAAGAAAAGAAAAGACGGTTGACCAAACACTTGCCAACAATACCCAAAGAATTGCAAGAGGATATCGATTCAGGATCACCTAAAGAATTAAAAGTTCCAGAACGTTCAAGAGATAGACCAATTTCGCCTGTGAGAAAAAGATCAAATTCAAGTAATTTTAATTCACACAAGAGAAATGTCTCTATTGATGATATGTTAAAAGCGACGCTTACTGGTGAAGAAAAAGAAAACCAACCTTATGAAAGTTACATTAATGATAATGAAGATTCTAGTATAGATAATTTATCCTTAGAACCATTAGAAAACTTGGAAAATGAAGGTATTATTGATAATATTATCCCCTATACAGTGCAAAATGCATCTCCATTTCTACAAGAATCCGAATTTTCTGGACGTTCCAATAGTAATAATAGTGGAAATAGTTATAAAGGTGGTTTATATGCAGAAGCATTGAATAACCGACATTCAGGTGAATCCGAACATTATGGAGGTTTAGGTATTACATCTGCATCTATGTCACCTAGTGCTGCTCCAGAAATAGCAAACTTATATCACACTACACATTATGATTATGACCATTCTTTAGATGCTGGAGTCAGAGAAGCTAGGAGTTTAAAATCTCCTGTATCTATTGACTCCAACCGTAAGCTTGAGAACCAGTCTAAACCAAAGACAGGTATTGAAGCTGTTCAGATGTATAAAACTCCTGCACTAGATTTTTCAACTTCGAGTACCAATCTAAGAAGAGATTTCCTTACTACTGATATAGAACAGTATAACGAAGAAGAGATGGAACTTAAAATTGATGCATCTAAACAAGAGTTGCATGAATTAGAAAATGGTATTAAAGCACTAAAGGACATTAAGCAAAATTTATTGGATGAAGTTTCATCAATAGAGCAGAAAAAGACTAAGCTACTGGAAGAAGTCCAGGGATTAGAAACAATGAAACCAATAATTAAAACATCCAGAACAACTTCACCAGAATTTAAACGTAATCGCATTAGGCCCCCACCAGATATACCAATCGTCAATATGTATGACTCTATTTCGCCATCTAAAGAACAAGAACATGTTGCAAGTGTGGCTAGACAAGCCAAACCAAAATTTTGGAAATTATTCTCTTCATCAAGTTCTCCACCGAAGCAAAATGCAATGACAAAGTCATCTTCTTCTAAGGGTATTTCTAATCTAGGTAATAATGGAAGGGAAGACGAAAATGAATTTGTAGGTATGCATATTGATAAATTGAAACCTTTTTCAAATTCAAAGATGAATAAATCAGCATCAATACAAAGTGTACATTCCGAAGTGCAAGAAGATGGTTCAAATATATTTGGTTCCACTCTAGTCCAACGTTGTCAATATGAGCATTCCCAAATTCCAAATATATTGGTACGTTGCATAGATAATATCGAAGATGATGGAGAGAATCTACGAAGCGAAGGTCTCTATAGAAAATCGGGATCTCAAGCAGTTATAGAGAGTTTGGAAAAGAAATTTGCTAAGGAAGAATATGTGAATTTAGCTGAATATGACATAAATGTTTCTACTAGTATACTTAAGAGATATTTAAGAAAACTTCCTAATCCAGTAATTACCTTTGAAATATATGATCCGTTAATAAAACTTGTAAGAGCAAGAAATATGACGACGAGATTACCATTAGGAAAAGATACAGTTTTGGAGCATGAAGATGTTTCCCATGTCGTTGAAATTCTAAACCAATTACCAAAGGAACATATTTATTTGTTGAAGGTTCTAAGCGTTCATTTAGAAAAGGTAATGGAATATAAAGACCACAACTTAATGGGCCTCAATAATATAGCACTAGTATTTGCACCAGGTTTAATTAGGGATCATAGCGGTGAAAAAGATATTTTGGATATGAAAGAACGCAATTATATTATCGCTTTCATTTTGGAGCATTATAAACAATTATTTTATTGATTAATCATATATGTTTGCAACATATTTATTACATACATAATATTTAAATTAAAATAATTTCAAAAATAAAAAAATTTGGATTTAAGAATTGTAGTAGAATGGGGTTCGTATGTATATTTAATTAATGATATTTAGGTTATTTAGAGTCAAGATAACTTTGGTACCCAATATCTTCCAATCTTGCAGCCTTTTGTAAAACTTCTTCCTCTTGTTTTAACAGAAACTCCTGCATCTTTGTCAAATAGGTTGGATTGTAAATACCTAACATCCTAATTGCCAGTAAAGCTGCATTTGTACTATTATTAATTGCAACAGTGGCAACAGGTACACCTCTTGGCATTTGAACAATTGAATGAAGGGAATCAACACCGTCTAGAGTTGACCCCTTAACTGGAACACCAATAACTGGAAGTGCTGTCATTGCAGCGACCATGCCCGGTAAATGGGCAGCACCACCAGCACCTGCAATGATGGTTTTTATACCACGTTGAGAAGCCTCGATTGCATAAGCGCTCATTCTGTGAGGTGTTCTATGAGCAGAAACGATAGTAACTTCAAATGGTACTTCAAACTGTTCTAGAATTTTACATGCAGCCGACATAACAGGTAAGTCAGAATCAGAACCCATAATAATCCCAACTAATGGATTTTTCTTTGAATGTTGTAACATCTTATCTGCCACCGATATTTTAAATTGTTCGTCAGTAGTGCCCATAATATATTCTAATTTTCTTCCACATTCTATCATTGATGAGGATATAATATTGATGTGACCGACTTTTCTATTTGGACGAGATTCTTTGCCATATAGATAAACTGAAGCACCTGGTGTAGCTAATGCACGTTCGCATGTTAACAGTTCGCCATTTTTTTCAGAGGCACCAAGAACATTTAACATGATTGCATTAGTATTAGTTGTTGTGAGATTACCAAAGTTTTTTGGAATCGGTAAATCAAGTATAGCTCTAATATGAGCTTCAAATTGTGATGTAACACATGCATCAATACTGAAGTGACCAGAATTATGTGGTCTTGGTGCAACTTCATTGATTAATATCTCACCATTTTCCAAATAAAACATTTCGACACCAAAGATACCACATGATGGGAACGATTTGATAGTATTTTCGGCCATTAATTTTGCCTTTAATTGAATAGAATCAGGAACTCTAGCAGGAACATAACATAAATGGCAAATACTATTTTGGTGAATGGTCTCTACTACCGGATATGAAAAAACACGACCATCGATGGTACGAACAATCATGACTGCCAATTCTTTAACAAATGGTGCCCATTTTTCAGCATACAAAGTGCGATCTTTTAAAGACCTCAAGGCTGCTGGTATGTCATCTTTACTTTTAACAATAAAGTTACCTCTACCATCGTACGCAAATTTTCTAGATTTCAAGACAAATGGATATCCGTATTCTTGACCAATTTTCATTAATGAGTCTACATTAGGGGTCTTAATGACTTGACTTGTTGCAACTTTTAAACCGTTCTTAATTAGATGTTCCTTTTGAATGTATTTGTCCTGGATTATTTCTATAGTTTCAGGAGAAGGATATATTTTTAAATTTGGATTTATCATTCTTAATTCCTTAAGGGTTTCCACGTCGATATGTTCGATCTCTATTGTCAATACATCACATTTCTTAGCTAGTTCTTTAATATCATCTGGATTAGTAAAGGACCCATTGATATGTTCGGTAGAGTTACTAATTTGTTTTGCAGGTGAATTTGGAGCGTCAAGGATGATTGTCTTGACATTCAGTCTGTTAGCAGCCTCAACCAACATACGGCCTAGTTGACCTCCACCTAAAATTCCTACTGTTCTTGAATCCATATTTTCTAATTGATATGTTTGTAAAATTGGATTTTTATTATAACTTAGCGATAGAATTGGAATAACTAAATTAAGGTTAAATAAATAATACGGTTAAAATTCTCTCGAGATGTGAAACTGCACAGTTTGTACCTTTTATTGTGGAAATAAACAGAAGGTCTCCAAAGTTAACTGTATGTGCGATACCTGGTAACTTATATATTGTTATAGAAAACAAGTGTTGTTCTTTAACTTGCCGCTGTTCATTATGAAGTTAATTAGATGATCTGGGTCACATTAACTACATAATTTCGAAGAAACTTTTCAAAATTGAAAGAGTCAAAAATTCGTTAAAGTACAAAAATAAGTATGTTCTGGATATTGCTAAATGGACCTACAGTGCTGAGAGTGTACTACTAGGAATATCTCTCTCGCCGCGAAGGACAGGAAAAATTCGCATCGCATAATAAAAATTATAAGAAGTCAACAAAAGCAAAGCTGAAAGAGTTATACAGTGTGTATATGCCCTTCGAGAGAGAGAGATGTGACTCTAACAAGTAGTAATGGTCTCCTTGATGTCATAAATTGTGTTATGTCGTTAAGTGATGCTAGATTATTTATATGTATGTAGATGTGTGTGAGAGTACTTAGGCCTTAATGTGGGTGGTGTATACTAAAGTTGTCTTGTTCAGTAAAGTCATTGTGCGTCATAAAATATTTCACTGTGATGTTTATTTGCTTTGGAAACAATACCGGATATACCTGTTTCCATAGATATATTTACAGAATCATCGAATGTGTCATTAGAAAAGTCTTGAGATCTGTCTGGGTGTTCAATAATGGTCCCTATCTCATTAGAGAGGTTGGTTCTGGAATGTGAAGATGGCAGAGTTGTATGTCTAGGTTGAAATTTAGAAGGAGGTTTTTCAAACATCATAGCTCTTGACTTGATGATTCCACCTTTTGAACTGGTGAAAAGAGACCAAGATTGTTTCGACAGGTATTTTTCAAGTAGTATGGGTCCTATAGGGTGCCTCTCTAGTTTCATTAACAATTTAGTGACCACACGCTTTATTTTGATTATTCTTTTCTCTAGTACAATAGAACCACCAGAAATATTTTTTGGAGAATTGGAGATAGTGTTTCTCTTCTTTGGAGACCCTCCAGGAGATGAATATTCTAAATGAGAATTAGAAGATGTTATTTGATTTAATGAAAAAATATTTTTGAGCGACCTGGAACGCCCAATGTTAGTTTTATATTTTAGATGTAAGTTCGGAGAAAATAACGTAGTGGTATCGTTAACACTGAACGAAAGAAATGTAGCAATATATTCTAGGCCATTTACTTTAATAAAATTGTCTACAAATCCTAATGATTCATAAGATTTTCCATCATAATCAGTTTGTTTGTTAGATTTGAATATTTTCTCCAAATCCAATCTGTTAAAATCTTGTCTTCTTAGGTTGAATGTTGTGCTTAATTGTAAATCTGGAAAATTCAAAAGAATATCAATAAAATCATCCAATTTTTGTTTATTTGTACAAATTGTAACAAATATACTTTTGATTATCTCATATACGATCGATATTTCGGAATATATCTTCTCTGTTGACGTAGTCGGTAAATCTAATGTTTTTAAATTATCCAAAGCAATAACTAATGCATTCATTTGTTTAATCATCTGGATACTAGAATATTCAAAATAATGTGGAAAGAATACAAAGTCTCTGTAGGTATTTATGTACTCATCTTTTAATGAAAGTTCACTATTTGGAATTTTCTTTGGTACAATTATTTTTATTTTGTCATTTTCAGTAGGTAGGAGGGCTATTATTTGTAAAATACAGATTCTTCTGAAAACGCTTTTTACTGTTTCGTTATCATGCACACCATCTTGTAAATATTGTATAAATTTCAATGTCAATCCAGTTCTATTTTTATAATGTAAATCTGTAGATTCTTCGTCAAGATTGTTTAAGATGGCACTAAACGTTGCACTGTGAGGGTTAACTAATAGTTTTTTAAAGGAACTGGTTCCATTTTTCAATTCTTGTTTTAAAGTTAATTTTTCTTGTCCTGCTTTATCACTATTATATAACAATTCATTGTCTAAATCATAATAGAAATCCCATACATCAGGTTGGAACTTAAAGATAGGGTTTGCGGTACCAATGATAACAAACGAATTAGCAAAATCAGATTCAGGCTCGATGTGACTCCTTAAAGCATCGACCATACTAATATCCATGTATGGAAAAAATAATACAGGGTGGTTTTTGAAATATGGAACAGAGTTACCATGACTGTGTCCACCCATCAAATTTGATAATGATAATACAAATTGTGAAATAAGGTCCTTCGAGAAATATGTTGAATTTATAACTAACTTTCTCACAAATGAGGTAATATCTAACTTATTGATTTCGGGTATTAGAAGTGAAAGAAATTTTAGTATTTTATTGTTATAATTTAATTCTAAAGGGATAGGATCTGTTTTTATTAGATTAGCCCTTAGGGGTAATTGGATTAGAAATTCAGATAATACCACTGGATGGAACGTGTTAAAATATTGTGCAATTTTCCCATTTTGTATAATAAGCCTGTTTCCAAATGAATCTTCATCTATCCTTTTATCAAACTTCATGATCCTTGAATAATTGTCCATATTTGAGTCAAATATTGTATTTATCACATCCAAGTCTGTTATTGATTGTAATATCCTTTGAAGTCTAAACCTTGAGTGTATTGTTCTTAGTAAAGATATATCTAAGGAGTTGATCATTACAAAAAAATCGATTAACACCTGTAATCTATCCTCTCTTGGATATGTCATATAATAATGAAGGACCATTACAATTAAAGGTTTGAATATCAAAAAGTTTCTCATGGAAGTTCCCATAGCAATTGCTTGTATACTTGCCCCACGTTCATTTGATTCATCGATAATAGTATTCACTACATTTAAAAAATATAATGTATCATCAGATTCATCCTTGTTTAATGTGGAGACTCCAGAAAGTTCGCTTGTTGTTTCTAGTTCATCTTGTTCAGATAGTATATCTCCCTTGCTAAGATCTATATGATTTATTGGATGTTCCACTGTTGGGAATAGTTTATATTCTTGTGTCTGTGTATCCTTATATAAAACAAACATTGTAAAATCTGGTTTCCCTGGGTTTCTTTCGACACTATCAGGAATCATTAAACTAGCAATATTTAAAATGTGACCGTCTTCCGTTGTCGTGTAAGCACCTTGAGTGTTAGTCTTAAACCCAGGGATACATTTAGGATATTGATATTTTAATATTGCACCTTGTTTATTGTCGAATTCTGCAGATATGACATATTTAGTATTATCATCACTGTGAACAATTGGTAATGACCTGGTATTCTGTGATCTTATCATCTATTAGAAAATATTTGTTTATGAAAAGATAGATCTTGATAGTCAAAAAATAAAAATAAAAAAGGAATGTAAATTCAATTGAAGTAGTAATTAACTCAATATGCTTGAAAAATGGACGTTGAAGTTAATATAAGGATGCAGATATGGATGAAATATGTAATTTGGATCTAAATAAGAACTCATTAAATGAATTAAGAAATGGTTCTCTCTATTTTATAAGATTGATCACAGTTTTTTCTTCCACTTAGAACTCGTTTATAATGCAAATTGTTTAAAGGTTTGTTCTTCCTTCTTCCGTAGTTCGGTCTTCTGTTTAGATTTGTTAGGCGGTTGCCCGTTAGGTGCTGAAAGAACAAGCAAAAATAATACACACAAAGGGATCTTCAAGGATTGGATACCCAGTAAGCAAATATGTCAAATTAACATTATAAATTGACTTTAGGTTAATGGTGCATCATGAATGCCATCGGGGGGATATTTATTCATTATTCATGTTATTTTTTTACTGAAGAAGAAAAGAAAAATTAAGGTTAATAATATTACTTATTACTATGCAAATATGTATGTGTATATGTAATCAAATTCTATACTTTAAACCGAGATAATTTCTCATATGTATAAAATACAATAGCATTAGATGGGACAGATCTTAATAGAGTGATTCCGATGCCACGATAGAAACCAGCCATACCATGTTCTCTACGAACTTTCTGTGCTGTTTCTAAAAATCCTATATGTTCAGTTTGCATAATGGATTTGATAGTATCTACAGGAAACATACTTCCATTGAATGCTACACCTGCTGCAGCACCACTAATTAAGAGTTGCCACGTACGCATAATTTCTCTGTTTGATTTTCTTAAAAACATACTTTTAAAGCTTTCAAATGTACCAAACCATATTAAACTACCAATAGATTCTCTAATAAATGTACCTGATTGACCTTGCCATAATCCCCATATCCCTTTTTCCTTTAATATTGATCTGATTGTGGGTATTATGGAAGTATGTCTTTCTCCAGAATCCGAAGGTAATCTTAAATTTGAAACTTGTAATTGACATTTAATTAATTCTACAGGTGTTAGGACTAAACTTGTACATGAACCAGCAAATGCTCCCGAGATTAGAATAATTAAGAAGTTTGATAATGCAGTATAAGTTAATAAAAATTGGAAACATTGATTGTATGAAAAGAATAAGCATGCATGTTCTAATGATGCACCAATTAAAGGTGATCCAATACCTTGGAAAAATCCTCTTATAATCCCTTCATTTTCGTAAGTATATTTAATGCATGACCAAGTAGTTGGGAACACTTGGTACCCTTGTGTTTGCATTCGTACTTTTATAGTATCGAATGGATATTCGATTGTCTTCCCTAATGCACCAGCAATGGAACCAAATAGAATATCCCAAAATGCAGCTTGAAAGCCGTTACTCACTTCCTTTGGCATGGTAAGAAAAAAAGCTAATATAATGTGTGTAAGTAAACTGAATATTAAAAAGACAAAATTTTGAGAATTGGGTACGATTTCTGTAATATCAGAGAAATCGAGTACGTTTAATGTTCAGATTAATGATATTTTTATCGATAATATATATTGAGAGACAGAAATAACAGTCACAAAATTCCGCCAGTTAAATATTATTAATATAATTCATGTAAGGGTCTGTTCATCTAACTAATAACGATTAAAATAGATACAACAACAGAATATATATATCGAAATAAGTGAACGATTATATAATAATTTATTATATTTGTCGAATGTGCCACATTGCCTAAGACTTTAAAACACCGTTTTATCTCCCTTCCCATAATAAATTCCACCAGCAAAAAATTTGAAAAATTTCAATTATTTTTCAAATTTTTGCAAGTCTTCGGGTTTTTAAGTGGCGGGGACAGCTCAATTAGCCAGTTTTCCTTGCTTTAACGCACTGGTCATCACACCCCGAAATGGGAAATGTTAGTGAATTTCACATATTCTCTAATTATGTCTGGTACATTGTAATTAAGTGATGGGGTTGTCAATGGATTGGATCAGCGTGTTCTTTTCCAGCCTGGTGAGGCATGACGATCGAGAATGTTGTGAAAAGTATTGAGTTTGACCTTGTGAGCGTCATTATATACATATATATATAGATAATGTAATGTAGCACTATGTCACTTCTCTTTATCTCTAGTCTCTATACTGGATGATCAGTACAAGTAAGCTTTTTCCTACTGTTTGGATATAGAAATACATATTGAACGTAATAGTGCCAGTAAACACACATTGTACCCACAATCTCTCTCTGTATTTAAATATATATGTATAATTCACATCCAAATCGTTTTCAACGAGGCTAATCGAGACGAAAAAACCCAAAACGAAAAAAATTTTCAGTGCACGACGCATTCAATGCCCGACCGACCTTTCGATGGATTTCATTTTCCATCAATTGAATATTTTGAATTATTGACATAACACATCTACAATTAGTTAATAAGTTTAATTTATGGTTTTGTTGATAAAGTTTGCAATTCTGTTCTTTGTATCATTTAGCAAATCTCTAGAGTAAATTAATCAATCAAAGACATAGAAAATGAAGTACCTAGCCGCTTACTTGTTACTTACCCAAGGTGGTAACGCTACCCCATCTGCTGCCGACATCAAGACTGTTGTCGAATCTGTCGGTATCGAATCTGAAGAATCTAGAATCAACGAATTACTATCTTCTCTAGAAGGTAAGGGTTCTCTAGATGAAATCATTGCTGCTGGTTCTGCTAAGTTTGCCTCTGCTCCAGCTGCTGGTTCCGCTGCTGTTGGTGGTTCTGCTGCTGCTGCTGGTGCCGCTGGTGAAGCCGCCGCTGAAGATGCTGAAGAAGAAGCTAAGGAAGAATCCGATGATGACATGGGTTTCGGTCTATTCGATTAAGGTAATTTGATATAAATTAAAATAAATATCCAATCCTTTTTTTTTTTAGAAAAAACCATTATTATTATAAATTTTTATTCAATTTTTTTGTCATTTAGTCATATTATTCTATAACTGTATATATATTTACATATATGAAATAAGAATAACCCTTAGTGCATTGAAGAGTTTTATAAGTTTTACAGACGATTGTTTTAAAGAATAATAATCACTTTATAACAGTTTGTTGTTTTTTATGTTTCTAACTAAATTTAATACTTTAAATTGAAGTTTCTATAAAATAAATTTATTTTTTTGATTCTCTATTTATTTTTTCTAAAATATCAATAATTTCAGATAAATTATCGATAGGATAATCTACAAATTCTTTATGATCTGTCATTATATGCCCATTCACATGGTTTTTCAATAGTACTGTAACACATCCAGCACTTCTACCACTCCTCATATCATCCATTGAATCACCAATCATCATCATTTCAGATGCATCAATACTCAATTCTTTAGAAATATAAAGCAATGGATCAGGAAATGGTTTAGTCGGTCTAAAATCTCTTGTCATAATATAATCGAATAAATTAAACCCCACAGGTATAAATTTAGACACAAAATAATTCACCGGCGTAATCACATTTCTAGTGCATATACTCTTACTGTATGCATGTGTCGTTAAATAACCCATCAGTTCTACCAACCCTGGCTGTGGTTCCATTTCCATCATAGCTTGTTCTTCTACGTCATGAATCCCCTCACGAGCCTTCACCCTTTGAACCTCTGTTGGCATATCATCAATAAATTTCAAAATATCGATGGACTTTTCCTCGAGACCAATCGCTTTTCTCATTGCAGGAAACATCCATGGCTGTGGTAAACACAATGTCCCATCCATATCGAACACTAATGCCTTTATAGATCTCATATGTTTAATACCCGGTACCTTTGACATCGTTAAGTAATTGTTCTTTGGTCTATTGCTATCTTTAATAAAGGGTTTGGAATTTAATATCTCTCAAGATACCTTAGGGTAGTTGCTTCTAATTGATTGCTTATCAACATTCCTATATACTCGACGCAGGATATATATATAAATACAAATCAACTATTGCTCATCCACCATCCCAAATGATTATCTCTTTGTCTTGAGGTCCTAACTCTCTCAGGAGTTATCTGCGTAGTTAGTCTGTCTTTTTCGTCACAGGAAGGCCAACTCCATTTTCTTCAACCAGCGAAGACAAAATAAAAAACGAAGACTGCACGATAAAGGTTTGACGATATTTATTAGCAGTTCAATTTCTACGTGTAAAGAAAGATTGATAAAAAGGGTGTAACCTGAGAAGATACAAAGAGAGGAAGAAAGGATTACATACACACAAGAGAGAAATCGTCAAGGATTTAATCGAGCGGGATATTTATTCTCAACAAATACAGTTGTACTATCTATTTTACGCTATAGATAATAAGTAAGCGCTAAGTGTTAATTGATCCTTATCTATCTTTTTTTTTTAGTTATTCATTGTTTTTATATGATCCTTATTTATAGATTAACAGTATGATGTCAAACGTTACTTATGATGATCATGATCCATTAGCAGATAACCCTTTTGCTGAACATTCTAGCGCTGTGACAGAACCTAGTCATATACATCCTCCAGATGACGACGAGGAAGAAGAACAACAACAACAACAACAACAAGCAACCACTACTACATATGATGTTAATTCAAACGAAACCCAATCATACACCTCACAAGAGGCAATTCCACCAGTGGACACACCTCCAGTGGATACGTCTCCAGTGGATACGCCTCCAGATCAAGGTACAGAACGTACCATTGATATAGCGAAATTACTTCCAGAACGTAAAAATGTAGGAAAATATACCCTAATTGTTAAAGTCACTGGGTTAGAAAGAGTTGGATCGATATCGAATAAGAAAGAAAATCCAACCCTAATATTTGATTGTTCAACAAATATACCCACTTTCCGTAAAGAAAAACATAAAAATTTAAGAAAATCTACCCAGGAGTTTCAAAATTTATTTAAATTCTTGAATAATAGTATCCCTGAATCCTTTATCCCTTCGTTACCTGCCCCTTACACGAATTATGGGATAAACAATGAAGAAGATCATGATAGTACAGTTAGCAACTACCAACAATGGTTTAATAGAATATGTATAGATCCTTTAGTTTTAAGAAGTGAGGAATTAGCCTTTTTCATCGAGAGTGATTATAATTCATATATTCCAATCAACAAACCAACAACACAAGTAAGTGGTCTAAAGAGGAAAACGTTGAAGCAACTGGCTCCACCTTATGATGAAGTAATAGAATTAGCTGAGTTTAGACCTATGGTGAAATCTTTATATGTTGGAATTCAAACTGTTCAAGAAAAATTACTAAAGGCAAGTAAATCAAGAAGATTATTAGTTCAAGAAGAAAATGAATTTGGTCAAAAATTCGGTATTTTAAGTGGTAATAATGAAAATGAGGAGAGACTTTATAAAAGATATGGTAAGGTGATGACCGCTGTAGGCGATATAAATAGTATAATAGCCACCATGGATATGGCAACTTTATACGATGGCCTTGAATGGATTGTTAAAGACACATATGTTGTTAAAGAAGCATTAACAAACCGACATTTTGTCATGAGAGATTTGGTTCAAGCTCAACAAAGTTGTAAGAATAAACAAGAAACTGTTCGGAAATTAAGAAGCAAAAGAGATACTGATCCAATTAAAGCGGATAATGCATTACGTGGTTTAAAGATAGTCACTACAACAGAACAAAACTTGACATTAAAATTACAACGAATTACTGGTAATATGTTAATTGAAAGGAAACAATGGATTACATGGTATGAACAATGGTTAGCCAAATCAATCAAATCATATACATTAAGACGAATCGAATATGAAAGGAAGAAACTTTCATTATTGGAAAGAGTCCGTTCAGAAGTCCGAAGAGCAGATATGAAAGGTGGTCTCTCACGTCTTGGGAGACACACAGTATCCCACAAACATGATGAAATATCGCAAAGCACAGGAGGTGATAGCTGGACAGGTGAAGTTCGCCACCATAGTCAACAAGAAATCAATGATGTATCGCACACAGAGTTTGACAAGTCACTAACGATCGAAAGCAATGCATTACCTGGTGCAAAGACTGGGCCAGGTGAAGAATCGTCAACGAGGGATTCAAACATGCTAGATGCTAAAAGCGCAGCCCACATGTTAGGTATCTCGACGTATAATGGAAGATGACGTGGGATAGCGACCACCACCTATAAAAACAACAACAAAAATATATATATATATATATATATATATACATATACGACAATTCCAATATAAAAAAGACGACACTGAAAATTTCAACAATGACTAAAAGTCATCATAAATCCTGTTCCAAAATGTGTCACATAACCTGTAGGAACGGTATACCAAACCCTTTAACCCTAGGCCTCCTCCCCTTCCCCAAAATTAGGGCTTTCGTCAACCTTAGAAAAATAGCACTACCGGCGTAAATACCATCACACTTGATAGACCCAAATATTCACAGAACGCGATGCCCTTTTTTTCCGCTGTCGCTCCACAGCGCACTCTCAAGACAGAAAATCCGTCCGCATTTTATTACTCGCAACAGGCAAATAGAGCATTTCTCTATGTGCACCCACCACCACATTACGCACTCACACACAGACTGACATCAACTCGTTCAAGACAGACAGCAAGAGCAAACGGGAAAAGAGGGAGCTTGGAAAACTTGACGAGAAAAAAAAATTTTCACTGGAAAATTTCCCATTACTTAATCAATTTTTTTCTTCATGCTTGTTCCCCATTAGAATTGCACTAACTTGGTTTGTAATAATGGTTATATTATCCTAATTGTTACCACTTCCTGTTCTTGCTATTATTTGACTTACATTATAATTAGTATTAGTATTTTAAGAACTATTTCATGTGTTTTTCTTATTTGGTATACTTGTTTCTTTAATATATATACTTAAAACAGACCAAACCACTATTATATAACTATCTATACACAATGGTTGCTTTCACTGTTGACCAAATGCGTGCCTTAATGGACCATGTTACTAATGTTAGAAACATGTCTGTTATTGCTCACGTCGATCATGGTAAATCTACTTTGACCGATTCTTTAGTTCAAAGAGCCGGTATTATTTCCGCTGCCAAGGCTGGTGAAGCTCGTTTCACCGATACCAGAAAGGATGAACAAGAAAGAGGTATCACTATTAAGTCTACCGCCATTTCTTTATACTCTGAAATGACCGAAGAAGATGTCAAGGAAATCAAGCAAAAGACCGATGGTAACTCCTTCTTAATCAACTTGATCGATTCCCCAGGTCACGTTGACTTCTCCTCTGAAGTTACTGCTGCTCTTCGTGTCACCGATGGTGCTTTAGTTGTCGTCGACACCATTGAAGGTGTCTGTGTCCAAACTGAAACTGTCTTGAGACAAGCTCTAGGTGAAAGAATTAAGCCTGTTGTTGTCATTAACAAGGTTGACAGAGCTCTATTGGAACTACAAGTCTCCAAGGAAGATCTTTACCAAACTTTCGCCAGAACCGTTGAATCCGTTAACGTTATCATCTCCACTTACTCCGATGAAATTCTAGGTGATGTTCAAGTTTACCCATCCAAGGGTACCGTTGCCTTCGGTTCCGGTCTACATGGTTGGGCTTTCACCATCCGTCAATTCGCTAACAGATACGCCAAGAAATTCGGTGTTGACAAGGAAAAGATGATGGAAAGATTATGGGGTGACAACTACTTCAACCCAAAGACTAAGAAGTGGACTACCAAGGACACCGATGCCGAAGGTAAGCCATTGGACAGAGCTTTCAACATGTTTGTTCTAGATCCAATCTTCAGAATCTTTGCTGCTGTTATGAACTTCAAGAAGGACGAAATTCCAACTTTGTTAGAAAAGCTAGAAATTGGTCTAAAGGGTGACGAAAAGGACCTAGAAGGTAAGGCTTTGCTAAAGGTCGTTATGAGAAAGTTCTTGCCAGCTGCCGATGCTTTGTTAGAAATGATTATCCTACATTTGCCATCTCCAGTTACTGCTCAAAACTACAGAGCTGAACAATTATACGAAGGTCCAGCTGACGATGCCAGTTGTATCGCCATCAAGAACTGTGACCCAACTGCTGATTTGATGCTTTACGTCTCCAAGATGGTGCCAACCTCTGATAAGGGTAGATTCTACGCTTTCGGTAGAGTTTTCGCTGGTACTGTTAAGTCTGGTCAAAAGGTTAGAATCCAAGGTCCAAACTACGTTCCAGGTAAGAAGGATGATCTTTTCATTAAGGCCATCCAAAGAGTTGTTCTAATGATGGGTAGATTCGTCGAACCAATCGATGACTGTCCAGCCGGTAACATTATCGGTTTAGTCGGTATTGATCAATTCTTACTAAAGACTGGTACTTTGACTACTTCTGAAACCGCTCACAACATGAAGGTCATGAAGTTCTCTGTCTCTCCAGTTGTTCAAGTCGCTGTTGAAGTTAAGAACGCTAACGATCTACCAAAGTTGGTTGAAGGTCTAAAGAGACTATCCAAGTCCGATCCATGTGTCTTGACTTACATGTCTGAATCCGGTGAACATATTGTTGCTGGTACTGGTGAATTACATTTGGAAATTTGTCTACAAGATTTGGAACACGACCACGCTGGTGTTCCATTGAGAATCTCTCCACCTGTTGTTGCCTACAGAGAAACTGTTGAAGCTGAATCTTCTCAATCCGCTCTATCCAAGTCTCCAAACAAGCATAACAGAATCTACTTGAAGGCTGAACCAATGACTGAAGAAACCTCTATTGCCATTGAAAACGGTGTCATCAACCCAAGAGATGATATCAAGGCCAGAGCCAGAATCATGGCTGATGACTACGAATGGGATGTCACTGATGCCAGAAAGATCTGGTGTTTCGGTCCAGATGGTAACGGTGCCAACGTTGTTGTTGACCAAACCAAGGCTGTCCAATACTTGAACGAAATCAAGGACTCTGTTGTTGCTGCTTTCCAATGGGCTACCAAGGAAGGTCCAATTTTCGGTGAAGAAATGAGATCTGTCAGAGTTAACATCCTAGATGTCACTTTACATGCTGATGCTATCCACAGAGGTGGTGGTCAAATCATTCCAACCATGAGAAGAGCTACTTACGCTGGTTTCCTATTGGCTGAACCAAAGATTCAAGAACCAGTTTTCTTGGTCGAAATCCAATGTCCAGAACAAGCTGTCGGTGGTATTTACTCTGTTTTAAACAAGAAGAGAGGTCAAGTTGTCTCTGAAGAACAAAGACCAGGTACTCCATTATTCACTGTTAAGGCTTTCTTACCAGTTAACGAATCTTTCGGTTTCTCTGGTGAACTAAGACAAGCTACCTCTGGTCAAGCTTTCCCACAAATGGTGTTCGATCACTGGGCCACTATCAACTCTGACCCATTGGACCCAACCACCAAGGCTGGTGAAATTGTCCTTGCTGCTCGTAAGAGACACGGTATGAAGGAAGAAGTTCCAGGCTGGCAAGAATACTACGACAAGTTATAAGCAGTTTAAGAAATTGTTGATTTTTACTAAAATCAATTAATTTAAAAAAAATAAAAGAAAGAAATTTAAAATTAGTAGAAGTGTGAATGTAAGAATAAGAAAAAACATAATTTAACAGTAATGTAGTATAATATCATTGTTGTTTCTATTTTCTTAATATTCATTCATATCTTACTGTATTCTAAATTTTATAATTTCTTCTTTTATTTTTTTTTTTCATTTAAACCGTATGTTATTTACATTAAATTTTCCCTAAACTTTGTTAATATATTTATTTTATTAACATTGAGTATTGAAAATTTATATTATATATTTGTCTGTAGTTTTAAAAATAAAATAAGATAATATTTCATCATCATCAAAAGAAGAAATAATCTTACTACGTCATAGCTGTCATTAATCAATAGTAATTTCCATGGAGATAAAAAGTTCAATTTCAAAAATATACGAGCCCAAAAAACTCATATATTATATATAAATCATAGAAGTTTATACCGATGTTTGTCTCCAGAAGAGCCAGTTTACTTCTAATGTAATATGGGCTAAAGAATATATATGGGTGATATCACAGTGTACGTAGTACAGTTGAAATATTAACTCTAGCGTTATTCTGCGACAGTACCCAGTGAACTCAATTAAAATACGTGTAATCATCATGAACGAAGCGTGGGGCAAACGTAGTAGAACCCTCTTCTCTCTGACATCCTATGATATTCGGTCCGAAACATTCTGTGACGGGAGAATGTACATCATAGTAAAACTTACGGCAGCACTCAATGTTGTTCCATATACATGCCTGATTATGTACGCTTCCCTTGCATCTAAAATTGTTACTTCAGAAAAGTGGGAAACGACAAGATCAAACACGCAACGACCGACATTTGTTTTTCCTTCTTTGAAACAACGCGGGATCCCTTTTTGGCACCGTTCTTCACTATTAAGCTAAAACAAAACAAAATAATGAAGTCATGGAAGGGAAACGCGGAATATATTCAGTCCTCGCGCACATAACTAAAATAAAATCAGCTAACAAATAAAATATCTCCGGCTGGTAAGCATGAACCTCTCCATAAAAATAATAGCAAGAGGTCCCTGTCAGAGAAGTATATAGCATCACCCAAACATCCAATCATAATAATACATACAGCTACTATATATCAATCTGTCTGTCTACGTAACATTATCTGAGGAATCCCTAATAGAACTATATCGGTTTAACAAATAACTATATATACTGATTTACATTCTAGGGTCTATGATATTCTGACGGTACATTTGCTAGGAGATGTATTGTATTATATTATATTAAATCGTATTGTCTCGTCTTGTCTTATAGTAATGTATTGGAGGGGGAAGAGTAGTACATAGATGTCTCAAAGTCCCTTCGCCCCTCTTACTGAGTCTCTCGCTGTCCGTTTGAGCATTTAGGTAATATACAGAGAGAGAAAATAAGGGAGTTATTTTTAATAATAATAGCGAAAAGAAGACCTTTTCTTTCTTTCTTACCAATTGTAACAGTGAGAGAACAATTTTTCCCTTTTTGATTATACTTACTTAATTGTTGTTAGTTGAAAATAAGTAGTAATTGCTTTCACTTCAGAAATTCTAATGATTGTTGCATATACGTATTAATAAAAAAAAAGTTTGGCACAAATTTTGTTTCTAAGATAAAAATAATGACTATCCTATTGGATTTTTCCTTGTAATTAAAGTAGGATCCCTTGCGTTGTTTTTTTTTTAAACATAATTTTATATATTTATTATTATTAATTACCGGGTTGAGTACAATTTAATATGGTTTCATCAATATATTCAAGCTGACTAACTTCAGAACTAATATATATAAGACTTGGAAATCTTTAATTCAATTCAATTTGATATACATTAAATTATTTAGTCATTAATATTAATACTTATTTTTTTGCTTACATAAATATATTTTATTTATTAACTGTTTTCTTTCTCTTTTTCAAGGTAGAATAAAGATTTAAGAAAATTAACTCATCACTTACACAACAACAATACAATTACTCAAATGCTAACTCAAGATCTAAAATTATTATTATCAATTTTTACAGTATTTTTTGTATTATATTATGGTACTCATAAAGCTACAATGAATAGATATAAATTTTATGTTCCAAATCTGGGTTAATCAATTCAATTTTAATTGATTCTTTTATTTTTACTTTCTTTCTCACTAGTTCTAACGTTTTTGATTTTTTATACATATTCATTTTTATTAATATTAATTAATTAACATTAATTACATTTCGTTTCATTAGTAGACTATAATAAAATATTATTGTCTTTTTAATTGATCTGTCCTTTTTTCTCTCCATTATTGATCTGTCCATTTTGACATATCAATTATACTTCCGTGAAGTTTTTAATATACATTATATTTCTTAAAAAAATATTCTTTGATATATACATATATATTCTATAATAATATATTTATTTTTATGACCATACATTTTTAAATAATTCATTGTCATCTAATGATAATGCAGAATTACTATTATTATTGTTATTATTAATAGTAGATGACCATGTACTACTACTATTATTATTATTTAATTTTGTAGTAGATGACGCTAATGATGATATCCCTGATAATGATGTATTATTATTATTATTATTACTTGCAATATTTGCTGGATTTCTTACATTAGTGTTTGATTTTGAATAAAGGGATAATATCGATTTCTTAAGATCTGGTCTTTGATTCAATTTACTATTCGCATTAATATTAGTATTAGTATTTGTTGTCGTGGTTGTATTTGAACTTGCTGTATTACTAGTATTATTATTCGATGTCGATCCATTGGATATTGATGAGGATAATTTTTCTAAATTAACTAAACTATTATTTTTACTACTATTACTGATATTCAATTTATTCATACTATCATTTAATAAATCATTAGAAATTGGTGCAACATTTAAAGATGATACACTACTACTATTGCTACCACCATTATTATTATTATTATTATTATTATTATTATCTAATAGATTTTCTTTCATTAATGATAAATCTTTCTTATTCGGAATACTGTCACCAATCCATTTTTTAGCTTCATATTTCGCTCTAATAAAAGTTTGTAATTTATTCGTATCTAATAAAGATTGTTTTAAATTACTTTTAATTTCATCACTTAATCGACATTCATAATATAAATTAGCAATATCATTATTTTGCATTCGAATTAACATCCTTAAATGTTCTTCTTTCCACGTATCTAAATCAACAGATTTAACTTTTGAAACATGAGTCCCCAAAGATCTATGAACACCAGCACAGCGGATACAAATGAATACACCCAACGACCATGACGCCCACCGTGGGTGTGATTGACTCTTACAATCGGCACATATGGAATTCCCAGGATCACGTAATAATGCACCAATGGCTTTCTTAACAGGAATTGCTGTAGTCATTTCTATTTAATAAAAACTAAGCAAAACACGAACTGATATTATTATTCAATGTGGTTATTATTCAGAGCTAGGACTGATAACTGTATGCTACACACTATAATCGTAAGAAGAATATTGTAAAAAATAAACTCTTTCTTTCTATTTCTTTTCCTATATATGTATACATACGTGAATTGATCAGTCAGCATTATTACTGTTAGAATCAAAATAATTTTTCATCTTGAATGTCTCTTTCGCTCGTCTCCTCTCCCCATCAAACGAAATCAGAATGCAAACGACAAAGAAAAAGAGAACAACGCACACGTCAAAAAACAACAACCAATAAACATGGTGGGGCACAATAATAGATAGATAATAATGAATGAGATATGGTTTAGAAGGTAAAAAAAACTGCATATAAACAGGCATAATTTGACAAATATGTCAAAATATATTTTAAATATATATGGGATATGCTTATTGAATATTATTTATAGTCCCTAAATGCCCATTTTATAGTAGGGCTAGGGCTAGGGGTTGTAAATTATGTATATTTATATGTAGGAGTAATTCTTGTTCTTTTTATCTTAGTGAAATTGCTTATGTTTTTTTTATTTAAATGCCTAATATACAAATAATATAATAAAATGAATGCATGTGATAGATGATAAGATGAGTTGTAGAGACAACAAATCATAATAATATGCTTGTTTCAAGAAGACCCAATTATTCTATCATCAAAAAAGCACATACACTCATAGAAAAGTGCTATGTAAATAGTGTATATACATATCCGAACTGGAGTAGATGGGAAGAAGAGTATGAGTAGAAGAGGAGAAATGAATATTTTCGATTTGTTTTATTGGAAAAAGAAATATTTGTTTATTCCAATTAATCAAAGGTCTTCTTGGTACCAGCGAAGTCAGCGGTGTTTCTAGATTTACCTAATGGAGCATTGTTAGCACCGGAACCAGTAGATCTGAAACCACCACGGCCACCGAAGCCACCACGGCCACCACGGTCACCGAAACCACCTCTGTTGCCACCACGGCCACCGAAGCCACCACGGCCACCACGACCACCGAAACCACCACGGCCACCACGGTCACCGAAGCCACCACGGCCACCACGGCCACCGAAACCACCTCTGTTACCACCGAAACCACCTCTGTCGTTTTGTGGTCTTGGAGTAGAGTAATCAAGTCTAACTGGTCTGTTGTCAATGTATTCACCTTGTAGAGCCTCTAGAGCCTTCTTGGCATCGTCAAGGTTACCGTATTGAACGTAACCAAAACCCTTTGGTTGCTCAGTTTCTGGATGAGTTGGTAGACGAACGGAAACAATTTCACCGTATTTACTGAACATTTGAGAGATTTCATCTGTGTTAGCACCGAAGGATAAGTTACCTAAGAATAGAGTGTCAGATGGTTCACTTGGAACATCACCGAATTTCTTAGCACGGTCACCACCGTTGTTAGTAGCTGGCTTGGAGTTAGACATGTCACAGTTGATTTCACGACCATCGATTTCTTTACCTTGCATTTCCTTGACGGCTTTTTCAGCAAAGGTTTTGTTCTTAAAGTCAACGTAACCGTAACCCTTGGATCTGTCGGTACCTCTTTCGTAGATAACTCTAGCGGCAACAACACCACCAATGTGGTCGAATTCACTCTTTAACCAGTCACCGTCAATAGACCAAGATAGTCTACCGACAAAGATGGTAGATGGTTCTTCATCAGCATCACCTTCATCAGCATCTTCTTCGGTCTTTTGTTTCTTAGAATCGTCAGATTCTTCTTCTTCGTCTTCAGATTCAGCTTTACGCTTCTTGTCGTTAGATTCTTCTTCAGCTTCAGATTCGGAACCAGATTCAGAGGAGGAGGAGTCGGAACCAGATTCAGAGGATGAGGAAGAGGATTCTTCCTTTTTGGTTTCTTCCTTCTTAGTTTCTTCTTCAGAATCAGAGGAGGAGGATTCAGAATCAGAAGAAGAGTCGGAACTAGATTCAGAAGATGAGGAAGAGGAAGAGGAAGAGTCGGAAGAAGAAGTGGCAGCAGCCTTTTCTTCAGCAACCTTCTTTTGGGCTAGTTTAGCGTCTTTCTTGGAAGTAGTCTTGGCCATCTCTGTAATCTTTGAAATATATATAATCTAAGTTAGAATGAGAGTATACTGAGGTTCTAATTGTAACACAAGAAAGGAATAAGCCCAAGATACAAACAATTTTGAAAAAGGGAAAGTAACAATTACCAAATATAAGTTTTAAGTATTAATACTTTATTATATATAAGCGATGCCAATCGTTACTTGAAAGTGACAAAAACAAGAACTATAATCGATTGATGAAAATTTTCACTTCTCTAAGGGAATAAGTTTCAATTCTTTCCCCTTTGGTAGATGATAATTAAAATAAAGTGAAAATTTTTGCGATGAGCCCAAGAAACACACGCAGAATCCCAAAAAAGGAAAGAGAACTCTCAAACCTTTTCTTCTTCTTGCTCTTCTTCTTCTTCTCTTAGCTCATCCCATCGTTGATTTCTTTCTTTCAAACTGAAAATTTTTTTATTTTTTTTTTTTCGTTTTTGGAAAATTTTCAGTTTTTCAGGTTTTGTAAGCGTGGGCGTCGTTCGTGGTGAGGTGTGCGGGCGGTGAGTTTTAGTTTTACTGGTTTTACTGGTTTCTCCCTGAACTATTTTCTTGCAGACCAGGGGAGCAACTAGGTTTAGAGTGATGAGATGAGGTATGGACGTCGGAGTTGACGATGTGCTTATTGCTGCAGTAAATACATAACATAAATATGTTGATATGTTGATATGTTGATATGTTGATATGTTGATATGTTGATATGTTGATATGTTGATATGTTGATATGTTGATATGTTGATATGTTGATATTAGTTACAGATTTTATTTGTTGCATACTGTTCATCTATGAATGGTTGTCTATCTATACATGGATGGTATATAATGCAAAGAAGAAAAAATGAACTAGTTAAATGGTTTGGCGGAAGCTTGACATGAAGGCATCCCATTTAGAAACTGGTTCATATAAATTACAACTGGCGATATCTCCCAGAGATATATGGTCCTCACAGATAATTAGCGGTATTAGCTCTTGCACTGTGGTCTCTTGTTCTTGTTCTTCTTTGATATCTCGGGTGTCTTCGATATCATTACCTAATTCCATTGGATCAATATCCATCCGACTATCATCTTCCATGACTGGTACATCTTTGCTAGTGTCAGGACCATCGTTATTTGAATGGCCATTATCATCAGTAGACATATGTTCATTGTTGTGACCCTGTGTTGTATTGTAATCATCGTCGTCTTCCTCTGTAATAACGGAATGTTGTTCCGACATAACATCATGTAAGTTAAATTGTTGCAATCCTTCGTCCTTGAACATTGTCGCTTCAGTAATACTGGGTCTCTTCCCTTTATTGGATGATCGTCTTCTTCTCATACCAATATCGGGTGTTACGTTAGCTCCAGACACACTGTTGTGTCTATAATGATCGATTGAATTGAATCCAAGAGTAGTATTTGTGCTGGTATCCACACTCGAGCGTATATTTCCATTTGGAGCTAATAACAGTTTGTGATCATCATCATATGTACTTGTAGATTCCTTTTGAACCATCATCAGTTCAACAATATTCTCCAGCACTCTTTTAGACCATAGTGTCCAAGTTAATATTTCATCAATTAGATCAATGTTATCATTACTAATGTCAAAAAATGGTAACCTTATCAGTGGACTTGTAAAATCATTGATTAGACGGATCTTATCATGATAATATAGACCATTACCACTTGGAGGATGTGAACCATCTTCTAAATTGGTTAGTAGTTTCAGGAATTTGGTCGAGTTGTAATTATTAATATTGTCATCTCTTTGGCGACTATTAGATTTATTTATATTGGTTCGAATTAATCCATTTGTTTGTGTATTATTATCGAATATCACATCAGTTGAGATGAATGATTTTGGGAACCATATAGAATCTGAAATAATCTCCATAACTAGCGAAACACCCATTGTGTAGGACTCTGCAGATTCGTTTATCCATTCTTTGGTATCCTTAGAGTAAATATATTCATATAATATATGTTGTGGATCCAAAGATTTCTTAAAGGTTATCTTAGCAACTATTTCTCGTTCTGTATCTGCGGTGATGATATATATACCAAATTTACTATCTAGATTAGTTGCTACATTCCATTTAATACCGCGATCCAGTAAATAATCTTGGATATATTGACTCAATTCAGTATAATATTTGAACAAATCTAATTTATTTTTCTCCAATTGATTATTACTGCTACTATTATTATTGTTGTTGTTGTTACCGTTAGCATTCTTAGTATTATTAGATCCGATTGGTGAATTGTTTGCACCATTAGATAGATTGCCTGTGGTTGTATTATTATTATTAGAATCTGAATGATTGTTACCAGAACCATGTAAACCACCAGAACCATGTACGGAGTTATTGGAATCGACATCTAATTGTGAATACGAATCTAATAAATACAAGAATTCTAAGTTTTCATGAAATTCATTCAAATTAGGATACTCTATTAAAGATTTTAGTAATATATTACTTTCTTTATCTTGAGACTGAAGACCCGACTCCAGAGGATTCTTATTTTCAAAATAGTTGAAATTGTCAAAATTGGATGCCAATACCAGTTTAACATCTTTAACTTTCCCTTCAGATTTAATAAAATCGATATCAATGACTATAATTTTCGACGCAGTTGATAATCTTGCCACTTCATTATCTACATCATCGATGAACGACTCCAATCCAAGGGTTTGGCATAGTTTAGTTATGTTATCCAATGTAACAATACCAGGCTTATAGTTCTTGAATAATGTGATCATCTCATTTAGAGTATCAGTGTATTTATCTGTAGTCATATTGTTATTTTTTTCTTTTTTCTTTGTACAGTTCTTATTGTATTGCAAGTCTCAGTAAACTACCTTTAATATCACGAATAATGTCCGACTAGCAAAAATAAACATTAATTGGTATAACACTTAAAATATATATCTTGCGAAAGTATCACCTTTTGTCCTGTGTCTTCCTGTTTCCTCTTCGAAATGTTTATTGACCTATTCCTCTTTTCTATATCTTGCAGATATTTATTATTCATTATATTGAAATTTCGATTAATGAAAAAGAAAAAATGCCAAAAGGGAACAACCATAACAATACAGAACTAAAAAAACACTCGAGAATAGACAAGCACCAGTTAAACAAATTAAACGATAATTGTTACAAAAGCACTTTTAAAGGTTTGAAATGTTTGTTACTGGCTAATCTGTGTATGTTAGAAGTTATAAGTGTTCAACTACAATGACGAAGCTAATCATATCGGCGTCTGTGTTCCAATCACAAGTTGCTGATTTACTACCTTGTAATGGCTATAAGAAATCCCAGCTTACATATGCATTGCTTGATGCTTATAATTTACTTAATTATTTTGATGTGGTAATCAAAACTCCATATTGTTCTAAAGAAGATCTCTTACGGTTCCATTCTGCCACATATGTGGATCAACTAATGAACGATACCCTTAATGTCATACAAGAAGGCGATAAAATAGAAGACGATTGGAATCAATTAGGTGAAATCAGTGATCAGTGGAACGACTCTAATGATAATATTCCAAAAGAAAGAAGGTTTTATTCAAGGGAAGCGTTGTATGAATATTTTAAGGCATATAAATTGAATCCAAAGGAAATTGCGAATACATATAATAATGTTCGTTCGATAAAAAGAATGAAATTAGATAATGTTACATTAAGTAATGATGAATTATTAAAAAAGTATAATTTAACAGGAGATTGTCCTTTATTTTCATATTTACCAATGTATTTACAAGTCAACACGGGTGCAACTCTTGTATTAGAGAAATATATCAACCTACCCCCACCAGGTGAAAATGATTTTGAAAGAATCATTGGTATAAATTTGGATGGTGGAAGACACCATGCTTCTAAGCAAAGTGCACGTGGATTTTGTTACACTAATGATATTGTCTTATTGATACAACGATTACGCAAAAAGGGATTTCAAAGAATCAGTTATATCGATTTTGATCTTCATCACGGTGATGGAGTAGAGAACGCATTCAAATATTCTAATTTTATACAGACTATATCCTTACATTTATATGAAGCCGGTTTTTTCCCTGGTACAGGTAGTCTAAAGAATAATAAACCTCCAAATTTAGTTAACATTCCTATGTTTCATGGGTTAAACGATAAGTATTTGCAAACTATATTGAACAAGATTATTATACCTTTAATTGATCAGCATAATCCACAAATTATTGTAATACAAAGTGGAGGGGATGGTTTATCTGGGGATAAATATGACGAATGGCAACTAAGCATACATGGACTCACTAAATGTATCATGGAACTCGTAGATCGATTCACTACATGCCACTGTATTGTCCTTGGAGGAGGAGGATACAATGAATTAATCATGAGCAGGTTCAATACATATCTTACATGGAACATTGTACGAAAATATTCATCCCAGATACAAAACGGTTTAATCAAGGAATATATTGAGGACGACTTCGACTATTTGATACCTGATCATGAGTTTATCGAGTTGTATGCAGATGATAACTATAAATACTGGTCGTACGAGCAACCTGGTAACGATAAATTTAAGACTCTTAGGAATAATAATACTCCGGATTATCTCGAAAAATGCATCAGGAACATATTCCCCAATGAGACACACTTAAAGAGATCCGTTAACCGATCAGCCCCATAAAATTATACAACTAAACATAAATAATGATAATATGATAAGTAACGATTAATTGCAACCTTTCCATATGCATATATATATGATACTTCATTTGTTCGTCCGATCGATAGTCCTCAGGGTAACAAAAGTTTATGTAAGGATCTGAGCGATGACTGGAAAAAAAATATAGATCGGTTTCCCTTGAATTTGGAACAGTAGCGACTTAGTATATGAATAAATGTTAATAAATGCAGATAAGAATAAGTATTATGTTTCAGCAAAAAGAACAACAAAGTAGCCTTAAAATTACTGAATTTTGTTGCTAGGTCGTATTTACAATTAACGAAACTCGATATCCAAGGGAATATAAACATTATTATTTTTTCTTTCTTTCTTTCCTTACAATTTATTCATATACTTGAACATGTCCCAAAAGCCCCTCACTGCCGATCAGATTGCTGAATTCAAGGAGACTTTCGATCTGTTTGATAAAGATCACAGTGGATCCATATCTGCTTCTGAACTAAAATCTGTAATGAAATCATTAGGTTTATCACCCACTGACGACGAGGTACGGGATCTAGTCAATGAAATCGATATAGACGGTAACAATGAAATTGAATTCAACGAGTTTTTAACCCTGATGTCTAAGCAAATATCTTCAAATGATACAGAACAAGAACTGATAGAAGCTTTCAAAGTATTTGATACCAATGGTGATGGTGTGATATCTGTCACAGAATTAAAGGCAGTCTTAAGTTCAATTGGAGAAGACTTGTCTGATGAAGAATTGAACCAAATGATTAAAGAGGTTAGCAAAGGCACTGGCGAAATCAATATTGAACAATTTGCAGCTCTTTTATCAAAATAAGGATAAGGTACTCTGTATTTTTAGTTTCATTAGCAAGATTTTCGGTTATTGAATTCTTTATACTTTTTTTCATGTTTTTTATCTATTTTATTTTACTATTATTATCATTCAAAAACCAAATTTATTGAATTTAAAAGGTTACATATAATTATTGCTTATGAATTATGAGAATCAAAATAGAAGCGTAAAGTTACTTCATCAGATAATATGTACTATGACATGTTAGGTCAATCCATTATGTAAAGTAGTTAATATTAATATATACAAATAGTGAAGTTTGTAACTTATTGCTTCGTTTGCTTTTTTAACAAGCTCAACCTTAATTATAGAGATTCGAGATTAAGCATTATTTTTAACAAGATTCCTCTTATATCTTTCTAATGGGCTCATGTTTTCTTCATTGTCATTTATTTCACTTTCATTAATATCGTTATGGGATCCCCTGTTAATTAGCTCGTTACTAATACTGTTGGAGCCAGACATTAGTCCAACCTTCTTCTTTGGAATCATTGGTGACTTGCCCTTCAGGGATTCTTTTTTCTTTGGTACTTGAGGTGGTGATGTTTTTTTAGTAGAAAGCTTTACCGGATCAGACTTTGATTCGTTATTTTTTAAATTCATATTAGCTAGTTCATTCACGAGTTTAGCATTTGGTAAAATATGGTTCTTAACGTTTTTATCCTCCAGAGTTTCCTGATTATCGAGTTTAACATTTGTAATTTGATTTGCCGCTACATTATTATCGTCAGAACGAATTGTATTTCTACGGCTTTTTGGTACAACCGGTGGGGGTCCTCTAGTTTGTGAAATAGAGTGTGGTCTTGAGGGAATTGATTCAAAACTAGATTTGTTCATAGATGTAACTGACTGAATTTTTCTTGGTGATGGAAGTGGTTTGGGAGCTTCACTTGTAGTTCTGCTTCTAGCAACAAGGGGAGGAGGAGGTATCATTGCTTCACTGGTAGCTCTGTTCCTAGATGGTAAAGGAGGTGCGTCTTCCTCATTTTCTATAAATCTTTCTCTATTGCTCTCGTCATTTCGAGTTCCACTTGGGAAATCAATAGGTTCATGTGATCTACTCTTTGAAGAATTATGAATGTGTCTATCTTCATAATCATTTTCATTTCTCCTCCTAGATATTGGTATATCATCTTGATATTCTATTCTTCTTGATCTAGTATCATCATAATCATCTCTTCTTCTAGATCGTGGTTCGTCATAATCATCTCTTCGCCTAGATCGTGGTTCGTCATAATCGTCCCCCCTTCTAGATCGTGGTTCGTCATAATCATCTCTTCGCCTAGATCGTGGCTCGTCATAATCGTCCCCCCTTCTAGATCGTGGTTCGTCATAATCATCTCTTCTCCTAGATCTTGGGATTTCATCGAAACCCTGTTCTTTGTGTTTTGGAGCATCAGTAGAATCATATCTTCTTCCATCCGTAAGTTCTTTAGGTTCATTATTGTTATTATGTTTGATGGAATGGGTTGAGCGATCATGTAGTGAAACCCTAGACCCGTGGCTCCTTATAGGGCTTTTGATAGGTGATGGATCGTGTGTTAATTCATTTTGTTCCGATCTAACGCACAGATGATCATTAGATGGTACTTTCTTCTTAAAATTAGAATGCAACTCCTGGTTAATACCCTGCCCATTACTCAATTTATCTGGAACCGTTGTATTCCTTTTAGGAGGCTCAATAACATTGGTACCGTCGGTAATTGGTTCTGCTCTTTCGGTATTACCATTTTCGTCTATTATCTCTTTCTCTTCTGGGATAGAATCATCTACCACCTTAGGTACTACCATTTCACTCCTATTATGATGTATAGGTGGTGCAGGTAACGAAGCAATATCTACTGGTGTTATTTGGAATGACTGAGGAGGCTGTGTAGTAGTTGCTACAGGATTTGGAGTTCCACCAGGTGGGACACTAGGTTGGTATGGAGAAACTCCGGGTTTGTAAGGGGTAGTTTGAACTGGAGTTGGTGTGACTCCAGGTTGATAGGGAGTAGTCTGGACTGGAGTTGGTGTGACTCCGGGTTGATAGGGAGTAGTCTGGACTGGAGTTGGTGTGACTCCGGGTTGATAGGGAGTAGTCTGGACTGGAGTTGGTGTGACTCCAGGTTGGTATGTATTTGCCACAGAGGATGTCGGCGTCACGCCTGGTTGGTATGGGGTTTGCCCATATGCAGATGTAGTGGGTTTAAATTGGCTTTGTGATTGAATTGTGTGGGTTCCATAGTCACCAGTATTACGCTCTGAACTATAAGCAGAACTGCTATGTCTTGAATCGAAGTCGTGTTCTCTTTCAAACTCTTCTCCCTTTCTGTCATCTTTCTCTGAATGATCTTTCCCCTTATGTTTATTATAAGAACCCTTGCCGGCACTATATGCTGCCTTAGAGACCTTCTTTGTCCCACTAAATCCTTTCTTTCCGACGCTAACTACACCTTTCTTAAATGAATCCGCATCAAAACCCATCGTTCTTTTTAGGTATTTTTTTTAGTTTTTTGTTTATTGTATAATGAGTGTTTGTGTGTACACACTTGTAATCAGTGAATTGGAGATTGACCTACAATCAGTTGCTTGAACAAACTATTAAAAGTTAGATTTTATGAATAGATTAAATATGTGTCTTTATTTGTTTCATCAATTTTGGCCCCTTTAGCTCTCTGCGTCTTTTTTGATTTCTTCTCACATTCGGCATTTAGTGAAATGAAACTTCGACAATGGGAATACAATGAAATAAAAACAATAAAGGGGTGATCAAATGTTGTCATTCGTACAGATGGGATAATAAATAAGAAAGTATAATTTTAGGAATATATAATTACATGTATATATATATATATGTTTATGTTTATGTTACTATGTGATGATGAATTTAGGAAAGAGAGATGAGGTCAGAATAATTGCATTAATTCTATTTTAATCGTAATCCTGGAGCCAAAGTTGTTACTTCACGTTCCGTAATAAATCGATTCAATAAGTTAAACCTCAATATCGAAACTACTACCACATCCACAACTACTCTTTAAATCACCACCACTGATTTTGAAACTCGAACCTATCAGTTCCTTCGTATATGTTAATATGGTGTTGTTCAATATCTTTAACGACTTCGGGTCGATTATAACTTTCCCAGTGTCATCATTTAATTCATAGATGGTCAATTTCGCATCTGCATCATCTTCAAATTCATCCGTAGCGTCATTTTCTTTTTCGGTGGATTTGACTTCTTTCATAATGCCGGTTGTAACGTCTACTTTGGATTCAGGGATCAGCTGTAATGTGTATTGAAACCCGTGACATCCTCCACTTTCAATGCCAATTTTTAGCACTTCTTGAGAATCTCTGTATATTTGAGCCAATCTGGAGGCTGCTCTCTCGGATATGCCTAGATTTAGATCATTGATCCTATTTATAATATTGCTCGGTTTGATCAATTTTTCAGTAGGATCTAACTCTTCCGCGTTCGTTGCATAAGTTCTAAGAGTAAAAGGACTGGTAGTTGCAAGCTTTGTAAACCTACTGGCTCGTATCACCGATCTTCCTTGCAAACGTATCAAACCAAACATATTTATTGGTTTCATTATCTTTTTTTATTTTTCTTAATGAAGAGCTTCTGAATATTTTGTTATTTGATGCACTTATTACAAAATAACGAAAATATGACTTTTTTTGTTATATGCGATCTACTCTTATATAGATATAACGAGAAAGATGACTGTTTCTTACTTTTGCGATTAACGCATATCCAATCATTAGATCATCATTCATTCTATCTATCTAATTACCAACTAACCACGAATAAACGAGAATTCGATGGATAGACGATTTGGATTACTAATAGGATTATTATTCGCGTTGTCGGGGAGGGTAGTAGGATCTAAAGCTTAAATATGGCGTGTAGAGTGATAATGAGTAACCTTAGCCAGATCCCTCTAATAAAGGTGTATGACTCTAAATCTTTTATAAACCAACCGGCTAGCAATATGATGATGATTACAGTTTCTATTCTTGTTGCTATGTCTGAGGATAGAGTTTCGAGCACGCCGAACAATTTTTTAGTCTTTCATATTGGAAACTGTAAGAGAAGCAACCTTCCGCACCGTTTAGGATTGTAAAATTATTTGCCTGGATGGTACCTGAATCAGTTATCTCTATCATGTCATGATAAATCTTTAGAAATTCGTTACATGTGTTAGCTGCAATCATTGCATTCATTGTGCTGACACTGGGGATTATCCGTTTGATGACACCCATCACATACGCAAGGTTCAATTCACTTGTATCAATATTAAATTCTTTAGCTCTAGTAAAAGAAGCATCCAAAATATTTTGATAGATCTTATCCGATTTGTCATCAGCGAAAACATCATCCCATTTAATTGAATCTAAAGGATATATTATTGTAATCACGTACTCAATAACATGTTTTAAATTTCTTGGATTATTAATAATTGTACACATTGGTAAAGTATCTTGCCCTTTTGGTAATGTATTAATTGAACATTCCCAACATGCAGTAAAACCTGGAAGTATAGTCTTCACATGTCCCTTTAACCCTTCTGTACCACCATCTATAAATGGTATGACTTTTTCAAAAGTTGATTTGCATACTATTTGGATGATTATTTCATTGATGAACCTTCTTGGTTTGATAGCATCTAATCCCGATATTATAAAGTCAAATTGTTCATAAAATTCAATATTTAAAGTAGTTAAGTCACAAACTAATGGAATCAGCCTAATAGGTATATTTGGGAAGTGTGTCTCGATGTACTTAATTGCTGTTGTAGCCTTTGGCTTCCCAATATCCTCATCTGAGAAAAGAAATTGTCGGTTTAAGTTTGTCAATTCAATTGTATCCATGTCTATGATGTGAATAGATGAAATCTTACACATCACTAAATTCTTCAGGATTTCGCAGCCCAGTCCACCTGCACCTAATATGAGAACACTACAATTCATATATATGAAAATATCACTACAATTCTCCCCTTGTTTTGTTGTTTTTGACTTCTATATATTTTTCCTTTTGTTTAACGCAATATGGTAAATACGAAATTTTTGTTATTATTTCTTATAGTAAGATCAAAAATAAAACTCAGAACATCTCACTCAGAAGACTTTTCAATTAAAATATTATAAAGATATTACACGTAAAAATAAAATGAGGTAAGTTAGAACTAAATATATATATGTGTGTGTGTGTGTGTGTGTGTGTGTGTATGAAATAATGCAGCGTTAAGTTACACCCTCTATTCGTACTTAATACCACCGTTACCTGCGACTTCTAATTGTTCAATGGATTTCTTATCGGTTCTCATGTCTTCGCCAGTTGGGATCTTACCAAACAAAGGTTGGGATTTGAATGGTCTTTTACCATCATCATCTTTACCGAGTAAATTAATCTTTACTAAAGTATTCTCAAAGGCACCCTTGATAGGTCCAATGAATTGCATAAATAAAGGATTGTTATATTTCATAACTCCATGCATGACAACCATCATAGCAATACTAGAATAAATACCGTTGATTGAACTTTGGATTTGATCTAAATCATAATCTCTCACAGTAATAATTTGTAATTTTTCAGGTTCCTTTAATAAAGAATTACCAGATTTAATATACTTGATAATTTTCAAATTATTTTCCTTTAGAATCTTACGTCTAGTCATTCTATAGATGCAGAACGCTATGATATTAGTTGAGACATACAATAAACGTATAATCATTAGAGTCTTGGGGTCTGACAGATCTAATAGACGAGAGACTTGCGACATGATCAACATGATCGCAATGTTGGTAACTTGAGGATTCATAGTGAAATTGGAAACAGAAACAAAAAGAGGGCTCTTCCTTAGTCCTTATAGCGAAACGTTCTGGGATTGATATAAGTCAGGCAAAAATGGTATATAAATAATTCTTTAAACTGATCTTAATATGTTCCGTATATATTGTTTTCAAAATCCATCCATGAATTTCCTATGATGGGGTGTTCTTTTTAATCAAAATCATGAAATTTTCCAGAACTTCTTTGTCTGGTCGCGTTCTCGCCGTCTATCTTCTCTCTCGCGACTGTGCGTCCGACTTTCTCACCAAAAATGTTTTTCTGGTACGTAGAACTAATATATAGTGATAAGCTTGGTGATACTATAATAACTGTAATTATGTACATAAGGAAAGTGACTCTCTTATATTGAAACAGTAGTCACTTTTTTAAGAAATGCGATATTGCAACTACTGGTCTCTGAATGCAATTTAAAAGCATATATATATTTTATACAGGATATATATATTATTACATGAGTAATAATCAGAGATAGGAAAACAAAAATTAAAAAATTAAAAAGGTACTCTCCAGGACCAGTAGCGACTTAAAAGGCAAAAGTGATATAGAAAATATGATATAAAATATAATAGTACAACTGTGTGACTGGGTTTTTCATATTTTTGAAAGAATTTTTATCATTGTTTAAACTGACATAATTATCAAAACAAGAAAACACCCGTGACATAAAGTTTCCAGTATTGTAGAAAATAATAAAAATTAAACTTGAAAGTAATAAAAATAATAATAAAATTATTTTAAAAAAGAAAAGAAAAAGCATGTATGTGACATAGATATAAACGGTAGAACTGATCTTGTAAAAAAACAACTCTATGTATTAAAGGAAACCAATTTTATAATTTATTTTGAAATTATGAGATATAAAACGCACGAAAGGAGAGATACTCTTTTTATTTTGCCTTTTAAATATTAAATTGTCATTGATGTTTTTGAATATTCCTTGTTATTGTTGGTTTGGTAGAGTCTTTTTATTTATTTTTTAAAAATGTATTGCGTGTTTATCAAATAACCAGAACTAACAAAGGTTAACTAAGGTAGCTTAATTTTCTTGTCAAAAGAAAAATTACTAATAATTTAGAAATATGGGAGTTGAATATATTGAAACGAATGGAAAGTCATCACAAAAGAAAAGAAAAAAGTAATTTTGATATAACCTAAATTTTATAAAAATGATCCATTGTTTGTTGAGATTGGGCAGCAGCTGGAGTTCCGGATGGTTGGGCAATAAATGATTGTTGGTTCATTAATTTTGTAGTATCTATTGACGGTAAGAGTAAGTTGACATTACTTGGACTCCCACTGTTTTGCATACCTGATTTTTGTTGATAATAAAAATTTTGAGCTTGCAATTGAGCAGTTGGATCATTAAAATTAATTGAATTTGGTATCGATGATGAATATAGCAACTTTTGCTCGTTTTCTATTGGAGTAGGAATCCCAGTAAGGTTTGAATTTTGAGAACTATTAGACAATTGAGGTTGTTGATAAGCTTGATAATATTGAACTCTACCATTACCACCTCTTGATAGTTGATGGTGAGCTTGAGCTTGCATTTGCTGTTGCTGTTGCTGTTGCTGTTGCTGTTGCTGTTGCTGTTGCTGTTGCATTTGTTGTTGCACATGATGCTGAACATGTTGATGGACTTGTTGTTGTTGTTGAATTTGTTGTTGTAACTGTAAAAATTTCTTCTTTTGTTTTCTAACAGGTCTATATTTATATTGTGGGAATTTTTTTTCATGATTAATCTTTTCTTGTTTAGCTAAATTATCCCAGTGTAATTTTTCTTTAGCAGAAATTATTTTCCATTTATTGCCCAGCAATTTAGAAATTTCTGAATTATGTGGAATTTCAATATTTTTTGCAGTCCATTCATTAATTAAAATTTTATGATAATGTTGTCTAAACAAAATAAAAGCATTTCTTGGTCTTGGAATTTTTGGTTCACTTGGCATCTTTGTAAAATATATATACAAAAAAATATTTTAATAATATGGTGCTTTCTTTTAATATTTAGAGATTTGTGTCAAAGGAAACAAATGAAGTATTGGAAATAATAATAGTAGTAAGAATAGTTCTTTTTATAAAAATTATTATAATAAATAGATGATCTTAAAGGAAGAAAAAACAAAAGCAAATGTAAATTAGTTAATAATAGTGATATATAATAATAGGAATAATAATGAAATAATAATAATAATGAAATAATTTTTATATTATATTCTTCTTGAATGAAATGTGTGTTTATATATATATACTGTTTCTTTTGGTGAGAGAAGAGAAAAATTAGGAATTTTTGAATATTGTTATTAGATTTTCTTTATAAAATTTAACCCTCCATCCCCCCCAAAAATAAAAAGGTTTTACATAAACAAAGAAAGGTTTCAGGACATCTCTAGCCAAAGCCAAAAACGAGATATGTTAACTACAGTAAAATAATAGTAATAATAGGTTTAATACTTTGATAATACCGATGACATATATTAGAACAAAAAGAACAAATTTAAAGTAACCGGGTACAAACAAAGAATGAAAAACCACGAAGCGTATGTCATAGAGTAAATAATATAATGAGTACGGAATAAACTATTATAATATTAGATAATAGCTTATTATTTAATAGTAGAAGAAATAAGAATGCTATGAGAATAGGAGGAAATAAAAGATTGATAGACAGAATAGATATAGATGTCTATCAAAATATTTAATATTATGAATGGGTAATAATAAGAAGACAATAGTAACTTATTGTTTTAAATTGAAGTGACTCCTCAATTCAGTGAAGAAGAAGAAAAACACATTTTAAATACTTTTTTGATCAAGCTGTTAAAATAGCAGCACAACTTGATCTTTGAATTTAATAATCAAATGATTATTTATATATACACACACAGCCTTGTTGCTTATACTTTACTTTATTACAATATAGAATTCTTTTGTTTACACTGTAAATCCACATTAAAAGAAAGGGAATGTAATGTATTGTAAATTATTATTGTTATTTTTATTACAGATAACATAAGATTACAATGGTAAAGATAATAAAAGGATAGTAATAGTAGTATTAAATTTTATGTACGTAGTAATGTCACAACCATCAACATTGTGAAATGTTGAGTGTTTTTTCATTTATTTATTTTATTTTATGAAGCACGAGGGAAGAGATGAGGGGAAACTTTGTTGAAATTAAAATTTCAATTTGACTCTTGCAACCTTCTATCAGTCAATTAATCTGAATTTTGTTTTTATTTTTGTGTCGGTGAAATTAAAATATACTTAAAACAATCGGCCCGAGAATAGAAAAGAGAGTATATGTATGTCCGTATCTAACCGTGCATTTTATGATGTAAAAAGAGGTAGAACGAACGTCCGAAAATAACGGAACAAAAATGTTATAAGTCATGTGTTAATCCAGGAGATATAGAGCGGTTTTCTATGGATATATTACTATAGAGAGAGACAGCATGTGAAATACAATGATAATATAATAGAATGTGTTCAATTTTGTTTTGACGAAGGTGGGAAAAGACAAAAAAGACGCATAGTTAAGAACATTATTAACAGCAAAACTAGGGGAGGGTATCAGTTACGGAAAAATATATCGAAGTGTGTGCGAATTGATCTATTACATTTGGAGTACTTAGCTACTATCTTTAGTTTAATATTAACAATGTGACCAAATAGTTTACATTCGTATTGAATTAAGTAATTTATTGTGTTTTGTTTACAATTATGCAAAGTTAATTATTGCAAAAATGAAATAAAATAAATGCCTATCGTATTGTAGCAGTAAGTTTCTCTTCGTTTCTCTCCTCTTTTTTGTTACGAATAATTCTAAGTGTTACAACAACTACAAACAAAGAAAAAAGAACTCATCAAGTTTCCCACATGACTCTGCAGACAAAGTAAAAGAGGAGGAGTGGTGGGGGTTGCAACAAAAGAAAACGGTGACATCACAGATGAATCATCGAAAGTTTAATACGCTAATTTAATGAATGGACAATTCAAATTTAAACAAGGGAACATCAGTTCTAAAACCCGGTATAATTACGATTATCGTTGTGTTTTATAATATCAATATTAATATGACAAAACAAAACAAAACAAAACAAAACAAAACAAACCTTAATTAAATAAACTATTTACGCTAATAATACACTCTCGGCCTCGGTCTCGGTCTCAGTCTCGGTCCCTCTCTATAAAGAGTATCTGTTACCTTGACACTTATGCACTGTATATCTTCCTTCTTTTCTTGAAATAAAGAACAAAAAGAACAATTATTACTAGTATATTATAATTTCTGTAAAACAGAGTTTTTATTACAGGTTGTTAGTAACTGTTCATTTTGTATTCTTACTTTATTTGGTTCCTTACATTATTATATTTCGGAAGAATTAAATTTAAACTATTTAAATTTATCTATATCCTTTTCGTGTTTGTCTGTTTGTTGGTACTCTAAGCACATTCGCGTATCTCAATTCTATATCTATCTTTCTCGGCCGAATACTGAACTAAAGCATGGACATTTATTTACCACTGTGACTTCCATGTTTGCTATATAATTGCCCGCTGTATTATGTTGTAAAATACGACCCCATGTGCGCTTCTACTTATGGCGATGCATTAAAGCGGAGATATTTAAGTTTTGTTTGTTTTTGTTTGTTTATCTACAGACAATTTTCCCTAGGAGAGTAGTTGGGTAAGCCGATTAATAAAATAAACAAACAAAAGTTAAATTATTGACAATTGGGAGGTTAATTTAATGCCTTTAATATCGAGATATATTGATGGATACTGATTTGTTAATTAAAGGATATGGTCGGTCCGTGAGAAACAAGAAAATAATTAGAAACTATAGCACTCAAAGGTTGTCGAGTTTGATTTTTTTATTTTTTGTTTGTTTTGGGAGAATTTAGTTTCTTATAGCAACCGGCTACACTGAGAAGAAATTTAGAAAGCGTAATTTATATATTGGTAGAAATACTATCTCCTTATTTATGGTTCAAAGTAGATTTATTCTTTCACGTGCATTTATTTATATATATACACTATCAATGGGGTGGGGGTGGCCTAGACAGACAGACAGAGAGTCTAGAATTATTTTATATGTCTTCTCTTATACATATTTATTCAGATTAGTGACAGTAATAGAATCATAAAACAGCAATGTAGATAATCCAGACTGAAAGACTCCAATTATAATACATATCACAAGTCATGTCTAGATTTCGGATCATAGACTTTCGCATTAAGAACTGGTGTGTTGTTGTTGTTACATCCAAGACTTTTCATCCCCATCTGTTAAAATGCAGCGGCAGCACTAAAAAGACTAACATTAGCTTAACCTAACTGAAGGTGAAGGTAGCTAATATAAGTAGAATTTAGAGTGTGCTGCACTGCCGTATATATAATAACACGTGATATATACTGCATAATGTAGTATTCGTTCCCCCTACATTGGGTTTGTAGGAGCTACATTGTCCAACGTTACTATGCACAAAAGATGAGCAGTTTAACAACAGCAACTCTGTTTTAACACCATCTCCGTCACGAATGATTAGTTGAGTTTTCAAATTAATGTCTTTTCAATAATTTATTCTAGTTTTCCTATTGACGGTGCTTCTCTTACAGCTAAGCTTTCTTGCTTTTCACGCGAATTTCAATTCGGTTAGAATGAATAAAAATGAAATTTAAGCGAAAAGCGAAAAGCAAAAAATGTTGGAAAAATACTAAGAAAAATTGAGTGGGAAAATAAGATAATCAACTGAATTAACCATTTACATTGCTATTGATTAAACAAAAGGGATACAATCCATTTACAGTGTGTGAGTGTGTACGTGCTAGTCTCCATTCATTCAAAAGGATATAGAAAATATTAACTAATTCCATCAAAGTTATTCATATTTGCTTGTTTTATCTTTTTAATTTTGTTTGAAAGTCATTCATTAGAGACAATTTATTAAGAGATTAAGAAATAAATAATAATCAATTATGACTTTGAATAATATCAAAAGAGAAGATTTATCTGTGAAGTATGTTATTAATTAAATGAAGAAGAAACGTTGAAGAAGTGTGTGTATGTGTTGTTTTCTTTATGATTCACTGGTTTTTGAAATTATTAGAGATAGGAATAGAAGTATTGTACTTCTTGTATTCTTTTCGATAAACTTTAGATCAATACAACAAAATAGAATAGATTGAAACGTATTCGAATTGTAAACATTCTTTGCTTCATTAAACTATTATCTATTTTTCATTTATCTTTATTATCAAGACTGCATATTTATTATACTCATAAACACATCCACTTTTTGAATCAATATATTATAGTGCTTTGTTTTGTTTTATTTTTTACTAACTGTTTCCCCTACCCAACACATTTTTAATTCAGATGCAAAATCACTAGATCACCTCTAGCTATATACAACAGTGGAAGAAGTCAATCACTATCAGGTATGTTGAATCAATCTATGCCTTTGGCTGCCATCTTCCTTAGAAACAAGTTTTTAGCATGGTTTGCTGTCGTTCAAGGGATGCATTACCTCTTGAACACCGATCGTGAACAAGCCGCTCGTGATGCTTCCGCTAAGGACCCAACTGGTTTGGATCAATCCCCATTCACTAGACTATTGATCGCTGTCGGGGCTATTATTATATGTTATATCGACTTTGTATTCCCTCAAAAATGATTAAGGAATTTAAACTTGAGTTTTTTTAGAAAACTAAAAATGAAAAACGAAAAACATATAATAGTATTACATCATATTATATATTACGTTTATATATATATATATATAAATATCATGAATTAAAAATAATAATAAAAAAACATATAGATTATTATTAATTATTAGTTTCTTTATTCGCCGATATCTTCAAACCAATCTTGTGGTCTTTCAACAATAAATTTCTTCATAATAGTCTTACATTTTTCGTCATCCATAACATGAACAGAACAATTACGTTCAACAAGATATTTCTCACCAGGACTCTCGAAATTGACATTCTCACCAATGACAACTCTTGGAATGCCATACATAATAATAGCACCAGTGCACATATCACATGGAGATAACGAAGTGTATAGAGTGGTATCCTTATAGACTTTACCTTCCAATCTACCACAGTTCTCCAATGTAGAGATCTCACCATGTAAAGTGGCACTACCCTTTTGGAAACGCATGTTATGGCCACGACCTAACACATTACCATCCTTGTTGTTGATTAGACATCCACCGATTGGTACACCACCTTCAGCATAACCTTGAGCAGCTTCTTCGTAAGCAATTTGCATACCTTTTGTATCCCATTTACCGTCCATCTTTTCTTATTATTTCTTGATGTTATGTAACAGATAAAACTTCAGAAGCCTGTAAACGCAATAAGCAAGTTAACACATAGTCTACTCTTTGCAATTCAGACATTTGCATATCTTTTTTCTATCTTTATATCTGAAAACATAGAGAGTGAAAGTGGAATTGAGATTGAAAAAAAAAATTTGCCTTGGAAAGTTTCCCGGAAGAAGAAACTGTTCGATGAGGGAAAACATATATAAACATGCGGAGAGTATAGCGATAACATCAACAATATATAGAAATACGTACATTCAACTGCAAAAGCAAAAGTTAGCTCAAGGCCTACGGTCTGAATATCATTAGGACTAGATTACAACTATGGAGAATAATACAATACAGCAATTAGCTGCACTTGTGAAACAGACAACGGACCCTGAGATGAGCGGGCTCTCTCAACTAGGGATCCTTGCTATCAGAAACCTAAATAGCATATTGGATACAACCTTACATAAAGAGATCTTAGATTATCAATCTGCACTTACATTTTTAAACAATCATACTACTTTAATCAATTCAATCAATATCCTTGCTGGAAAGTTTGAACCTATCAAACATTATTTAGATGCTCATATTTCTCTTCTGACCTTCAATGATTCTATATCATTATTGTCACAGGCATATCTTTATCAATTAAAACTGATCAAATCGATTAAATTTAAAATCGTAACAAACTTGATAACAGCTAATTGTTTCATTATAAATTTTAACCTTTCTGAGGTGCCCACCAACCTACATTCTACCATCCATAAATTCATAAGCGCAATTCAGAATTCTCTTCAGATTGCCACTAGAGATGAAGACTATCAATTGTTAAACCATATATTTGTGCTATTTACAGATTTACAGGACGTCTATGATAACAGTAAAGGAAATATCCCTACCTCTACGATGATATCAACAATGCCTGGTATGGTTGCGGCGTTTGAGAGCATGAAATTCCTACAGAGACCAGACTTGAACGTCGGATAACATAATCTATCCTATACATCAATATAAATATTCTTCTATATTCTTTATAATAATGATCGTAATACATAATTAGTATGATATTATATAATAATTAATGCAATCATCACAAAGGCAAACAGTGGAAAAAAAGCTGAAAGGAAAAAAAAACAAAGAAATAAAATTAAAAAGGTGTCGCTGAATTAGATGAATTTGTCATACATATAATCATAAAGGGTCTATGGGGAGACAATTGGATCTTTAAGTAGAATTGAGAATAGTAATAAATAACGGTAACAGAATTTAATCAGTCAACTTTTAGTTTTGGACAAGGAATACACCGGAAATATATCGTTTTTTTTTGGCTACTGTGTGATTTTGTTCTATCTGATTCCTAACAACAAGTGTTAATAAGTGTTATAAGCAGAAATAAAATGACAGAGGAACAGAGACCAATTAGGCTTGCAGTACTAGGGGGTGAATCTACCGGTAAGACATCTTTTATCTCCAGACTTACATTAAATATTGTCCATGAATCGCATTATCCCACTCGAGATCAAACAAATTGGCTTTTTGATTACATACCACATTCAAAATTGGCAAAGACAATATTAGACGGACAAGCTCACGAAAGGTTATTACGGAGAACTCCAAATTCACAACGATTAGAACCGATTTTCAAGTCTCCTTTGGTATCTCCTAATGTATTATTGTCACCATTAGTGTTTCAAGCATTTATCGATAATTATACATCAATGAAGACACAATCAAAGAATAAAACTAATTCAAGTAATTTTTTCATGAAGAATTTAGATATTAAAAAGACAAACTCCAATAATGATAATGGGAGTGACAAAAATTTACAAGTACGATACTTATCATCACCAAATGCATCACAGTTATCACTCTCATCACAATCACAACAGGCCTTAACTCAATCGGAAGATGAAGAGAGCAACATTCCGAGTAATTATATTCCTCCTTCATACTCACCAATCCCTATTGATATAATTGATACTCCAGGGTTTAACCCTCAGATGGTGGTTCCATTTCTAGAGGTTTCTTTATTTAGAAACCTAGATAAAAGTATTTTGAAAGGGTTAGCTAATGAGCCAAGACAACCAGTATCCACGCGTACATTGTTAGTGGCGTCTGGTGCATCCGAATTAAATGGTAAAATAGATGGGTATATCCTAGTGTACAGTGCGATTCCAGAAGTTTCTCATCATAGTTTATCTTTACCACCAGAATATTCTAATGAACTAGAATCTAATGAGGTTCGGACTTCAGAAGAGGAAGATCCAAGTAAAGGAAGTTCTGATGAATCTAATGCCGGTGGATTTCAAATATTATTAAACATCAGGTCATGTATATTAGATGCATGGGCAGAATATGTTAATTATAAAGAAGCTTGGGAGAAAGGTAAAGAAGATGATATTTATTCTTTATTACATAATTTCAAAAATATTTGGAAATCGCAAGAATCAGAATCAACGAAAAATTCTAAGATAAAGGATTTGAGAACTTTTAAAACGATATTACCAGAAATCGATCTAAACCCAGCATCTCCTACCTCCCCACCACCTTGTATTATTGTGTGTACACATGTTAATGAGCCACTGGCAAGTCCAGTTCTTATAAAAAGGGGTAGAGATTTAGCAACTCAGTGGAATTGTGGATTTATTGGTGTTAATAATATCAATGATTTTAACGTGGATGTGGCTCTAAGTTTGATAATTAAAGAAATTGTTGAAAAGGAGAAACTCCTATCGCAGAGAAGGAAAAGTACTACAGAATCCAATAATGAATACGTTAATGATAATATGTTCACAAATTTAATTAAGAATTAGGAAGTATATATTTATATAATATTATTCAATGCATATAATTAGACATTTAGTCTATATCCATCGTCCGTTACATTTGAATATTGGAAATCCCCATGTCATATTTTATATACCGCAATGTTACCATTACCATATCCAACGTAACACCACGTTTGATGGATGTACTGTTCTAATCTTCTAGCCTTAGTGTATATACCATTTTTCTGTAGAGGTACAATGCATACATTGGCTCCAAATGGATCAAATATAGTCATTGCTCCTATTTTCTCGAATTTGACATCCTTGTTAGTAAGTTTGCTACGACTTGGGTCAATATTTCCCTGTGATGATTCGCTGACAACTACTCGACTTCTGGATGTCCAAAACACGTATTTCTCAGCATTTGTCGACCTATCCATTACCGCTGTCTTTCCTGACCATGTGGAAAATACAAATAGGTCCTTCGATAAACAAAGATGAGATATTTTTCCATAATTTGTCTTCATAATTTGTGATAGATAGGATTCTCTCCATAGTTCTTTATTCATTACAATATTCTGATTTGGGTCCACAAAGTAGTCGTCCATATTCTGGGTGTCCTGAAATAAGTTACAATGTGTATAATCGATTTCCTCGAGTTGTTTTTCTGTTGAAGAAGATATTAGAATACCATTTTCAATATCTAACGTTATATCTAGTATTGGATTTGGGTAATGAAATTTTGATAGTAGGATTACTTTGATGTATGAATTGTTTTCTAATGTTGCAAACTTTGTATTAACAATCTTAAATCCAATCACGAATCCACCCTCAAATCCGCAAAATAAAATATTTCTTGTATCATCTCTAATAATCTTCATTAGAATACCCATTTTTCCAAAATCTTTACCCAACAACGAATTCATTTCAATAAAATGCATGAAGGAAACTGAATTAAATAATCTAATTAGTGAATTCATTTTACCATTGAAAAAGTTGTAAATATCAATATTTTCCGAATTACTAGTGTTGCAACATACCATGGTATACTCTTCAGCTTGGGAACTAGAAAATATTGCAATATTGGCGAAATTCAGAGTGTTGACTTTCATCTCAAAAGTTTCCTTTAGATCTGTGTATATTCTCAACGAATGATCCTTTGATAGGACAATTATCCTATCGTCCAAAACATGTATGTCAATTACTTGAACATCCGATGGTAATTGAATCCTGTCGAGTGGTCGACGAGTTACTACATTCCATATTATTATAGCGCCATTCTCATCTCCAGACAATAGAATAGGTTCGGGTCCATATTTATTACTTCCATTTAAAACCAATGATGTTACTCTATGTGTATGGGATCTTAGTATATAGGTTGGAGAATGTTTATCAATCGCATCCATGATTATTTATTTTATCAGGTCTTATTATTTTCTTGTGGTAAGAGTCTGTGTGTGTTTTTCCAGTTTCAATGTTATAAACGTTCTTATAATAAAAAAGTGGCATTATCTTAAAGAAAAATGATCTAGTTAAGAATGCTCATTGAGGGGAAATGAGAATATGTTATAAAAAAAATTGATGGTAAATGCATTAAACATATAAAGTGTATTATTTAATAAATTATAAACAAATTTACATGTGTCTATCAAAGTTTCGAAAATTGTCATTGCAAATTGGATAAAAGTAATTACATTTATCGGTTCCTTTGTTCAAGTTGTTTGGAGGCTCTATTGGTAAATGGATTGATAGTTTCAGATGGTGATCTATTAGTTCGTTCACTTGAAGCTAAGGGAAATGTATTCTTTTCTTTGGAGGTCTTTCTCATACCAGGTAAAGTACTATTTGATCCAATACGAGTCCCTGGTAGTTGGCCTCCACTCATCGATGAGTAAAAACTACGTCTATTCTTATTATTGTTGCTATTTCCTGGGCTTGACATAGGATTTGAGTTAGCAATTGAATTGGTACGTGAACTCGATTTCATTATAGGGGTTAACCTTGTTCTTCCGAGAGTTGGACTAAAATCACCTGGTGATCTATTGGATAATGGACTCTCGTGTAGTTGTTTTAATTGATGTGGATTAAAATGGGATTTTTTATCTCTTGATTTTAATTCTTTATCTAAAGCTTCGGCGATATTAGAATCTTTGATATGATCTGGCAAACTAAATTTAGTTTCTTCAGATTGATTATTATAGAGTGTGGCAACATTGATACCAACTTTGAATAAATCTAGCATAAATTTCATCTTTTGAGATTCTGCTATAGTGTTGATTTGATGTTCAAGAATAGTGTTTTCATCCAACAAATTCGTCTCTTTAAGAATAATAGAATCTTTCTTAAATTGATGGATCTTTTCATTAATAATTTTAGGTTCAATTGATTCAGATTGATTACTGTAATGTGAAACCACTGATTGGTTAAATTGTTCAATTTCGTTTCTGAGATCATTCATTTCATCAAGACATAAACTTTTATAGTTTTCATGAGTATCCAATAATATATCGTATTTTTCCTTCAGGTTATTAATTTTCGATTTTCTATCATTAGCAACAGATGATATGTCAGAAATTGTATTGTTTAATGTTTTATTTTCATTTTGTAAAAAAATTAATTTTTCTTTGGCATGATTAACTTCTTCTTCGGTACTATGAATCTTTCTAACTTTTCTTTGCAACATTAAATTTAAATTTTCATATTCATGATTATAAAGTGAAATATTTTCATTTAATTTAATTTCTTTCTTTTGGGCATGTTCTAAATCTTCGAGTAGATTATGTGATTGAACTGTTAATTTCAAATTCGTATTTGTTAATACATCAAGTTGTTCGTGCAAGGATTCAATGACACTAGATGATGATATGTTAGCATTGATATTATTAAGATAACTAGTATTAGTATTATCAGGAGTATTTTCTTTTTTGGCACCAAAATTCAATCCATCTTTACTTATAGCATTATTACTAGTTGTAGTCATGGTTTCAGAATCACATTTTGTATCATCAGTATCATGATCATTCTCATTATCTTCTTCATTTGCTTCATCATCATCCTTATTGTTATTATTAAGGGATTCTTCTCTCTCATTCTCAGTCGTTATCATAGTCACTTCGTCATCCTCGTTCAAGATATGTTCTATCTCAGCCTCAAAGAAGGAACTCTGTGACCCCTTGCGCATATCAGACTGCATCACTCTATGGTCTTCTCCTATCCTTGTCATTATGTTTTTTAATTCTAAATGTAAATAAACAAAAACAAAAATATTTTATAGTTTTGCAAGTATATTCCAATTCGTTTTGACTTGTAAAAGAAACAGTCTATAAAACTTTCAAACAATAGAACTCATTGATAACCGCACAATTTGCAAAGAACTAGGCATATGATCTTAGATATATCTTCCTTTAATAGTTCCAACCACTCAGTTGCTCTCTCATCGTTGGCCTTGAAAGATCGAAAACAAAAAATTGAAACTTTCAACGCGTTTAAAAATTTCAGCCCTAATTAGTTTTATTATGGAAGTAAAACTTATTTGTAGCTTAATTAGTGTTAGGGCTTTTTACATCTTTTGTTTTGGCTCGTTTCACTTTCACCTTGACTGATGTTTTTCGATTTGAACTTAAATACTTCACAGAGACCCAAGTAACAAACACTTTTTTGATTTTAATCCTTTAAGAAGATAGACACGAAGTATCCAAGACACAGTTCATACGTCTGTTTATTATCTTAGTTCCAACTTTGTTTGTAACAAGTCTTTTGCTAGTATAAATTTGTCTCTCGTACAAATATATTTAAATACGAGCTGTGAAAGGTAAGCACAAGATGAATGATAATGTTTGGGGTAATGCCTCGATTTCCAATCAAACAGTAGACTCATATACATTTAAAGAGACTTCAGAAGCATCGACTTTAGATGGTGAGAAGTTATCGTTGATCAAGGATTCATTAAAGAAATGTCCCTCGTTGGATGATCCAAAGATAAAACAATTACAAGTTCCTTGGATTGAATTGGTCCAATTGATAACAGATGAAACAAGAGATGAAGAATTTAGAACATTTGAACAAATACTACAAAATGTAAAGGATGTTAATGATTTATCGTTAACAGGAGTTGCTTTGATTCATTATATTATTGCATATGATAGACCAAATTATATTGAATTATTACAACAAAGTTCCCAATCCAGTCCTACTAAAACAAATTTGAATTTAAATTGTACCGATGGAATTTGTGGATATACTCCATTGATGTGGGCTTTTGTTCTTGAGAGAAAAAATTGTACTATTGAATTGTTTAATTTTTCAGATCAAATTGATTTTACTTATCATCAACAAGGTACAGGGTACACTGCTTGGGATATGATTACTCCAGGTTCTTTAATGTATGATTTCCTCAATGAAAATAATATGCTACAATACAATGATAAACAATCTACTACAGAGAATGATAATGATGTGGCAGGGTTGAATTCAGATAAGAATAAGAGCCATGACGCAATTGATAACATTGATTTAAAAATAGCAGGAATGGGGATCGGACTTAGTGCTGGTGGTACCTCATCAACAAATATGAACGAAGGTTTTTCAAATCGTCATGATTCATCAGATATGTATGGTACAGAATACAAGAATGACCAGATGAATACTTATGAACATTTTGATTTTAATAAATTAGTTAAATATCAATATTTCGAATTCTCAGATTATGATATTCCTCAAATATTGGATTTTTTAACGTCATTACCAATAGAACATCAACATATGACTACATACCCTGCTGCACTGTTGTTTCAATGTATTAGATATGCTGATCGTAAGAGACAGTCACCACAATTGGTTCAATCCTTGGTTAGTTTATCGTTTACTAGAATTATTGCATCCGTTGCAAATGAAAAACCAAACAATAATAATAATAATAATAATAAATCCAAGAAAGGTCTTTATAATCATGAAAACGGTGATCAAAAGGAGGAAAACTCAACTCTATCAAATTCTGTACCTTTGTCTCAACAAGATTCAACATTTCATGACAACACCCAACCTGAAAATAATAACAATAAATCAGATCCAGTTTCAAAAGGTGATATCGTTACACAATCGTATTGGATTGGTTCTTTGACGTTCTTATACTATTATCTTTCGAAAGATGAATCATTTTTTAAAAGATATCCAGCAATAATGCAGGAATTGATTAACACGATGCATTCAATAATGATAGAATTAACGGTATCTATTCATTCAAGACTGTCGCCTTTAATCGAACCCACTCTTATAAACTATACTACGATTAAAGATGTAGAACAAACTTTATACAAAAAGGATTGGAATTTTTTCAAAAAGAGAAGACAAGCTAAACTTTTAAAGAGGGAAAAAATGAAAAAATTGGAACAGCAACAGAAGGAAAGGCATAGTCTGGAGGTTCCAGAAAATGGAGACTTAAATGAGGACAGGAGAGCAAGCAATGATAATAACGGTCTTTCACATACTTCTTCTAGGGTATCAAACAATGACTCAATTATTTTCGACAGTGAAGTATTAAAACATTTATTACCTCCATCATTACAAGAACAAATGAAACCATCTCCAGTTAAGATTATTCAAATTTTTGGTGCCTTATCGTATGTTTTAAATTTACATCAAGTTCATCCATTATTCCAACAACAATGTCTATCTTTGACAACCAGTTGGTTTTCAACAAGTCTATTTAATATGATTTTAAAAGATCGTAAGAAGAAAACCTTATCGAGAGCAAGGGCTATTCAAATTAGACTAAATCTTTCCTCTTTAGAAAGTTGGATAAAAAACAATGATTTACTTGTTCAAAGACCAAAACTTATTGATGATTTTATGTGGGAGAGGTTTCCATATACTCTAGTTCAGGAATTAAACACTATTGATATGACAAACCCTGTTCTGAAAAGTGTTACCACTTATAAGCCTGTAAATGGATTTACTGAATCGACAATCATTACGGATATGTCAAACTCCCTGTTCTACTACCAAAGATTCCATAAAATTGCACAATGGCATTTGGAGCCTATCTTTGAATTACTTCAATGGCTACAGATTGCAACCACATTAGATTCAGAAGAATCATTGGAGAATACTAAAGATTTACTACCAAAATTGTCCAATAGTCAGCTTGTCAAAGCCATTGACAAATATCATTATGAAGTAAACGAACACAAGTTTAATTCTAAACTGAAAAAAGCTTTGACTAATGAGATCAAAAGACAAGGCTTAACAGATAAGGTATATCTCGACGAAAACCAAATTCCCCTTTTAACCTTACCAACAGTACCAGAATTAACAGATGCTTATGCTAATGAATATGAATACTTACCTTTGTTGCCTAATGATATACAAGATGTGATGTATGATATTCATGATGAAAACTACAAAATGAGGTTGAATGATGATGGAATAGCAAACAATTTGTCGGAAGAAAAAGATACTACAGATACTGATAAAGAAAATATTGACAGGAATATTGATAACAATGATGAACAAAACAACGATACAGATTATACATTTACTTCAAACAAAGAGGGCGATGATAATATATTTAAAGAATTAGATGTACCATCTGCTACTGTATCTCGTCCTGTATGGGCAACTAATGATGATATTGATGGTAATCCGTGGTGAACTAAATTATTCATTTTATGTTTATACAATTATATCATGTATTATAAGTTATTTACGATGTTTATCACGATGTGATATCATAAAAATATCTCAGGTCTATCTTTGTTTATACCGTGAACAATACATAATATTTACGACTTACTTAACGATTATATAATTAACGATAGACAACGTTTCAGCAATATTCTTTCATGTTGGGATTGGTGAATTGTGAGTAACTTCCCTGTTGTTTAATAGTACTATGACTACCTGAAGATGTTGAAATAGACCTTTGTTTATTCCCAAACATTTCAGTGGCAACTACAACTGGAGAAGCATCGAGTTTTACATCATTACTTTCACTAGTCTGGGAGACCACAGGGCTGTTTAAGACGCCTTCGTTCACTTTTTTCGAGATCGTTCTCCTATTGGATATCATCTGTGGCGGATCTTTCATTGGTTCTTTTGTTGGTACAGGAATCGTATCGGTCAAATTATCATGAAGTTTTTCATTGGATTCTATTTCGTCATAATTTTCAGAATCTTCTTCTGGTAATTCGTCTTCCTTTGTTGCGACAGTTTCCTTGTACCATTTATTAAGTTTACTCATTGAATTTTTAATATATTTTTTTGATTTTGCTGAATGATCATCTAACTTGTTAGCTATTTCTTTCTTTTTGCTGTCTTTCGTAGAATCAGGATCCGACTCTATATTGGAGTTATTTGGTTGATTCGTACTATTTGCCGACGAGCTTAAATCCATAGATAACCTTGACGACTTTAAACTGTTCCTTATAGAACCCATTTTTTCAATCGTTCTATATTTAACTGATGTTTCGGTAGTTTTAAATGAGCTACTACTATTAGCTTTATTCTCCATCTTGCTAGAGAAATTATCAGAGTCAACATCGTTAACTTTAGACTTAATCGTATCTAAATCTAGATTTAATGAAGATGCTGAAGGCTTCGTATTTTTTGACCAAACACCACCTCTATATATCTCATCGGTAGTAGAATAAAAAAAAATATCATCGTAATATGGCACTACTAATGATTCTTTGATGGCTTCAGCAAATTTTCCTTTAATTGCGTTAGTAATTACATTGTACGACAATTTACTCGAACTTACAATTGGTTCTACATCTAATTCCATTACAGGTTCACTTTCGAAAGCATACCATATTCTATTTGAAGGAGGTGGTTTGAATAACACTAAAAGGGGACCAGTCACTTCTTTAACCTTTATAGATAACTGCAGAGAGACTTCTCTAGGTTTAAAATGAGATCCTAAATTGATGTTAACTTTAGTAGAGATGATAACTTCTAGAGAACCCTTATATGATACATCTGCTAACAATTTCATTGAGCCTTCTGGTGACATTTCCGATAAACGCGGATTTGTTATAAATGGGACACTGTTACCAACGTCTACCTTTTCAATTACAAAATCGTTTAAAAACCCTGGTTTATTGATTTTGGTTAATTTTTTATCTATCCTCTCTAGCAGCGCTTGATTCAAAGTGTCTGTCTCTTGTAGTGACAAGAATAGTCTCCCTAATAATGCATTTAGCCATTTTGTGGTTAATTGTCCCTGTGTAGAGTTTATAGTTTGGATCAAATACAACGCATCGGCAGTACTTAGATATGCTGTATCAGCCATAATATTGGGATTAAAAGGTGAATTATTCTCAGATGGTGATATGTTTTTAGATGCGTTAATTAATTGAAAATACCAATCTTCTTTATCCATATTATTTTCAAAATATAAATAAAATTGATTTGCTTTGGAAGTCTTTAAAATCACAGTATCCTGATTGGTTTCGTCGGGTTCCACAATGTTGTTGTTGGCAAATAATAACGTCTTCTTATCCTCATCCAATGTCACCGAACCTTTTCTAAATAATGCTAGACAAGTTCTCTTTGTATACAGGCTAGCATCAGATAATGGTTCATTGTCTGTATTACAACGTGGCCAAATGGTAACAAACATATCTTTCAAAGAAAATGCATGGAGAAGATTTTTCCTACTTGGGTCATCATCCTTATATAGGAAAAGGTTTCCTTCTCTGAGTATAGCGTAAAATTTTTGTCTTTTCTTCAATTGAGATCTTTGTAAAACTGTTTCATCCTCATTTAACCCCAATTCTTTTAGTTCTGTGAAGTGGTAATAATATTGATTTGTGATACTAATCCAACCACTGTATTTCACATCCACGCCAATCTTCTCCTCATATTTCCCTGCTTTCAATGCAGGATCAATATCAGGAACAATCAAACTTGAAACTAAATCTTTACTGTTGTCGTCATCTATAAGCTCATTCTTTTTGTTGAAATACAAGAATGCGATTATCACTAAGGGAATGAAAGTAATACCACCTAGAAAATATGCAAAAATAAATATCTTTATTCCATTCATTTTACTGAATAAAACAGCAATGTTATATTCGAGCTTATTGACTCTATAAGTTGACAATTAAGAGGAGTTGTAAGTAATGATAGTACAATGGTCTGGTGCTGTAAGAATTAAATCAATTCTCTTTGAAATATAAAGTTGTCAAAAAAAAAGGCGAAGCGCTTAAATTACTTTAACAATTTAATAAATAATAAGCATAAACGAGAATCCAAACAAGTTGAAATAACGCCATCCTTCTAATCAAGACATCGCATCATAAATAGATGTATATATATATACAAGATACTATAAATTAAGTGTTTTTTACCTTTATAAAATATTTGGTTCTAACTGAATATATATATATCAGAGTCATTAAATCAGTATTTTTTGTATGATGTAGTCATGATACCAAAATATGGTATTAGTACAGTGTGAATATAAAAAAATCATCATAAATAAACAGTTAGATCCAAACACGTTAACAAATAGACATTAAACATAATTAGAAACCAGTATCATCTCCTGATGATACAGAAGACAAAAAAAATAGTCAAAGATTTCAATAAATCAGCTATCTTGAGACCAATCATCAATTCTCCCAGTGCACACAATAATGTCCAGCTACTGTTCCTTTAAAAATTTGTACACAAAAGAACAGCAAGTTGCCAGACTGCATACTCTGAGATACTAAATATGTCCGCCCGGTCGATAAATAATCATCATAATAATATTGAAATATTTGAACATTTTCTTTTGGAAATTGAAAAAGATAAGTGATAATAAATTAGTATTAATTTTATTAATTGTTTAATATGAGCTCTCATACAAGGCTGAAACTTAACGAAAAAAGGTTGTCGACATGCAGTAAAATCCTACTATTCAGTCGGAACAATTGGTATATTGGAAAATGTTTAATCACTGAGACATCACAAAAAAATAAACAATAATATAAGATTAATAAATATATTATCATTGCTTATCTTGGGTTACCATCTGGTAACACCATTCAATTTAAGCGCATGCTATTAAATATTTAACTCATCTTTTTCATATCCCTAAATGGGTACTTACATTAAGCTAAATATTTCCTGAATTAATACATTAAAGAACCGTATTTATAAAAGACCAAACTTAAATAACAACACACAAGTGGCAATTGAAAAAGTTTTATTCAAATAAATTTTTCTTGTCGCTTTTTATATGAAAAACTTTTTCTGTCGCCACTGGAGGCGATGACCCAACATACGTCGTCCACAGTGACTGATCATATTTAATTAGGGCTTCTCTCATCTATATGCAACATCGAGCCACATTTATACCTCAATGTATCCCAACTTTTGTAATTCCTTTACAACTCCTTCTTTAGCATGGTGGTCATAGTTCATCTTTTCCTGATATTTATTATCAGATATCAAATATAATGTTCGCGAAACGGTCTGATTGATGTTGGTGAATTGCTCTTTAGTTAGTCGTATCGGACTTGACCGACAATAGTACAATTTCAAGGCACTTCTTACATGATTCTGTATCTTTCTCTTTGTTTCTCGTATTCTCTCCAGCTCATCCTCTCTAGTGGATTCAGTAATGTTGTCATTTTGAATAGATGGCAATGACAACATTGGTGGTTCACGTATATTCGTTCTCCGATTATCACGCATGTGTTCCGTTTGAGCTCTACATTCGATACATTGTTGCCAAGTATCACTTTCGCCAATCTCACTGGCTGTTACATGAAGACATCCCTCATGATATCTTGCATTACAATCGGGACACCTCGTATCGGCATCTGTTTCTTCATCATCTCCACATATCCTACATAGCAAAGTATTATATTCTTTTCTCATTGAATCCAACACTTCTTGTTCTGCCTCTATATCCTTCTCTGAGTCATCATCATTCATTTCCTCGATGTTTAATATTGTTTGAAATAATGTGGATAAATCACTATTATTAGTTTCATCATTATCTTGCTGAGTAGTCGTTAATCCATGATCAATTTCCGAGCTGTAAGTTTCTTCTATTTCTAAATTATTATTAGACATCAAACTATCATATTCAAGTACACTTTCAACCAGAAACCCTTTATTTAAATCAATATGCACTCTCTTCTCATACCATAACTTATAATTATAAATTAGGGACATCGATAATGACGTTGTTCTACAGATCGGGCAATTTAAATCTGTTGCAAAAGTATGCCATTTCCTTATGCAATCGCTATGAAACTTATGGTGACATGGCAATAGTTCCCCTATTGTATCATAAACTATTTCAGAATATGATTCCTCATGTATTGTTTTGATTAGAATAGGCTCAATACAAATAGAACACTCCATTCTTAATATTTATTTACTTTTGTTTATATTATATGACGTAAATTGACCTTTTATGATCTTAAATCATATATCACTGTATTATATCAGTCTTAGTCTCCTGAGTATGTTTCCACGGTTCACATTACCCATATATCTTTAATAAACGTGAGAGATCAACCTTCTTCCCACACTATCACCGCTTATTAACATTAATAATTATACTGCCACACACATACACACGCACACACCGAAAAATTTAGTTAAGATTACTCCGATGACCTAAGAATAAAATATATATAAGAGCAAGACATACGTAACAAGGCAGAAGGTAAGCATTAGTAGTAGTACGAAACACAATAATAACAAAGACGAGACTTCTGTTTATATTTTATATCCATCTGTACTAATACCTAATACTATTTTAATATGTCTCGACATCAATTTGACTTGGTTATGTGCATGAAGCAGCCAGGTACCCACATAGGTCTATTATGTGAGAAATGTGATGGGAAATGTCCCATTTGTGATTCTCAGGTGAATCCAAAGTACAAAGTAAGAATATGTGATTCGTGTTCATTTGGTAAACAAGGAACATCCTGTGTAATATGTAATACGGGGAAAGGTGTAGCAGAAGCTTTCTATTGTTGGGAATGCTGTAAATTAGAGAAGAATAAAGATGGTTGTCCCAAGATTTTGAATATTGGCAGTAATAAATTGGATAGACATTTCGATCGGAAGGCTATAGAATAATGAAAAATATTATGTGAGATATATCGTGTATGTATCTTTTTCATTAAATGTAATATGCAAATATGTATATGTAATGTATATATAAGTAACTATATATTAATGTTTCGATAGATGCTAAATAAACCCATCCAAATAGAAGGGAATATATCACCAAGTAAATTGTTATCGAGTTCAATGTAATGAGCTTCCATCTAATGGTTCATTAAAATGATCTCCATTTTCATCACTATTTTCCGTAAAACATGTATGGAGGCTATCCTCATTAAATGAAAACATTCTGTCCTCTGACATGGCGCTTGTTTGGATAACACTTTCAGATTCGTCTGTGGGATATACCTCTTTGACAAGATTAAGTGTATCGACAATAAAGTTGTAACAATCATTCCTTCTGTATTCACGAATAAGCATTTTTACCTTTTTGGAAAGATTCAAGGTATTATTAATCATGTCGTTACGTGTCTTTGAACTGATAGGAATACTTTGTTTGAAAAGAATGAGCTCTCTTTCAATCAAATTAAACTTTTCTATAATTTTTTGGTTTTTAATATGCAAATCATAATATCTATGACCAATGGTTTCTGTTTCTTTGCAAACAATTGTATCATTTAAACATCGATAGTTGTTAGAAGTGCCGTGAAAACATCCAATAAGATTAATTGAATCGATCCAATTTGATCTTTCGAAGTCGTTTTTGCATCTCCATATAGACTTTCCGTGTGTCCCCCATAATATGAATGGATAATCCTTTTCTTTTGATTCTTCATTATTATCGATATTATCATTATTTTGATAACTAGATTCGTCTTTAGTTGTTTCAGCATATAATTCATCATTAAATAACATCACAAAACCGCTTCTGAAATTAACGGTGTAATAACTTTCACCAGTTTTATCATTTCTATTAACTTCAGTTGTAAATAATTCAGAGGAATCAGAAAAGATAGAGCCACTAGGTATTAATGTATGATGATGACTTGATTTGTTAGAATCGTATATTAGAATACCGCAATTCGTTAAAAGCACAGTCTTTGATCTCCAACTATTATTACTTGATAACTCTTCGATTTCACCCATTCTGATAATTTTTAAGTAATAAAATTTTGTTTTGGACCTTAATAATTGATTGTTGGATGTTTCTTTAGGATTGATGATTTCATAATTTGGAATATTTAATTTGTTGAGATGGTTCTTCGGAATCCTCAAGTATGCCCCTTTGAATTCCTTCAATATAGCATAGTACTTCTTGTATTTATTCTCCTCATTATGCTGAGGCGTAACATTGTAAGTACTAAAATCATGAGGCATTAATTTCACAACTTGTAACGTCATTGATATTTCGAAAAGATTATCATTGAAAATGTGATAATATATATCAATATCATCCTTAATTTCAGCAGACGACGTACCGCTAGATTTATATGCAGATAAGAATGGATTCCCAGCGGCGCCACCCGGTGTCAATGTAGTAAAAGTATTTGAAGACGGTATTGGTGTAGGCGTCATGTTTGTGTTCGAAAAATACGATGAAATGGAATTAGAAGAGGGGCGACCTTTAAAAGATAATGGTGGCGTGTAATCTTGTGTCAGTGCATTAATTGCTGAATCATCGATATCTCCTGTTGTATTATTAGAATTATAACTAGTTCTTCTGCTGTTGAATAATTTATTTTGCTCTATTATTGCTTTTGGAGAATATATTATTCCATCATTTTCATCCAATATGGTCATGGTTTTATCATTTTCTTTATGGATCACACCATCTTCAATTGAGTCGATCGCAGATTCTGTGTTTGGTTGGCTTAACGCGTTACTAGCATTGTATGGTAAAAGTGATGTCCTGGAAGTTCCCTCGGAAGAGTTATTTTCAGAATAGGTAAACTCTATTGAACTTGGAGTTGAAGGACTTAGCATGGAATAATATGTAGAAAAATCAAACTTTGGCGATTCTTTCCCAATGATATTGTCGTAATAATATGCTAATATTTCTAGGGGTACTTTGTCCCCTTCGGAGTATGTATCTTCGTGAACAAGGGTAATAAATTCCTGTCTAGTCATTTTCTGTTTATTATTCGCATTGAAATAATCTGTGTGAAGCACTAGTAAAGAAAATATTACAAAGTATACTTGGTTATGATTCGTCCAAGGGCAATTAGTTCCATAGTATGATTTTTGCTTTTCATAGTATACTTTAGCGAATTCTGTAAGAAGTCTGTCGATTTGTTGAGCTTCCTTCGGAAGTTCCAAAAATATTAACAGTTTTCGAAGTGCAATATCTAAGGGATCCATCGCAAAATCAAAATATTCAATTAAGAAAAATTTTAAACAACCAAGTTTGTAGTCGTCAGGCTTTTCTGTTAGAATTACAGAAACGAATTTTCCATAACCTGATAATCTTTTCAGATAACTTTCATATGGCTCATTTTCTTTATACGCTGGAGGTATAGGTAAATCTGATAATTTAACAGGTGCTGTACTTTCTGGTTGATAATTATAATTTTGGAAATGAGGTGGTTTATTTGAAGAACTACTTCCAGATCTTAAATTCACAAAACTACTTAGAGCATTTACTATGGAATTACTTCGCCTGGATATTGAAAATGTAGAATTAGTATTGCTCTGAAGACTTGGTGCATTATGACTGGAGTATGGTTTCGAATTCGTAGTATCTGTACTTCTCCTTGTTAGTGGTCCACCAAAGGTGCCCAATCTTTCTGGAGATGTTGGAGGGTATGGCTTAGTTGAAGTAAAGAGCTCGCTATTCTCATTTTTATCTCGCGATTCATTTAACTTGAAGGAATTGGAACGACTCACTTTCGCTGTACCAGGTATTCTTGTTGGTCTGGCTGAAGGTGTTCTATTTTTCTTCAATGTGTCATATACGTCAACGGTCTTACTACGCCTCCTAGTTATAGATGCAGATAGGTTTGGAGGTGTTAATATCTTATGTTCTTCCTCTCCGGGGTACTTGGGTAATTCGATATTGTCATCGTTAGATCTTAAATGGCGTAATGCTGTTACATTGTATAACCTAAAAGGTGGAGAATTTGATCCTCTGTTTTCTGATGTTGTTTTCACGGGGAGAGTGGTGGATGGATGTCTTGAATGGTTTCTACCTGGTTTTGATTTTGTATTTTGAGATGAGTATGCAGATGATTCAGAAAATGTACGATACATTTCATTGTAGTTGTGAAATTCATCATCCTTTATTGGAAACTTTTCCAAACTTCGTCTGATGGGACTTCCATTGAATGAATTTCTTGTTGTCCTTGTGGTGTTCTTAGTTATTGATAATTCCATTGGGATTATATCCCCATCTCCTAAATTTTGTATGTCACTTGTGTTTTTGGGTTGTTCAAATGTGTTCGGGGTAATTTCCTTTGAGGCACTTCTACTTGGTCTAAAGTTCATGTCAAATACTCTATTCTTTAATCTTCTTATCCTACTATTAGAGTTGATATTGGGATTCGGTGCTATACTACCTGTGATTTCATTTTCTTTATTATCTTCTTCTATTGGAGTTGTATCCTTGTTGGTGTTCTTTGGAGTCTCAGGTAGAGAGGAACTCGCTTCTGAAATTGGGTTCAGTTCAGAACCTTCATTTATGTGTGTTGTAAAATCCATGGTCGGAAGTGACCCTATCCTATTCGTTTGTTTATTTGAATTATTGGTATTGGATCCTTCTCCATCTGTATCAGTATTGTTGGTATAAGTATCATTATCATTATTACCTTGGAAAAGCCTTGATTTGATACGTGACGTTATCGACTGGCTCATTTTCGACAAATCTTGCAGGTTGGAGTGTTGTACTGGGATGATTCAGAGTGATGACTTCAGGCAAATGAGTTAAAGAAATAAAAAAAAAATTCGATCGTAGGGAGAATACTAGTGATTACACTATTAGGATTATTATTAAAAAAATAAAATTGTCTTATGGACTCTGTCTGATGTTATGATGCAAAAGAGAAAAAGGTAATACATATACTTATGTATTAGCTTCAACGATTAAAATGATTATGAGAACACTGGACTGATTAAAAAAAAGGGAAATACCGCTGTACAAATCGATACTACTTGTCACCTTTTTACTTTTCCAGACTTGTGTTTACTGCTCTAAGTGAGATGATATCCCTTTACCTTTTAAAGATTCCTTGATCAACTCTGAATATTTTGAGGGGAAAACCCTTATTTCAGTAAATAATTGAATAGGAGAGAGTGTGACAGAATTTGATTATTACTCAATCAAGTGTTACTATTATTATTAATAGCATATCCTTTCCTCGATTTTATGAAGCGAGCGCGCGTACAAAGAATAAAGAACAATAAGTAACTGGAAGAGATGGAATAAAAATGTTATTTATATAGACAGACAGGGGACAAATTGTTTGCAAAAAAAAGTTATAGGGATCTTTTCACTAAAATCTGTATGATCTGATTCATTTAAGGGCTGAGGTTGAGTTAACTTTTTTATTGTTATCATCTGATTGAGTAATTGAGAAAGAGAGATCAAGTGATTAGAGTGTATTTGACTTCAGAAACTAAATCAGAAAAAAGAAATGTCTACAGATACAGAGAAAGAGACAGGTATTTATTCATTAAATCCAAAACAAGAGCATTATTTGAAACGAGAAATATTGAAGTTTCAACTTGAATATGAATTTAATCAATTGAATGAAAAAGAGGCGCTAAGAACTTTTGGGTATCCATTTTCTACCACAGATCCTAAAGATTTTACTAAAAATGGATCTAAGGCTGCTAAAACTCCTAAAAATGATGAATTGGGAAATTTAGATATTTCTACAGTGACTGATTTCCCGATGTTAAGTTGTTTGTTAAGAGAATTTGTTATGACTTTTCCTTTATTTGCCAAAAATGTATCTATTGATGAGGCATTTTGGCAAACAAAAGTTCAAGTATTTTTTGAACATTTTACAGATCTTGGTTTTAGTGATAGTTTTGATCTTGAGCAAGATACTAAAAGGAAGAAATTAGGTCAAAAATTTACAAAATTGATTTTGTTATTATTTAATTCTGGGGTTGCTACTAAAAATGAAAAAACATATTATGAAGTGGATAAGAAGTTCAGTTTAAATAAAGATAGTAGGAAAAGATCCAAGATTGAAGAATTTTCAATACCGACAAGGGAAAGTATACAAAATCTAATTACCAATGAACCTGTTTACATCAATAATTGGGATATTAATGTGATAGCAATCATACATGAATCAACTTTACAGAAAATTTCACCCTTGATAAATATATCTACACCTCCATCAAGTTCGACAAGTTCGCTATATTCCGTGAATCCATTAAAATCTACATCTCGTTGGATGAAGGATACGTTTGCTGTACAATCATCAACTTCATCATTATTCTCTAAGCTTTCCCTTAGTGGGAGTACAAACTATATGACTGCAGCACCAGTATCGTCTTCAGTATCTGTTGGGGACTTGACAGCATCCAAGAAGAAAGCAGGTAAGAAACATTTTATACTTAAAATAAGAATGCCTGACTCTTTGGAGGAAGTGTTTGTGGTTAAGTCATATAGTAGTTTCAAGAAATTGGCTGCAGATTTAGTACTCCAATTTCCTGGTAAAAAATTACCACATATTCCTCATAAAATTAAGAAAAGATCTCAACTGCATAAAGTAAGAAGTACATCTAGTATCAATTCTAAGAAAAGTACTATATCAAGCTCCAAAAGTGAATCTTCTTTCCAAATAACACAGTCTATAGATGAATCATTTGCAGAAGAGAATAATATCATAGATCAAGGCAAGGAAGACAATATTGTTGAAGATGAAGATGAAGACATTAGAGAAGAAGAGTTTGGGTACAATGAATTAATGGATGATAAATTACGTACCTCTTTGAGACAGTATCTTAGAACTTTATGTGATGATGAAGAGGTTGCACTTTCATCTACATTAATTAAATTTTTCAACTCAGATAAGATACCTACAATAAATGATCTTCAAAATTCTGAAATTAGAATAGATATCAAGAGGAGAGAAAATATTGATATTTCGAATTTAGAGACTCAATTAAATTTTCAAAAATTGGCTCTTGAGCGATCTCTTGTCCTTCAGGACTCAATGAAGAATTTTAAAACGAACTTATTAAAGGATGATAATTACTTGATTGGATTAGCACATGAAATAAAAGAAAAGACGAGCATTAATGAACTATCTCCCATATTCCAGGATTTTATTGAATGGTTTAAAATATATTTTGCCTCTCTAATTTTCCAAACTTTTATTGGACATGATAATAGTTATGGGTTTTACACTCAAATAAGGCGTTTGCATAAGTTGATGCCTTACACCATGATGGAACAGATCGTAAGATTTACTAACCCGATGGCAATGATGAAAGGTTTTATTGATTTATTTATGGCCCAACCACCTCAATTACTTGGTGGAGGTCAATCTTTATTACAGACAATGTTTTCGACTATTTTAACTGATGATTTGCGTATATATAAGAATCGTGTCAAAGATCAAGAAAATTTGATAATAAAGGAATCTGTCGATACTGTGGCTACCAAATCTGTTATTAAATGTCTTAGATCGTTCATATTAGATAAAGAAGAAGGAAAGAAAATGTTTACAATGGAAGATGTTCACCGGGAAGCTTCTACTATGAACATGCCTGCAGTCTTAATAGTACTAATGAAATGTGATGATTTGAATATAATTACTAATAGTGCAGTTACTCAAGTGATTGAATCCTATACAACATGGAAGATTAATGCCAATAATGGTACGCCTAGTGTCTCTACTGATAGTAAATCACCCAGTCCACTAGCCAGTAAAGAGGATGGATCTTTATATTTCCAAAGAGTTAAAGTGTTGTTCATTCTATATATTAAAGAACATGATAAACGATTAATGAGGCAATTATGGCAAGATTCGGAATTATTAGCTTTGTTAAAAGCTATTGTGACATTAGTATATGAACCAATGGTTCGTTTATTCAAAGTCGCAAAGATGGATGTTGCATTAAGAAATTTCGAGAGGTTTATGACGGATTTAATTAAATTACTTGATATGATTATTGACGGTAGTGCAGGAGCTTCTACTCAATTCAATGTGATTGATAGTATCTATAATCTGATTACAAAGCACCAGGACTCATTTTTTGAATTTTTACATGATATTTATATTAATGATACTGAACAAATATTTGAAGGTTTTATTCTTTGGTTTGGTAAAATTATAAAATTTTTACAAACCAGTAAATATGGTTCTGATGAACAACGTGTGGATCTTAATGCTTTACTCTTAGAAGTTAAAAATGATTTAGGGGTCGATATTGATATTGAATTATTAAAGAATCAAATCGATGAAGTCATTGCCAAAAAATGTAATGCTCGTAAGATTTATAAAGAGATCATTGATCTAAGGACTCAACAGGATTCCAATAATTTGTCAGGGAATCAAAGGGGAGTATCCATAGAGACAAATATGAAGAAGAAATGGTCTGAGATCAATGGTAATATCATGCCTGATAACACCATGAATGCAGGGTTAGGAGATGGGGATCTAGTTGATTTGGATATAGATACCAAGGATTTAGATTCCGATGGATTAGATTTTTTGAAGGATGCTTCTGGTACCGATTTAGAGGCTAAATATCGTGCGATCCTTGAGCAAGAGATAGACGAGAGTGAAATACATAAGTTTACAGACAAATTCAGTGCAGCTATTCTGCAACGTACTCTTGGTGACGCATGATACATCACTCAACCTATTGCATACAGCCTGAGAAACAAGCAGCCATATCTGTATATATATCCATTTATACATATATATAGCTTTATTAGAAACATACACAACAACATTAAACTAACGATAACACAGCTATAACCATTGTAGTAGTGATTGGAATGGATCTCCCCTACCCATGGACTACCCACTGGTGCCCTTCTTCCTTTATTGAAGTGAGAACTAGAACAATGAGAGAAATAGTCCTTCTTAACGTACATCGGCAGCAACGGCTTTTGTTTCGGAGGGGCAGAAAAGAGACAACGGAAAACTGAACAAACTATGAAATAATAATAATAATAATGGACGAAAAATAACATTGAGAATAGAGAAAGTACCCTGATTCTGATACCACTCTTATTAAAGGGAAGTTCCGGGTTTTTAAAAGTAGAAGATCAGTAAAGTTACTAATTTTAAAGCATTTAATACTCACTCTCTAGTTAACAGTTTTTATTTATTTGGTAAGACAATATATATATATATAGATATAGATATAGATAGTTACACAAACATCATTTTAACAACACTAACAACAAGTATGGCTAATTCCAACGTATTTTCAAGTGCACTTGCTATCACCGGTATTGCCACTGTAGTATCAGTGGCTGGTTATGCTTTTTACTTTGATTATCAAAGAAGAAATAACACAGACTTTAGAAAGTCTTTGAAGAAGAAATTAAGAAAACAAAAGAAAGAAGAAGAAAATCAAAAAGAAGAAGCTAAACAAACTAAATTACAAGATATTAGGGAGTTTCTAAAGAGTGAATTAGCTAAAAATCCAATTCCAACTGATCCAACTCAAATTCAAAATGTTTTCAGTAATAATGTTGAATTAGGTGAACATTTGTCTATGACTCCAGGTAATGAGTTGGAAGCTGCTGCTAAATTTTATAAAGCTTTGGCTGTATACCCAAAACCAACTGATTTACTTGGTATATATCAAAGAACTATCCCTGAAAATATTTATGAAATTATTGTATTGATGATTGCTGTCATGCCTCCAACTAACATCACCGATTTTATCTCTGGTGGCCTTGATGGTGCTGATGCATTAGGTATTGATGAAGATGAGGAGGAACCTCTGATCTCTGAAATTATCGAAGAGGAAGAGGAAGATGAGGATGAAGGTATTATCAACACTGAAGATAATGCAAACGCACCAGTTGCTGAAGAAAATATGGATGCGGAAATTGAAATAATCAATGATGCTACAGAAGAAACTGCTGAATTAGCTGACAGAATTATAGAAGAATTTGCACAAGAGATTGCTGCGGATGCAGAAGAAGAGGAAGGTGAAGAAGGTGCCACTAACTGAAACTGGTAATAATGATACAAATAACAGTTGAAGGATCAAAGAGTAATAGTATGTGATATCACAATTGCATATTTTACTTCTCCTGCGTTATTATTTGTTTAATTTTTTTATTATTATTGAATATTAAGTTTTAAATCATGCATTTATTTATTTTTCTTCATTACCTTTGTTACTCTTTTATTATTATTATCATGTTTTAACTCCAAAATCGTGTAAATATACATATACATATAAACAAATGATAATAACAAATAACTTCTATAATTATTTTACTATTTAGAATCATTCTTTTCCATTCTTTTAGCTAGGATAAACTTTTGATATATAAGTAAATAAATAGAATAAAAAAATCAAATTCATTATGAATGTTATTATTTACAGGTTAATAAAATTAATATTCAGCTTTCTCTCATTTGGGTATAAAATGTAATAGTCCCTTAGAAAGATAGACACCATAAACTATTAAACTAATCACATGAGAGACGTTAAATAATAAACTTATACCATGAGATTTCCCAAATTCTGTTCTTAACGCTTTATCTAATTCTTCTAATTTCTCTGGGTCATCCTTATATTTAGTTTTAAGTTCTAATCTTTGTTCTTTAACTTTTCTATTCCATGGTAATAACCAAAACAAATTAAGTAAACCACTAGCAGATGCTGCAGATAATGCTAATGCAGGTGCCATAGTTAATGGCATAGGGGCAGTCAAAGCAAGCAACATTGGCGAAAACCCTTGCATTGCAAAAAAACTAGGAAACACTTTACTCTGTAAGATAGAAAATTGATCTCTAGCTAACACTTTGAATGCGATTGGAGATGCTACATATGAATAAAAAGCAGAGCCACCAAATGCAAAAGAATATAATAATAGATGAGATGCAGCTTTCACTAAAGGCATTGCGAATATATGTAATGGTATGTTGTTGTTGTAGTTGTTGTTTTAGAAAAAATGAGGTTTATATTAACAATACTTCTTTAATATCTGAAATATATATTCCATAAAGATTTAAAAGGGTTTATTAATAGATGGTTTTCACAAGATAGCATAAGTAAAAAAATCCTTTTAAAAGGGGAGAGATATATCTATCTCTAATAAGAGACTTTTAAGTTCCCTCGGGTTCCTTATTTTCATTATTCGTAATTTGAATTTGTTCTCAAAGAGCGAAACAGAGAGGGAAAGGGAAAATTTAGATAAAAGACAAACCAAAACTAGTTATATTAAAAAAGAGAGTAAAGCTGGTCGACGTGACAAAAGTTAGAGAAGGTACTCTCTAGCTATTAGATAAGATTCATTAGGGATTATTTATATATTGAAACAAGTACAAGAACATTAAAATGGTCGTTAAAGTGATTCAACGGGTGTCTATTGCCCGTAATGGTGTCGGGGCATTTGTTTTCCCTTGTAAGAAAGTTACATTACAGTATTGTAACTGGGGTGGATCTTCAGATGGTATGAGACGGTTTTTAACCTCTGAGAGACTGGATAAGTTTGCTATAGGGAACCCATACATGCAATTTGATGTATTGAGAAAACCTGGGCATCCTATATTGAGAGCTGAATACACAAATGGTCGTGAGAAAGTCATATGTGTGCGAAACTTAAGTAGTGAAGGTATTGAGGCTAAACTGAAGTTATTGAGGGATTCTAGTGGGGATCAATTACGTAGATGGACCAAGAACGATAATGTAAGAACTTTAAATAGTAGTGTGAGAGGTATTTGGTCTCCAATCCATGCTGCGAAACAGCATAAAATATAGATCCCGCATTTCTTACCCTCATCTTCTGTGTTAGAAAATAGATCCACAGGAAGATTTACTAGATTTAATAATATATTTACATGTAAATAACAGAGAACATATTAACAGACATATTCTTATTCCATTTTCCTTTTTATACATATGTATGTATGTGTGTATTGCATTTTGATTTGATTATTCTATGATGTTTATCATAGAATAAATTAGTTTTTAAATTTACGCGGAGGAACAGAGAAGGCTAATAAAAGGTAATGATAATAATGTATATATCGTGAGAAAGAGAAACAAGTAGGTAGCAAACCACAGTTGAATAGTTATAACATTATAAAGAGGACATACTACTATAGTGGTAAAACTCACATATTTAAAAAAGAGAGTGAAAGGATACCACAATAAGAATAATATGGATTATTTACCGTTTATTGATTATAAGATACCAAGCGATGAGTATAAGAACGAAGCTGAAAGGCTCATACGGGAAGCAATGCAGAAACAAGATATAACACATTTGCATCCTTATGCTCAGAAATCTGTCAAAATGGGTAAGATAGCAAATCATGTAATACCTGACTCTATATTTCAAGAATATATACAGAAACATACTGCAGGAGATAAACCAAAAGGACAAAAACGTTCTCTTGAGAGTATCTATCTTAATGATGAAAATTTTTTACAAGAATTTAATTCAAAACATCCTCATGTTGACCCTTCTAGATACTCTTTAGAAGATATTTCTACCGAAGACAATGAAACATCTATAAAAAATAAATTAGCTGTCATAGATTCGTACCTTGCACATCAGATTATTACATTAAGAGATTTAATACCGCAAACATCAGTAAATCAATGGGCCATTAATAACGATTTTATGAGAACAAGTACACAGATCATCGATAATCTTGTCTCACAACAAAAGAAACAATTGGAGGATTTAGATAAATATAGAGAAAAAGCCCAAATAAACCAAGTTGCATCATATGACAAATTAAATTATGACATTAATGAAAGGATATTAGATATAATAGAGGATCAATTTCCTAAATAGTTAGTAATTGTCTGTATTTATATATATATATATATATATATATATCAATTATAATTAAAAGTATTATTATTCCGCCGTTAGGTATTTGATAGTAAACGTCAACAACGGAGTATTCAAATAATAATAGTTATACTATTTTCGTTAATAGCGCTATACAATTCAGTTTGAATTTCGAGGAGATTAGATGAAATGAGTTAAGTTAATTAAAATAGAAAAAAGGATATATAGATATAAATGAGATTTATATAACTGAATTGATTCTTTTAAAAAATTTAAAATTAAGCTTATTTGTCAAGGACATCAGCATCGTATCTTTGCTTGAACCAAGCGATGGTGTCTTCCTTGGAGGTCTTGTGAGAGTTACCGATGGTAGATTGACATCTCTTTCTTCTAGTGACTCTAGCACCTGGTCTACCCATGACAATGTAGAAATCCATACCGAAAATACCAATGGATGGATCGTACTTGATACCTAGATCGATGTGTTCGTCGATACCGAAACCAAAGTTACCAGTAGCAGAGAAGTTTCTTAGTCTCAATTGGTATTCCTTAACCTTTAGACCTCTTTCTAGAATTTCTTCAGCCTTTGGACCTCTGACAGTGACGTGAACAGCAATCTTTTCGTTTCTTCTGATACCGAAAGTTCTGACAGTGTATCTAGCCTTAGATTGGACTGGGGTTTGACCAGAAAGTTGTTCTAGAACCTTGGAGGCTCTGGTCAATCTGTCACCAGATTCACCAACAGAAATGTTCAAGACTAGCTTCTCGATCTTTAGCTCACGCATTGGGTTTTGGGCTTTAGCAGACATCTTCGGTTATATTAATGTATGTGTAAGTTCTTGGTATGTTTAGTTTCAAGTACAAGACAAAGAAAGGAGTAATATGATACATATGCTTAAATGATAGTTTATATATGAATATATACTTTAATTTTATTTAAACAAGATTAACAAAGATTAATTTGTTAACTGCACCGTACATTAGTTGAGTTACTTTCAGTATTCCAACAAAAAATTCTGTAATAAAGAAATCGATGATATCAGAGGGGAACCAAGTAAAATGCACTGTCATCCGGCACCTCGTTGCATATGATATCATCACTGAAATTGTTACTTTAGCAGTCGAACAAAATTAATTTCTCAATGCGTTCCTCAATTAAAATGAAAATATATATAAAATAAAAAAGTGTGTCCAAATCGGGAAATTTTCAAAACAATTATTTTTTGTTGAAAAATATTACACCCAGACATTTTATATATTTTTGTAGATGGATGGGTTTTATGGAAAAGACAGTCCAACCATATTTTGAGAAATAAAGTGTTACCCTCCAATCCTGTTTTTTTTCCCGTTTTTCTTCTTTACGCAATTTAAAGGCCAAATCCAGTAAAATAAAAGGATGGCAAAGTCAAAGGGTGGCAAATAATATTATTAAAAGATATAAAAGAAGTATACAATATATTTATTTTTGATACAATCATAATTTTAAGTGGTAATATACATTATTAGTTTCTACATTTAATCAATTGAAGCATTATATCATTCAGAAAGTGTGAATTGCTTGTTTTCCGTAAGATATATATTGACTAAAACTAAGAGCAACAAGAATAATAATAATAATAAGAAAATAAAAAAATATAAAGATGGATGCTATCGCCAGTAGATTTACTCCAAAAAGTGCATTAGTGAGAGAATTGCAATACGATAATGAAGAGAACTTAGAACAAGATTTCATTTCCGGTAACTCTCAATTTCAACGTATGGCACCAAATATTATGATGCCACCTATTTCATCCCCTCAACAATTTTTAAGAGCCCATACAGATGATTCCCAGAATCCAGATTGTAAGATTAAGATTGCCCATGGTACAACTACATTAGCATTTAGATTTCAAGGAGGTATTATTGTTGCAGTAGATTCTCGTGCTACTGCAGGTAATTGGGTTGCATCACAAACAGTGAAAAAAGTTATCGAAATTAATCCCTTCTTATTAGGTACAATGGCTGGTGGTGCCGCCGATTGTCAATATTGGGAAACGTGGCTAGGTACTCAATGTAGATTAAGTGAATTAAAGGAGAAAGAAAGAATATCAGTTGCAGCTGCATCCAAGATCTTAAGTAATTTGGTATATCAATATAAAGGTGCAGGTCTTTCGATGGGTACAATGATTTGCGGGTATACAAAGAAAGAAGGTCCTACCATTTATTACGTGGATTCAGATGGTACAAGACTGAATGGTGATCTATTTTGTGTTGGGTCTGGTCAGACGTTTGCCTATGGTGTCTTGGATTCTAATTATAAATGGGATTTAACCGTTGAAGAAGCATTATACCTAGGGAAAAGATCGATTTTAGCAGCCGCTCACAGAGATGCATACTCTGGTGGTTCTATCAACTTGTACCATGTTACAGAGAATGGTTGGGTTTACCATGGTAATCATGACGTAGGGGCTACATTCTGGGAGATTAAAGAAAAAGAAGGTTCCTTCAATAACGTTGTAGGATAATTCTATTCCTTTCTATATACATATAGATTCATTAGACATATTATTAATTAGCAAAAAGTTTTTAAAATTCCCATATTACTATAACGAAATTTTATTTTACGATAAGTCTCAAAATCGACCACAAAGGAAAAAAAAAGCATACAGTCGTTTTGACATAATTGCCAGTATATACTTAAATAATACAGTTGTTAATTGATTGATATACCTTAGTTTTATACATTTATGTATATAACTTGCCCAACATGAAGGAGGAAGCTATTGTATTTATAAAAAAAAACTTCCTTCAAACATTATTCCGATACATTAGTATCGATAGATAAAAAAATTAGTATGAAGAATTAACAATTAATCTCTCCTAGGTAGAAGAATTTTCGCTAACAATTGCAGATTTTGCCTCTTCAGTAGATTAAGCAACATCCTCATTAACATCTTTCATCTCAATATCTCCGTCACCATCTTTAGTGTTGTGAGTATCGTTTTCTATTGATGAGTAGGTCATTTGTGGAGTGGTGACAGCATTATAATTATCATCCTTTTGCAAGCTATCAACTACTTCATTTCCGTTGTGTTCATCCGATGACGACGGACTTGACAGATTATTTTTATTGTCATCTTCATTATCTTCTACTACCTTGTCCATTTGCTCTTGTTCCTGGTTGTTACCTTCATCATTCTTCCCTTCATTCTCATTTGCGTTATCATCTTCTTCATTATCCCCGGTATCCTCGCCATCTTCTTCTTCTTCTTCATCGTTGTCCTCGTCCTCTTCATCTTCGTCCTCTTCATCTTCATCCTCCTCATCGTCGTTACCATCAGCTCCTTCCTCTTCTTCATCGTCTTCATCGTCTTCATCGTCTTCATCGTCTTCTTCATCGCTCTCACTATCACTTTCACCGCTTGATGTACTCTCATCGCTACTTTCGTCACTATTATCTTCTAATGGACGTTTTTGAGGCGTTATACTCGTTATACTCGTTGTAGGATTTGTATTACTTACAGGAGGAACTCGTACCTGTTGTTTCGGTTGGAAAAATCTTGATAAAGATGTTGGATCAAATGACGAATCTACACTTTCAGATTCGGGTTCAATTTTTGTTGTATCCTTATGAGGTGATGATTGTACTTGCTTTTCAGTCTTTATATTTGGAGAAGAAGAATTTGTTTCAACAGTATTTGGTCTTTGAATATTTGGCTGTTGTGTTGTAATTTTGGATTTTTCAACAGATGGGGGTGTCATACTAACAAGACTCTTTATTTTACCATTGGTAATTTTTGCTGTTGCTGCATTAACGGCAGCTGCTAAAATAAGGTTCAAATGTTTAGGATTTTTATCCATTAATGCAGTAAGTGGATTTCCTGATATTCCTTTGTTCTTTGCTGCTTGTGTTACCTGATTAATGGTCATTGCTAACGCTTGAGTCAGGATATTTGCAATAACTTGTTTTGATAGCCCTTTTCTATCCTTGGTCAGAATCATCAGTTGTCCCTGTAAGTATTTCATTGTCCTTTGGTGATCAGTCAATCTATTTACATTATTAGTAGTGGCTCTGTTAGCAGCTAACGTCTGAGATATGCTTTGTTTCTTCGCAGAAGTAGTCTTAGCAGTTGTTGCTTTCTTTGCTTTTTGTTGTTGTTGCTGTTCTTGGCGAGCTTGGGCTGCTTCAGCCTTGGCCTTTGCAGCTTCAGCCTGTTTCCGTTTTTGTTGTTCTCTTTCAGCTATATAAGCCTCATCCAATCCCCATAACCAACCCTTCCCTTCTTTAGAAACTTTCCTAAAAGATTTATTAAGTGAAAGGTTATGCCTTACTGAGCTTTGCCAACCATCAGGACAATATTTATAAAATGGATACAATTCTCTGATACCAGCATATATTTCTGAAAGTGACATACCTTTTTCAGTAGAATTCTTGCGTATGCATGTGGTAAGCATTGCAGAATAAGAAAATGCAGGTTTGGTTCGATATTCTTCTGGGATCTCTTCGAGTGTGTAAACTTTCTTCGGTACTTTCGCCGTTTTCCTTTCTTTCTTTACTGCTGGTTTGGTTGTTGTCTTCTTCTTAGTTGCAGGTTCTTTTTTAGAGGTCGTTTCTTTCTTTCTTGTAGTTTCTTTCTTTAATGTTGTCTCCTTCTTAGCAGACCCTAGTTTCTTGGTTGTTTCTTTCTTCACAGTTGCTTTTTTTGTAGTTGCTTTCTTTGCTTTTTTGTTAGTTGACTTTATAAATTTAGAACCATCTGATACCCTTTCTTTACTATCATCTTCTATCGCATCATTATCTTGATCTGGCAATACAAATTGAAATGGGATCTGGCCAATTTGAATCTTTGTTTTATTCATCAACGGAACTGTCTTTCCTCTTTCCACAAAATTATCATCTACGAAAGCACCGTTCTTACCAATAATTGAAAGTTCAAATCTTCCAGTACCGAAATTATAAAATATTTGAGCATGACGTCTGGATATGGACTTTGACGGTCCCAGATTAACATCGACTTTGTGGGTAGTATCATTTTCGGACCGCCTACCTATTATAGCATGTAATGTTTGAACGTAAAAGGTAAAATTTTGGAAGTCTAACCTGGCATACGCAAAAATGGTAGGTTGTTCATCGGGGACACCAGTGACCCCTTGATGAGTCCCACCGATGCTATTTGGATCACCTACATTCATTGGCGAGAGATCATTCCCTATACGTGACAAAGCACCGCTGTGTTGTGAAATACTTTCTAATTGAATGGATTGAGGATGTAAATCGTTTGTATGGAACATACCTGGTATTATAGAGTTCTTTCGCTGATCCTGTTCCGTTATTGACTTTTCCATAAGCAATTTCTGCACAAGGTTTGATTCTCCATTAGCAATATCTTCTGGTTTGACTATCACTCTATCTTTAACATTATTTGTAGGACTTAATGATATCTCAGGTGTGTTTGTAAATGCAGATAGGGTTTGTTTTAATTCCTTTGATAATGTTGGATGCGGCGATAAGGATGATTCATTATTTTGTTTATTATCTTCTAACTTTACAGTGGATTCCCTTGTTTTTTCATCTGTATCCTTTATTGTGTTATCCTGTTGTTCAATCGTTTCTGTATTAATTATATCGTTTTTATTTTCATTATCTTTGGCTATTGCTTCATCCGGAATATCATTTGTACTGAATAATTCGTGGTCATTTTTTGAATCAAATTCGAGAAGCTTCGAGAACGCCTCATTGTCTATTGGGTCTTCATTATCGTCTATTTTCAGTTCATCTGGTTGTGAGGATGTGTCCTTCAGAGCTTCATGGGAATGATTGGCGTTTTCTAAGTCAGGATTGTTGGTCGTTTGTATATCTTGATTGTACTCTTCTTTTCCTTTTTCTTCTTCGCCTTCTATTTCATTCCCTTCCTCTTGAATAGCTTTCGTTAACACCTCTTCGAGAATAGTCGTTTCGGTATGTGCACGTACATCATCAGTTTTTAAAGGTATTTCACCACTCAATCCTGTAGGATAGTTACTTTCCTCAGTCATACTATCTTCTAAGGTTGGTGTTTCAATCTGAAAATGTTCCTTAGCAATGTTTGGATCCTGAGGACTCTCTGTATTTACTTTTTCTGGTATTAGCATAAACTGCTCTTGTACATTTGCACTTTGATCATTCTTATACTCAGGTGTATCCTGAGAATTATGTGAAATTGTTTCTGATTCTATGTCGTCTATGTCATTGTGTAGTTGGGACAGACCTTCAGCTACAGCATGGGTCGTATTAAATGGCATTGTGGATATATATTCTAACGTTTTATATTGTGTTTTAACAGCTAAAAATGTACAACCCTATAAAATAAACTATTTGTTTTTTTAGTTTTAACTCAAAAGTTACTTTAATTAAATTTGTGATCTACACTTGTATCAAATATTCCGTAATAAAGTTATACTGGTCTCAACAAATCGATATTATTTAGTATATTAATGCTATTTCTTGGATAATTTCGTGTTGCTATCGTTGCAACCGCTCAGCTATGCTCTTTTTAATAAATAAAAAAAGCAAGACGATGTGCAAATCTGTTTATAGACCAACGGGATTGGTTGATTAAAATCGATTATTAAATAATAGCCTATTGTGGCCACGTTAGATTTGAGTATACTTTGTTTTTAGGTATTGTGACATTTATAAAGTTTATTGATGAGCTTCAATCCACATGGAACAATTTTTCAGTTTTTGTTTACTTTGGCAATATCTCGCTAAGTTAAAAAACTCGGCCTTACAATTCAGGGCGAGTTCGTACATAGTGAGCGATGAGGTACACTATTAAAATAAGACTAACCGTGGGCAAGAAGAGGATTTATCTAAATTTGACAAATGGACAAGGTAATAGTTGGAATGCAGTTATATGTAAATGTGTATATATAAGATTATGTAAGGGTCGATTAGTGTCCATTTCAGCGTCTTTTGTCCACCATTAAGTTGCGAGCATTTACTCTCTCTTGCGGTTTCAAAACCCAATCCATCGAACTTGATATTTCATCTTTGATATCGCCGCTTTGAATATCAAAGTCATCATCATCGAAACCAAGCAATAGAACAATCTGGCTACACCTTACAAAGGTTTCCCTTAATGAATAGTTTGTACCACATATTGTATTTATAAATAGCGAAAGTTCTCTATCTAATCTAATTGCACCAAGTTCGTTAACTTGCAGGGACCAAATCTTCTTTTCGACAACTTTGCTGGAATAAACTGCGACAGATTTTAATAGCCTGTCAAATGCATCATCATGAAGTACGTTCTTGAACGGTTGAATCAAAGTAGTCCATTTGTTAATAAATTCATTCAAATTAGATAGATCTTCAAAATTTTCGATGTTAGAAATATAACATTTGGAATCATCGGAATCTCCTTCATCACCACGTTTGTAATCATCAGTCTTGTTGTCGTTTACAAATAAATGGGCAAATAATAAACGAAGTCTACTGGATAAGACCTTTTCAAACAGAACTTTAACGGACCATGAAGACAATTTTGTAATTTGAGTTAACATTATCCCTTGACATTTTTCAATCTTTTCAGTAATAATAAATGCGTCGTCATTAAATGGAAAGTTATCTTGTAACAATCTGGGATTCTTTTCCAATATTTCTGTAGTTAGCAATAATTTAAGGGAAAATTTTGTAAAAAATAAAGTGTTGATGTAGATTAGGAAATGATGCAACGCTAAAATAGATGAACTATCAGAACTATCTTCACTGATAACAACAGACTGTAAATTAGATTGGATATTGGCAAAAGCGTTTCTAAAATCGAACTTACTTAATTGTGCTAATTTACTTGCATTCTGAGGTGAATATTCTCTTCTTTCTGCAGTTGGTGTGCCATTTCTGGAACCTAATATTGAATCTGTTCCATCTGTTACCGATTTTGGAATGTATCTTCTTAATGCAATAAAAGATGTGCTTGATTGGGAAGGTAATTTGGCTTGTAATAATTTAAACTTAGCCTGAGTGAATTTGACTAGAAATTCATTTTGAACAAAAACAACAAGCTTATCTAAAAAGTTTGCAAAAATGATAATATTTCCTGTATTTAAAGAATATATTAAACTTTTTCTTATCAATAATGTCATATCTTCTAATACAGATGATATCGGCCAAGAAGACTGGTCTTTATGATTAACGACTTCAAGTGTAATAAAATCGTTCAAAGAAGGCATCTCTTCCAAGGTTATAATTTTAGCAAATGAATCATTTAGAAATCTGAATAGCAAAAGTTGGAAATTGGCGATGTGATGTTCTTTATGCAGTTTAGATAAAAAATTGCCGTTAATTATTGGGTCTGGTAATGATAATGGATCATTCAATGACTTATTTTTAGAAAATTCAACCCATTTTACAGAAAACAATCTTGTATACATAGACCAATTTTGCAATATTTGGGAATATTCATTTATCAAATTATCAAGTTCGTTTAGAGGTATAATTTGTCTCTCATTTTCCTTTTGAATATCAGAATCGGAATCGTACTCAGAATCATCATTATCATTGTAATCATCTTGATCATCTTCACTTTCCTCCTCTGCATCTTCATTATTAAATTGTTTAATTAGTTCAGCAGGTTTCCTCTTTTCACTAAAATAATTTAGTACCAATATGGCTTGCAATTCTGTTTCTTTTTCTATTTTTTCCATGATTATTGTTAAATATTGAGTCCCGTAACATGTGGAGATAATTTTTGAATGTTCGTTAATAACCATCGAAACAGTTTTAAATAATTGTAAAATAACTGTATTAAACCCAGCATTATATTTAATTGCACCTTCCACGATTTTCTTATTTTCTGAAGATATAATTTCACAAATATATTTACTATAGATCTCTAAACCTAATTGAGATTGACCAATTAATGGGAATAACTTAAAAAAAATCGTTAATTGTTCAATATCCTTATTTTCTACAGCTTTTTCAAATTGAGTTCTAAATATGTTTGTCAATTTTTCGCACCAATCGTTAATTAGTTCTTGAGGTTCTGTAGGTAACTCAGCTGATGGTACAACACTCTTAGAAAATTCAGAGGTTATAATGTGAGGCGGTAATTCACGAATTTCATTTATGGCCTTAGCTGCTGTTATGTAATTAGAGTCCTCCAAGGCAGAGTTAATCAAAATTATATTATTTTTTAAAGTTCGCACATCATTTAGAAATGTCAGAGTCTTATTAAGATATTTATATTCCTGATCTGTTGTATTAATATCAGAATATATCCTTTTGGCAGAATTATTCGAACTTGTAATTTGAGATAAAGTAGATTGAAAATCGGACAACGTTGTTGTAAGATCTACTCTATTCAATTCAAATTTTCTCAGCTCTTTATTGTATTTCAATTGACTCTCTTCGATATACCCATTTAAACTTTCAGTCGTATTCTTATGATCCTGTGTAATTATATTAACAAGTTTGGAGATCTGAGATTGCGTGGTCAATTTCTCTAGGACTAAAGAGTATTTGGCCAAATTCTTGGATAATTGATCATCTGAGATATCACGAGTCCTTTGTGATTCATTACGTGTGTTATTATTACTTGAGGCCATTACTTCTACAGACAAATATTTCGAATCGTAAATAGGAACAAATATTCTTCTTTTCTTCTGCCAAAAAACAAGGTTATCGAAGTTGTCTTAATTATAAGCCTAATGAAGCATTCACGCTACCGACTTTCACAAATGTTTGGTCTGTTAGAAGTCAACAGTGAATATATTTATATATGTGTATTTATATTAACTTAACACCAGAACAGGAACAGAACATAGGATGGCCAGCCCAGTCCTTCTTTAACATCATGTTCACATATGACTGATTTCTCTCTCTGTCTCTCTCTATCCAGTAAGAGAAACCGAGTGAGTTTACAGTAAATAGTCTCTTTAGTTACGTAACTTGCGCGCATCCTCGACCGTGCAGTATGACATTCGAACGCTTAAAGAAAAAAATGGCTGGGATGAGAAGTTGATATTAACGGGGAGTAGTAGTAATGACAACCTTAAATAAACAAAACAATACAAGAGTCGATCGTTTTTAAAAATAAGGAAGTAATCTTCATTGATTTGATCTGATCTATATAGTCAGTGTATTAGATAACACATTACAGTACTAGTTTTCAATTTCTCAAGGAGTTGTCTTTTGCCAAATTGTTTTATTAGTTTACTTTTACAAGGAAAAGATAAACATTTCGCATCTGTTTTAAAAACAAAAAATAGCAACACTTTAGTTAAGGGATATATTAATATACATACACATATTGGAGCTTAGATCTTATTATATTATAAATTATTACCTGAAACAAAGGATGGATTTCACACCACCAGCTTCTCCGGTGCCTAACCTGGATGTTAAGAAGAGAAATATCGAAAGACTCCCTCTTTCTCCTGTTACCCCAGAACTTAAAAAATTCCCTGTAGCAGGATTTAATTCAATACATTCTGCTAAGGGTTCTTCTCACGAAGATAACCTACCGAATTCATCTTTATCTCATTTGATGACAGATCTGAATACATATAATATTTCTCCAGTGAATCCCCCATTTGAAAATTCAACAGATACTTTAAACCTTTTAAATGAATGGACCTATCATAATATCCAAGAATGCATGCTTTCATCGTCAATAGATTTCTTACAAGATTCTAGAATGAAATTTAAATCGAATCGAATGTTAGGTCAAGGTTCATATTGTTACATCTGTGAGATGGATACCACTCATCTTGAAGACCATCAAAGACAAAAACATTTTGTATTGAAATTCCCACATTCAAGGAGAAAGACTAGAACTTTATTAAATGAAGGATTGATTTTGACATATTTGCATGCATCCAGTGATGGTCTTGGAGAAACATATATTATTCCATTTCATGGAATCACATACATCAATAAACAGCATTTTAATAAATTAAGAAGAAACGAATTTATTCCAGCATTGATATTGCCAAAATTAAATCTAAATTTACAACAATTTATTAAGTTTTTAAAACAAAATTATTCTGATGACGTTGAGTTGAAAAAAAATATTTTTAAAAAACTTGTTAATGAAATGTTAATTTCGTTAAATTTTTTAAAATTAAAACATGTTATCCATGGAGATATTAAAACAGCAAATATTATGGTGGGTACATTAAATGATACTGATGTTTTTTCGTTTGATAATTTCAATTTTTACCTATGCGATTTTACATCATCAATAATTGACGTATCTTCTGATATTAAACTGAAATTGAATAATAAAACAATAAATCCATCATTATCAACAAATCTGAATTTGGACACTACTCTAGAGTATTGCCCTCCTGAGGTTATTGAGAGGGTCATTAATAAGCCTGAAACAAACGGGAATGAAACATCTGTCTTTACGCATGACACAGATCTTTATTCTTTTGGGTTATGTCTTCTTTCTTTCATATCAGGTAATGAGCCATATAGTGAATTAAAAAATTTCAAATTTCATAATGAGACCAGTGGTCCAAACGATTTATATTCACCCAATTCTACTAATATAACGTCATCTGTTCAGCATACGCAATGGTTAATAAACTCCATTCTAAGGAATGAACCAATTGCTTTAAATATATTTAATTGTGATGATACTTATTATACCAATAATTGGTCAGAAGAACTATCATTAGTTTCAAAAATCCTTGTCGATAGAATATCGTTAGAGGAATGCATTTCTTTTATTTAGTTAAGTTTTATATATATATATATATATATATATGCCTAAAAAAAAGAACTCTAAATATGTAATTTTAATTTAACAACGTTATTTTGTTTGTTTGTTTTGATTGTTGTTTCAGATGTCCTTTCGATGAATGTAATCTTATGTATCTATGTCACCATTAATAATAGCGTTTAATCTTCTTTCTTTTTCTTCATCTATCTTTCTGGTATTAATTTCGTGATCTTTTCTAATCTTATACCTTTGCAATAAAGAATCTTGTAAAAAGACTTCAGGTCCAAATTTAGGATGTTCTAAATCACAACGTAATCCCAAGGGGCAGAACCCAGTAATATACCTTTGACAAATTGACTTTTTAATATGTCTCCTTTTACAATCTGGGCCATCTACACAGAACCCTTTATCATAATCAGTACATCTCGGTATTTTAGCTTGTGGATCAATATGTAAATATTGACATTCAGGTGTCTGTGTACAAAATCCATTCTTACTATAAAATACACATTCTGGCATCTTTCTCAAGTTATATTCATGCAAGTATTCACATTGATCATTCTTCTTACAAAGTCCACGTAACCAATGTTTGCACACAATCTTATTCCTAAAATTTTGTAAAATATGTTTATAAGGACATGAATGTCCTCTGGGACATGTCTGAATGCCAACTTTGGGATCATAATCCGGACATATAGGTCTATCAGGGTCTCTAGTCAATTGATATTCCTGTTTTAAAAAAGGTTCAAATTTAAACGTATATGTGTTTGTCTTGGGATGTATGAGAGACATTATTGGGTTGTAATGATATATTATATAATTAGATGTTTTTTAATAAAATTGACTTTTTACAATGAAGGAAAACCTAATGCCACTGATATGAGGGTATACTTGAATAGCTAATCGATGTCGCCACAAACAAACTAGATCCAGATAGAGTACTTGTCAATGCTTACTGACTTCCTATCTCTTTACCTTACATAATATGAAATATAAAACTTCCTAATGGAACAGATATCATAAATATATGTGAGGATATTTTTTCTCGGTCCGTGAGGGTAAGGATCACGAAAACCGCCCTTTTTCTTAAATACGCAAAAAAAGAAAGAACCTACTTTGTTAGAGTTTGTCTCTTCTATATGGGGGAATTTTGCCACCCAAGAAGAACAAGACATCAGCTATAAAGAGGGTAGGTTTTACAAGCGTTGACTAGAGATACAAGAATAGCACCAACCAATTGTCTCAAGAATATATTGACAAGCCATACGGAAGTAATACAAGATGTCTAAATCAGATAACGAACAAGATAACGAAGATGTTGTAGTCGAACCACAATTGAGAATGGTCCCAAGTTATGATGTGTCTGATAAGTCGTTCTTATTGGCTCATTCTTCCTCTGCTGAAGAATTAAACCAAGCTAAGGTTTTTATATTGGAACAAATTGAAAAAGATGAAATGGCACCATATTATAAATATTTGACCACCAAATATTTACCTGAACAGGCTGAACAACGTGATAACACAAATAATAATAGTAATTCTAATACTACTACTACTACTACTACTACTACTGAACAAGTAATAGCTTTTGACTCTGTATATTATGAGAAATTAGTTAATAAAAATAATGAAAATATTAAAATTTTAAAGGACAAATTGGAAGTCCTAAAGACTAATGATGAAGGTCCACTTGAAATTGCTAATGCATGGATTGAATTAGGACAATATTATGTTCAAATCGCAGATTTTGAAAATGCTGAAAAGATTTTACTAGGTGATGCTCTAAGTTTTGCAATTTCAATGGGTGCAAAGATTGATATTTACTTTATGATGTTAAGACTTGCATTTTTTTACAACGATTTTGCTTATATTAAAGAAAAACTAGATACAGTTAACTCCTTAATTGAAAAAGGTGGTGATTGGGAAAGAAGAAATAGATTTAAGACATATTTGGGTATCTATTCTTTAGCCATTAGAGACTTCAAGAAATCTGCAGAGTTATTAGTTGACTCACTAGCTACATTCACCTCCATTGAATTGACCTCTTATGAAAATATTGCTATGTATGCATCAGTAGCAGGTTTATTTGCATTGGAGAGAACTGATTTGAAATTGAAAATCATAGACTCACCGGAATTGTTATCATTAATAACCTCTACACCAGCATTGCAATCCATTTCATCTTTAACAATTGCTCTATATACATCTGATTATGCCAGTTTCTTCCCACTCTTACTAGAGACATATGATAAGGTACTCCTTCCATGCAAATACTTAAATAAACATGCTGATTATTTTGTAAGAGAAATGAGAAGAAAAGTTTATGCTCAATTACTAGATTCATATAAGACTCTTTCTTTGAAATCAATGGCCCATTCATTCGGTGTTTCTGTTGAATTCTTAGATAATGATCTTGGAAAGTTCATCCCAAATAAACAATTAAATTGTGTGATAGATAGAGTGAATGGTATTGTGGAGACAAAGAGACCTGATAATAAGAATGGTCAATATCATCAACTAATAAGACAAGGTGATGGCCTATTAACAAAATTACAAAAATATGGTGCAGCTGTCAAATTGACAGGTTCAGATTATGTTGCCTAATCTTTGTACCTTTTTAGAATATTCTGAACACTCTAAATATTAATATAAAAATTATATAATGAACAGAAAAACAACAATTAAAAATATTTTGAGCATTTTCAAAGGGCGATCTTAGAGATATATACATTTAAAGCTATGTTTTTTCTTAACTCTTTCAAATATTTAATGTTTTGTAGAAATTATTATATTTTTTTAATTTTACAGTCGGTCCGTATTTTAAAAAACTGAGTACTCCGTATAAACAAAAAAACAAAAGTGATAATCTTAAATGTAATATTTAGGGACAATATGTAAACGTAAGTTTGAAACCGAGAAGATACGATTAGTACTTGAGTTGAAATTCTCGGACATAGTTCTAGATATTCAAATGTATAATCTTGTGGTTTCTTTTTGTAGAGAATCTGGGATAGAGTGTTTGCCTCTATTAGTCTCTTCAAGCTTTACTTTATTTAATTCGGACATTTTTTAATACGAAAATTGATCCGTCTCTTTATATTATATATAATTTATAGAACAAATAGAATCTAACTTCGAATGCAAGTTCTGAATTCTTTGTCTTTATATATTTTTTATTCTAATCTCAATTGAGGTTCGAATTATGTTTTGTTTCATAATGCGAGTAACTTTGTTTCATGTTGCCACATATTTTGTTTCATATTTTAACACGCTTCATAATAACTGTGCTTAAAGGTAGTTCTTTACCTATTGAAATTAAGTGTTGTGCATATTACTCTTAATTTCTGACAATATCATGTGTTATTATATATACGACAGTGCAGCACACTCTAAATTCTACTTATATTAGCTACCGCTACATATTTAACATTAACAATAGCAACTCTGTTTAACAATTTGTCCCACATTATAGAAATGGTAGAATTTTTACGTTAAATTTAAATATTTATAAATTAAACAGTAAAACTTAGTCTCCCATAAATATTTGGCCGCTTTAGCTTAGTGGTAGAGCGTTGCACTTGTAATGCAAAGGTCGCTAGTTCAATTCTGGCAAGTGGCAATTATTTTTGTTATTTTGAGTTACAGATCACGTGACTGAAAATTGTTAATGGCGTTAACAACAATAAGTAAGCTCTCATAAAGGTTCGTTCGGTGGTTAAAATAACTTAAATCAAAAATTGTAAAAAAAACTTTAAGTGTACTATTCTATTAGTTTTTAAACTTATATAATGTGATTAACTAACGTTCATATTTTATACTGTTTCTTCGGAATGTCCCAAGTTGAAAGTAATAACGAAGATGTTGCTCCAAGTAGAAATGAAAGTAGATATGAAGATCGCAAGACCGACTTTACGCAACATTTTGTCAATGCATTAAGCCTGATGGGATATATTGTTATTGTAATACAATTTGTTAAATTCGAAAGTTCCTTTTGGATTTTACTAGCGAGGGCAAGTTTTCATTCCTTACTCACAAACCCCTTTCCAGGCCATGCGCAATTGCGAAGGATAGCCCAGAGAACTGGGAGAACAACATCATCTACACCAGACGTTGATATGCCAGGAGGATTTACGAATGCAGCTAATCTTTCAAATATGCCTCATGCTACAAGAGATAATTCTAACATAACAACTGCCCCACCTTCAACAGAAGATGAAATAATGGCTGTCAAGAAGAAAATACGAAAATTGATATTCCATGGCTCCTTTACTTTAAATTTGATAGTATTAATATGGAATATTCTTCATCCAACTCATTTCTTAGAGAAGTTAGGAGGTATGTACCCCCATGAAAAATATTTAAAGAATATTCCATCACCATTCGTTTCTGGAGACGGCTTATTAGGTGGTGAATTTAGGGGGACTGCATTTATTCAGTTCATTGGTGAATCTATACCTCACAGCAACACTTGGGGCAATATTAATAAATCTGCATATGATTTTCTGATTTTAATTCTTGAGTACACTCTATTCATCCTTACTTGCATAAATTTTGGTGAAATGGGATATGTACCACCGGCCGACAATCATAGCCAAACGGATGACGGTTATACCGGGGATATTATTACTGTAGAAGTTGACTTCAACAAATCATTAGATATTATGGTAAATGACATTAACGATGGGTCTACCCGATAAATGGAGACCTCGTTGAAATAGAAAAATCCAAGGATAAACATATACGTCTGCATATAAGTATATACCCACTTATACATAAGTAAGGAAAATCTGGCCATTTAGTTTCTTTTCACTATTAATCTTAAAATATACAAATAATATACACTAATTGAAGATATATGCTAATGCAATGTATAAAATATTTATATTACTGACTGATTGGACAATTTTTTAAATATTCTGCCTTGTTCTTTAAGATTCTTACAGACTTAAAGAAAATTTCTTCAGGTGTCATTGCACCTGTACTTTCAACGTTAAAGATGAAATGATCTCTTACTCTTCCTAGTTTAACTTTCCCTTCAAATTCATCATGTCTTAGGACTTCCCTAGAGACGGTATCCTTTCTAGCGTCTTCAACAAACGCTTCTCCTTTGCTGTTAATACCAATAACACCCTTTGGGAAACATTCTTGGAATCTATTAGCAGACTCTCCCGTGATAGGTTGAGTAATGTTAATTTGTGGTAATAATCTATAAGAGGCGGTGGATACAGGTGAAAACTTCGCGTGGTCACCACCGATACCTAGGATACAATGAGCTCTCAATGAAATCTCTTGACCTGGTCTTAACTTGGCCAATAAAATATCTTGGTCACATGCAACAACTGGGCGATTAGCAAATGATTCCTTTTGTTTACCTTGGGGTTCAAACTTCAAATCACGAGTATAAACGTGTGCATTCTTGTATAAAATCTTTGGGTCAGTACAATCCTTTGGAGCATCTGGATTTCTTGTACATTTCACATTTAAACTCAAAACAACGGTATTTTCATCTGTAAATTTTTCCTCATCTGATAAAGACTTATCTACCCAAGTTAACATATCAGGATCAACTCTCAATGGAACCAGACCAATTCTGTGAGCAAGAACTTCGTCTTGTATGACGGATGTATTGTTCATAAAGTATACATATTCGGCAGCAACAGATGGAACTTCGGAGATCATGATACGACGGAAAGCGTTAGCGATGGATGTATCTACATGAACCAAATCAAAGTTGGCATCTCTTTCATCTATACTGGAAATATTAATGTCAAATGTGTTCTTGAATTTTTGAACATCCCACGCATTGTCACCATCTTGGGAGAAACCTGGGAAGTCTGTAGAAGTTGTGTTAGTAACACGGTTATATTCAATATTCACAATGTTGGACATTCTGGTTTATTCCCTTTTGTTTGTTTATCCCGTCCTACTTATAGAAAGATATATAGATAACTACCAAAATAAGTTGTATCAATCAATTCAATCTTCAACAATCTAAAAATATTCTCCAATTGTAGCAACCTCTTGCATGAAAACCTTTAGCTCATCTCATCTTGAAATATATTTCATCAATGTTACATAATATCGAAAAAAATTTTTTTTTCTGAAATTTCCGCTCGAAGATCTCTCGATACGAACCCTAATATACACAATAAAAACCCTATTCTAAGTATCAGTAAAATATATACATCCTCAGGAGGTACGTTATACAAATATAAAATACATCACTTTAATTAATTTAGAAAAAAGTTTCTTTTATGGTGTATATATGCATATCGTATGATATAGTATTTATATGCGTTCAAGTTTTATTGTATTTTATAGGAAATGAATGAAAGGATAGATCGAAAAACATGCGACGGCGACATATTAAAAGCCAGCAAAGTCATCGTTTTCGCCGTCATCAAGTTCCAGTCTTTTTCTACCACCACTACTTCTCAAGTTAGATAATTCAGCTGAGGTAACTTGCTTCTTTACCTTCTTAGTCATTCTGGCAATTTCTTCCTCAGCATTTTCAGCATCTTGTTGAGCATATTGCATTACTAATCTACGGCCTAACAAATGGACACCTTGTAATTGATCCATTGCGTTCTCAGCTTCCTTTGGTAATAGAAATTCAACAAAAGCAAAACCTCTGGCAGATTTGTCGAACTTCTTCGGTACTCTGACAGATTTAAGTTGACCGAATGAGTTAAATAATTCGAAGACATCTTTCCTTGTGGCTTCGAATGGTAAATTTTTAACAATAATTTTACCACTTTTATTCTTCTTACCATTTGAAGTATTGTTATTGGTGTTACCTTGTCTATGTGATAATTTCAATTGAATTTTGTGTCCATCAATTACAGAACCATCCATGGCTGAAATAACGGCATTTGCTTGTTCCTTAGTTCTAAATTCAGCAAAACCAAAACCCATGGACAAAGGTTTGTTTTTATCCTTTGCATTTGGCTTTGTCTTCACTTGAGCGACAACAAATCCATTAAATTGTTTAAATCTATCACTTAATTCTGGTGTTGTTGTTGTGAAATTCAAATTCTTAATGAAAATAGAGACGGTTGGACCGTCGGCAATATGTTCATCCTCATCATCGTGTGTATTGTTATTGCCAGTAGCCGTATTATTTGTAGAGTTTGTGTCCATCAAATCATTAACAGAAGCCTTAACTTCCTTTGCATTTGTATCTTGGAGTTCCTTATCTTCTTCCAATGCTTCATCTGTATTAGCACCTCTAGTGAAACAATCCTTAGGTCCCTTTTCCAAATAAATAATACCATCCTTGTATCTTTTAAAAGATAATTTTGTAAACGCAGCTCTAGCAGCTGTTCGATCTCTATATTGTACTATGGCTATAGTGCCCGCTGGAGGCATTAGGAATCTTTCAAGTTTACCAAATGGTAAAAATAATTCTCCAAGATCTTCTCTTGTAGTACCATAGGGGAAATTTTTCACTAGGATAACACAATCATCTCTTTGATCTGGCGATTTCAAGTTCCCAAATTTAGTCAAATCAACACCTTTACCTTCAAAATATTTTCTAACATCACCTATGACATGAGCTTCAGCTAAAGCTTGTTTCACTGCAGAGTTTGAATTTTCAGCATCAATTAATTCTGATTTTTGCATACCAAGCTTAGAGGCGACACTACTTAATACAGCATCTTGATTCATATATAATGAATTCCAAGCGAATGTTTGTTTTGATGCTTGAGCTTTTTTCTTCAATTCTCTTTGTTTCTTCAATGGCATATTTTTTAAATCAAACTCATCAAGACGATGGGTCTTCTTTTCATCTGCTGGAAGAACATGTAATAGACGACCTTGGAAGATTTGTTTGTCTAATTCGATGTATGCTCGGATGGCATCTTCTGAATCCTTGAACTGAATATAAGCAAACCCCTTTGATTGACCAGTTCTAGTGTCTAAGGCTACATGGACTTCATTCAACTCACCAAATGGTTCAAACAATTCTTTAAATTCTTGTTCTGTGGCAGAATAAAGGATGTTACGTAAGAATAAACGTCCGGATTCTTTGATCTTTTCCATGGCGGTTTCTTCTACAGATTTCTTTTCTTCTTGTACTTCTTCTTCATGATTGTTATAATCACCTTCGTTAGTTTCATCAATTGACTTATTCTCGGTAGTGGGTTGTCTTTGATTCGGTCTTACTGGTTCCGATTCACCATCTCTAATTCTAACACGACGTTTTTTTAACCAATCTAAATCTGAAACAGCGTCGTCCCTTGCAAGTTCCCCATCTGCGCCAACAGTTTCTTCCTCTTGGCTCGTTACTTGATCCAAACTCATCATGGGTTCATCCTCTTTATCTTCATCTTCTTCATTACCAGTGTTAAAAGCGCCATACTCGTCATCGCTATTATTTTGTTGCTGTTGTTCATTATCATCATCGTTATTATCCTTTATAGCCAAAGCTTGAGCTAAAAGTGAGTTTCCTACAACATTTTCATTCTGTCTCTCAGTATCATTTTCGTTGTTTGCTGTTGTTGTTGATTGTTCCCATGAGGTTACTTGACTACTAGGTTTCATTGTCTCTATAAACTCTTGTAATTGTTTATTCTTCTTAATCTCGGAGTCTATATCAGCATGTTGTTGATGTTTGTCAGTCTTAGCTTTCTTACCACCACGACCTGATTCAGATTCTTCTAACAATAATTCTTGTTCCCTTTGTCTCATTCTCTTATAAGCTTCTCTCTTTTTTTCCTTCATTGCTTGTGGAACAGTTGGATCTGCAAAACTCTTAGCAATGGCAACTTCCAACTTAGCAGTATTAATATACGACCCATCAAAATATTGAACGGCATCCTTAGCGTCTAGTTCGTCTTTGAACCCCAAGAATGCAAATCTTCTACTCTGTCCATTTCTATCACGAACCACTTTTGCATCAGTGATCAGTCCATTAATTTGAGAAGTTTGATGAGTTGTGACCAATCTCTTGGTGAAATGCTCACGCAACTGATCGTCGCTGAGGTATATTGGTAGACCTTTGACTATAATACGTGACATCTATGCTTGTACTTATCTATATTTTATCTATACCTATCAGTTCTCAGATATTTAATAATCTTAAATATATCGTAATATTTTAATATCTATATACATAGAAGATTACCATTATATGCGATGAGATGAGATGAGCTTCTATCAAATTTGAAAAATTTTCATGCGCTTTCACTTGCCGCAATGACAACAAATATTCTCTATGTATAGTAAAGCTAAACTCTCCATACATATCGCGCACATCTCTCTTACACTTTTAATAAGCTATATCTTAGCTACCAGATTGGAAGGTAAGCTAAGGGTTATATACATCTCAAGTTAATTACCACTGTATATATATATATATTCTTCAATAGTGTGATACTACAAAACTGTATTACTTATTGCATGACAGAATGTGCCTTCTTTCTCTTTTTCTCTCTTGTAATCCTAAAAAGGCTAGCATTACTAAGTTGGCAACCCTCTTTTTACTGACTTCAAACACACCTTTGTACAATCCTTTATATATCTGCGACAACTCTAACACCCTCAACCCACCAATACTTCAATGTATACATCTCTCAATGGTATACTTCGATATACCTACATATGCATTGCAATTTGTATGGACACTGCGGCAACTTCACGAGATTTTCAATCTGTTTGGAAGCGAAAGACAAAGCAAAAACCAAAAAACGAAAAATTTTCAGTGCAACGCAGACGAAATTTTCAGTTGGCCGTGTAGTTGGCAATTGGGATTTGGGTTGTCAAGCTCAGTGCGAGTGCAAAGTGAGTCAATCAACGCATTGCTCAATTAATTGCCATAACACAATTATCAATAGTCGAGGTTAAACACTGCATTATCACTGTTCTTGCAATTTCGATTACGTAATTTATATATATATATACAGTTCTATACACAAAACTATCAAAAACTCACATAGACAAGCAACCATGAGTGATTTGGATAATTTACCACCAGTGGATCCAACCACTGGAGAAATCATCATTAATCCTTTGAAAGAAGATGGTTCCGCTAAGACTCCAAAGGAAATTGAAAAGGAGAGAAAGAAGGCTGAAAAATTATTGAAGTTTGCCGCTAAAAAAGCTAAACAAGCTTCTGTAGCTGCTGATAAAGATGGTAATGCTGCCGCTAAGAAAGCTAAGAAACCAAAGAAGAAAGAACCTGAAGTCATCCCAGATTTTGTTGATAACACTGTCCCAGGTGAAAAAAAGATCTTGGTTTCCTTGGATGATCCTGCTTTGAAGGCTTACAACCCAGCCAATGTCGAAAGTTCTTGGTACGATTGGTGGGTGAAAAGCGGTGTTTTTGAACCGGAATTCACAGAAGATGGTAAAGTGAAACCTGAGGGTCTATTTACTATCCCAGCACCACCTCCAAATGTTACCGGTGCTCTACATATTGGACATGCGTTGACCATTGCTATTCAAGATTCTTTAATTAGATACAATAGAATGAAAGGTAAGACTGTCTTATTCTTGCCCGGTTTTGATCATGCCGGTATTGCTACCCAATCAGTTGTTGAAAAACAACTTTGGGCTAAAGAGAAGAAGACCAGACATGACTTTGGTAGAACTGCTTTTGTCGATAAGGTTTGGGAATGGAAAGAAGAATACCATGGTAGAATTAAGAACCAAATTAAAAAGTTAGGTGCTTCTTACGATTGGAATCGTGAAGTTTTCACCTTAGATCCAGAAAGATATGAATCCGTTGTCGAAGCTTTTGTTAGATTACATGATGATGGTACTATTTATCGTGCCTCTAGATTAGTCAATTGGTCCGTCAAATTAAATACTGCTATCTCTAACTTGGAAGTTGAAAACAAGGACGTCAAAGGTAGAACTTTATTATCCGTTCCAAACTATGATGAAAAGGTTGAATTCGGTGTTCTTACCTCTTTCGCTTACCCAGTTGTCGATTCCGATGAAAAATTGATTATTGCTACTACTAGACCAGAAACTTTATTCGGTGATACAGGTGTTGCTGTTCACCCAGACGATTCTCGTTACACTCATCTACATGGTAAATTTGTTCAACATCCATTCTTACCAAGAAAGATTCCAATTATCCTTGATGCAGAAGCTGTCGACATGGAATTCGGTACCGGTGCTGTCAAGATTACTCCAGCTCATGACCAAAACGATTACAACACTGGTAAACGTCACAATTTGGAATTCATCAACATCTTAACTGACGATGGTCTATTGAACGAAAACTGTGGTCCTGAATGGACTGGTATGAAGAGATTTGATGCTAGAAAGAAGGTCATTGAAGAATTAAAGAACAAGGGTTTGTACATCGGTCAAGAGGACAATGAAATGACTATTCCAACATGTTCCAGATCAGGTGACGTCATCGAACCATTATTGAAACCACAATGGTGGGTTGCTCAACAAGATATGGCTGGTGAAGCCATTAAGGCTGTTAGAGACGGTAAGATTACTATAACTCCAAAATCGTCTGAAGCTGAATATTTCCGTTGGTTAGAAAATATCCAAGATTGGTGTATCTCTAGACAACTATGGTGGGGTCATCGTTGTCCAGTCTATTTCGTTAAGATTGAAGGTGAAGAAAACGACAGAAATGATGGTACTTACTGGGTTGCCGGTAGAAACATCGAAGAAGCTCAAGTTAAAGCTGATACTAAATTCCCAGATGTCAAATTTGAATTAGAACAAGACGAAGATGTCTTAGATACATGGTTCTCTTCTGGTCTATGGCCTTTCTCCACCTTAGGCTGGCCAAAGGAAACCAAGGACATGAAGGACTTCTACCCATTCTCCATGTTAGAAACTGGTTGGGATATCTTGTTCTTCTGGGTTTCTAGAATGATCTTACTTGGTCTAAAGTTGACTGGTGAAGTTCCATTCAAAGAAGTCTTCTGTCACTCTTTGGTTCGTGATGCTCAAGGTAGAAAGATGTCTAAATCTCTTGGTAATGTTGTTGATCCATTGGATGTCATTGGTGGTATCAAACTAGAAGATCTACACGCCAAGTTATTGCAAGGTAACTTGGATCCAAGAGAAGTTGAAAAGGCTAAACTAGGTCAAAAGGAATCCTATCCAAACGGTATCCCACAATGTGGTACTGATGCTATGAGATTTGCTCTATGTGCTTACACCACCGGTGGTCGTGATATAAATTTGGATATTCTTCGTGTTGAAGGTTACAGAAAGTTCTGTAACAAGATTTACCAAGCCACCAAGTTTGCTCTAATGAGACTAGGTGATGACTATACTCCATCTGCCACTGAAGGTCTAACTGGTAACGAATCTTTAGTTGAAAAATGGATTCTACATAAATTGACTGAAACTGCCAAGATTGTTAACGAATCCCTAGATAAACGTGATTTCCTAACATCTACCAGTGTTATCTATGAATTCTGGTACTTAGTTTGTGATGTCTACATTGAAAATTCTAAGTATTTGATTCAAGAAGGTTCCGCTACAGAACAAAAATCTGCTAAGGACACTCTATACATCCTATTGGATAATGCATTAAAGATGATCCATCCATTCATGCCTTTCATCTCTGAAGAAATGTGGCAACGTCTACCAAAGAGATCCTCTGAAAAGGCAGTTACCATTGTCAAGGCCTCTTTCCCAGTTTACACTAAGGAATTTGATAACGAAGCTGCCGCAGCAGCTTACGAATTGGTTCTAAACATTACCAAGGAAGCTCGTTCCTTGTTGGCCGAATACGGTATCATCAAGAACGGGAAGGTTATTGTTGAATCCAACCACGACTCTTTCTTCGAAACAGCTTCTTCCCAAAAGGATTCTATTGTTTCTTTAATTAAGGCTATTGATGAAGTTACCGTTGTACGTACTGCCACGGAGATCCCAGAAGGTTGTGTCCTAAAGGCTGTCAACCCAGATGTCAACGTCCACTTATTGGTCAAGGGCCATGTTGACATCGATGCGGAAATCGCTAAGGTCCAAAAGAAATTGGACAAGGTTTCCAAATCTAAGGCTGGTATGGAAAAGACTATGAACTCTAAGGACTACGAATCCAAGGCTAATGCTGAAGCTCAAGCCGCTAATAAGACCAAACTTGAGAACACTGTTGCTGAGATCGAGGGCCTGGAGGCCACCGTTGAGAACTTGAAACGTCTAAAATTGTAAGCACGCAATTTTCTCTTCTTACCCATTTAATGTATACCATTCAAAGATAAATATATATATATATATATCTGTATAACTAACCGCAAAACGATAAAGATTGAATTTCAATCAACAATTCTGAAGAAATGGGAAGGGCTTTTAATTCCAATCTTCCCGTTCATTGTGATACACAGATCTATTTTCTTTTCTTTTTTTTTTGGCGGGGGCAAGAAGGAAATGCGTGAAAATTTCACTCAAACTGCTGATCTAAACAAATAAACAAATATTAATTAGATTTTGGATGTCAGCAGGGGGAGAAGGAACGACGTTAAATGTTTTGACATATTTTGGTCCAGTGAGGTTTCTCTTCTGTTTATGGTCTTTTGATATAGCTTTTAGAGTCTGTACTTGTTAACCTTCACAATAAACAATTACTTAAAATAACATTGCCACCAACAATAACAATGAGCTCAGAAAGTGCTACTGTTCCAGCTACTGAAATCACCGCTGAAGATGTGTTATGGTACATTCCAAACAAGATTGGGTATGCCCGTGCTGTTACTGCAGTGATATCCTTTTTCACTATGCAAAACTGTCCTATCTCCACTGCTATTGTATACACTGCCTCCTGTTTATTAGATGCTTTAGATGGTACTATGGCTAGAAAATATAACCAAGTGAGTCGTCTGGGTGCCGTTCTAGATATGGTCACTGATAGATCCACAACTGCTGGTCTACTGTGTTTTTTGACATTAGCATACCCAACCTGGGGTCCATTTTTCCAAGTATTATTAGCTTTAGATATCACTAGTCATTACATGCACATGTATGCCAGTCTCGCTATTAGTGGTGGTTCTCATAAGAATGTTACAAAGGAGTCTTCTGCATTGTTACATTTGTATTACTCAAGAAGAGATGTTCTGTTCACAGTGTGCTTCTTTAACGAGAGTTTTTTTGGTGGGTTATACTGGATGGCTTTTGACAAATATTACACTGCAGGTAAATGGATTGCAATTATTAGTTTTCCATTGTGGGCTTTCAAGCAATTTGCTAATGTCATCCAATTGCAAAGAGCTGCCCTTATGTTAGCTACAGAAGATGCCAAGGATGCCAACGAAAGAAACAAGGCTAAATAAACATAACGAAAACGAACTTTCTATCTTATTATTTTGTTACTTTTCTGTCTTTAAGTACATTTTTATATACATATATATATTATATCTATATGGTAAACTTTACAACGACGTCATGCATATCTTTTTATTCGCATATAATATATAAAGCTACTCCCATCGACCAACAGTTCGATGGTCCTCTTCAAATCTTAATCATCTCAAAGGTTCAAAGTGTTTTTGCTTAGTCGCGTCAATTCTTGAATAAACTGTTCGCTTCTTCGAGAAGACAAAAGTCGCGCAAAATAGAATGGGCGTCCACCGGCCTTAAACGTGTTGATTTATAAATATACATATATATAAAAGCAGTCACGTTTAACAGATGGAGACTAATTTACAAGCCATACGGGGTATATAAACAAGGAAGACGTACAAAAAAAAAAGACAATAGCAGCTGACTTTTGAAGCTATAGGAAGAGCATACCAGGATAATATACCATTTCAATATTATTATTATTATTATTATTATGAACGTTTTAGATTGTTTAATTGAAGCTTTGCTTGCGATTCCTGCACCTGGAATTTGGACAAAATCAATCATTCCAGGAATACGTGCCTATGGATTAATTGAATCTGATGCGCTTTTAAACAATTTGCATTCGATTCTGTACATTACTGCTTTCTACCACTTAGTCTTTCTACTTAGTGCGTGGTTTGTGTTTCCTAGGATATCTCAATGGAGGATCGATTGCCTATTAGCTGAAGAGAAAGAAAAAGATATTAAAGTGGAACACAAGTATTCTCGTACTCAACGTGCTAAATCACTAAGTAATCAAGCTGCACTTCATTTAGTATCTTTTTCACAAACAATTATTGTATTATATTTATCAATATCGTTCCTTATCTCACACGAAAGGTCCGTGATACCCTATCCAGATCCAGCATCTCGTATCTTTGACGAAACTCGTGAAACTAGAGTCATCTGTATATTTGCCATAGGTTATTTCATCTGGGATGCATTAATTTCTGCGGCTTATTCTACTTTACCTTTCGTTATGCATGGTGTCGTTTCTACTGCAATGTATGCCATTGGTATCAAACCATATTTACAATATTATGCACCTGTTTTCTTAATCTTTGAATTATCAAACCCTTTCCTAAATATCCGTTGGTTTGCATTGAAGTATTTACCAAGTGAGAATCAAATATGTAGTCGTTTCCAATTATTTAACAATTTAATCTTTTTGGTAACTTTCTTCTTGGGAAGAATTGCATGGGGTTGGTATCAAATTGGCTGTCTATGTTACGATTTCTACATGGTAAGTGCTGATCCAAGATACTTATACTGGGACTCTCTAATCATTGTAGCTGGTAATTTGGTACTTGATGTATTGAATGCCTACTGGTTCAAGACAATGGTTGGTGTTGCTATCAAAGCTATCAAAGGTGGCGCCCAAAAGAAACATGACGATGTCAAAAAGGCATGTTAGCCCTGTTAGATTGAGGAGAGCGAGATCACTGCTGTACTTTTATGTCCTGTTTCGCTATCAAAACAAAACGTCTATATATCTGTAAACGTATATATATGCTACTTATTTTTCTTTTATATAACCCAAAGTAATAGGAAAGATTGTTTACTTCTTTTGCAACTTCTCAAAGGAGTTTCCTTTACCCATTAGAATTGGTTCTGTCATCTGTAGATATAAATATATCTTTACCTTCGCTTCTTAGTTACTACGCGTCGTTCTGAGTCCCTACTTTCCCCCACAATTGAAAATTGACACATTGCCAAGGAATCTTAAACAATGGGAAGTAGTAGAGATGGGCAAATATAAGATCCAGTTATGATAGGTTCAATTGTAGTGTGGCGTGGGCTGATGTTGTAATACTTAGGGGAGTAAATTTTTTTTTTACCCACTTCTTAAGTTTGAGGGAAGGAAAAAGGGAACATGCTGAGTAATGACATCATATATAAGCCAAAATGTTAAAATATAATGGTCATTCAATCATATTTTCTTTCTAATTTTATGTATAAAATCATCGAAATTGTCAAAACAGTAATACATATGTTCCATTCTGAAATGAATACAAATAACTCTATGCCTTACTTCGTACCCGTTCCTCCAGAAGAAAAATATTCCATAGGAATTGATACAATATACGTTGCTGAACATCCTACCAGATTAATGGAAGATCGTTTCCAAAAATGGCATGACATTGTCACTGGATTGACTGTATATTTAAGGGAAGTAGCATATACCCATGAACAAAATGCTCGCATGAATCTTCGTTTACAAGAACGTGCTGTTAACTTACGTTGTTTAACCGATCTTAATGACCAAACGAATACAATATATGAACCGATTGAGGTCAATCATCCAAAGAAAAGGTCACAGAATGTACCTATTATTCAACAAAAACAAAACCAATATCAAGAAAAAATTCTTCCTGATCCTGTTTATATGGTTGAAAGTAGAAGAGGTTCAGCACTATCAGGGTTCATGGAATTTGGTACCGGATCTATTCAAGATTTACAAGTTGTATTAAAAAAATATCACAGCTCTGTATCTAATCATGAATATAAAATATCTAAAGAAATTTTACAATGTGTTGTTCCTAATATAGAAGCTCTAGCAAAAGAACTCAGGAAATACCGTAAAGAGATTAAATTATTATCTGGAGACTTTAAGACAAATTTAGAGGAACATAGAGCAACTCTAAAAAAATCTGTAAACAGGTACAATGAAATGTGTAAGAATGATTTTACTTGCAATGATCCATGTGCTGACCCTTTTCTCTTAAGAAAACAACTAAGTACAAGATATATTGAACATCGTTCTGAAGAAAGACATCTCAGAGAAGCATATATCAATTTACAAGAAACCGCTATGAAACTTGAAAAAACAATTGTCATCAAAATTCAATATGCTTTGGAAAGGTATTGTAACTTGATTGAAGCTGAAGCAAGGTTGATTTTGAAGAATTTATGCCATGAATTGAAACAAGGTATCCTTGATAGAAAACCGTTGGAAGAATGGGACCATTTTGTAGAAAACCATCCATCGGCATTGTTACCTTTAAAATCTGGAATAAATGTCGATCAACTTCGTGGATATTACAGTACACATCTCTTGAGAAATATGGTCTTGGTATACCCACAATCGAAAAATATTAAGAATGGATATCTTTTGTCAAAAATGTCTGCGAACAAAAGTATCCACACCCAATATCGTAAATCTCTATTTGTTATTACCGCAAGATTTATCCATGAATTTCCAATAGACCATACTAAGCAGCACCATTCTACTGCTCCGAAATATAGTTTCCCATTAGATAGTTGTAAATTAGAATCATATACAGCAGGTAAATTCATTTTGACAACTGATACTGTGTATTGTTTGAAACATAATGCTAACCGTGAACAGTATAGCAGATATAAGGGTTTGCTAATGTCAACGTTATTTGGCAATCAGACAGCCTCAGTAGTTAAAAAAGAGGAATACACAAGAGTATACACACCAACTGAACCAAAGAATATATCCTTTAAATTACCTGATTCGAATATGACCAGTGAAGATGCATTAAAAAGATGGATTAATACAATCAAGAGGTTGACATCATTTAGGAATGTTACATCCAGAGTAGCGTACCTCACTGAGCGAATGGATGATATCCAACAAGCGTACGATCGAACTGTTGATAATGCAGGATTAGTTAGGATGAATAACTATATCATCAGCGAAATTGCATCTGGTGAACAACCAGAAGGGGAAAGACAAGGTGATGATGATAATAATCTTTCCGATTACATGGTGGATCCACTTGTTAGCCCCAATGGTCCCGGAGGTGAGGCCACAACATCGTACATTGAAAGTACCACAAACGTCAAGAATAGTTCGTCTTCGTTATCAACCTCTTCTCTTTCGTCTGGAACTAATTTGATGGATATGTCCAACCGGGAAGGTTCATTTGTTCAACCTGTTCAAACTATTGTTTATGAAAGCAGCAAACATGATACTAGGAACATAATCAATAAAATAAAGGAACAGGCTCATTCAAAAACTAATAAAGATTTTAAAATCAAATTGACCAAATCAATCTACTCTTAAGATCTTTATGATGTGGTATATATTTATCTGTTTCACACTTTTGTATTATTAAATAAATTAACATTATTATTCTTATATTCACTAAACAGTTCTCTCTATTTTCATTTGATCTCCATTATGTGAGCGCCAGTCGGTGGACAAAAATTTGATATTTTAATTTTAGTAGAAAGACAGAGAATATATATACACATAAATATCGAGAAAAGTTTTAAATCTAAAAGAGGGACTAATAACTACCCCATTGATAACTATAACTTTCACAATTTTGTTATACATTTTATAAATGCCATTTGATACTACCATTCTCAAGTCATTACAAATATCCAAAGTGGGAAAGAAATTACCGCAACCGTTACCGTTAAGAACGTCACCGTTGTTCACCCATTTTGAAAGATGGGCTGGTAAGACACGAAAGTTGTTATTAAAGGAGCCCAATCATGTGTCTATGTTGAAATCTTTCAACTTCAGATTGAATGATAATCCTTTTGCTCATATATTGAGTTCTCCTTCAAGATTAGACAGGATCGGTAAAGTAAAATTACCGAAACAATTATTGATTCAAGTTAAAAGTGAGATTAAGGATAAATATCCTAGCATTTCATTAAATACAGTGGTAGATAACTCTATAAGGGATACTACATCAAAACATTCATACATTTTAAATAAGATGAATTTACTTGAAAAAAATTTAAGGAATATCAAGAGTATTCTCCCACTGCATGTATTATCGGATGCTGACATCGGTAAGAAAATTCCACATATCCAATTTGAAAAGGACAAATTATTAGAAGAACATTTGAGTAAATTAAAAGAACTTCTTTGGGATCAATTAAGTAAATTACCATTAACTGAAAAGCCTATTACAGATATGTCATCATCATCATCACAAATCATAGTAACTTATGATAAATCAAATTCAGATACATTGAAATTGAATATTATAAAGGACGAATCAATGAATATAAACAAATACATTATTACGTTTAACTTGGCACCAATCAATGAACCAAAATTTGATGAATTATTTGCTCATGGATCTAAGAAATTGAATCTAGATCAAAGAAATCATGCCGAATTGATCTTACGTATCTACAGAACTCTGATGTTAATAACCTAACTTAAGCTAACTCTGATGCTGACATAAACTTAAACAATCAATGGTGGACCAGGGCGCAGTTCCCGACTTTGGTAGAACCGAGCCAACTCATTGACTTGTTTGCGATCTCTCTTCTCTTATCTCACCACTACATTACATCGGTTACTGTCACTCAGTCATTTGATTCAACCAACACGGCCAACGCAGCAGGGATTCTGTCGGCTTATATCCGCGTAAATTTTTTTCCCTCAAATTACTGGAAAGAGATTGATGGACAAAGAAGAGAGAAGAAAGAGTGAATTTTTGAATGTATTTAATATCACGATTATCATTTTTTCACTTTCAATCTCTGATGATGTCGTTGTTGCTACTGTAGTTTCTTAGGTCCCATGGTCCGATTTGGTTATAACATCACCAATGAGTTCCTGAAAACCATATATATATGTATATATTCCTCATCTCTAAATACACAACAGACTCAATATTCATCATTATATTTTATATTCACACAATAACAACATTCTCATCGGGTAGCCGTGTTACTTGCGGAGCCATTCTAGTAATGTTCCACCCCCTCCCCACGATACATCAACAAACACAGCAAACAAGAAAACCCTTCAATACTTATTATTTTCTTTGCATCTCTTTCTCCCTCTTGATCGTCCTTACTGAATTACGAAGGCTAAAACTTATATAAATAGTAATGCTACACTTCATCTACTTGTTCAATTAACATATCCAAAGAAGACCCTCACAGAAATATCTACATATATATATATATATATATATATATGCAACTTAGAGATTTTGCATTTTTTCTGCGCGGAGATTAGGGTTTTTGAATTTTTACTACATATTGCATTACTTAATTTGGTACAAGAATCTCATTGAAATATACCAATTACCTAATACATTCAAAGGGATTAAGAAGTTAAACGCATATCAACACCTACATATGTTATAGACATCTGTATTTAGGGAATTAGACACTATAAGAGACTCTGCCATAAAACACCAATAAAGATTCCATTACTCGTTCTTTTGCTCAATTAATTTAAGGGTTTTATTGTATTATATTATATTTATTCAAATTATCATCACATATACCAACCCCTCCACAGTTTAATCCTATTATATTTAAGATCTGAGTTAATCATTATCTGCATTTAATATTCATAATACCCAACTTTTATTTCTTTATATTACAGTTTTCGATGCTTGAAGAACTTTGGATACAACTTTTCCAATCTTTTAAGATTGTCATAATACTATTGATTTGTTACATTCTACTTCAAAAGTTAATAAACGCAATAATACTTGGATTCGTACGATGGAAACAAATAAAAGTAAAACGTTTCTATTTTAGATTTTTATTAGGCACAACAATATATGGTATTAGAATCACCACAGAGAGATTTGATTTAAAGATAGCAAGAGTATACTTAAAGATCGGTTGGAAACCTTCTATTAATTTCCACGGAATAGATCTGTTGATATTTGATGACCAAGATATTGACTCAAAGGAAACACTCCGGTCGCCTAATGATACTAGAAATAGTTATTTTGATGCAATTAATGAAACGTTCAATTTTAGAGTCCATAAACGATATTTAATTTGGGTTCGAGGATTATTGTCCCTCAATACATTTGTACGATCGGCAAAGATTAAAGGACCTCATGGCCTGTCTACGTCCTTCAATCTTTGTACGTTAACAATTATTCATAAAGAAGATGATAGATTCGTTATGGAATATTTCCTTCATGGGTTATCAAATACAAAGACATACGAAACTGTCAATTATGTTGGATTTCATCTCAGCTTTAAGATGTCTAAGACTGCAGTCGAAAAGGATGATTACGTAAAATTGTCTATCAGTGAATGGCATACTTCTTTGAAAATTGGTGATGCCCATATCAAAATTGATAAACATATGTCAGCTAAAGAGATTAACGAAGATATACAAAAAGAAAATTTTAATTATAAACAAATGAAAAAATTAATACATATGAGAGCTTCGAAAATTGTCAAATCGTTAAAAAACCCTCTAAGAAGCCTTAATGTTCTGGATGTTAAGGTCGAAAATTTAAGAATTACATGTAAACGAATTGCTTCTGTGAACATTTCTAGTATTCAGTTATACTTAGAAGCAGTTAATGTAGCAAATTATGATACCGCATTAGATATTCTTCCCCCAAATAAACATATGTGGGGAGATTATGAGATTGCCATTTCTGCAAACTCAATCTTATTCAAAGTTGATGAATTATCAACATTTAGAATTCCATTGGTTAACATTATTATTACCACTAATATTATCTTACATTATGCAGAAGATTTCCCTTTCAATCAAACAAGTCTTTCAGTTACGTCTAACATCGTTAATCCATCTATATTTTCGACTATATCTGAAATTACGAAAGTCCTGAAATCTTTGAATTCAAATAAACCTAACACAACGTTGGTTACAAAACATGATAACGAACAAATTCCTAATCCATATATTGAGTACTTAATTGCCATATCAAAAGATTTAACAAATCTTCCTAATGTCATCTTTGAATTTAATATCGCAAATTTCACGTCAACTTTTCAAATATCTGATAATGAGAATATAATTTTAAAAGTATTAAATGCACAATCACTCCTGGGTCGTTGTCACACAACAAATGTAAAAGTGAAAGATTTGGTATCTTTAGAAGGTGATCCTATGCCTAGTGTTAAATTTCATGGAAAATCTTCATTCTCAAACTTTGTTAAAATTGTTGGAACTGAGTTTTCGTATCTAAAATTGTCCCATAATCAACTTGGTGAAGCGGTTAGCATTCCGATATGTGGATTTGAAAGACTAGATATATTCTTAGACGAATTTTCAAGAACAAAAATGGCCACCCAATGTACTCTAAGACATGCATATCTAACATTCGATGATAAAGTTGTGTTAGAAAGACTCCACTCATCTTCAACTGCGTTATTACAGATGATATCAGAACACAAGAAGAACATTACAATAAAAGATGGAACATTAAGTAGTTCGTTTATGTCAAGGAGTAACATAGAATTTGCTATACGATTCAGGATGAAAGATTTAATTCTGTCGGCAGTCATTGCATCTTACATTCCTGAACTTTTGGATCCTTTGGGCACAGATAATTTTAATCTCAGTGATATAGACAGAGGTATGAGAATTATTATCAAAGAATCAATCTTTAAAATAACCAACACAGTTAAAACTGTAGAAATTAATGATGCCTCAGTATATCGTGTTATGGATAGTAAGTCCGCACAGGCTGTCTCAGATTCTATAGTAAATTTTACCAATTTGAATATAGTCAGAAACATAAACGGCAGTACAACGTTTAACTTACCAGCAATTCGATTTAAACTTGATATTACATTAGTTTGGCTTTTTTTTTATCTTAGAAGTATCTATCAAAAGTATATGCCTAAGAGAGTCGGCCACCCAACTTCCAAACATGGTGATACAAGGCTACGCAAACTCAATAGGATAGAAAAGATATTAGAGTCGACAACAATAAACATTGATAAAATTCTCATCCAAATTACTTTACCTGAAGATGTTCCAGTTCTACTTGTTATAGAAAACATACTTTATTCCAAGGAAAACACAACACTGTACACAAGCTCATTGAACATGATGGTCCAGTCAGTTTATGTGGCCGAGTCAAGAGTTTTCTTCAATTTAATGGATATGTATGATTTAAAGATGAATATTAGCAGTATTTTAGATTCCGGTATAATTGAGCTCGAGACTTCTTCTATCATCTTACATACAGAATACCATTTTAAGTTTTATATGGTTCTGGACAATGTTATTACAGCGTATAAATCATTCAAACAACTTAGAACTGCATTTTCTGACCTGAATATATTTAATAGAGTTTACCCGTCAATGCAGTATCCCGCACAGATTCCTCATATAAGGTTAATTTCTGACAGTGTATATATCAACGTTGAGGAAGATCTTTTTGAACAAGAATTAGGATTAATTTTGAAAGTAGGTATCCTGGAACAAAGGGAAAGATTAGCAAAATTAAGAACACTAGATGAAGAAATAGAAAAATTACAATTACAGATGAATAACAACGATAATCCAGATAAAAAGATAAACATTAATATGGGGAACGCAATTAGTACCTATAGGAGAAAATTAAATGAAAATTTCTCAACTTCATGGATATCTAGAATAAGGAAGGCAAGACTTGCGTTCCATGGATTACCTAACACCGTTCAAGAAATTGAAATTTTGAATTTCAGTTATCAATTCTTTTCCCAAAAGGAAAATAATACAGTAGCTAGCTTAGTAATAAAAGACTTAGATGCTAAAATCCATCCTCCTTCGTTTGAGGTGAACAATTATGACGATTTTATCTACACATATGGTAAAGGTGTTCCGAGAGGAAAATCATACACTTTACTTATTCTTACTGGTATAGATTTTAAAACCTCTCTATGGGAATTAAAATTGAGAGATTATCCAATCCCGGTGTTATCTCTTCCAGATACACACACAACTGGTGATATTGTGTTTGCTGAAAAGATGCCGGAACAACACAAAGGACTTCATACAATATTCGTACCATTCGTCCCGAGTACAGCCTCACAGAAATATTCTGCTGTTAATTCAATATACTGTTCTAACATTGTTCGTACAATGAACTCTGTTAAAACGTACTTCAATATCAAGACATTTGTGGAATCTCCATCACCGACACATATCACATGGGGTAAATCACTCCAACCTGGTTTTGAATCATTTATGCTTTGGTTTGACTACTTAACTAAACCAAGACTGGACCCTTCTGCAAAACTTGGGTTTTGGGATAAATTTAGATTCCTTTTCCACGGTGAATGGACATATAATTTTTCCAAAGATAGTGACCTTAATATTAATATTAAAGGTGCACATGATCCGTATAAGATTGTTGACGATGGAGCTGGGTTGACTTTTTGTTGGACAGGTGGTACTTCACTGAAAATTCACAATTCTCCTGATCCTAAGGAATTTTTAAAATTCCAATCCAAAAGTTTTAAACTTGGTGTAAGGGATTTCACAGTAGCCAATAAATTTGAAAAAATATTTATGCAATTGGATGGGGATGTTACTTGGAAGATGGGTTTATTATTTGAAAGTGGTAATTTTTCGAATCCTGGAGATGCTCCGCGTGTTCCACCAAGTGTGCCTCATTACAATGTGCAGTTAGTGAATCCTGAAGAAGTTCATGATATTCCGAATTATGACTCTTATGAAGGTTTTAGGAGCAATTTTATTCACATGGCTATTGGGGTTTATTCCTCAGGTAAAGATGCTTCTAACCATATCTACCTTGGTCCAGTCTCGGTTGGCCACTTTTTGACGTGGTGGAAATTATTCAATACGTACACATCAGGCCCTATCAGACAGGGTCCATTATTTTCTGCATTGGTTCAGAATAAAACTAAATTCACGAGGTCTCTGTTTAGTTTCAAATACCAACTACACCTGGAACCATTGACTGTTTCTCATATATATAGACACTTTACTCCCCATGAATTATCTGATAAAGACGAGAAAACTGTTTTTACAGGTGTTAAAGCAAGAATAAACTCTTTGAAAATTGACTTACATCAAAAAAGAATAAAATTAACCCACAGAAACGAAAAACTTAACAAGTCTAAACCTGTTTGGAAATTCAGAATGTTTACTGGGGAAATTGATTGTACTGAAGTAGATCTAAGAATGATTTCTGCTACATTTGATCAGACGGACTTAAAAGAAGCAATTTCGAAATCGGCGACAACCGGTCTTTCGATAGACGAAGAGGCTTTTAGACAAAACGATTGGTTCAACTACGAAGATTATTTGGACCTTGACCAGCTCTCATTGAAATCCACCATTCCAACTAGGTTTGATGCAATCCCTGTATTGTTTTCACCAAAAGTATCCTATTTCAGGAAATTGAACGACGATGGCTATCCAGTAAACTTTCCGTTTGGAGATGAACAGTCGCATGATTGTATGATAGGTAAAAACCATCCTGAGAAGGCGCAAGCAGTACTTGCTCAAAATAGAAAAAAGGAAATTGAAAGTCAGATCAGGAGTTTGGAACTATCTTTAAGTAATCTTGGATCTGTTCATGGTTCCAGTGTGGAAAAGAATAAAAATGTCGAAAAATTGAAAAAACAGTTACACGAGTTAGAACATCGCTTACACATAATTCATGATATTCTAAATGACTTACGTTTATCTGAAGTTGTAAGCCACACATATGATAGTGATTCTGCAGAGAGTTCATTGAGCAGTTCTGTCAGTACCGATAGTAACTCAACCAAAGATGAACAAAAACCGGTAAGCCTGGATCTCCTTAGAACAAATACAATCGACTCATTTATTTCAATGAGAAGAGCATCAACTGTCCAAATCCAATCTACTTATGATAACAGATTCATGGTTCATAATATACAATTGAAAGTCGATAAAACAATAAGAGATCTTTTGTTAGAATATGCGTCGAAAGTTTTCGAGAGGAGGACGGTTAGTTATGCTATTACTTATAATTCAATTAAAATATTTAAGGAGCTTTTGAGCAATGTATTGACTACTGTTAAAACTCATCTTGGTGATATGGGAATATTTGATGATGAAGAAACAATATCCAATAGAGAATTTATTAAAAGGTTTGATGAATTAGTTAAAGATGTACCAGATGATCGTTTTGAAGCAACAGATCGTTATCTTTTCAGATTAATATCTCCACAAATACAAATTACATCCGAACTAGAACCGAATACCACTGTTCTTGTATCTGCTCGTGACATTGAAGTTGGAATAATTGATATCAATCAAGTCATGAGGAAATCTGGAAAAATGTTAGCTATGGATCTAAATACTGCGGTTGAAACTCGTTATTGTGCCATCGCAAAGGATCTTCAACTAATAACTTTGTACAAAGAAAAACTACTTAACTCAGAAACAAGATTTTTCCATAAAAATGGTTATGGTATGGATGCATGGTCTGATTTCTGGCCTCCATGGATTCCACTAGAAGTTTGTTACGATGGGTCACTACTTTCTGATCATATATTTTTAAAGAGAAGATCAATGTTTTTGACGTTTACGCAACCTAACTCTCTATATTTTGGGGACGAAGATATATCAACTTTATCGAAGGATTCAAAGTTCAGAATAGGGTTCCCTGGTTTAGTTCTGACCTCAAATTCAGAACAGTACTGTTCTGTATACTCAATAATTCAAGATTTATTAACGTTCAGTTCAGAGTATGACGAAAAAGTAGAAAAGCTTTCAAAGCTTTTATTAGCTGAGGAAATTAGAAACAATTTAGAAAAACTAGACGTATCAGTACTTGCTGATTTACAGAGACAGATAAAGGAATTGTATTACACAAGAGCCTTCCTAAAACAGTATAAACCAAAAACATACGCAAGGGTGGCTGATCAAATGAAAGAACAAGGTCATATGACTGCTTTGAAATTAACAGTATTAATGACAGCTATTAAGAAAAATTATGATACGATGTGTGGTAAAAAGAGTTCAACAAATGGTCAGAAGTTAACATGGGTTGTGGGTACAGACGAATTGATCTGGAAGTTATTTGATGACCAAAGTAAGCCATTTATTACTATTGGGTTAAGTCCATCTACATTCACAAGAACTGAGACATCTGATGGTGTAAATAGTAATAAGGTTAGCATCAATGCATTGAATTGTTTCAATCAGCAAGGAAATCCGGTGTTTTCACAGTTGTTAGCGCCTTTTAAGGAGAATAATCTATATGATGAATCGATACCTATGATTGAAGTATTTTGGATCCAACGTCCACCAATTGGTGGTATATCAAGTCTCGAGGAATTAGTTGTTAAACTACAACCAATTATTTTTAAAATGGACAACAACACTGCAAATAGTATTATGGAATATTTATTCCCCAAAGTTGACTCAAATGATAGTGATAAAGCCTCACATAGCAATGAACATTCACCCTCAACCATGGGGACAAATATCGTTTCTCCAAGATCTAGTGACAGTTTCAGTAATATATCAGGTGTTACTTCTGTGAATAAAGAGCTAGTTTCGTGGGATCTAGGTAGCACTACCAATAATAGTACCAGAAGTCAACACAATCATCTTAAAATATTAAATAATCCGAAGACTAGTACAAGCTCCATTTTTAAACCCCACGAATATAATATTGATGAAATGTTAAAGCGTTCAGGAACGTATTTCAATGTTAAATTTATCAAAATAGAAAAAACAATAATGTCTGTTTCATACAAAGGTAGTCACCATTTACTAACAGATGTAAATCGTCTGAATGTTAGAGTTCCTGATTTAACATATAGGGATAAACTTTGGTCAAGGGATGAATTTATTGCATCTTTAAAACATGACATTATAAGAGTAGTTATGAGAAACATGGGTAATATTATTGGAAATAAATTTATATTGCATAAGAAAGAGGATAAATCAAAGATCACTGGTGATATGAACAGTATTATTGATGCGGAAGAAAGGGACTCAAATGTAACACCGACGCTATTTACAGAAGCCAACAGGTCAAATTATTCCATTTCTCTATCGAAAGGATCATCGTCTCATTCAAAAATTGTAAATTTCAAAAAATTGAGAGAGAGTATATCTCGTTCAAAATCCAATGAAGAAGAAGATCCAAACATTAAACCATTTTTTCCATCAAATAATTCCTAATGAGGACTATCGGCTAAAAACTTAATGGACTATCCAAACTATTTCTCTGTCTTTTTTTTTTCCAGAGAAGTGTATTATCACATTGATATTATATAAAATTATTATATTTATAGAAAACAATAAAAGCACAATTATATATTATTTTGAATTATTTGAATGATAGTTACAATGATTACTTGTTTGACACCAGAACGTTTGAATGCCTGTTTGACGTTTTTACAACCAAATATTTCGTATTATTTAGTTGTTATTACACTGACACCTGAGTATTTTGTTAAACTAATTAATTTTTCGAAATATTCGAATATCTCCCCTCCATAAGCGATGAGCCAATGAAGAATTTCAATTTCAGTGAAATGTACGCTAAAGTAATGTCATAAAACAATATTAAGGTATTGGAATTTAATCATTTCATTTGTGTTAAAATATATAGTTATATATAAAACTTCATAAATATCTATTTACCATACTTTGCAAAAAAAATGTCTTTGGAATCAATCAAATTTGACAAAGCAGATAAAGACAATCTAAGTGTCGAAATCTTAGATCAACTTCTATTGCCATATGTTACCAAATACATCTCAATCGACAACATTGACGATGGATTTTCCACTATTAAAAACATGCAAGTTAGAGGTGCCCCGGCTATTGCGATGGTCGGTACATTATCAGTTTTATTAGAGATTCAACTCCTTAACTCTAAGGAATACACGTCAAGTCAATCGTACTACGACCTATCAAACTGGCTACATACTAAAAATCAATTGAAGAAAAGGTTAGAATATTTATTAAGTAGTAGACCAACTGCTGTCAACTTAGGAAATGCTCTAAATGATATTACAAATATATTAGAACAGTCTCAAGATATTATTACTTTGAAAGATGATGTTTATCAATATACATGTCAGTTATTAGGAAATGATCTAAAGGACAATATAACAATGGGCAATAACGGTGCAAGAAATCTTTTATCATTATTAGAAAAGGAAGACTTCCACTCTAACTTTGGTGTATTAACAATTTGCAACACTGGATCGCTAGCTACAGCAGGTTATGGTACAGCACTAGGTGTTATCAGATCATTATGGGAAGATAGTCAGAAGAAAAGTGCTGAAAATAAAAATGATTGTGCTAAGATGACACATGTTTTCCCATTAGAAACTAGACCGTACAACCAAGGTTCCCGTCTTACTGCATATGAACTAGTGCACGATAAGATCCCAGCAACTTTGATCCCCGATAGCTCGATTGCTTACAAGATTGCAAGCAGCCCATTACCAATCAAAGCAGCATTTGTTGGTGCTGATAGAATTGTTCGTAATGGTGACACTGCTAATAAAATTGGAACATTCCAATTAGCTGTTATTTGTAAACAATTTGGAATTAAGTTCTTTGTTGTTGCTCCAAAGACTACAATTGACAATAAGACACTAAATGGTGATGGCATTATTGTTGAAGAACGTAAAGCTGAAGAGTTCAAACTAGTTAGTGGTACTCTTGTTGATGTAAACAATTTCGAACCAGTTCTAGACCAAAACAATAAACCAATATCTGCTAAAGTTGGTATTGCACCTCCAGAGGTGAATGTGTGGAACCCATCATTTGATGTTACACCTCACGAGTTCATTGATGGTATTGTTACTGAAGTAGGTGTTTTTACAAAAAATCAAAATGGAAATTTTACTTTAGAAGAGTTATTCTAGATTTAAAAGAGAAGATAACGAAGATAGATATCAAAGTAACAGTAAATAGTGCTTCCACTACACCCAGGTATACGAAGTATGTGCGACAAGCTAGTAGAAACTTATATGAAACAGAGATACAGTATGATATCAATTATTCTGAGACTAAATATAGTTGAATTATCTTACAAGTAGGAGTTGGGAAAGCCTTCATCACTTTATTATTTGCATATTATATATATATGTATATGATATAATATGTTAATACTACCTGTGAGACCTAATTTCCTTGACAGAAGCCCTAAATCATGTGACACAAAACTTTTACTCCTCCATCCTCCAAAATCACGTCATCTTTAACGACCCACAAAGGGGGGGACATCAACAAACAAACCTTATCACTACACACGGAAATAAACACAAAGAATTAAAGTTAGTTCCTAATCAGGAAATACCTAAACAAACAGATCAGGAAATTGATCAACAAAACAAATTGTCAAAATTATGTTTCAAAGTGACGCAGAAACACAATAACTGTTTTAGGTCTACCGAAAGAGAAACAGAGTATTTACCATTATTCTTGTGATCTTCTACAATTTAATTGCATCGATGAAGGAGCAAGGAAGCAACTCAGCCAAAGAATGCTATTTTGGCTTTAATTGTTGTTATTGTTTTCACTTTTTATAGTAATTGAGGATCCCATCCCTGGGATTACTTGTATTTCTTGGATAAGTTTGTTATTATTATCATTTTCCCTTTAGCAAACGGGGAGGTGGTCTTGTATTTTTATAGAATAAAAATCATATAATTATTAAATAAGAATTTCTAGTATTTATTAAAACAGTTTTTAAAAACTTTTTGAATATATTTTATTTAAATAATTTTTTTTTGTTAGAGATCACGGACCTTTAGTTCTTTTTATTTAATACTTAAGAACACAAAACCCTTCAAACCATCCTCATCACATCAGAAGTCTATTCATCTTCGATTGTTGAACGTTAGAATCCATATAAATTCTCTCTAACTCCAGACTCTCCATTCTTTTTTCCTACTGTTTATAACCTTTTAATCTAATAAAACATTATAAGATTAAACCGTTTAACTCTGATCAACTACAATCTCATTCTCTGAAAACTATAAGATAAATTTCGTTCAACAAATTTTTAATCTATTTTCAAATATTCTCTCATAGCTCATTTAATTTCTTTAACTTCCCTCTTTTCACATCACTGCATTTCGTTTCATTCCAAATATATTGTTTGATTTTTCATTTTGCATATCTTTAAAATATATCATTTTTTATCATTCAATTTCAATTCATTTTAGTCATATTGCAAGAACCTAATTATTAATATCATTTTTCTTTTCTCTTTTGATTTCTCAATTCTTCGATCTAATAACTTCAATAATTTATTCTCCTTTTTTGATTATTACATTTCATTTTTGTTTCTATTATGTCATCTTCAGAAAACGTATCGACTAATAATAACAACAACAGTAACAACAACTCTAGAGTACCAAGGAATGCCCAAAGATTAGCTTTACATAATGTTACAAACACAACTTTGGCACAAGAGAATGTTCTTCAAAATTTAAAACCAAGCATCGTTTCAAAGAAAGAAATCCTAAAAGAATCTATAGATAGGTCAAACTTTGTTTCTAGTTCCTCGATTCCAAATTCACAATCCTCGAACACGTCTACATCCACAAATATAAAATCTTCGGAATTAAATATTAAACAAAACCCAATTAAGCAACCCAATTTAGATGATAAAGAAAATCTTGACCCTTATATAACGACAAGTAAAAGTTTACCATCCATCGAAGAGGAAAATGAAATCATCGATTCACAACATGTCCTTAGTGAGCAGCGATCGATTGTTGAGAAAAAAGATGTATCTACCACTAATTCAAAGGATTTGCAAGAGAAGATGAATGTAGGTAAAAAGAGACCGATTTCTACTGTAGTAGAACAAGAAGAACCTAAAAAATTCAAAGTATGCGATGAAAATGGTACTGAAGAATATGAGTGGGAAGATCTAGATGCCGAAGACGCCAATGACCCATTCATGGTTAGTGAATATGTCAACGATATCTTTGATTATTTACATCATCTAGAAGTTGTAACATTACCTAGGAAAGAAGACCTATATCAACATAGAAATATCAGACAAAATAGAGATATTTTGGTTAATTGGTTAGTCAAAATTCATAATAAGTTTGGTTTACTGCCAGAAACACTATATTTAGCAATTAATATCATGGACCGTTTCCTATGCAAAGAACTAGTTCAACTTGATAAATTACAATTAGTGGGTACATCGTGCCTATTCATTGCATCAAAATATGAAGAAGTTTATTCTCCAAGTATAAAACATTTTGCTTCTGAAACAGATGGTGCATGTACAGAAGAAGAAATAAAAGAAGGTGAAAATTTTATTCTGAAGACTTTAGATTTTGGTCTCAATTATCCAAATCCAATGAATTTCTTAAGAAGAATATCAAAAGCGGACGATTACGATATACAATCACGAACATTAGCTAAATTTCTTCTTGAGATATCATTAGTAGATTTTAGATTTATTGGTATATTACCTTCACTATGTGCCGCAGCTGCAATGTTTTTATCAAGAAAAATGTTAGGTAAAGGTAAGTGGGATGGGAATTTAATTCATTATTGTGGCGGTTATACAAAAACTCAATTAGCTCCAGTATGCCACATGGTCATGGACTATTTAGTTAGCCCTATTATTCACGATGAATTCCACAGAAAGTACCAATCTAGAAGATTTATGAAAGCATCCATAATATCGGTACAATGGGCTTTAAAAGTAAGGAAGAATGACTACGATATAATGACATTACATGAATAAATGCCTCTTTTTTCTGAGAAAAATAGGTCACAACATCTATTTGGAATACAAATGGTTTGGTGTTTTAGAGGTAATAGTATAGTATTTGAGTAACCAAATTCCACTCCTAATAAGCCTTGAGACCATTCCTTTTTCAGTTATTTTCCAAATTGATAGGTAATCATTGTAATACCCAAAGCATAAACATTAAAATGAAAGTTCATGATCTTTTATAATCGATATTTTGAATTGAAATTTTCTAACCACATCTCTTTTCTTTTCCTCTATGAACCCTTGATTCCATAGATAGTGATCAATTTCGAGAAAGAGAGGGACCTAAAGGTTTCTAACGACCCAACACAATACAACATAACTCACATTCCACTCAACCTTAATAGCTAATACTACGAATATATTTTTCGTATCTATAATATAAAGTCCAATAATGTATATTTAATTTAATAAAACTTAATTATTCGTAACTGAGCGATTTTTATGAAAGTAAGAATAGTTATATTATTTCTTTTTTACGTTTGATGTATATATATCATATAGATATTTATATGCACATAGATGAATGCTTTTAATTTGTTTGCTATTTAATGTTACAATGCGAATAAAGTAGAGAAGCTATGATCGACCTCCATAGTACAATATCTAAGTACAATGTCATGAATACCTTTTGGGTCACCTTCATTATATTTCATTTTTAAAGATGGCAATCTAGTCCGAGGCGTATCAATTTCATTAACCAATTGTTTACAAGCTGATTGGAACCTTATATCGTTTACCGGGTCAATACCTCCACTATAATGAATAAAATTATTGTCCCATGTTTTATCTTTTGAAGTGATTCTTCTAGCAATGAAAAATGCAATGGCGCTTATATAAGATGGTTTCTCACCAATAAAATTTGGACAACAAAAGGCAAATTCAAGTATATATTTTGAAATATTTCTTGTTTCAGTGTCGTATCCATCTGCCTTTGACAATCTTCTTAGGAAATTCATTGGATTAGGCCATGCCAATTCAAATTTTAATTTAGTTAACATATAAAGCTCCGCAGTCTTTATATCTTCTTTCGTAGCTGCTCCATCAGTAATATACGCGTATTCAGCCAACTTAGGCAAATGAATCTCTTCAAATTTTGCAGCAATGAATAATGATGTAACGGCTAATAATTGTAATTTATCTGTATTAACCTTATTAGCTGCCAGAAATCGATCCATAATATTTATGGCCAGATACAATGTTTCTGGAAAACATTGGAATTTTTCATGAACTTCTACTAGCCAATCAATCAGAATAGCCCTTACTGAAGATCTAATAGTATGTTTAGTTTCGGTTTTAACAGTGTAGTTACGCAAAGGTAACAATTCGGATTCACGTTTGTAAAAATATTCAAAAATATTATCAGAATATTCATAAACCATACTAGGATCATTTTTATCTTGTTCGTCTAATTTAAACCAAGGTGAGTCTTTCTGCAGAACGTCATTATTCTGATTCGTACTGATGATGATGTCGTCGTTATCATTATATATTCTTCTTTTTTTTGAAGTATTACGATCCAAATTGTCCAAATCCTTTCGTACTCTTGGCATTGGTTGGGTTGTGGGATTTGTACGACCATTATCCTTTTTGATTGCATTTATTCTTTTTGAATTAGCATTGACCTCTACAAGAGCACCTCTATCACTATATTTTTTTAAAGGTTTCAATTGTTTCCCTATAGGAATAGATTCCATTTGCGATAAACCTGTTTTATGCTGTATTTGAGATGATTCATCATTAGTATTCATCTTAAAAATCGGAATATATTGGTTAGAAGAAAAAAAATTGGATAGTTATAGTTATAGGTTTCGTATTCTATCTTAAAAACGGACCGTTTACAAATGCAATTGAGTGTGAATGTAATATTTCTCAGTAGCTAATTCTCTTATTGAAAACTAGGTGGTTCAACTATTACTTAACACCTTTTATGAAAAATCAAAAGACAGCAACAATAAAATGTTAGAGAAAAACCAAAATATTTTAAAGTACTATTCTTATATCACTTCACCAAAACTACAAACACTTTTAAATCAAAGTGTAAACCAAACCAAACCAAATCAAATCAATAGATAAAAAATGTTCGAATACAAATGATAAACCCTGTATGGATGTATCGTGTATCAATTCAACCTTACTGTAACACCTGTTTTATCTTCACGAACTCACGAACTCACGAACTCACTGAAATTACAAAACTTGTATAAGCTTATCTTATAAAATAAGTCTATCAATAGAAGGGAATCCCTACCGAAGTTGTTGACTGAAGATTATTTTCCTTGGTCATCGCCAAAAATATTTCAGTTCTTGGACTTATCTTTGTGACGCGTCTCTCTATGCTTGCCATACCCCGTTTACTGAACAAAGAAGAACGAACGCAAAAAACGCGGCGCGTCTCTCGCCATATTTAGAATTTACGCGTCGAACTATCTTCTACAACAGTATCCGTGGTATTTGATATAGCCAGAGAACGAGAGAAACAAGCAACTGAAATAAACACAAACATTAGCTGAATTCAACGTTCAAGAAGACCTAAGAGAGCCTCAAGAGGTCATTATCATCCCTATTCTTAGATTTCACGATATTTACAACGTGAACTATTTCGGTATTCATAATGTAGTGTATATATATATATATATAAGTAAGTAAATAAGTAAATAAGAAAATATAATGACAAGAAGGAATGGAAAAAATAAAACTGTAATATTGACAATGATTAGCGAGAAAAAGACAAACACTAACAAGCGTCTTGTTAGTGTTATTTATATTTACGTTTTTTATTTGCTTGATTTCTTCTCCTTTATTTCTTTATCCTTAGCCAACATCGACCTTACTGTTTCTGTGGCTTCTTCTTGAACTTTATCAATTGCATCTAAACTTAGACTATCCTTAACTTTCACAATAGAACCTTCTTCTTGTTCGACTTCTTCCTTCATAATCTCGTCCTGCTCCTTCAAGTGCACCAATTTCTGTTTGGCTGTGGCTTTGTCTTCCTTAACTACATTGACTTTCACCTCATGGTATAATTCATCTGGTATAGCACTCAAAACATCACACAACGAATCGTATAAGGATTTCTTCGAGGAAGCATCACCATAATTGTATGATGTTGCCAGAACCATTAACGTCGATGGAATTTTATCCTTGATTCTCATATTCAACCATAATTTTAAATTTTTCCTCAAAGCTGCATCTGTGGTATCCTTAATTCTAATACCTCTAGAGGCACAAGCACTACGTAATTCGTTGGAATTTAGTTGCTCTGTATCCTCATAATACAACGCAAAATCATCTTTTTTCAAATCTAATAATTTAAATCTGATTCTATATCTAAGCATAACATCCGTCCCAAAAGGTTGAATATTGATATATTTAGCCAACGCAATCAAATGTGGTCTACTCAAATTATCCAACACAGTATCATCACTAAATAATCTGGCAACTTCAATCAACTGACTACGAGATTCACTTTCACCTGTAGCTCTAACATGCTTATAGAATCTATTGAATAACATTTTTTGTTCTTCTGAGATACCTTGTGGTTTAAAATGTGATTTATTATCTTTAATAATACTTGTAACTAATTCTCTAGTCTTTCTTAAACTTGCTAATTTTGTTTCTTTGGAATGAGTAGATTCATATGTAGATGGTAACAAATTTGGGAAGATCTTTAATGCTAAAGGTAATAACAACTCAGCAAATGGAATCAATACAAAAGCAGCAAACGGTACTAATCTAACTACATCTTGCGTAGTTCTTTTCAATTGAATCATTTCTCTACGGGTTAGAGTATTACCCGCTGACATTTTCATCAGTAATCTCGATGATATCTTAATTTCAAACCCTAATAACTTAGTACCATCCCAGTAATGACTTGCTCCTTCTTTTATGACTGTCCATAATGGTTTCTTCACTTTAGGTTTAGCAATCACAGATTTGGAATCATTTTCTTTGGTAGAATTTAAACGAACAAATTGATACGATAAAGGTAACTTAACGGTATTGGATACACTGGAATTCAACCCTAGAACTCTGTGTGTACTCCAAAGGGCTCCATTATTATATTTAAATTCTCTTTTCAGAAGTACTTGGGATCTAGATTTCAACATGATCCCGGAATTATGAAATATTTCTGTTTTGAATGAATACACTGTATTAAAACAAGAAAATAGCAAATAAAGAAATGAAACCAGATAACCTTTCAATCGACAATACCTTGCTTGCTTATATAAAACATCAAGAATCGACGGTGAACATTGACGAAATTCAATAATGTTCACCGTTGTCAGACAATTTCGTTGAAATTAAGTGAAATTCTATTATTATTTACTTCTTACTTAGCTCATCTTGCTAATGTAAAGCCACCACCAGCCCACTTGATCAATATTTAAAACCGCACTTCCATTGGAGAGAAATTACCGTACAACCAGATAATCACGACTTGGTTATCCGAAACTTCATGATCCTTTTTCGCTCCTCGAGATGACAGCGAGAGACGGCCAAATTAGCGAGAAATGAAAGGACCAATCAGTAAGCGTAGACAGGTGAATTTGGAAGTGAAATTACAGCTAGAGAATGTGTGATTTTAAACTTAATACATTATTATTTTATTATTATTATTATTTTCTTAAATTACAATTTAACCTGTAATGATAATACACAGATAGTAAAAACGGGTTATATGAAAGGTATACATGTGTCTATTAGGTAAGAAACCAAAGAGAGAAAAATAAGGATAGAATGGTCATCTATTCTGTACCTTCTATATTTGGAAATTGTTTCTTGAATTCTTTTTTATTTCTTTACTTTTATGGGGGTTTTGTAGGTCATGAATATAAAACAGACAATATTATTTCTTCGTTATGGCAAAAAAGGCAACTGTGCAAAACACGTAGAAGAATTATGCTCTATTTCTGTTTGATTTCAGCAATGTCTTGAAACCGTTACAAAGTTGGACAACACTTGGATAATTGTAGTTAACTAAGTAAAATCCAGTATTAGTCAATCTAACGTTCCATGTATAAAGTTTACCACTTGCATTGATCTTGAAATTAATAAAGAACCATCCTGGGTGCTCATAATTGAAACTGAAGTAATAGACAGACTTTTTAGGATTGACTTTAGAGTAATCTTCAATGAATTTGATGACTTCCTTTGATGTACCAGATTTGAATTTTTCATTTGATGTCATCTCATTCAATAATCTAACTTTATTTTGTAAATATTCGACAATTAATTGATCTAAGTCATGATATCTTTGATTTTCAACAACAAGAACTTTACCCAATGCCAACGGATTTTCTTTTTCGAATTCCTTAATGTCAATATGTTCAAATAGATCTTTGTCTAATTTCCATGTGATAGCAAGATGATCATCGCCTCGACTTGATTGCCTGATGACAAAATCACCACGGTTTTTCGATCTTAGATAATCCTCAGCCTGTTTACTATTAAATGGGAAATAATAAGGATGATTGATCACACGATGTGCCCTTTTAGCGCGAGCTCTGTCAGCGGATATTTTCCTTTCCTCCTCATTATCCTTCAATTCTTGCTGCAAGTCCCATACAGATGGATCTTTACTGTAACTGATTGGAATGTACTCGTGTTCGACATCTTCTTCCAACAGAGACACCTCAGCAGATATCTCGCTATAATCAATGAAAATAATCTTGGCAGGATACGTCTTACCAATTTCATATATCTCACCAGCAGCTCTTTGAATTTGAGCACCTATATGTCTTTGCGCATTTACAATACAATCAACACCAGAGTTTGTAATACATTTAATATCATTATGCCAGAATCTTTCAACCTTAACAGGAATGACACAACCTTTGTAAAATGTCTTTTCAGTTTCACCGGTTAAACTATGGAAAATCTCTTCACCTTGTAAAGGATGAAAATCATTTCTTAATTCCTCAAAACCATGCAGTAACTCTAATATAATTGTACTCAAATTATTCAATTTTCTTTGGCCTGTCGTCTTCTCTAATTCTTCAGCGTAAGACTCCAGATTCAAGGATTCTAATTTCGTTCTGCGATCAGGATCATCTCTTAAATATTCTATGAAGTCACTCATTGTACCTTGATCTTCTTTTTCTGCAATAGCATCTGGATCATATTCTAATGCATCCGCTGCAACTTTTGTGGCCAAATGATAATCTTCAGGATGAATTCTTGTACTATCAAGTTGATCATGTTCCAAGTCCTCATATTTTTGCCTCTTTTCGTTCCAAGATATATTTAGGAACCCAGCCGAGTTCATGAATATTGTCTTGTGTAAAATATTGTGAGTAATCAGTTGTTGACGAGCTAATAATGGCTCATTCAATCTATGTAAGGATTGCAGGAAATCAGCAGCCTTACGTTTACCAAAACCGGAAACATATTTTAATACTGAAGCATAATAATCATTATCAGTGGCCTTGTTAACATCGACACCAACTAAATTGACAATATCAACAAATGCAGATTCTAAAGCATGTACCAGAATTTCCGTAGGCAGTAATGATTGATGTGGATGGATTGCTAAGGATTTCAGTTCTTCAGGTAACAAATTGGCATATTCTAACAACGGAGAATGCATATAACGAGCAAGACCAATACAGTACTTGATCAATGGTGCCTTATTAGAAAATTCTTCTTGTGCCCTCTTAGAATTTTGGAAACGAAGGGCAGTTTCATCCTCAACATATATAACAGAAACCAAATTGCCCTTACTATCAACAATTTGTTTCCTTTGAATTATATCTTGCACTTTTTTGAAAAACTTTTCTGTCTTTGGATTTGGACCATTAATACCAATGGCATTAGGTTGACAAGTGGATATAATACTCCCTAATGTATCCTCAAATGCCTCTGGACGGGATCTGTCAAAAGGGTTATCTACAATCTTGAAGTCCTTGACAAATTCACCTTTACGATTAACAAATACACTGATGATAGCATCTGCACCAAATTTACCTTGACCACATGACAATGTTAGAATACGTGGAATTTTCGATTCTTTGACATTTGGAATGTAAGGAGCTTGGTCGAGTTTAGCCATAAATTTATGACGAACAGTAAGGGCCACTAATTTTTGACAAGTTTTGGTTAAACCTTCCTTAATTTCACTGGATATGTCAAAGAAAATTTGATTCATTGCTTCCTTGAATGCTGCTTTACGGAAGTTGTTCCATTCAGTTGCTAGCTCAGATGTATTAGTAGTTTCTAAAACAATTTGGAACAAGTGATCCGTATATTGATCTTCGGAGGACATGTGAATCTTTAAGGCCATCAAATTTAATGACTCAGCTTCTAACATCCGTAGAAACACATTTGGATCTTTACGGAAGTGTAACGGCGTTCTATTGATGGCATATTTGATATCTTCATACAAAGACCCTCTTTGAATTTCATTTTTACCCTTCTTAGTTAATACAACATCGATCAAATAGTACTTGTAGAAATCAGATCTGACTTTTTCTCGAATCTTAATATTCTTGGATAATTCTAACGAATAGTATTTTCTCACTGTTTCCACAGCCAAATTCATATTTGTTGAGAAGATTTGCAATTCAGAAGGGTTCTCTTGAATGACAGACTCGATGACTTCATATGGCTTCAAGGATTGGTGATCAACTGGAGTATTGATTTGATGCAACGAACTTAAATTTTCACCTACATTTTCAGCAGTAATACCAATTTCGCTAACCGCACGGTATAGAGGACTGTTTTTAAACTTTTCGTAACTTGAATTTTTCAAGTGTCTCTTCCCAGAATGCTCCTCGTTAACTGATATGGATTTGTTGATTTCCTGAGAATATCTAAACTCTAAGAAATCATGGATATCCTGAAGAGCATTCAATTCAGCAGTAGATGCACTATTTTGGCCTTGGAAATAATCTTCGATATCACTATCATGAATATTTAGTTCTTCGTAGAATTTTTTAACGTAATCTCTCTTACTGATAATGCTCTGGAATTCTAAATCTAATGTAATAATCTCCCATAAATCATCTTCACTTAAGACAAACCCACCACTTACTTTAGAAGAAATATAATTACGACGGTAAGCATATATAAATGGGACTTCAAGGTTATCTTGTGTGATGAATCTAATTGCATTACCAATAGATTCTCTAAATTCAGTCATATCATATTGTGCGTCGAAATTTTTGTTCAAGGCAATCTTGTCGGCAACCCATTTCTTTTCTAGTTCTTGATCCTGTTCAGATAAAGTACCATAGTTTTGGATACCTGTTCTAAGTTCTTGGAATCTCTCTGGAAGATCGGTCTTCCTTATTAACATATCTTCTTCAGTAAGTAAATTTTGTTTCAAATCTTCTAAATCATAAATATCTTGTAGATCTGCAGTCTTCTTTGTTTGTACAGGGATACCATTTTCATCTACTTCCTCCCCATCTTCACCACCGACAACATTATTTTCGTTCATCTCTTCGTTTTCAATCTCTAATGCCCAATCGTAATCGTGTCCATCACCAAAGATATCATACATTTCATCAATTTTATCAGAAGAAAGACCCGATATCTGAGTTGGAGCATTCATTCTTTGTTGTTTTTGTAATCTTCGTTCTTCTAGTCTTCTCTCTCTAGTCTCTTCATCTTCATCTGAAAATTCATCTTCTTCAATAAAATCGTCTAATTCGTCCATGATCCCAGCTTTTGGAGCAACTCCTCTGCCAACTCTTCTATCGTTATGGGATTCTTCATCCTCCTCCTCTAAGTCGGAGTCACTTCTTCTACCTCTGGATGTAGTTTCTTCATCTATATCCTCAAACATATTATCTAATTGAGATGTAGTACTAGTCTTTTGCTGTGTTTTTTCATTTTCTGAAGATTCTTCTTCTTTACCTTCTACTCTCTTTAATCTCTTAAGTTTACCGGAAGAACTAGCGGTTGTACGCTTGACACCAGCGTTTTCCATTAATAAATCAAGATCATCCTCTGATAAACGATCATCTTCATCTTCTCTGTTTCTACGTTTATGTTTTCTTCTCTTTTTAGAGATTGTACCATCTTCCTCATCCTCGTCATCAACAATGAAACCTTCTTTCACCTTTCTAGCTTCGTCCTCATCATCATCTAAATTGTCGTCTTCCTCAGAAGAATCAAAAACATCCTCCCCTTCTTCTTCACTACTCGGAGCCTTGTCATCGATATCGTTATTCATAACGTTGTCGTTGTTATCAGTAATACGAAGTTCTGTACTTTCGTCCATGGTTGGCTGAAATTATTAAAAACTTGAACAGAGTGACAAATAATTTTGTAAAATATCTATTAACAGTTCGTTTTGTTATTTTAAGAAAATATAGTCCAGAACAACCAAAGTTCAATGGTTAATATGGTTCTTTTTGTAAACAAAATCGAATTGTACTTGTTAAATATACAACGATTTTCAGTGTTTGTTTCTTTTCTTATAGTGAAGCAGTGATAGTTATAGTAAACTTGCTATAGTCTACCCTGTTTGTCCTTAACCAGTGTCCAACTTTTTCACTGTTGGCATTATTTGTTTAATTTTTTTTTCCTTTTTGATTTTTTTACTTTCGCTGGAAATCTCAATAATTTTTCAGTGACGGCACTACGACATAGTAAGTACGTACACAGTGATAACGAAGGGAGCGACAACTAGAGTAAATGTGGTACTTAACTTTAGTTACATAGAAACATATGAAAATGTACTGCTCTTTGTTTACAAATGAATTGAATATCTATATCTTATTTTTTAGCTATTTACAGATATAAAAGTATTAGGAACTGATATAGTCTTTTGAATGGGGGAAGGACAGAAGACAAAATAATTAAGCAAATTTTTCAGCAGGTAGTAAATTTGTATCCATATCGTTACTTTGTTCCTGCTGTCTTGCAGATTCAAGCATACTTCTCTCTATGCGTCTGTCTTGATCATGAATATCAGGTTCACAAACACATTTATTCTCGTTTCCCTTGTTATTTTGAGTAGATTCATTATTAGAATTTTTTTCATTATAACTTGTCACAGGGTCATTATAATCTGTTGAATCAAATGAGTTTTTTGGTTGTTTTTGTACATGTCTACCACATTTACAATTTGCAGCACCTGGACAATTCATTGCCTTTTTGATTTCACGTTGAATATTCCATCTTCTCAATGTACTAATTTTGCATCTATTGAAAAATACTTCAGATAATGTTAATCCAACAATAACGGCAAAGACATAAGTTAAAATGAATGTCATTACAACTAGCATTAGCATATAAATCAACATTGTTGAAGTGAAAATTAGTAATATCCTAACAATATCATGAAACATATCCTTCCAAGATGGTGCAAAAATCTCGAACATTAAATTAGGTAATTTTGGTAACGCTACCATTTGACCGCCTGCCTCTGTATATTCGGTCTCTGTACGTTCATCGTCGTATTCATCATCGTCGTCATCATAGTCCTCTATAGTTTTATTGCTATTTGAATTATTCTTATTAAATTTTTTAGATCTATTCCATTTCTTAAACCAATGTACTTCTAAACACCAACTAACAAAAAGGATAAATTTATAAACAAAACATGCAGCTAGGATCAATACAAAGATCCCAAATGCACCTTTCTTATCTTTTGCATATAATTTTTCGAATAAAACAGGATAATCCTTATATTTTCTTGTCAAATAAGAATTCATACCCATCTCCATACTCATACCAGAAGATGATGTGGAATTAGACATATCCATACTTGTACTGGAAGAGCCATGATTATGTGACATATCCATGGCAGAAGTTGAAGCAGATGTAACAATATACCTTGAATCCATAGTCATTGTAGACATAACCATCGATGCGGTACTGGAAATGGATGACATTACCATTGATACCATTGGACTATTACTACTACTAGGCATTGACATTGTGTGATCACTAGACATGGACATTACCATCGAGCTCATGGAGCTACCAGTAGGCATAGACATTGACATACTATCCATATTCAGATTTATAGGCTTTTACTTAATTAAAAATAAATAGTTCACTGAAACTTCCAAACTCAAATAAATATTGATTACAGTAGGTTATATCGTATTTTCACAAATACAGAAAATTAAAATATTGAAATAAATAAAAAGTAGAACAATGCACACTTATTTATATGTGTGTGTGCAAAGGAAATTAATAAAATATACTGCAATTGTGGTTTTTATGCTTGTGATGATGCAACCTTTTACATTATAATTGAAATTTATATCCTACAATAATCACCGAAATACCCTTCGAGATTGTGCTCTTTTGTTCACTTTAAAGGATCTTAGATTAATAACGCCTTTGAGGGGTGGACAGAGTTCTAACAACCAAAAGGAAACTTTACTGTGCTCTCTCAGTATATGGCGCATATTCTTCTTACTCCGACAAATTGAGCGGCTACCCCTCTCTCTCTCTCAGTTGTTTTTTGCCGCCATTTATTGTGTTGCACGTAATGTCTTTAGTGGTGAGCATTTTTGAGCAAATATTTGTTTTTCATTGAGAGTTTATTTGCTCATTTTATCTCGCTCTCTTTTTGCAGGTTGTGGCACGTGACTTGGGTGTCAGACCCCCATAACTATTATTTATTAGTATTAGATTGATGAGGTTTGTTTTCGGAAAGCATTAGGTCCAGGTAATTGCACTGGCGGAACTCTGATACGCTGAATTGTTGATGGTTCATTTGGTTGATTACATTGCTGCCGTTCTTGGTGGGTATTCTTCCCAGAGTATTCAATACATTGATGGAAAGAACGGCTACTGGCTCGTTGGATGGCCCCCAGGGGTGTCTTGATAAGCTTCTGATAACTCACAGTCTCTAATGAATTATATATTTCTTTCATGATGACTGAGCATAGTCTCAAACCTTCTTTCTTGTTGTGGAACGATGCCAGAAGTCCCTTCAATAATAAAAATGGATTACCATGAGTTTTCTCAACAATATCTTTTAATTCTTTACTTTCAATCAATAACCCTTTCATCTTAAGAAACGCGCCCAATTGTAATAATAATGCTTGTTCTCTAATTGCATCCTGTGACAGTACACTGTTAATCATGATTGAAATTTTACTTCTCTTTGCAGAATATTCAGAAGTTTTCTCCCAAATAAAATTCCTATATTCCGTTAAAGTTATTTGCTCTAGGATTTTTTGTTGAGATTCTTGCAATTCTTTAATTGAAATGACCTCACCATCAATTATTTTATTCATACATTTATTATGGTTATTCATTTCATAACTATTTAAGATATCATTAGAACCAACTCTCACATTAGGTATAATTTCATTCATTAAATTCATTGGACCACTTGTAGTTTCTCCTGATGCACCATTAGTCTCTAACATCGATGGATCATGTTTAATAATTTGAATATATTTTAAAATATATTCTTTAAAGAAAAATGAATCATTGATAGAACCTAGTACGTCTTCCTCAAAATATTCTAAATATTCTTCAATATTTTCTTCCAATGTCATTGTATTAGAACTTGACATTATAGTAATATGTATCCCGATTGTATCTGTCAATTCTCGTACACCACCCATTACTACGTATCCAACTTGTCTCTTATTTCTTAGTTCCGGTATTAATGTTAATGACATTAAATATCCACTGAAAAAGGTTAGAGCTCTAATTTTTAAATCATATCGAGATCCCATTTGAATAAAGAATGTAATCCCATTGCTTGGATCGTCACATACACCATCATGTTCTAGAACATAATTGGTACCAGGTTTCAATACAATAGTTCTTAACAGTTTATTTGTGACACGATGTGGACTGCCAGGGGAACCATTCTTAATAGAAAAATGGCCTGTAATATTTTTATCCAAATAACTATTAATTGAATCTGCCTCACTCATATCACCTTGAATAAATAACGTTAAAAAATTAGTATCACCTTTTAAAAACATTTGACAAAAGTTTAGAAATTCATCCATATCGACACCTTCCAAAGCATCAGTACGATCTTCTAATGTCCACATATGTTTCTCCAACACAATTAAAAGACCAATGCTACTGGATTTGATACAATTTTCCATTGAAGCATTTTTGTACTTATTTCTGGTGAGAATACGGCCTTTCCTAAACATTTCCCTATCCTGTTTAGAGTTGCTATTCATTTTCAATATTTTTTTGATCCCCATCGAAATATGGTTCATGACCTGGATAATCCCTGAACCAAAACCGGATATTGTAAATTTTATAGTAACTTCACCTCTATCTGATGCTGCTATCGTATAGACATATCCAATTTTAACGGCTGGATATAATCCTGGTGAAATAATTTTGAATAATAGTTGGGCTAAGATTTCTAAAAGAATTGTATTTCGGGGACTAGGCTCAATGGTCGTAGATGCCAGTTCAAAGGTGACAATAGTTTTTCTACCTAGAGGTTGGTTCAATGCCCCATCCTCTAATACCCATAATTCATACATGGAATTAAAACTAACAAGCCTCGGTAATTGTAATATTTGATTTTCCATTGTATTTGGTGTTAATGAAGAATATTTTGATCTTAAACTAGTTTCCAACAAAATTTGTCTTAAAACTGTTAAATTTCTGTGTTCTGCGACAATAAATTCATTCTCTCTTGGGTAATCGATATTTTTTTTAATTTCTGTTTCAAATTTTCCAAATAACTTAGAATAATTAATATATTTCATTTGGTATTCGAATTCATAAAATTCATCACATTTGAATTTTTTCATGAAACTATTCTTTAAACCACATTTTTGAAGATTGTTTCCAAGAACAATCACACGTACATTCGTAATGGTCATGCAACCTGTAAGGAATTTCTGAAATAAAATTGCTTGGCCCAACCACCAATTGTCCATCTCCTGACTTTTGTCATCTAGAATTTCTATATTTGAATGACCACTATTTTCACTTAATATAGAAGAACCTTTAAAAATATTTGCAATATTTAATTCCTTTAAATTTTCTAGTAAAACACTACTTATTTCAGATGTTTCTTCCATTGGTGACTTTATTTTTTTTTGATTAATAAATGAAATTATATCAATGTAATTTTGATCTCGAAGATATTTTGATAGCTTATGAAGATTTCCTTTCGTAAATTGTGGTATTATACTAGAAAATAATTCTTCAGTTATTTGATCCAAATGGCACCATCCATTATTGCTTAGGTCTAGTTCTAATACAAGCCCAATATCGTGAATTGTAAAATCAGAGACATAGGCAAAGCAACCTGTTATCCATTCTCTTTCTATAAAATACTGACAACATGATGATCTAGACTCATCACCAAACAAATCACACCATACTCTAGAAAATGTTTTGATATCTTGGTTAGGTAGTTTATTATTATTAAGGTTGATAGGAAATAAAAACCGTACAGTAAATGATTTATTTGATTTAACAAATATTATATTGCTACGTTTTGAGACACCATCATCAAATGCTGTGATATTGTTGAATCTACTATTCCATACATCTTCTAAGATGTGGAAAGTTTCAACATCTAGTTTCTTTTTAACTAAGTTTTTTTCCGCCTTTGGTTTAGAGTAAGTCCGATATCTTATTGCACTCAGAGATCTTCTTAAACTTGCTTTCTTACAAAGCATTTTTCCAAAGTTTAGGTAAGCCAACTTCGATAATGAGTTTACCGATTGTGGACCCCTTATACACAATGAAATTTTATGACTCGAAATATTCTCCCGATAATATTTAATCAATAAAGACTGTAAATCGTTTAGGTGAGTATTGGACACATTACTCAAGGAATTCATATTTCCGGTTGAGAATTGACTAAACGGATGGTTATTGTTTGCTAACAATCTTGTAGCGTGGTACAACATTTTAGATATTGATGATATATTATTTTCATGTTCACTATTGATTGAATATACCTCCTTGTTAATAATTAGGGGATTAAAAATGGGATCGTCGAAATATGATGCAAATATATCTAGAATTTTATCAAAAATCATTTCGCCATCTACTGATAATACTGGTATTTCAAAATAAAAAGTAGTTTGTTCGCCCGTAGTAAAAGCATTTTGAAAGCCGTTATATTTTGCAATAATGTCATGATAATATCCGGGAACAGGGTATTTATTTGAACCAGCTGCAAGTAGCATATGTTCAAATAAATGTGCGATACCTGGAATACCTTTCGGATCTGAATAAGAGCCTGCTGCAACCGATAAAGAGCACGATGACATCTTATCATCTGGATCAGAAATTAGTAAAGTTAATATACCATTTGGGAGAACACAAAGTTTGTGGTTTCTATTCGAATATGAAAATGGGGTAAATAATTGTGCATCGCAATTCCGCATGTCATTTAAGGGCATTGCTAACCTTTAAAGTTGAATATCTTTTAACATTATTCTTGTATTTAAGGTAATTTTTAAAAGATCTATCCATTTACAGGCAAAAGTTGATATGTCGTACCCCAGAAATATTGCTTATAATTTTATAATTATCATCGCTTGATTACTATTTTAAGCTAAGACAGCATTAATTTTTTATACCTTGTATATTACCGAATGCGGTAATATACAAAACCTCAAGGGCCAGAATAAAAAAAACCTTGAGAACAACTTGGGAATTACCGTCATTTGTTATGACGTAGTATATGTACGTTTATAGATATAATATTGAATGAGCGACACATTATGATGGTAATAGAGTCAGAATATGTGATTTAGATGTTTAATGATTATATAATCCTCGGTAATCTATATTGACTTGATAGTGTTATTTATTGAAAAGGTCGATAAAGCATTTTCTTCAAAAGACTTTCAAATATTATAATAATCAATGATTTAACTCATTTCTCGCCTATAATGTGATCACTTCCTACAATTGCAGTATTACTAACATAGAAGGATTTCTTGTTTCTGAATGGCTTAGCACAATAAGTGTATTGTATTTTGCGCTTAACAGATATCTTTTGAAATATATCTATTGCCGTAATGGAAAGTACCACATTCCTTATTATCATTTGACTCAAATTTACAAGAAAGATAGATCTAATTATAATCTGCGCAATAAGTATATACCCTGAAATCAAAATTAATAACCTCCATTGTGAAAAAAGATAAAAACTGCAAACGGTTTCAAAAAAATCTCCAGGGGGCGAGTCGAACGCCCGATCTCAAGATGTCTTGTAAAATTACAGTCTTGCGCCTTAAACCAACTTGGCTACCTAGAGATTAACAATAGTTCTTTGTTGTATTGGGATCTCGGATGGTTGAAGACAAAAATATAACAGACGGTTATATTTAATTACTATTACTATGTTGTTAACTAATTAGAACTTATTTCAATAAATCGCTGTTTCTTTGTTGAATATGTAGCGGCAGCACTAAAAAGGCTAACATTAGCTTAACCTAACTGAAGGTGAAGGTAGCTAATATAAGTAGAATTTAGAGTGTGCTACACTGTCGTATATATAATAACATATGATATATACTGCATAATGTAGTATTCGTTCCCTCTACATTGGGTTTATTGGAGCTGCATTGTCCAACGTTACTATCTACAAAAGATTAGCAGTTTAACAACAGCAACTCTGTTTAACACAGACAAACCTGGGACATTAATAGCATTTTATTGAGCTGAAGCAGACATACCGTGGTTAGACTTATATTCGTTCATTATTAAAGGTGTTAGGTATAGAGGTGAATGGTGTAGCTTAAGTTTTAATGTTAGGTAAGCAAAATATAATTGTTATATTTCTCTTATATTTGTAAGTGATTTTTTATATTGTATATAATTTATAGAACGAATAGAATCTAACTCAGAATGTAAGTTCAGAATTCTCTGTCTTTATATATTATTTATTTTCTCAAAAAACTGTTTCTCTAATTCTTTCTTAATAAAATATTACCTAATGAATTATTAAGTAAAAACCATTATTACCTAATTTTTACGTAATGAAATTATTAGGTAATAAATTACTAATTAATGGGAATGTTATTACCTAATTATTACGTAATTCTTCATTCTTATTTGGACATTTTAGATATCTCAATTCCACATAATTTCTGTCATTTATCATGCTAAATAAATTTACCGCAACTGTTATGGTATCAATATATTCTCCGATTTCGAAGTACAAATGTGACAGTGTTAGTGTTATCCTTATGGAAAAAGAAATATCTATAATTTATTTAGATCCTTATATTGTGTCATTATTTTGCGATACATTAAAATATCAACAATTATTAGTAAGTGTCGGTTATGTGCACTACTGTAATCCAATTTATAAGGGTCATCAATTTGTAATGGCGTGGTATCATCCTTAATGTATTGTTAACTTCCATGTTTGAATGGAAAGATGTCGTGTTGTTTCCATGCTGTTTGAACTCAATGGCACAAGCTATACCAAGTTGGACTTTCAGAACATATATGATACGGACGAATACACAATCAACCAGAGTATTCAAGAAGTAGAATATACGAGTTGCCGATTTTGCTATATATTAAAAGTACTGCATTGTATTATATAAGATATAAAAAAGAAGCATTTACCTAATTCTTAATCACTTTAGCAATACTATTACCAGCTGTTCTACCAAAGACAACACATTCCAATAAGGAAGAACCACCAAGTCTGTTAGCACCATGGACACCACCGGAAACTTCACCAGCAGCGTATAGACCCTTAGCTAGAGGTTTACCTTCCTTGGTTACAACTTCAGAATAAGTATTAATTTTGGCACCACCCATTGTGAAATGAACAACTGGTGTAACTTCACCAATAAAGATCTCTGTAGAAGTTTCGATAGAATCACCAAAGTTTTTCGTAACCAATGGACGATCGAATACATCCTCCTTGGAAGTGGAGTAAGTTGTTAAATCCTTGGCAAATTCTTCTGCGGTAATTGGAAGCTTATACTCCTTTACAGCATCTTCCAAAGTGACCTTCTTGATCAACTTCTTAAACATATAGAAATCTAAATTGTTCTTTAATACTTCATAAATACCTTGGCCCATCACCAAGTAAGCTCTATTGTCATCCTTCGGGCATTGAGATTGAATGGCAGCTGTAACAATATCTCTTGTAGTCAATTCATTAACAAATCTCTTACCGGTAGATGGGTTTAATAAGATACCACCTAACCCTCTTAAAGCCTCGGCACCCAAAAATTTCCAGCCAGCAGTACGATCAGTTGGATCAATTAGACCGGTTGGATGAACTTGAATTTGGTTCATATCAATCATATCAGCACCCAACTTTTCTAGGATGTTTTGACCATCACCTGTAGTTTGAGAACCATTGGTGGTTGGTAAATTGATTAAATCAGGGGCATATCTCTTTAACATGTCCTTGGAGAAACCGAACCCACCTGAACAAAAGACGACATATGAGGTATCGATGGTATGCTTGTTACCTTCGTTATCCTCGTATTGAACACCAGTGACTTCTCTTTCATCATTGATAGTGATATCTGTAACTTTGCTGTCCAACTGAATCTTGACCAATTCAGGCTTAGTTTCAGCTAAATTCTTTAAATATTTAGATAAAGTAGACACAATTTCAAACCCTGGTGGAAGCTTACCAGAAGATCTGTGGGTTCTTGGGACAGAGTGACCACCAAGTTGGGCTAATAGATCCAATTTCAAGTCAAATTCTCCTTGTAACCATTCAATGGCCAAATGTGAGTCCTTTGATAGTTTCTCCATTAATGGTTCGGAACCTTTACCTTTAGCAGATTTAACAGTATCCTTTAGAAATAATTCTGGAGAGTCAGTAATTTGTTGTTGCTCTTGAATAGTAGTATGGGCACCATTGATACCACTGGATGCCTTGATAGAGTTACCACCAATAGAGGCAGCTTTATCAATTAGAATAATTGGAACATTATGTGTTTTAACTAATTGGTTAGCAGTAGCTAGACCTGCTAGACCAGTTCCAATGATAACAACCGGATTAGACATATTGCGATTTATAAATGGATATATATTTGGTTTATAATTACTCTAATAATATATAACAGAAATAAAAGAAAACAGTTTCAACAGTAGTGACAATCTGTTCTACTCTAAATGGGTGCTTATATAATCTTTTCCCCCATTTGAAGACATGAAAATATCCTCAATCCTCATTAATAATCGAGGCGAATTTTATTTTTTTAGGATCTTCGAACGCGTTTTCTTAGTTAAACGGCCCACACTTTTCTTGTGCGCCAGTTTCTTTGGTAATTATCTAAAAGGGTGTGTGCCTATTTTCACGTGGTTGCTACTGGAAACGGTGCTAAAAACGTTTCTTTTATTAGTTTGAAAATATTTGAATACATTTTTAATATTATCTTTCTTTATAAAGAGAACACTATATATGTATATATGTATGTATTTTAGATAACGACTACTGGTTTCAACTAATGGACTGGAGCGTCCTGGTTTTATTTAGAGACCTGTGTTGAAACAGGTTGCCAATCAATAGATAAATTTTGGGAAAGCTGATGAGTACTAGTAGTCATGGTTTTCAGGTGATATCGTATTACCAAAAAAATCGAACATATTCGGCCAATCGGCAGCGCCTGAAACAGGTAGGTAGAAAACTAAACAAAGTCTATACATTCCTACCTCTGGAGCTAATCAATCGCCTTTCGTCCCTCCGCAATAGGGTGAAACCAATATATGACAGATATGTCATAGATGGTTCATCGATCCTCAAATGTATGGGTAATGTATGTGTCTGTATTTTTAATTGTAACTTTCTAAATACTGAACACGTACGGTTTCGAAACGAATCACATTCTTCTTGTTGTTGTTGTTATATAATAACGACGTAAATTCAAAAGAAAGGGAAACCCAGGAAAACAAATCTATACAATGATGATTTGTATTATTTTAGTTATACCAATATTGTGACGGTATAACTATACCATTTGATACTTTAAAAAGATGCAATAAACTATATTATTCGACAATGCCACGATTATATTAGTTAAAAGATTGTAACTTCTAGAGAGTTAATAAAAAATAGGAGAAAATTTTCACTTATTTTATTTTAATATACTTTCTAGTATTTGTAGCCCTTGATGTCCTGAATAGCGTTGCCATGGACATCAATTTCAGTAGATGCACTACGGTAGACCTGGGTTGGACCATTTTGATCGAATGGATGCTCCTGGGCGTACTCAAAGGCCTCTAGTAAAGCTTGTTTCACATTAGCTAGAGATTCAGTAGAGACTTGGTAATGGAAAGAGATTCTACCACCCATCAGCTTGACATTATATTTCAGACCTTTCTTGACAAGGACATCTGGATTCATCTTAGCTGCTCTCAAATCAATGAAGACAAAGTTTGTATCAGTTGGAGACTCCATTGGAATATCATTAACTTTACAGAAAGCGGCAAGGTCATGAGCTAAAGCATGTGATTTCAATATATTGGCCTTCCAATCACTGTCGACGTTAACTAGAGCCATACGAGAGATCATACCGGATTGTCTGATACCACCACCTTGTTGTTTTCTGAAATGGTTTGCCTTTCTAATAAATTTTGCATTACCAACAAGGATGGAACCAATTGGAGCACCCATGGACTTAGATAAACAAATAGAAATTGAATCAAATATTTCACCGAATTGTTTCAATGGAACTTTAGACTCAGCGACAGCATTCCAAATTCTAGCACCATCACAATGTAATATCATCCCATTTTCCATACACCAAGCCTTGATTCTGACCAGTTCTTCTAGAGGGTAAATAATACCATGTAAAGTGTTTTCTAGAGAAAGAACTTTAGTTGGAGCACCATGGATATCACCATCATCAGGAACGTAGTGACTCTTGATATCCTCTAAAGTCAAATAGTTACCATTGGATGGAATGACTGGAACAACCATAGCTTGAGACAAAATAGCAAGACCAGCAGATTCATGAGTATAAACATGAGCTCTGTAGTCACATAGGATGGAGTAAGGTGGTTGATATAAATGAGTTCTTAATGCGATTTGGTTAGACATAGTACCAGAGACACAGAATAAACCAGCTTCTTTACCAGCTAGTCTAGCGACGGTTTGTTCCAATCTAGCAGTATCTACATCTTCACCGTAAACAGCATCACCAACAGAAGCGTTCAAAGCAGCTTTAATCATAGCTTCAGTAGGAGTAGTAAAAGTATCAGAACGCAAATCGTTAGCAGCAGAAATATATTCTGGTGGTAAATCCATATTAGAATTTTTTGAAGCAGTCATATTTTTTTATTATTATTACTATATCTAAAATCGTAATCTAAATAAAAACAGAAATAGATAAATTAAATGAAATGAAATGAAAATCACTTACTTGATTGACTGTTATGTTTGGTGTATTTATCAAATAAAGATTAACAATATTAAGCAAAACAAAAAGGGGGAAAACTGGAATGAACTATCTATAAGTTAAGTAATCAAGGGTTTATATATAAATATATTGTTATTATAAAAATAATAAAAATACAAGTTGATCTCATGATAAATAGCAAATATAAAAACGTAGTGTGGAATATAGCTGAGTAAGTCAATATGACATAAGCAAAAAAAAAATAGCGAAAACAAAAAAATATTGTCCAGTAAAGGGCGAAGAGGCATATGTATTACTCATTCACTAGTGCGATCCCATACAAATTAACGACTCACTCAATGAACAATGTGAGCACAATACCGCTCTTCATAATAAGAATAAGAATAAAAGACGATGACCCATATTTGCATGTATACATATACACTGTGAAGTTAATACAGGACAAAATAAGAAGTAGTTGATGGCAAATATGGCCGTGTACTCTCTTCTCTCAATATTTTTCAAAACGAGTTGCAGCTTTACGATTATTTAATAAGCAGTCTGTCAAAACAGCGCAACTTATTAGCTCTTCGTCTCTGTCTCTTCAGCATTTGTTTGCATAATATATAAAACGTTGAGCATTTTGTTGCAAGTGGTGTATGGGTGTACGTAGCTGTCTGACAACCTTATAAATTTATTTACATACAGTGTCAGCTATTTGGCTAAGATAGTTTTATGCCAGTACTTTCGCTCAAACTACTACCGCCTATTAATTCCAATCGGGGTCTCTTTGTGACGTGAATGGTACCAAAATATCAAAAGAAATGGTTTTAATGGTAAATTCATCTTGGTGTTATCATAAAAACTCTTTCAAAGTCTTGATATTCTTTCTAATGGGCGACAAATTGGAATAAAATGCATCAATCACTTCATATATGTTGGTCCATTATATAGTATTCTAAATTCATCTATTACTATGGGGTTCCTACCCGCAACATCAGTGTCCCAAAACGGAAAGTGCCGTGGCGGTCTGAAAAAGTAGCATCCGCAAGCAGCCCTATGTTAGGGTTACGAATGAGTATATCTGTATTTGTATTTGTATCGTCTTGTACGTAAGCCCCTGTTAGGGCTTCTTTCCAACTGAACAAGGCATATCCGAATTTTAAAATATATTGAGAATAACATATATATGAATGTAAAAACAACTTTCTTTAAAACTCTTACAATTTTTAATTTAAAGTCAGGCAACGGAATACGATACAGAATAATAGGCTTAAGCTAAAAAAAATGGCACCACCACCTCCACCACCAAATAAGAATAACGATCTAAGACTTGAGTTTCTTAGAACCATTGCTCAAAAGAATATTCTAGCTAAACCTTTAAAGAAATTACAAATCGAACAAGCACAATCAGGGCAACCTCAAAAAGCACAAAAAAAATCATATAGAAGACATAAAGGTGCTAGACAATTGATCTCTGAGGAGACTAAAAGAATTAATGCTATCCTTGAACAACAACAACAACTATATGATGAGGATAATTCACATGTCAGAAAGACTCCCAAAGTTACATTTTTTAATCTATCTGCACCACCTTCAATTAAGCCAACAAAACATTATTGCGATATTACGGGACTGAATGGGCCTTATAAATCTCCAACAAATAATATCAGATATCATAATTCAGAGATATATCAATTTATCGTAAAACCAATGGCACCAGGGGTAGATCAAGAATATTTAAAATTAAGAGGTGCAAATTTCGTATTAAAATGATGTTGCTATTATGGTTTTAGAAATTGTAGCTCAACTAGATGGAAAAAAAAATATCAGAAATTTGTATGATATAGCAAGAACTACATTGCAGACTTTTCTTTCAATATTCGGTGTATTTGATACTCAATGAATGTAACTGGGCGTAAGATGTTATTTAGTAGAAGACTAGAAATATCTATATTGATTGGAATGTTGAAATATTATGACTGTGCGTATTATTATCTGATAATGTGTTTGCCTTATTGCTCAAACATTACATGTAGGAATACCATATATAATCCTCGACAATATATGTCTTCAACTGTTGAATTATCTATCTCTACAGATATTTAAATAACTTTCAAATATGTATATATTTAGCATATCTATGTGTATTAGTTAATATTTAGCATCCGTTGGTAACAAACGGCAATAGCACACATCAAACAAATCGCAGCGTTGACTGGAAAAAAATTGGTGAAATTCTTAATTCGTAAAGAAACGAAATATAAATAAATACATATATATATCTATACGTAAGGTCAAAATTGAATCATTTCAAATAATTGTATTGAAAGAAACATATAAATAGCTATACAAATACATTAACCAATAGCAACTGCCAAATACACAGCATTGTTTCTTCTTCCCTCACAGTTGCTATTGATTTTACATAGAGGGACTATTTAGTTTGTTATTGCTTTCTGAAAAAAAGTGCATTTAATAAGCATATATTCACAACAGTTTTACTCTCTCCAAATAGAAGAAGAACGCATCCTAATTTTGCACACTTTATTCCTATGTATGGTCTTACCACGTTTATAATGCACTTCTTCCCAATTTGTACTATAGTCGCTTCTTTATGGCTCGCTTACAGGTTCTATAAACTCATGGCAATACCCATGTATAAGATAATATCAGATTTGAATATTCGTACTCCACCAGCAATAAAGGCTTCTATTGATAGAATCACCAATGATTCCATAACCGTTCATTGGGAAAACGAACCGCTAGATAAAGGAACTTCTCATATTTCACATTTTATTCTATATTTAAATAATATTCAGTTAGCAATATTTCGAAATGATCCAAAATTGTTGTACACATGCTGCCTAATTACCGGATTGGAACAGCATAAACAATATCAATTGGATTTTGTCACTACAAATGAAATGGGGTTTGTTAATAAGTTACCTTCATTATATTGCATGACTAGATCAATAGCCAACGAAAATAAATTAGAAGATTTCAATGATTCATTAGAGAAAAATGTTGATTTAACTGCCCACCAACTACCAGGTGATGATATTATTGGTTCACCATCTACCACAAAGACAAGAAAATGGAGAAGAAATACAGTTTCTTCCATTAATCAGGTTGATATAAATTCAGCTTCTCCAGTGGCTTCGCATATTCCTTCCTATACAAATTTAGCTAAATTACAAGATTTAGATAATTTTTCCATAGATGATTTGAAAAAAATTCTTATTTGTGCCCAGGAAGATTTACATGAAGTTTTATCTCAACAAACCACAGCTATACAGGATTTCCATGAAAATAAAATAAATCTACAACTTGAATTAGAAAATTTAAAATCTCAATGGTCCCATGAAAATGATCTTAGAAAATCCATAAAATCTAATATTAAATCATTAGAAAATGCAAAACTTTTATCAGATTTGAAATTTGAAAAGGCTAATCAAAAAATTGAAACAATTAATTCCAAAATAGACAAGATGAAAAAAGATATTGAGAAATGGGAAGCCAGCGAATTAGATAGTTTGAATATTGATAAATTGAAGAAAAGATACGATGGCTTGATAAAAGAAATGGAAAATAAAATTTCTGTTACGACAAAGGAAGTTGACACTTTACAACAAAATGTAGCAGAACAAGAGATAGAAAATAAAAAATTAAATTCACTTAAGAAATCTTCTTCTTCAACTAATTTAGCTGATTACACGAGTAATAATAATAACAATAATAGTAATGGTAATAATCAACAATCTGGAAAGACGGTTGATTCCCATCAACAATCTGCTAAACTATTGAAGAAAATTAACGAATGTATATCTGAGAAGACTGGTATTCTTAACAACGGTGGTGAATACTATTTGTCCAAATTAAATCAAAATAGTCCTGTGGTTTCACTAATAAAGGAACAATTACGAATTGATCAGGAATTAGAACAAAAATGGAGAACTAAAAAGATTAGACTAATCAAAAGGATTAAATTTCTAGAAAATAAGTTTAACAATGCAAGCACTGAAAGTAGACAATTAAAAACTAGTGTCTTTGCAAGAACCTACCAACAACAAAATGATTTGCCCTCTGATTTTGTTCCGATTGTGCCAACTACTTCATACAATTCCTCAAAAGTAAATACTACCTACAGTAATTCTGACCTGAATGCTATGCCTTCCAATGATATGTCTAACCAATCTCCTCAATTCATAAATACATCCAATACCAGGGAAATAAACCCTTTATTATCTGCATTTAATGTGTCTACGCTTAATGAAAATACAAGTCCAAGAATGTCTATGGATCAGTCCCTAAATGATGACTTTAACATGATGACTGTATCACCAACAGTTAATCAGTCCCAATTTGTGAATCCTATGCAGAGCACAGCTGGTAGTATGATTGATAATAACAATTCTATTAATGCTCTTTCCTCCTTTGGGAGAGGAACAGCTACCACAGCTACCAGTGAGATTATTGCTGCCCGAACTTTTCCATGGGGATCTTCTGATCAACAGAACCAATCTGTTCAATATTCTGGATCTTTGCCCAAACAAGATTATATTAATAATGGATTTGAATATAATGATACTAATCATCTTATTACAGGTTTGGAAAACATGATATATGATGAGAATGAAAATGCGGATAAAGTTAGTAATTATTCAAAGATTTACACCAATGACCAATTGGATAATTACTGGACGAATCAAAAGGACACTAGTAATGGATCTATTGTACCTTTAAGGAATACAGATAGTCTTGATAATGGAAGTGGTGCTAGTGCGGGTTTAGTATTTAATAATGATATTGTGCCAATGGGTAACCCATTACCTTCCTACACAAATGAGATGAATGTTCCTGTTTCGTCTTCCCCTTTGGCAACACATACAGCAGCTATAATGAATGATACTCCTAATACTTCCATTAATCTAATACAACCTCAAAGTTTACTTGCAGCAACCTTGAATGATCCTGCAACTATGTCACCATTTCAAGACAATAATCTAACCATGTCTCAGTCCGAATCTGCATTTAGAAATACACTCAACAATGGCGGGGCTGCTATGGACACATTTTTATCTGGAGCACATCCGCTTTCCCCTCATAATTCTCAATCCTTGGGCGGTGCTACCCAAGATGTAGAATTATTAAATTATAGTCAACAGCCTGCACAACCATTTTCATCACATTTGCTCACTGGTACTCCAAAGACAACTAATTTGGATCACGGTTTTGGCCAATTAGTTGCAAATAGTAAAGATTCCATTACAGAAGAGGATACTAATCAATCCAAGCACGGTACCCACGATTCGATATTTCATTCACCTTCCTTTAATTTTATATGGCAAACTACAACTTCCCCATCCAAGAGTCATGGTAATAAAACGAATGGTCTAACTCCAAATTTGACTTCTCCAACTAAACCGGAAACTAAAAAAGAACATATGATATCTTCTCCAATCAAGTCGAAACGTAGTGATAGTAATCGAACGCATAAGAGGGACAAGAGTGCTGGTAGTGTTTCTAGTTGGAGTAATAAACTTTCGTTGAAGAGTCGTCAATCCGTTACGTCAACAGTGGTTGAAGACAATGCTAGTGAAGATGACAATAGTATTGATTCAGGTGCATCCAACATTGCTCAACCGGTAGGTAAGAAGACTGGATCAGGGTCTAGTGGTAGACGTATCACAAGACTTTTATCTAAGAGTGGTATGAATAACTTATTTAACTTACCAGGCCATGAGTCCCAACAACCAACATCATCTACATAATCAATAGTATATAAAGTTCAATACATATGCATACTAAATATCTTATTTGATTCTTATGATAAATTCGTGAAAGATTCTTATTATAGCATATATTCTGAAAGGACAATCAATACATATAGGTTGCACTTATAATACACGACGTTTACGTGCTGCTAGAAAAGAAAAATTATTATTTGTTGCAAGACTTGACGCGCGTATAGTATATTCGTAAAATGGTGAATTCTCAAGTTGAACTTTTAAAGTTTAAATATAAGTTATACATAAAACTCATTATATAAACGGTATCTATTTGTTGTGCTTTCAGATTAGAGTTTATAACATACCAAAGAAAAAAGAGGGTACATAAAAACTATAATAAGATGGCTCCATTACTCAGAAATTACCGATTCTTAATCGGTGCTTTTGCCGTGATGATGTTATTCTTTCTGATCAGAACATCAACTTCTGCTGGTAGCTCTATGGATATTGCCAGAAATGTTGCTAGTACTATGAACCGTCCAGAAACACCTCCAGATGTTTCTACTTTACCAGTTTCAAATAATTCAGGTTATATTTCCGATTCAAAGACTGATAACACTAACTCTGAAGTTGCTGATGCAGTAAAGTCTCAAACTGAACAAGCCGCAAGCGCAGCAAGTAAAAGTTCTTCAAAATGTGGTAAAGACCATCAATATGTTGTAATGATTGATGCTGGTTCTTCTGGTTCTAGAGTTCATGTTTATGAATTTGATGTGTGTACTCAGCCACCAACTTTGATCGATGAGAAATTTGAAATGTTGAAACCTGGTCTATCCTCTTTTGAAGGTAAACCTATTGAAGCTGCTAAATCTTTAGATCCATTATTAAAGGTCGCTTTAGATACTGTTCCAGAATCAAAGAGAGGTTGTACACCAGTTGCGGTTAAAGCTACAGCTGGTCTTAGAATGATAGGTGAAGCGGCTAGTTCCGAAATTTTGGATCAAGTTAGAGTTCATCTAGAGACCAACTATCCGTTTGCTGTTGTTGATGGTAATGGTATTTCTATTATGGAAGGTGAGCAAGAAGGTGTCTATGCTTGGATTACTACTAATTATTTATTGGGTAATATTGGTAACAAAGAGAAATTGGATACAAGTGCAGTATTTGATTTAGGTGGTGGTTCTACTCAGATTGTCTTTGAACCTACTTTTGCATCAAATGAAAAGATGGTTGATGGTGAATATAAATATGAATTGTCCTTTGGTGGTCATGATTATACATTATATCAATTTTCTCATTTAGGTTATGGTTTGAATGAAGGTAGGAAAAAGATTAATAAATTATTAGTTGAGAATGCTATTAACAATGGTAAAATCATTGAAGGTGATAAAACCACTGTATATGAATTGTCATCTCCATGTTTACCACCAAATGTAACTAACGAGAAAGTTAGAGTAGAATTAGATGGTAAAGCTGTTTATTTTGTTACCTTCAAAGGTCCAAAAGTTGCTGCTGGTGCACAATGTAGATATTTAGCTGATCAAATTCTTCATAAGGATGCTAAATGTAAGCAGCCACCATGTTCTTTCAATGGTGTTCATCAACCATCATTAGTTCGTACATTCAAGGAGACTAATGATCTCTATCTCTTTTCATTTTTTTATGATAAGACACATTCCTTAGGGATGCCTCTATCATTTACATTAAATGAAATGATGGATTTAACAAGAATGGTTTGCAATGGTGAAGAAGTATGGGAGAGTGTTTTTGGAAACCTTGGAGATTCCTTGAAAAACTTGAAAGAGGATCCAAATTTCTGTCAAGAATTATCTTTCGAAGTTTCGTTATTACATACAGGTTATGATATTCCATTACATAGAGAATTGAAAACCGGTGAAGATATTGACGGTAATCAACTTGGTTGGTGTCTAGGTGCATCATTACCATTATTGGAAAGTGACGATTGGAAATGTCAAGTGTCCAAAGTCAACTAATAAGATTCCCATATTAAACTTTTAAGCACACAGACAGACGTTCATACCTTATTATTTAAACATATGTATGTATATATGAATCACTAAATGTATCATAAACTAACAAGTAACCATTAGATTGGTTCAACCTATCTTGTGAACGTTTATTAATAATAATTTATGAAACGGGGTTATAAATCACGAGTTATTATGTAAGTAATATATTCCCGAGTGTGGAACATCACAGCATACGTTCCGCGTGTCACTTAGTACGTTGCGGTGCTCATAAAAACTTACGTATTTCTGCGTTTAAACAAAATGAACGATGAGCAAAGCGGAGCAGTGGACGGCAACAACACGGAGAACGGAATACATTTGTGTGTGTGCGGGGTGTGGGTGTAGGTGTGGCAACGTTCGTTATATAATATATATATTTTCATGGCTGAGATGAGAAAGTAGAGAGAGAGCGCTTCGAGTGGGGGTGATGGGCATTTTACGGTTGTAGGCGGTGGGTATTTTTCATTTTTCATGTTTTTTGCAATTAGCTCAACGTACTGGAAAATGTATATATTGTATATATTTAAAAAAGGGTAAACAGGGAAGAAGAGGGACCAGATAGCATAATAAAAAGAGGTGAGTAGATTTAAACTCAACAGAATATTGCAGTGAAATATTTATCGTATTACTATTACTGTTATTTATTACTAATATTAATAAGAATTACATAAATAAAATATAACAATCTACAATTAGTTGTACTATCATCTTTTAATTTTAACTGAAGAAAGATCTGATTATATTTATATTTATATTTAAGATATAGAGTGAGAGTGAAAGCGAGAGAGAAAAAAACACTGGATATATAAGTATTAGTTTTTTTTTGCTATTTAGGTATTATCACGATGTTTAAAACTCCATTAGATCACCCTCAGGATGTAGATGACATCTCTTCATCTCTTTCAAACACAACCATCAGTGGTAGACATAGTCTAGGGGTAGAGTCAACAAGTTCTGCTACATCATCATCTTCTAAATCTGATAGAAGTAAAAACAACCGTTATAAATACGATAGGGTAGAAACATTAAACTTATTGAAATCTGCAAGTTGTCACATGAATAAATCTGCTCCAACTTTCCATTTAGGAAATGATGGTATTGAAGTGGTCGATGAAGAACTAGCTAATGAAAAGACTTTATCAAATATTGCATCTGCAAAGGATATGATTAGAAAATTATCTTCTTCAAATAATAACATTAACAATAATAATAGTGATAATAATAATATTAACAATAACAATAATAATAGTGATACTATGTCAGAACCTAGTATTAAATCAAGTAAGAGTCATTATGAATTTGCATCAACTGCTTATGGTGTTAGAATGTTAAGTAAAGATATTTCTAATGCTAGAGTGAATTTAAATGTTGAAAATTTGATTCTAGTAACAAAATTAAACGATATTTCATTGGTGTTTTTAACAAGAGAATTGGTGGAATGGTTATTAAAGACTTATCCAACTATGACAGTCTATGTTGAGGACGTCTTTAAATCCTCAGAAAGATTTGCAGCTACAGAATTATGTATGGATTCTAAATGTAAACAATCAAGAATCAAATATTGGAATGCAGAGTTTGTTAAACAACATGATATTTTCTTTGATCTTTGTATCACATTAGGTGGTGACGGTACGGTATTGTTTGTCTCTTCATTATTTCAAAAACATGTACCACCAACGATATCATTCTCATTAGGTTCTTTAGGATTTTTAACAAACTTTGATTTTGAAGACTTTAAATCAGAATTACCCGTTGTGTTAAAGGATAAAGTACGGACAAATTTAAGAATGAGATTACAATGTAAAGTATATCGTAGACATGAACCAGAAATAGATCCAGTGACAGGGAAGAAGATTTGTTACGTGGAGTTCGTCAGTGAACATCATATATTGAATGAAATTACAATTGATAGAGGTCCAAGTCCATTCTTGTCAATGTTAGAGTTATATGGTGATGGTTCACTATTAACAGTAGCTCAAGCAGATGGTCTAATTGTTGCAACACCAACAGGTTCCACAGCATATTCATTGAGTGCAGGTGGGTCTCTTGTATACCCAACGGTTAATGCAATCTCAGTGACTCCAATCTGTCCTCACACTTTGAGTTTTAGACCTATTATATTACCAGAAAGTATGACTTTGAAGATTAAAGTGTCTCCAAAAGCTCGTGGTGGTGCTTGGGTTGCGTTTGATGGTAAGAGTAGAGTCGAATTACAAAGAGGTGATTTCATTACTATATCATCTAGTCCATATGTGTTCCCAACTGTTGAGGCCTCCTCAACAGAATTTATTGATAGTATCAGTAGATCTTTGAATTGGAACATTAGAGAAGAACAAAAATCATTCACTCATATGTTATCTACAAAGAATAGAGAAAAATTCAATAACGAATTAATCAATCGTAGTGATAGTAGTGAAGAAGAATTAATAGTTGAGAAGAGGCTTACACCAAAATTAAAAGATAATACTATTAATATGGGTGGTACACTTTACCCTAATCATAATATGAACGATAACAACGGCGGTGACGATGACGACGATGACGAGAGTGTAGCTGCAGATGAAATTAGGGTAATACGAAAGAACTCTATAGCAGGTGAAGGTATCCAGGATCTTGATGATGCTAACGATAATTATATTGGCTCAGCGATTCCATTGTAAATCCTTCCTTTTTTGTTGAATCGAAGGACCGCAGTGACTGTTCCTATTATTATTGTCATTATCTTACTTTATTTTGAGGGGGGTTGTTATTGTTTGATGTACTACTGTTTTTTATATATATATATACCATTATATAATATGTATATAGAAACTTCAAGAGTAAAATTACATATATTAAACATCCTAAACAGGTATAATAATAAGAATAATTTACGATAAAACTGAAATGTGTCTGAAAAAATATGGGAACAAAGTAATTAACAATGGCAATGTAGAAAGAATTTGATGCTAGAAGCTATTCTTTTACTGTTAACAATTTTGTTTCATTACCGTTTTAAGTAAAAAAAGTTGAAAGTTGACCGCCAAAATTTCTTCAAAGAGATATAATATATCTCCTAATAGAGTATTTCAACTATTCAAGTGGTATCGTATCCTAAAATACGATCGACACTTTTTCACATCTAAATTAATGATTGTTAGTTGCACTATTATAGTTGGCTTGTAGGTTATTTAACTATTAATATTTTCGTGTGCTTGCTTACTGGATTACCTCTTCGAGAATTAATTATGCGAAACTATTCGAATCTAAAAATATTTCGTGGCTGTAAACGTGTTGTAGCACTCTCGAAGCATCCCCATATATATCCCTTTTGGGAAACGTGTTCCCATTTTGGGAATTGAAATTTCTATTATTTTTCGTTTTTTCGTGGTTTCTTAGAAGGAAAGACAGGCATGAAAATCACCATCGCCAACGCGAAAAGTTCAGCCCTCGAAGAATCCTACTTAACGCCAAATTAGGTAAAACTTAGAGAGTTTATCCTATTGTAAAGGTTGAAGAACGGTAATCGTTTTGAGGTACAGTATGTATCCCTCAGTTTCGGTATGGTCAAAGTTGTAAAACTTTTCATAATTTGATGATTAAAAAGAAAACTATATAAATTGTATCAATCTCGATCATATTTCTTTTTTGTTTTCCATTCTTCTTTCTCAATAGTAATATATTTATAACTTTTATCTTAATAACAATAACAATATCACTACCAAAAGGGTAAAACAAATATTATAACAAGACATAATGCAATTCTTAGCCAGTGTGCTTTGTTTGATTGCTACTGCAGCTCAAGTTATTGATGCCACAGAAATTTACAGTTGTAACGCTACCGTCTCCTGTCCTGAAGAATTCCCATGTTGTTCCCAATACGGCCAATGTGGTACCGGTGAATACTGTATCGCTAACTGTAACCCAATTTTCTCATATGAATACGATGCCTGTCTACCTGGACCTGTCTGTAAGGATATCTCTACCAAATTTGACAATTATACTTCTAAAGTTGCTAACATTAATACCTATCTAGGTAACGCAAATGACGCCGACTGGTTATACACTGGTACAATCTTAGATTATGACGACGAAGGTTCCATGATCCTTGCTATGCCAAAGAACTCAGGTGGTAGTGTCTTGACTTCCTCTAGAGATATCTGGTACGGTAAGATCAGTGCTCGTTTAAAGAGTTCTCATTTGGCTGGTGTTATTACCGCTTTCATTATCTTCTCCGGTGTTCAAGATGAATTTGATTTCGAATGGGTAGGTGCCGATCTAAACACAGTCCAAACCAATTACTACTGGCAAGGTGTTTTGGACTATCATAACAGTGCCAATATTTCCACCAATGACACATTTGATAGTTACCACACTTATGAAATTGACTGGCATGAAGATTACACTACTTGGTCCATTGATGGTGTCATTGGTAGAACTTTGTTTAGGAATGAAACTTGGAATGAAACTTTACAAGCTTATAAGTATCCTCAAACTCCATCTAGAATTCAGTTGTCTATCTGGCCAGGTGGTAATGTTACCAACGCTCCAGGTACAATTGCTTGGGCTGGGGGTGAAATCGACTGGAATGCAGATGATATCACTGATCCAGGTTATTACTATGCCATTGTTAATGAAATCAATGTTACTTGTTACGATGCGCCAAGTGGTACTTCTCAAAATGGTTCCGATTCTTACATTTATAAGAATGGTAAAGGTTTCCTACAGGAAGATGTTATGATCTCAAACAAGAGATTCTATTTGGATACTGACGAAGGTACTGGTCTAAACATTACTGCAGGTGCTACAACTAGTTCAACTGTATCTTCTAGTTCAACTTCTCACAACTCTACATCTTCTGAATCTAGCACATCTCATATTTCTACTTCAATTACCTCAAGTACATCCCACAATTCTTCCTCTACTATAACCTCTACTGCCTACCAGAATTCTTCTTCCACTGGCGATCATTCTAGTGCGTCTATTACATCAGTATCGAAGAGTTCTTCCTCTCATAGTTCATCCAGAAGTACAAAGACCAGTTCTTCAACTACATCTAGACTTGCATCTGCCAATTCTGGTTCTTTGTTGTCATTTAACAACATTATCATTTTCTTCAGTGCGTTAGGTCTTTTACTATAGACTCTCATTTCATTTAATCAAGAAAACATCTTGATTTCCAACGATATTTAAACATAAATATTACATCATAATACCTATTCTTCTATATACGCATATACAATTAATCACATTAATAAACACTAAAATAAAGTAAAAAATTATTAAAATAAATATTATTAATAAGTTATAGAGAATATGAATAAGAAAAAATTAAATAAAGATATGGATCAACCATATCATATTTTAAATGTATATAAATTTAAGATAGAGAATTTTGAAAAGAATTATTCGATTATTAATTGAAGTTTATACTTATTTAGAAGCATCTTTCATATAAGCAATAATATCCTTTCTATCTTTCTCTTTTCTTAAACCACCAAAGGCCATCTTCGTACCCGGTATGTACTTCTTAGGGTTAGTCAAATAGTCTGACATTGTTTGATCGTTCCATTCAACATTTTTCTGAATGTTTGCATCAGTGTATGAATAACCCTCAGCTTTACCAGAATGACGACCAAAGATACCATGTAGATTTGGACCCACTTTATGTGGTTCGCCTTCACCAATAGTATGACATTGTAGACATCTTGTCTTAAATAGAGTGGAGCCCTTCTTTGCGTTACCTGGACCAGTAGATTTATCAGCAGCCATTGTTTATTTGTGTTTGTTAATGTAGTAGTTATTTTTATTTTGTTTGAAATTAAAAAGTTTTATTTTATTTCTTAATAAATTCAATACTTTATTGAGAGACATAAATAATGATTATAAAATACTATGATGGAACAATAATTAATCAAATTAGAGGTCCCTTTTTATATATTTTCAATTAAATCAGGGGCCTATGATAAATATAGTTGTATATATACCTTCACTGCAGAAAAATTTTATTCTCCTCTCATTGAGGAGGATTTTAATATAGCGTTAAATCCATTTTTCCCAAGATCTTTGGTATTATTCGACCATATTAGAAATAATGATAAAGTACTAATTCGTTAAGTAGCAAGGGGTCAGCAGCATCTACAGAGAGTTAACGATGCTGAATGATGAGTAAAATAATGGTTCTTAAAATATATATCTATCTATCTATCTATCGGGCTAATTTTACCTACGGAAATGAGGAGACTGCATACAAATATCTAAGCAGGCGAGAGATGCCATTATCATCATTTTAGATAACCGTTAAAATGGTAGGGGCGAAGGAGTACAGCATTTTCCTTAAGGGACACAAGGGAGGCCACACAGAAGCTAGTGGACTCTAAATAATTCACGGACATATGACCTTGAATTCAAGTTTCAATCTAAACAGGTTACTTCGACAGTTTACTTGTTAGGTTTCCCTTTGGAACTATTCTAAACAGGAACGTTATTACGTGTATTTGTTAGTGCCTTCGAGGATCATAATTCTCAACCTTTTAAGAAAAATCCGCACAGAGAGAGTGACATAGTCCAATACGGAAATCAGGAGAAGAACAAACCAAATATTATATTTATTTCAAAATGCGCGAAGAAGGATTGAAAAATATTTTCTGGGAGGGCCACCTTAAGAAATCCAAAAAAATAAGACGGTAATAATACAATTTTAAAGGCATCGATAAAATTAATGTTGGCGATGATCTCAGAATTCATAACCTATGGCCGATATTAGCTGCTCTCTTTGTTATAGCGTACTTATTGGAATTCAAAATCTGTCATATTCCAAACTTAGACAATATTTCTCTCAGTGGAAAAGTAAAATGAATTACAGTGCATTAGTATTAGATATCGAAGGTACAGTTTGTCCGATATCATTCGTTAAGGATACTTTATTCCCTTACTTTGTGGAAAAGGTTCCAATAATAGTACAAAATATTGAGCAACAAAGCAATATAGTGAAGGATATCATATCTCAATTCAATGTTGAGGATAAAGATGCGCTTGCAAAGCATATCCTCGGTTTAGTTGCTGCAGATATTAAGGATCCAACCTTAAAACAATTACAAGGTTTCATATGGGCAGAAGGTTACAACTCAGGGGAGATTAAAGCTCCTGTTTATCCAGACGCCATTGATTTGATCAGGAGGCATAACAATGTTTATATATACTCTAGTGGTTCTGTAAAGGCTCAAAAATTATTGTTTGGTCATGTGGCTGACTCCAATGGAAAATCTATTGATATTAATAGTGAGATCAAAGGATATTTTGATATTAATACTTCGGGTGCCAAGGTTGAATCGTCGTCTTATGTTAATATCCTGAAAGATATTAACATGGAAACTACACCTGAGAAAATTTTATTCTTGAGTGATAATCCAAAGGAACTTGATGCAGCTAAAGAAGCTGGTCTAATTACTGGACTTGCCATAAGAGAAGGTAATGCTCCTGTTCCAAATATTAATGATTACACTGGTTATAAGAATTACTCCACTTTATAAAAATTTTATAGTATATATACATATCATTTTTACTATTTTGCAATACTTATCTCTAACATTATTTGATCATATATTATTGTTACATTTTAGATGGTTGTACTGGCATGTAAATTATACAGGAAGACTAAAAAATACAGTTCATATATGTTTATTTCAAACAAAGAACTAAAGAGAGGAAAAAGAAAAAAATATTTATACAGTTAAAACTTTTATTCCTATTATTATTAATATTATAATTGATGTTGGTGATGATGTTGTTATGTTAACTGAATGAACTAACATGAGAAATTAAGCAAAAAAAAATACTATTAAGCTTCTTTTTATATCTATTCCTGGTAATCAGTGAATAGCATGTTAGCTGCAATCTCTTCATTCTTATCACATGCGAAATATACTTGGATAACTAATGTACGTTCGAAACCTAGTTCACATAGACGAGAAACTGCTTGTTCATCTTCCTCAGACATTTCCAAGTTGAATGGAGGGGCTTGTTCAGAACCTTCAATTTGACCTTCAGTCTGTGCAGCACCTAAATCGCCATCTTCTAAGTTAGCAATATCTTGTAGGTTATCTCCAACAGCTTCCAATAGCATTGAAATAAACACTTCTGGGTTAGCCATTATTTGTTCACGTAATTGTGGGTATCTTGTGCACAAGTTTTCTAATAATGGAGCCAATGCTTCTGGATTACCTGAGACTACTTCTCTTAAAGAAAGAAGATCTTCTCCCGTAAGACCAATTGAACTTTGACCACCGGCAGCACCTGGTGCACCTATGCCATCAGAACCTACAGCGCCGGCACCGGCAGCACCTGAACCGTTAGGGCCATTCCCTGACCCCTGAGCTGCTTGAGCAAAAAGATCATCTTCTGTGTTATCATCATTGGTCACTTCCATTGCGGTGGATTCAGCTTGTGCTTCGGTAGGAGCAGCATTATTCTGTGTTGGTTGTTGTGGTTGAGTATCACGTAAATTTTCAGGAATACCCATTAAAAGATATTCTACAGCTCTGTCTGGATTGTTAAATGCGGCTCTCAATGCTCTCTCGACTTGCTCTCTTTCATAACCCATTTCCATTATTCTCTCTATAGTTTCATTCCTTTGAGTACCTACAACAAACCCTGTAGATGAAGCTGTTTCATCAGTAGCTGTTTCTGCAACAGCAACCGGGGTGGCAGTGGTTGCATTAGCATCTGTTGTTGCTGGAGTACTTTCAATATCGGCCGTGGTGTTAGTTTGTGTAGTATCAGTAGTAGCAGTGGTAGTGGTAGTGGTAGTAGCTGCAGCAGTAGGAGCCTCTGTAACCTTTGTAGTTGTAGATTTCTTCTTTGATATCATCATTATGACTTGATCTGCATCTTTTAAACCAGATTCAGCTAAAGTTTTAGTATCCTGTAGTACTTTCCCAGAAAAGATTAATTTAATTTGATCTGATTCACAGGATTGATTTTGTGCTAATTCATTTTTAGCTTCGAGAACAGTTAATGAAAGATCTAAATCTAAAGTCACTTTTTCCTTTTTGAAATTCTTAAATGTAATGCTAACCATATTGTATGTATGTGTGTATGTTTGTATATGTAATAATTTGAAGACGCCTTATTTCACTGGATAAATTTTTAAATATTGTTCAGTAGTGTGATCCAAAATTAAATTAAATGAAAAAAATAGAAAATATAAAAAGAGGTAATGAGTATATTGGTGCTAAAGAGAAACAAAAACCAAAAAGGACAGACGATGATGTTAGAATGTTCGAACTAATAATAAGAGTGTGCAGAGATTAAGATTTAAAATTTTTGTTCCTTAGTATTATGTGTAATGGGTTCAAGAAAAAGATGTATAGTAAAAAACACATTATTTGACATTTCTTGCAGTAATGGCACTTTAGTCTTTGTTCAGTAATAACAATTTTACGTGAAGGTTCCCCCATTTGTCTGTCTGTGTATATTTTCGTCTTTACTTGCTGATGACGGGACAAAGCGAAAGAAACTGAAATTTTTTAAAGAAAAAATTGAAATTGAAATCAAAATAAATTTGCCACTGGAAAAGATTACCCGGAATATCATGATACATTCGTGTGACACGATGTTACGGTTCTGATCATGTGACTTAGAGTCATGTGACCAGCAATTCAAAAAGTTACAATAAATTTTGACCAAAGATCTAATTTCCTAAGAACAGCAAAATTATCGGTTTTCTCTATCGCATATAATTCTTCTTACAATATTTTATTAAGTAATAAATAATAAAGAAAGTTATCGGTACCCACAGGCAAACGCCTGGAGAAGTATTTCTTTCGTTGTTGTCAAACTGTGAGGAGCAAAATCATCTACGAGACTGCTCCCTCTCCGCTGCACGTATATTTCTTCGTAGTTGGAGGCCGACGAAAAAGGAGGACAAAGAATGATAAAAGCGATAAAAATTAAATTTTGCAATAGATATTCATCTTCGTTCTAGGTCATAGATAGGGTTGTTTAAAGTTCGGTAGCCCTAAATAATTTCCATTTAGCCCTGTCTTAGGGTAAAAGTGGTACTATTAACGTACGATAACCCTAATACAGGGTTGCACTAAGATACATAATTAGACTGCGTCAGCAATACTAAGTAGTCTTAATAAAAACTTTAACCCTAAGATGGTAGGTAGGTAGGTTTGTCTTGTATATAAAATAAATATACCTCATATACAATACCTAAAAGGTGTATATTTTGATAATTATTATACGTAATGCCTGTCATAATAACTCTAGAGAGAGAAGTGGGAGAAGGGGGGAGTGGCTAGTTAGCTTCGTGGTTACTTGTAAAAGGAGACATATTAAAAGTTTGTATAGCACCACTCTCTTATGCCATCCACATAGTTCTTATAAACAATAATAGATAGAGAGAGAGGGCTGTTGTTTTTTTACGTATAATAATTTTATAGTTTAATTTTTATCAACTTACACACAATATCTTCTCAATTAGTTAGCTTCTTTAAAATTATACATGGTGGTAAAAGCTAAAGGGGATCGTCCTTGCTTTTATTTATTTTCTCTACTGCTTAACTGTCATTTCTTTCTTTCCCTTAAAATTCTTTCTCTTCTTCTCGGTATTTGTTGATGTTATTTATCATCAAAGGAATAGTAACATATATATTTATTAAATGGCTAATACCGACAAGGAGGAGGGAAGAGGCAAAATATAGATATTCAAGGTTTTGTACATAGATATCTTATAGAATGTGTACATTATAGGGTTAATCTTTATATTTATCTTTATTTCTTTTACACAATACATCTGTATTCATTATTCGTATTTACGTTCAAGAGAAAATTGAACAGCATATGTATGTGGTAAGTGTACATCTAATTAATAGTTCATCCGAGGCAATATTTGTATATATATATAATTTACATTAAGGGGAAAGACAATATATATATATTTATATATTTATATATTTATATATTTATAATGGATTTGATATACACACGTTTTTTATTATTACTTGTTTATAAAATTCGAGTTATTTCTTTCATATATAAGAGATTAATAAATATACATTTTACATTTTCTCTTTCCCAAATATCTTTTTTTCCCTTTATATTTAAATAAAGGCAATTGTTGCTGTTCTTTATTTTTATTTTTATTTTGTTTGTATTTAATACAACTTTTTTATTATCAATAATACATTGTCAACATAGATTGGTTTTGAGTTATATATATCTGTGACACTCCCACTCAAAACCCTTAGGGCTTTGGTCGCCCCAACCCTCAGGGTTATTCTGCCAACCCTACCCCTATGTGAAACCCTACTTTTCCTCGTTTCTTTCCTGTAATAATAAATTCTCACCCCACGGAAAATTGTCGGTTTTATTATGAAAAGAAAAGAAGAATAAGCAATGCTCCTCATTTTAGTATTATTTTGTTGATTTGCTCTTTTCTGCGCTGCGAATCCTAATTAAATTAAACGCACAAAAAAAATTGCATTCAGTTTTATTGCCAACCCGTTAAATCTCCTTCTTGCTCTCTACGGTTCTTTTGTTGGGGGGAGGTAGTAGCATCAGGCAGCCACACTCCGTTAGTTACTTTGCTTCTCTCGCCCCGTACAAAATTACAGAGACTTTATGTATCGTACGTGGCGTAGTCTGCACCGTTTCTGTGTCGCGGCAATCTATCGCTCTATAGAAATATTTTCAAAATGAAATGAAAAATAAGGATAGAGCGAGAGTTTCTCTTGTTCAACGTAACAATCTCCGTAGTAAATATACGGTTTATGTAATACACCACACGCTCCCTCGCTCTCGCATCCCCTTCTTCTTATTCTTATGCTTATTCCCATTAAATTTCATTTGTCGCTTCTGTCCTCTTAACGGAAGAATAATTTTGCTAATTTTGTTGGTTGTAGTGGTAAAAACGGCTCAATGAAAAACAATATAGAAACATATCGCTTTTTCAGTTTTTCAGTTTTTCTACTAAAGAACGTACGTACCCAGCAGCAACTAAATCCACAAAAATCATTTCAAGCGATATATGGTATGGAAATTTTTCAGTTTTTCTTTCACGGTGCGTTTAGGGATAGCGATAGACAAATGCACATAGAGAGAGAGCGATGAATAATACTAATAATACTAATAATAATAGACGTTAGAGGAACTTTTGTATTATACTCATCTTAATTCATCTAATCTCCCTAAAAAAATTTTCATTCGTCGTTGATGGGGTGAACGTTTTCTTATTCCTTTTTTTTGGTTCAATTACGTTGATGGAACTGCAAAAAAAAAAGCTATAAAGGGTACATGAAATTGATGAGATTATAAAACTTTTCAATTTCTTCTTTCCCTTTATTCAATTATTTAATTTATTTATTTATTTATTATATAATATTTTATAATAGAACCAATCAGGAACAATTCAATCCAAATTCACATACACACATACATACATATAATCTACAATGTCTGACGACGAACAACACACTTTCGAAACTGCCGATGCCGGTTCTTCCGCCACCTTCCCAATGCAATGTTCCGCTCTAAGAAAGAACGGTTTCGTTGTCATCAAGGGTAGACCATGTAAGATTGTCGACATGTCTACTTCCAAGACTGGTAAGCATGGTCACGCCAAAGTCCATTTGGTCGCCATCGATATCTTCACTCAAAAGAAGCTAGAAGATTTATCCCCATCTACTCACAACATGGAAGTCCCAGTTGTTAAGAGAACCGAATTCCAATTGTTGGATATCGATGATGGTTTCTTGTCCCTAATGACCATGGACGGTGAAACCAAGGACGATGTTAGACACCCAGAAGGTGAATTAGGTGAAACCATGCAAGCTTCCTTCGATGAAGGTAAGGACTTGATGGTCACCATTATCTCCGCCATGGGTGAAGAAGCTGCTATTTCTTTCAAGGAAACTGCTAGAGGTGATTAGAGATTTTGATTCATTTTTAAAAACAAGAAATTAATTACTTTCTTTCCTTTTATTTTTTAATCTAATCCTTTGTTTTTTTTTTTAAAATCCAAATAAAAAAAAAAATAATCAATTGCATCTATTTATATTTAAAGGTAAAAATATATTATATCTCTATATATAATTTATTTTATCATTACGCATTTATATATAATTATATTTAAACTTATTTAAAGTTATAACCCAAACAACACAAGAAATAATAATATTACTTTTTCTATTATCAATTACAATATTTGTTTTTGTTTTTTTTTAATTTTAGTAACGATTACCAAACGTCTTAATGAAGTTACTTTGATAAACAAAAAAATGAAAGTGACAAAATAAAATATAAAAAAATACAAAGAACTTCAAATAGTAATTTTATATATGTACTTATTTAATCGAGTATAAACGGGGGTCTCCTATCATGATGTTGGGAAAGACAACTTCAATATATTCAGTCAGGCTACGTATGGATGCACTACCATTTTTTGCTTAATAAAACTATTTGTATCCCTCATTCTGCTGCTATTTTATTTTACCAAGATAGATATTAGATTTTGTATAACTGTAAGTGTATACTAATCCACTCTAATCACATTGGCACATTTTCCCCTATCTCTGTATATGCTCTTTTTAGTTTCCTCTCTTTTAATGAGCTACCAAGTTGATGACAAATTTAGTTTACCCAATTAGATTACCTAATTAGGAAATATAATTTATTCATTTTCTTCATTCGGCGAAAGGCATCTTCTGGGGGAAAAAATAAAATGAAAAGAGAGACACTTTAATTAATATACTCGAGGTAAAGGTTCGTGCATTTATTATTATCATTTGAAATTCGTGTTGCATTTATTTACTTATTCACTTCTTTAATTTATTTTTTAAAAACTTTTCTTCTTCATTCTTTTCAATTAAAACTTCAAATAAAGATACCAACTCAACAATGGACGAGACTACTTTTAATCAAACCACTAACGATTTTGAATTGGATGCAAATCAACTTGCTGCACCAGATGCCGTCTTCTCGGACAGAGTACGTAGATTCCAAGAGTTTTTAGACACGTTCTCTACTTATAAAGACCAAGTTAGAGAGATTCAGCTGTACAATAACGCTTTCAACACAAATGATGAAAAGAATTTAGACGATGAATTATATGATCATGCTAAAGATTTAGAAGAAAACTTTAATGAAGATTATGACCTTAACAAAAAACAGGCTTCTGGTAAAGCTTTAAACATTTTACCCCAAAGAATTACAATATCATTGGATGATTTAAGAGAATTCGATAGATCCTTTTGGACAGGTATTCTAATGGAACCTGCTTTTTTCATTCCACCTGCTGAAAAAGCTTTATCTGATATGGCTAATGTCTTAGATGAAAATACAAATCAAAATTTTAGAAACTTCCAAAATGGTAGTCGTCCTTGGAATTTATCCTTCAAGGGTTCATTTGGTTCTCATGCGTTATCTCCACGTACTTTAAATTCTCAATTCTTAAATAAATTGATATCTGTAGAAGGTATCGTGACAAAGACCTCATTGGTTAGACCAAAATTGATAAGATCTGTACATTATGCAGAAAAGACTGCAAGATTTCATTATAGAGAATACACTGACGCTACAACATCATTGACTACTAAGATTCCAACACCTGCCATATATCCAACTGAAGATACAGATGGTAATAAATTAACTACCGAATATGGTTATTCTACTTATATGGATCATCAACGTATTACTGTCCAAGAAATGCCAGAAATGGCTCCAGCAGGGCAATTACCAAGATCCATAGATATAATCTTGGATGACGATTTAGTTGATAGGACTAAACCCGGTGACAGAGTCAACGTTGTCGGTGTATTTGTCTCCTTAGGTGCTGGTGGTATGAGTCGTAGCGACAGTAAAGGTAGTAATGCATTTAGAACTTTAATTATTGGTAATAGTGTATACCCATTACATGCTAGATCGACTGGTGTATCAGCCCAGCAAGTACTAACAGATTTTGATATTAGAAATATCAATAAATTGGCTAAGAAGAAAGATATCTTCGATATTTTATCTCAATCATTGGCTCCATCTATTTACGGTCATGAACACATTAAAAGAGCAATCTTATTGATGTTGATGGGAGGTGTTGAAAAAAATTTGGATAATGGTTCTCATTTAAGAGGTGATATCAATATCTTAATGGTTGGTGATCCATCCACAGCTAAATCACAATTGCTAAGATTTGTGTTAAATACTGCATCCTTAGCCATTGCTACAACTGGTAGAGGTTCTTCTGGTGTTGGTTTAACTGCCGCTGTTACTACGGATAGAGAAACTGGTGAAAGAAGACTTGAAGCAGGTGCAATGGTGTTAGCTGATCGTGGTGTTGTGTGTATTGATGAATTCGATAAGATGACTGATACTGATAGAGTTGCAATTCATGAAGTCATGGAGCAACAAACCGTCACTATTGCAAAGGCAGGTATTCATACCACTCTGAATGCTCGTTGTTCTGTTATTGCCGCTGCTAATCCAGTGTATGGTCAATATGATGTACAAAAGGATCCTCATCAAAACATTGCTTTACCAGATTCTTTGTTGTCACGTTTCGATTTATTGTTTGTGGTGACTGATGATATTAATGAAATAAAGGACAGAGCCATTAGTGAGCATGTCCTTAGAACACATAGATATTTACCCCCGGGCTATTTAGAAGGTGAACCTATAAGAGAAAGATTGAATCTATCACTTGCTGTTGGTATCGAAAACCCTGAAGAACAAACAGAAAATAATGCTAACGGTGCGGAAGAGAGTGAAGATAGTGTTTTTGAGAAATTTAACCCATTGTTACAAGCCGGTGCTAAACTAGCCATGAACAAGGGTGATCATAATGGTGATTTGATTCCAAATTTAGTCACTATTCCTTTCCTAAGAAAATATATTCAATATGCTAAGGAGAGAGTTATCCCTCAATTAACCCAAGAGGCAATTGACATCATTGTTAAAGAATATGCAGAGTTGAGAAACGACGAAAATACTAAGAAATCTCCAATTACTGCAAGAACTCTTGAAACTTTGATCAGATTGTCCACAGCTCATGCTAAAGTCAGACTGTCTAAGACAGTTAGTAAATCAGATGCTCGTATTGCTTCGAGATTATTAAGGTTTGCTCTGTTAGGTGAAGATATTGGTGATGACATTTATAATGAGGATGAAAATGAAGAAAATATTTCATTCAGAAGATCTCCAAAGAAATCTCCAAAGAAGAAACAAAGAGTATACGCGAATACAAGTAGGCCAGAGTCACCTATCAAGCCTAGAACTCCATCAAGAAGATCACCTTCAAAATCAAGTGCACCATCATCTACCCAAAGCTTAGTTACTAGAAGGAGATTGCAATTAGATGATGATGACAATAACGATGACGACTATATTGCAATGTCTCCATTACCAAGAGACGAACAAGAAGATTTAGAAAGAAGGTTACGTTCCGGTTTACGTGTCTCTCCAAGACGTAGAGGACAGATAGATTCTCGTGGTCCATTGACTGAAGCAGGTGGTGAAAAGTTGTCAAATATTTCCTCTTTCAGTGACGACACTGGATTAACTGAAGAAGCTATTGGTTCCATCTCTACAGCCAGATTAGCTACTTTTTCAAGTGTCATGGCTGCATTAATGCAATCTGATCTATTCCAAGATGATTGTTACCCTATTGAACCTCTTTTCGGGAAAGTTAATGATGAAGTAGACAATGAGGAAGAATTTGCCATGTCCGAATATATGGCTGGTCTAAGAATTTTGTCTGAGAGAAATAATATCATGATATCTGAAGATAAAGTATGGAGAGTGTGAACATGGATTGCAAAACTACCATATTTTAATATTATTTTTATTTTTATTTCAGCATTGATGTTCTACATTCTGCAATAAGTATACGCATTGCTAGGAAAATCCTGCCCTTTTTACTCATTATCTCATATTATTCACCTCCCACCATTGAGTCTATGCACTCTTACATATTTTATTTATGTTGTATTTTATAATTTTATATATTAATCATTTTGTTAACAAAGAAAGAAAAGTTCACACGAACGACATTGAAAATGCGCATTTTTTCAGCTCTTATAAATTAGTCTTACGAACTCTATTTGGTTAGTGTGACATTAGATCGTGAATTCCTTTATAATTGCAAAAAAGAGTACAGCGAAGCCTTATTATTATGCGTTTAGTACAAAAAACTGACAGCACCTAATTAACAGCAAAACGCCTTGATCGCATTTTGTTGGCGACAGCGAAAACCTTCACAGTTTCAATTTTCATCTCAATTCAATTTTTTTTTCATGTTCAACACAGCGGGGAAACGCCATACGGAAAATTGAAAAATTAACCTGAATGTCATATGGCCCATTTATCTTTTATATCGAACAACCTCTGTGGTAAAGATTACAATTCTTAATCTTATGGCTGTCAAAGTAGTAGATGTTTATTCCTATCTTTTCAATAAAGTTTAATATATTTTATTTGTAATACAAATCAATTTACTTAAAAAGATTAACTAAGTACCTAGCCTATTCATCATATATTGTGTGATATTTTTATTTTTTGTTCAAACTGAGAAAATATCTAGTTTAAAATCACACGATTATATATAGATGGTATCTAAATCGTATGTGAATAGTCCGCTGGTAAGGGACTCAAAACTATTAGTCCCTAAATCTATATTATATAGACCATACACTTTACCATTTGTGCCTTTATATGCTACTTTTTTCCACCTTTATTTTACCGAATATGATCGTTATATTGGTGGTTCTGAATGGACTTTTGTCTTCTTAGGTACGATTATCTCATTTAACATCCTAGTTCTACTGATTCCTGTATGGAACGTTAAGATGGCTGCTTGGTTTAATTTCAATGAAGCCCATCATATTAACGCTGCAACTGATATTTTGATTTATACTACTCCAAACAATGGTACTGATGGTATTGTTGAAATTCAAAGAGTGTTAGAAGCTGGTACTTTACAAGTTTATTTCGAATTCCAAAAGAAAAAGTTTTTATGGAAATCTGAAGATGAATTTTTTGCCTCTCCAAAATTCGCTATTGATGAATCTCCAAAGATTAAAGACTTTAAGAAAGCTAAAGGTAATTCAGGTGATTTAACTCATTTGATTAGATTATATGGTAAAAATACATTTGATATTCCAATCCCAAGTTTTATGGAATTATTCAAAGAGCATGCTGTAGCACCTCTTTTTGTTTTCCAAGTATTTTGTGTTGCATTATGGTTATTGGATGAATTCTGGTATTACTCCATCTTCAACCTATTTATGATTATCACTATGGAAGCTGCTGGTGTATTTCAACGTTTGACCGCTTTAAAAGAATTTAGAACAATGGGTATCACACCTTATTCCATTAACGTCTATAGAAATGGTAAATGGACAACTGTCACTTCCGATGAATTACTTCCAATGGATATTGTTTCTGTCACAAGAACCGCAGAAGATAGTGCTCTACCATGTGATTTGGTCATGATTAATGGTACTTGTATTGTCAATGAAGCCATGCTGTCCGGTGAATCGACTCCTTTATTAAAAGAATCTATTAAGTTACGTGATGACAACGATGATCTACAAGTCAATGGTCTAGACAAGAACGCAATCTTACATGGTGGTACTAAAGTTTTACAAGCTACACCTCCAGAAACTAAGACTAACAGCATTCCACTTCCTCCAGACAATGGTTGTTTGGCTGTTGTTTCTAAGACTGGGTTTGAAACATCTCAAGGGTCCTTAGTTCGTGTTATGATTTACTCATCTGAACGTGTATCTGTTGATAACAAAGAAGCTCTGATGTTTATCTTATTCCTACTGATTTTTGCTGTTATTGCTTCATGGTATGTTTGGATTGAAGGTACTAAGATGGGTAGAGTCCAATCTAAGTTAATTCTTGACTGTATTTTGATTATCACCTCTGTTGTTCCACCGGAATTGCCAATGGAACTAACAATGGCTGTCAACAGTTCTTTAGCTGCATTATCCAAGTTCTTTGTCTATTGTACTGAACCATTTAGAATTCCACTTGCTGGTAGAATCGATGTTTGTTGTTTCGATAAAACAGGTACTTTAACTGGTGAAGATCTTGTGTTTGAGGGTCTAGCTGGTCTTTCTTCTGAAAATAAGGATACTCGCCATCTATTCACTGCTATTGATGCCCCAGAGAGAACAAATTTAGTAATTGGTGCTGCGCACTCCTTGGTTAGATTAGATGATGGTGAAACTGTAGGTGATCCAATGGAAAAAGCAACCTTAAGAGCTTTAAAATGGAAAGTTGAAAAAAATGAAGTAATTAGTAATGCTGATATGGGTAAAGTACACATTATGCGTCGTTTCCAATTTTCTTCAGCTTTGAAGAGATCCTCGTCTATTGCATCCTACAACGATGAAATATATGCTGCCGTAAAGGGTGCTCCTGAAACAATCCGTGAAAGATTAGTTAATGTTCCTGCAAATTATGATGATATTTACAAGTCCTTTACTCGTTCTGGTTCTAGAGTTCTTGCTTTAGCTTCTAAATCCTTGAAGAAAATGTCTCAATCTGAAGTTGATGATTTAAAGAGAGAAAATATTGAATGTGACCTGGAGTTTAACGGTTTCTTAATTTTCCATTGTCCCTTGAAACCTGATGCAATTGAAACTATTAAAATGTTGAACGAATCTGGTCACAGATCCATTATGATTACTGGTGATAACCCTCTTACAGCTGTACATGTTGCCAAAGAAGTCGCCATTGTTGAAGGTGAAACTTTAATTTGTGATAAGGTCGATGAATCTGATGTTTCTGATAATAAGTTATTATTCCGTAATGTAGAAGAAAGTATTTCCATCCCATTCGATCCATCTAAGGATAAGTTTGTTCACGCCGAATTATTTGATAAATATGAAATTGCTGTTACAGGTTATGCTTTAGAGGCATTGAAGGACCATTCCCAATTGAGAGATTTACTTCGTCATACCTGGGTTTACGCGCGTGTCTCTCCAAGCCAGAAAGAATTTTTGTTAAACACTCTAAAGGATATGGGTTACCAAACTTTAATGTGTGGTGATGGTACCAATGATGTGGGTGCTTTGAAGCAAGCTCACGTTGGTGTAGCTTTATTGAATGGTACGGAAGAAAGTATGAAACAGGCCGCTGAAAAACGTAGCATGGATAGTGCAAAGATGCTTTATGAAAAGCAATGTACCTTTATGCAAAGATGGGGCCAACCACTACCCGTTATTCCTGAAACTATTGCTCATCTATATCCACCTGGTTCTAATAATCCTCATTACTTGACTGCATTAGAAAAGAGAGGTACCGTCCTTACTGATGAAATTAGAAAATTTGCCGCTGATATGAGTTCTACCCCTGTTAAGGTTCTTCCTGATGCGAATGGTGAAGCAGCCACTGCACCAAAGGCTGGCGATATTGCTTCTATGTTGATGGATAGTGCCGGTGGTGATGGTGATGGTGTCGATGCTCCAACTCTAAAACTGGGTGATGCTTCCTGTGCTGCTCCATTCACGTCCAAATTGGCCAATGTCTCAGCTGTTACCAATATCATTCGTCAAGGTCGTTGTGCTCTTGTTAATACCATCCAAATGTACAAGATCTTAGCTTTGAATTGTTTGATTAGTGCTTACTCCTTATCCATAATATACATGGCTGGTGTTAAGTTTGGTGATGGTCAAGCTACTGTTTCTGGTTTATTATTATCTGTTTGTTTCCTAAGTATTTCTCGTGGTAAGCCATTAGAAAAGTTGTCTAGACAAAGACCTCAAGCCGGTATTTTTAATGTTTATATTACAGGATCCATTTTAAGTCAATTCGCTGTCCATATCGCTACTTTGGTATACATTACAATGGAAATTTACAAATTAGAACCACGTGAACCACAAGTTGACTTAGAGAAAGAGTTTGCCCCATCTTTACTGAACACAGGTATCTTCATTATCCAATTAGTTCAACAAGTTTCTACTTTTGCAGTCAATTACCAGGGTAAGCCATTTAGAGAAGATATCAGAAACAACAAGGGTATGTACTATGGTCTAGTTAGTGTTGTTGGTTTAGCATTAGCAAGTGCTACAGAATTCATGCCAGAATTGAATGAAGCAATGAAATTTGTACCAATGTCCGATGAATTTAAATTTAAATTAACCGGTACTCTATTGTTAGATTTCTTTGGTAGTCTGGGCGCTGAATATTTCTTTAAATATTTCTTTATGGATGACACACCAGCTGACATTACTATTAGAAAGATTAGAATTGCTTAAACGTTACAGACTTCTACCTGTCTGTATAAAAGAAAAAAAAATAATCATGTTCTACAAAACGATAATCAATTTACACGATATTCTGTATATTTGTTTAGGATGTCTATAAATTCTTATCGTTTCTTCTTTCTGTACTATTTTGTATAATAGGAATCTTATGTAGCAAAAAATACATTTACATATTATTATTAGTGCTTTTATTCTTAATCGAAAATCTTCCTTACGTACTGATGAATGTCTTGTTATTCCCTTAGAAGAAACTGATGGCGATAGTGCATGACACTTCATGGTTGTCCAAGTAAACAAGTTCCGGTTTCCTCCTGCAGTTCATCTTTTTATAGAGTTATAGTGGGGGTGTCTCGCTTAGTCTTTCCTGTAACAGGGAGAGCGGCATCGAAAAATGGGTGACCGCGCTTATGGTTTCCCTGAAATAGTAGTTGTATACGCAAAAAGAAACTTCGAGCAAGTAATAAAGAACCCTCAAATGAACAACTTCCAAACTTATAAATTGGCATCGTAATTCGAGTAATTTGAAATTGAAATTAAATCAAATATCATTGTCATATATTTCTAATCATTAGCCTGTATCTAAAGATATCGATCATCCTCCCCACCCCCATTTAGCATACCATCTGAATAACCTGAAAGATGCCTTACCAAGAAGATTTCGCTGTTGAACAGTTTATGGACAAATTTGAAACCCAAGCCAAGTATAACCTTGGTGAAACATGCTGCTACTCTCTGAGTTTAGACGATATTGAACAACTTTCTGGTAACAGATATGAATTGGACAGATCGATGAGATTAACATATCGTGATATAAAAGGAAGTGAAGAATTAAGGGCTTTAATTGCAACGATTTATGGTAATACCTTAACAAAGGATAATGTTCTGGTTTCAAATGGTGCCATTGCATCTAACTATCTTTTGTATTACACTTTAGTAGGGAAAGGTGACCATGTTATCTGTGTGGATCCAACCTATAGTCAGCTGTATAGTGTTCCAGAGATGTTTGGTGCTGAAGTTGATCATTTGAAACTAACCAAAGAAGATGACTACATACCAAATGTCGAAACATTGGCTAAAATGGTTAAGAAAAATACTAAACTGATCATTATCAATAATCCGAATAATCCGCTAGGTTCTGTTATCCCAAATAATATAATGAAGGATATTTGCCAATTATGTGAAAAACATGATATATATCTTCATTCGGATGAAGTATATCGTCCAATGTTTCATTCATTAGAAGAAGGGTTTGATCTACCAGAGAGTGCATGCGACTTATATTCGAAGGCTATAGTCACATGTTCTATGTCAAAAGCTTATTCAGTTGCTGGGATCAGGCTAGGTTGGATGATTACACAGGACAAACAAGTTTTAAGGGATGCTGCATCTAGAAGAGATTATAATACTATATCAGTCAGTGTTATAGATGATAGAATTGCACAATATGTTCTAAGAAATGCTGATAAGGTTATCGCAAGAAATATGAATTTATGTAAAGAGAATTATCACTATCTTACTGAGTTTATCAACAAAAACAAGGAAGACTTCGAGTATGTAGGCACACCACAAGGTGGTACCGTGTGTCTCTTAAAAACCAAAGAGATAAACGATACGTACGGTTTTGCTGAATTTCTTGCCACAGAATTTAATGTATTGGCTGTACCTGGTGAAGTTTTCAATTTCCCAGGGACTTTACGAATTGGTTATGGGAATAGTAAGAATGATTTGGTTGAGGGGTTACCTCTACTGAAAAAGGCCAACGATATATGGATTAGTAGAACAAAATAATTAAAATCATTATAAGGTATCATAAATAGTCATGATGAATACACTCTATAAGTTTTATTAATATTATAATTCTCTATTTATCTGTAAACAAAAGTTTCAAAGTTCTTTATACAAATATTTCTTCTTGGGAAAATCTATGGGAAACTTGCTATTTATTATTGGAACTGTATGATATAAATCCCTAGATTCGACTATCCTCAGTTCCATATCTTTCATACCTATCACCGATCCCATTTTACTTTTTATATTCTCTTTACTATAGTACTTTGTCATTTTTAAAACTCTCTGAAGTACGTTAATAATATCATCGATTTGATCTGCAAATTTCAAGGTGGCTGTTTCATCCTGATATAATTTTATTATCCTATCTAGTAGTAAAGCTGAAAATAGATCTCCAACACCGGTGAAATATGTGTCGATATATGGAATACGATATACCAGAGGAGCTTCACCTTTAATGGATGCAACACAGTATATATGTCCTTTATCATCAAAAAGTTCCGAACTACAAGAAGTTACCACTATCACAGGTACAGTTTTATGTAGTTCTTCTAACGATTGTTTAAGCTCTTCTTTTGAAGAAATTTTCTTTCCATAGAGAATTTCAAGCTCGTATTGATTAGGAGTTATAATATCAACCAAACCGTTAGAAGAAAAAGTCAGTTTTTGATATTCAGGTATCACGTCTTCATTGACATATAATTGACCTTCATCTCCCATTACTGGATCCATCAACCATAACAACTTCTTATTTTTTTCCTTAAATTTTGAATAATGTTGCCCCATGCAATTTACTGACTCTTTATTTGGCAAATACCCTGATAGCAACGCATCATAATCTGTTGCAAAATTTGCAAATACTCCATTTAGTAATGCATCTAAATCATTTTGATTTGTAATGTTACCAAATACACGTTCCATACCATAGCCTGTATGGTTGGAAAACTGAACACTATTACAACAGTCTACATCCCATCCTAGACATTGTAATGGAAAAGTAGCTGCTTTGTTACCTACATAGCCATGAACAACATGTGATTGTGTTGCTAAAAGACGAGGCATTACGTTTCTATTTGTAATTTTATGGTTTTATGACAAGATGGAAAATAGTAACGTGTGACTTAGAACTCACTTGAATGTTCAATTGGGTAATACTAAACCGAATTTTAAAAGTATATATATCTTTATTACATGATTTTTTGTATCTGATCGATATCTGAAAATGTTTTTATTGTTGTAGTGCTTATTTAAATAATTTGCTCTGTATTGAATTTTTCGGTCTGCGAGAAAACTTCTCGATGATCTCCGCCGATTCTTTCAGACTATGACTCAGCGAGAGAGGTATGCCTTCTTAACTAACCTGACACCCTTTCAACCCAGGAAAGGTGTGTGAAGTTCAGAAGGTTAAACAACAGTGGGAAGGTACTCAAGTAATAATCTGCTGACCTCTTTCTTTGCTTTTATTTGTTTTAATTGCTATAACTTGTTAAATTAGTTCCGAAATGACTCCTGTGTGTCTTCTCAGATCGAGGCAGAGAACTTTCCTAATGGTAGTTGTCTGAAAATGACAGCAATTGTAAGAAAACTTCATGTTTTACATCATTTTAACAAGAGAAAGGTTAGTAATTACCAAAAAAAGGATAATCTCGATAGTACTAAGTGGGGGCCGATTTTCTTCTTGACATTCTCTGAAGAAGACCCTGAAAAGGTAAATATTCCTTTTTATTTTTATCCTTATTATTAAATTATGTTTCTAAAACCATTTCACCTCCATTTATTAGACCAACTTTGAAATAAATGAATTCACTTGATTTCATTTATTTCAAGCATATAGTAATATCATGTTGGTTTTCGATTTTGAAATATATCTTGCATAATTTAAAAAAAAACGACGCAATCTTATGTGACGGCTTTAAAAGATTATAAATACACTAATAATACACATTATAAAAATATAAATTGTACATATTAGAATATTTAAATGTTAAAAAGTTAAAAAACTAATTAACAAGAAAAACTTTTGTTATTCAAAATTTGCTTTAAGACTGGTGCCAATGTTCAATTGTAACAACTCTACCAAATATCAAAATAACACATATTATACCAATGGACTAATAAAAACAATACTTGATAGTCGGATATCCAGCATGGTTTCTACAAGTAAAGAAATAACAATTGAAAGTTTCTTTAGGACTTTTATTTTATCAATTATCTTTTTAGTAATAGAACTTATTATATTTTTGATTATGAGAGTTTTATACAAGGATATATACAGATCTAAAAATATGTTGCATTCAGAGAGAAGCATAGAGCTCCCTTTCTTCAAATTTTTTATGAAACGATGTTCAGACTTTAATGATATGACGGATTTAGATGGATATCTTCTATTGAGATTTCTCAAATTTCTATCCTTCTATTTCTTCACCATTTCATTGGTGCATTTACCAATTTTGTTACCGTTGCATTACTATTACAATAATAATATGCTAGGCTTCTCTCTAGATAAATTTAATGTTTCTAATATTCATGGTAAAAAGATGGTTATACACCTAACTTTATGCCTCTTTGATGCAATTTGGTTTCACTTTCTAATTTTAAAAGAATCAAAGATAATATTCTCAATCAGAAAAAAGAGGATTCTTCAGAGTAAATTCAGTTCAATATTATTTATTGAAAACATTAATAATACATTTCTAAAAAATTACCAATCTCTTGGAAACGGTTATAGAGTTAAAGATATCTGTGAAATCCACAAGGATACAAGAGAATTATACAAAACCTGGAACAAAGTATATCGCCTAGAAAAGTACATTGAAAGGATAACCTTAGATATAATTACAGAAGTATATTTTGAACATAGATCTAAATGTTTTAGTCTCTGTGAAAAAAGAACAACCTTTTTCAATTTTACCTTTAAATTTCTAAAATATATTGTTTATCAAAAAAATTATGTGCTATTCAAGCTCAGAACATCTGTGGTTAGGTTAAAATGTCTATTACAAATTTGTAAATATGATAATAAAGTGTACAATCCCATAAATCAGAATATTGAGTTACCATCAAAATTTATTTCTAACAGATACGAGCAATTAGAAATAGCACTCAAAATATACAACAACACCGTGGTGTTATTAAAGAAACAAAATGAAAAAATCGAGCAGGAACAAAGAAAGAACAACTCTGAAAGAGAGTATGTTCCTAAAGATGCATTTGTGGAGTTCGGTTCACCAAAGGAAGCTCATGCAATAAGTTTAATCCTAAGCAAAAACAATGTAGCATTTGTTTCTCAAGTTACACTAAATCCAAATCCCTGCGATATCCAATGGTTATCTGTAATATACAGTAACCTGATTTACAAAGAAATAATGCGAATATTATCAGTAATTATCAGTATTTCTATCGTAATAGGCTGGGTAATACCGATTGCATTTGTCGGATTCTTTGCACATATACCATATATTACAGTTACATTTCTTCAACCTCTGTCGTTTCGTATATTCAAGTCAAAATTCATTAGAGATGGTATTGAGAATATTTTACCATTGGTCACATTAATATTTTTGACTGAACTTGTTCCATATGTTTTCAGAATTTTAAGCAAACTAAAGGGGTGTCGTACAGGTTCGGAAATTGAGAAAGATGTTCAAACATGGTTATTTGTATTCCTGTTTGTTCATTTGTTCTTAGTTGTCACAGCTTCATCTGGTATTTCTTTAGTAATCGATCGTCTAATCAATAACCCGAATAGCATTCCCATAATACTTGCACATGAATTACCAAAAAGTTCTTCATTTTTTTGTTCATTTATTATGTTGAGAGGGATTTCTTATTTTGGAGGAAACATACTTAGAATAAAAGACCTCTTAATCCAGATCATTTATTATAGCTTTATAAATTATTCTCCGCATATTCGGATTAACAGAATCAAGAACTCTTTATTCTTTAATTGGGGGTCTATATACCCCTTATTCTCGGTACTAGGATGTATAGGGATAGTATACGGCATAATAAGTCCCATTATTTTACCTATATCATGTATTTCACTTTCATTGGTATACTTTTCTTTCAAATATCTTTTTGAATACCAATATACAAAAAAAAACCATTCTGATACATTCGGTGAATTATATCAGCGTACACTGCTCCAACTTTATGTTGGTATTTATTTCATGGAATTCTGTTTGTTGGGTTTATTCGTTCTATCAGATTCATATAGGCTGGCTCTGTGCACCTTTTGCTTATTTATTGCCACATTAATCTGTAACATTTATGTTTGGAAAAGTATGCTACGTCCCATTCTATTTCACTCGGATGATCACGAACAAAATACATATATTCATAATGATGACCATCAATCCACATTGGATTCATATAGATCTCCAATGAAACGAAAAACTAAGATGTATGGTGAAATATGGTTACCTACATACCGAGCTGAAAGTGTAATTAAGGAGATCACCGTGATGGAGAAAAAATATGGTATAATGATCAATACCAATAAAGCCTTTTTTGATGATTGCGGGAATCTACACTTTCGTTAAAAGAAAATTTTTGTAATATCTAAATTTGAATAGATATTTAAGCAGCTTTGGCATTATTATCCTCATTATGTTTTTCTTCCCTAGTGTTTTTACTTCTAGGCCAAATATTTGGTAATTTAATGAATTGGAATCTCGGTTCTACACAACGTTCAACAAACCATTTCTTAATTTGATATTCAATCAGACTACGGATACGTGGAATATTTTCTAATTTTGACTTATCACCTATTAAGGATTGCGTGTCAAATTCAAACTTATACTCTGGAGAAAAGGAAAACATCAAGAAATAACTATTATCTAATTCATCATCATCTGAGTCATCTGTTGTTGTTGATTTTGTTTTCTCTTCATTCTGAGAGTTTGTCTCAACAAATTCATCACCTCTCGTTAGTGATACGGTCAAACAGCCTTGGAATCGAATGATTGCTACTGTCAAACTAATTGGCAATGCCATAAATCCGGGCTTTGGGTAGTTTAACAATAACTTGGTTTCTACACCTAGTGATAATCTATCTATTAAATCAATATCGATTTTTGCTTCTAACTTTCTTTTTTCCTTTTTAATTCTACAATTTGAGAAAATTGGGAAATCATCACCAATATCCAACTCTGTAACTTTAATAGTATCTAAATAGTCAGGTAAGTTTGTTGCATTATTTTGCATAAATAGATTTAATGAATTCAAAATATTATTTTTATTGTAAGCTTCATCACGAAACTGTTGAATAATCTGAGCAATTAAGACGTTGAACCAATCAAGGGATTCATGTTTATGTGTATTTACATCATAATAAGTTTTTTGAAGAATATTATTGATTTGAATGGTCATTTCATTTTGGGAATCATCATTAGTAGAGCTATAAGATTGTATCTCTGATCTATTTTTACCTCCTCTCTTCAAAACGTTTGACATTATTTTTGAATTATTTGCATTGGTTGAAATTACAGGAGGATTTTTATGTCTTGAAGAACCTTCACTAAATATAAAGAATCTCATAAAAACGGCAAATATGATGATCACACTAACTTGACCAACTATCAAACCTTGAGTAAATGATAATGAAGAAAATGACGATCTTGAAGATAATCCCTTCAGGTGTTCATATTGTTGAATAAAATTATTGTTCAATGGAAATTCATTTAACTTCCCAGCTTTAACGGATTTAATCAATTTATCAATATATTCACTTGGTGTATGTTGTCTGAATGCCTCCAAATCTTCGAGAAAATAGTTTTGGAAATGCGAAGGTAGTATACTCGTTAGGTAATCGTCGAGACTCACTAAATCACCAGTACTATTTTCTCCCTTTAAAGCATCTAAAATAGTGCTATTTGACTGTGATGAGTTGAACATAGTTGATAGTAATAGTATTACTAAAGGTGTAATGACGTATATATTTTCAGCAAACTTAATTGAGTAGGATACTTTTAAATGGTTGAATTATCGAGCTGAACCGTTCCCTGATTATCAAGAAAGAAAAAGTCTTCTTCTTTATCCCTAGGAGGACCCATTTAAAGTTCAGAACTAGCCATGGTATATGTCTAGTTTACTTCTTCCTTATTTGTACTTTTCTCCCTTACTGAAAAATAACGAAAAATATAAATAATAAATAAATATATCAGTCCGGAAATATCTCCAGTTCAGACCCCGAAGAGAAGGAAACAATTTCAGTCCAACTGGAAGGCCATACACACAATTGCTATCTTTCTGAATACCTTTGCCAGCGTTTAGATAATCTTTCAAGTTACAAATGTATATATATATAGATATATCTTTCAATTTATGAAGTGAATTTAAATAAGGTCAGCCACTTTTAAAGTTGTATCACAGACAGGGGAGAGCAGGATATAGTAGAAATCAGGAACGTTTGTTTGAGTAAATTTTGAAACAGTTCTTATTCATACACACATATTTGTTGCACAAGGATTGAAAACATAGAGTAGAGAATGCATATGCATACTAAAATAAGAAATTAAATTTAATATCCAAACAAGAAATTCAATTTTATAGCAATAATTAAGAATAACAAAGAGATGCCATGTCTTCTTCAAATATCCCTTCTAAAAATGAAATAAATGATACCGTGAGTTTTCAAAATATTAGTAAATTGATACAGAGTAAAAGGAGACTGCCGTTTGTGAATGATAAGTTAAGTTGGGTCGAGTCAAGTAAATGCCTTCAATATTTAACAACCATTGACCCTGATAAAATACCGTCAACACGGAGGGAATTGTTTATGTCCTTTTTAGTTTGTTCAGATATATCATTCGAATTTGAAGTCGTAATAACAGACAAAAAAGTACATAGTATATTATACAATATTTTACCCCAATGTGATTTTACAACAATTATAACGGTGTTTAGAGCAATGTTCTCTCAGTTTCTTAATGATCCAACAAGGTATAGGGAAGAATTCCTTCAATTCCTCGAATTTTTAAATAAAAAACATCTTTTATTGAATATTTCCATGTATTATTTGGAGACAATAGCTATTGATGATCCTAAATTGACAGAATGTTTGAATTTCTTAGGTTTATATTTAACAACTATCCTATCATTAACAGAATATAGACCTGCTCGATTAAGTATCTTAATATCAGAGTTATATTTTGAAATGATTAGATGCCAGTTCACAATAGTAATCACTCAATTATTGTTACAATCTGACAACAGTAAAGCTAGACATAATATTATCCAACAAATAATTAATCAAAAGATTGATATATCTAATTTTTTAGCTAGGACAAAATTAGAGGATTGCAAATACGTTGAGGATAAATTATCACAAATTATTGAAGAATCTATGGATGGAGACCAGGATCTGAAGAGTAAACTAGATAGTATTCAAAATTTGACTGTTGATGCCTCTGAATTAAATTTGTTGCAAGTATTAGATGTAATTGTATTCCTGAAGGAACCAGATTTAACATTTAAACGGATATTTATTGAACATTTACTCTTTGGAGGAAACCCATTCCCATTTTATAAAGCAGTCTCTAGAATCTCTGCCGAGCTTCATGAATTCTTTATTCAACATCAATCAGAAGTCAAAGAAAAACCGTATTTAATATCATTTATTATGAACAAGGAGTCATTTTTAGAAAGTATCATGAAAGTGCAATTGAAAGTATGGATTGAATCTGGTTCAAAATCAAAGGAAGATATAGAGTCTGTATTTATGTTGATCCCAGTCCTATTAGAAAAATTAGATGAGGTTTTACAAGCAGTGTATGGAACCGTCCCCTTAGATGAACTTCCAAATATTGTTAACGATTTTATAAAATCGATAGACTATAGAAAGGCAAGGGACTTTCAACTTGTAAGAATGAGACGGACTCAATTAGATAAATGGGAAAAGCAAATGGTCGAATTTGATTCGATATTATTAAATCAAGTTCATGATTTTGTGAAAAACCAAAGACTGATACGTCTTCAGAAGGGTGTTTGGGTATACTCTCAGAACCCAACAGATACATTGCTCAAGGTTCCAAAACTTTATTTTACCATTATATCTGACAATCAATCAAATCTACTGGTTAGAGAATTTGAAACTAAGACAGAAACACAACCTTACGTGGAAGGAATGAAAATTGTAAGCAGGACCGCAACACATATACAACCTTTACAACAATCTGTCACTCTTGTCATACCATTGAATTGTATTTCACATTTTGAAAGTAAAGATGTATCTGTAAAGTCACAACTGGGGAATTCTTCAACAAAGTTAGTTAATTTAGGTCAAATTGTTGGTTATACTAAAGTTAAATTACTTGATAAAAATAGAAAACGACTTTTAAAGGTGTATCTGGATACGAAAGAAAAGAAATCAATATGGCTTGATGGTCTCCAACTGCTTTCACCTTATGATGTTAAAGAAAATTTATCAGCCGATACAAAGAAACAACAGAATGATTTGATTTCACTGAGGAAAGATGTTCAGATGGTGAATCTACATACTAGGATTGACTTAGATGCAACTGTAGGTCTTGGTGATGATGATGATGATGATGAATTTTATGATCTTGATACATTAATGAACTTACCAATTCATAATTATTATGAATAGAAATAAAATTGAATGGATAATGATAAGATTTTGAGATAGATAATTTATTAAATTATATAAGACTCTTTATATTTTTTAATTTTTTGACGAATACATTTTTAGGGAATACGTGGGTCGGTTTAAATTTTACAAGTATAAACCCTAAATGAGTTCATTGGGGTGATATATACTGTAATATTAATAAGAAGTGCCAAGATATGTTCTAAGAGATTATTTCGATATCTCTGTTAAAGTTTATATAGTTCTTGGTAACAGTATGGCTTTAAAAGACCTTAATGAACAACAAAACAAGTGTATGAACAACAATACGATATTTAATAGATCTAATAATCTCATTGTGTGTTACTTAATCTACGCTAAATTTTCAGTTTGAGCTTGACCGGACTCAATGACCCGAATTAGGTATGTCAATAACAGGCCTGTCTTTTTCTGCCGTTTATTTTTTTTTGTTGGTATATACAAACAAAACAATGATCAGTTATTGCTACTTCATAAAGTAATGAAGCATCTTTGCAAAGAAACATTTTGATACATATCTTGGGTAACCATAAATAATTATCAGCATGAATATTAACGAATTTGCAGATGCTCAAAAAACACATAATGTTATTTATCCTATCCTGCCTAAGGATCATGGATCAGACGAGAGGTGCATACCGTTTGTTCCTCTTCTAGATGGCGACGAATCGACTGAGATCATGCATGAAAGATGGCAATTATATAACCAATTATATATCCATTTCCATTCGCAAGTTGACAACATTGTTTCAAATGGAGAAATAGAACTAAAGCATAATATAACGAAATTACTTTTCAGTGACGATCATTCGCTAAAAACGAAAGAAACTTTCAGAACGTTATTTCTATTAGGATCTGATAGTGATACCCCAATTGAGTTTGATATTATTGATCCAACCAAAACAGTAAATGTTTTGGTAGATATGACTGCAAAAGAATCACCGAATGTTAGAATGATGTTGAAAAGAGCAATGTTTAAGGTATTCTCTACGGCGCAGGCTGATTATAATAATATACAGGCGGTTATTAAAGAGAATGGCGATAATGAATCAATTTCTGAAGCCTTGAACGGTATGCCACAATTGCTAACTGAGGTGTCATATGATTTGTCTCTAATAGAAAATTTTAAATCAATATTCGGAAAAGACTTAAATATTGTGTTAAATTTTAAAGATGTTGATTCGTTTTCATTCCATGCTCTTGATGCCTTTATTCAGTTGTTAAAAAATGCTCTTAAATATGAGTCAGTTATGTTCCATTTGGTTTTTAATATCAACACTAACATTTCGATCATGGAAAAGAATTTGAGTCAGTCAACGTTAAGATTGTTAAAGCGAAACTATTCTATTTTGGATATATCTAGTAATAGAGGTTTTAAATACGCAAATAAGGTATTCGAATGTTTTTTAGAAACTGTCGATAATAAACTTAATCTATCAGAAAATTTTATAGAATTTATTCTCGAGAAAATGGCTAATAACACACACCATAATTTGCAACTATTAACCAAAATATTGGATTATTCCTTAATGTCGTATTTTTATGAAAATCCATTCGCAGTCTTTATTGATCCATTTAATGTGAAATACCTAAACGATTCATATTTAAAACTGTTGAAAAAATGTCCAACTTATATGTTTTTCTTGGATGAATTAGTTAAAGAAGGTGCACCAGTAAATGAGATATCCAATTTATTAACTAATGAGGAGGATGCAATAGAACAATTTTTTGCAGAATTTCTAGTGAGAGATAATCCCACAAATAGACACGCAAAAGCAGTTGCAAATATTCTGGAAGAAAAATGCAATGCTCAGAACTATAACTTAATTGAATTGTATTATAACTTACTTACCGATAATTTGGATAACTATTTAAAGAAATGGCCTGAATGTATGTTATACAAACAGGAATTATCGTTTGAATCTGTAGATACAATTTTCAAGGAATTATTCACGCTTGGTAATAAGAATGATTTATTATCTGAAGCAATGTTTCCAAAATACAAGGGTAACATGGAAGATGATTTATTATGTTGGGAAAGGGTAATAAATGCAAATGATGAAGGATCCCTGGAGGATATACAGGAACTTGAATCTCTTAGTGCGTTGAATCGTGAACTAGGACCCATAGTTGGTGAATTGTTTAAAGTTTATAGAGAAGCACCAATTGTAATTAATTTATTTGATCTGTATACAACGTTCAAGGTACTTCTTCCAAGAAAACGAGTTCTGGAATTTATCAGAGATTATTCTACCAAAGATAAGGCTTTAAAGAAGTTTATAAATAATAATGGTGATGATGACAGCATAATATTTGATAAAGTGGTGTTGATTTTATTTATGCAAGGTATACATGACTATGATAATATGGGATTAACGAACACACTCTCTAAAAATCCAGATTTTGTTGATAAGCATGTTTGGAGAGGTATGTAAATGTATATTATTGGTATATATAAATTGGGTATAATAAAAAGATCATAGAGGTTGGAAAGCTTTCAATTATAAAATATTTGCTGACATATTTTTAAGAGAGTGATTTAAGATGTAATTATAAAATTGAATAGAATTCGATTAAACTAATAATATAAGCATCATATTTTTGTAATGTTGAACTTTAGAATTTTTGGTGATAAATTCTAAGTACATAAATGTTTTATTTAATTCTTTTTTTATTGATTTTTCTTATTATATATAATTTTTTGTTATTACTTACATAAATATTATGATAAATATTAGATTTATTTGATGTTCAAGTTTAAGTTAACTAAAACAAAGAAAGTCATCAGACCACCAAAGACATAGTAAGAAATGTACAAAGCCTTTTGGTATAGGGATGAAGTGTTGAATCTATATTTGACAACCAACTCACCAGTACCTAATTCAGAGATTAAGTTACTGTAATAGAAAGTCAATTTAGCATGACCATCAGCCAAATCGAAGTAAGAGTACTCACGAGTGACAGTGGCGTTAGAAAAAGGTAATGGAGAACCAACATCTAAAACTTCAGCACCTTCTGGAAGAATAACAGAGACTTCAGCGTTTCTGTAGATGGTGTCAGGAGGACCGTTCAATACTGGCAAGGAAATAATGAAGGAATCCTGTTCAGTACCGGAGATATGTAAGAAGTCATCCAAGGTGTTAGTCCATCCAACGGTAAAGTTATAAGCCCAACCACCAAAGACAGGGAATCTTGGTTTAACCAATAATTTATCTTCTTCACGCATGACAGAGGAGACCTTACCTACCTTATCGGTGACGTAAGCGTCAGTACTGTTTTCAGTCAACGAAAGACCAAGGACACCGATGAAATTACCACCTTTACCTTCAGTTCTTTGAACTCTTTTCATGAATTCGACTCTGTTGAAACCATTCTTTAATCTAGCACCTTCGTTAACGATTTCGTAATATTCTTGGAATTCAGCAGTATGAGCCCAATGAGAGACCCAAATGTCTCTCTTTAAATCAGTAACAGTGATCAATGGGTAGTCGACAGGGTAGCTGACGTTAGCCCAAGAACTTTTGAAAGCTGGAACTTCATGGAATGGACCGTATTTGAATTGATTAGTCAATAGGATACCTACTTCATTATCGTTATCAGCAGGAGTTAATTCCATGAAATCTTCGGCACCAGAAATATCAACAGAAGAAGTCTTAGAGACGTAAGGAGATATAGGGTACCTGTTAACAGTTAAAGCTAAGGATTGAGTATCATCCATACCAATTTCTTCTGGTGATGGGTTACCATTTAAAGCATAATGAATCTTAGCCAATAAAGCGATTTCTTCACCTGGAGCTACAGGAGATTCGAATTGAATGACACCGTAACTGATTTCAGTACCATCATCTAATTGATGAACACCTGGGACAATCATACACTGGATGAAAGCTTCTTCAGACATATAAGCGGCGGTAAACATAGAGATCATTGGTACTATATCGGATGGGATTGGAACAAAATATTGAGTTACTGGTTCGGAATCTATGTTAACGATTGTTAATTCCAAATTTTCAGCTGTGAAAGAATTTGATATTTCAATAGTCTTCTTAAATTCTTTATTTTCCCATGAGTTTGGAGGTACGAATTCTTCAGAGACTACGCTCTTAAATAACAGAACAATTGCTGTTAAAAACCAATAATGAGCGAAAAGCATCTTCTTTATATTATATTATATTATGCTATATTATTAGAACAACTTTTTTCCCTTTTTTTCTTCTTCTTGAATTCCCAAATCTATATCGTTATTTGTAAGTATTCAATTGTTAAAAATAAAATGAAATAACTATTGAAATTATAGGAGTGGAAATACAAGTATAAATTCTTAAAGATTCTTTAATTTGAAATTAATTGTCCCTTTTTATTATTAAGTCACAGTATTATATAATCAAATCTTAAAATTTATATCTAAGTTTCAAGTATTATCTTGTTTATTCAATTTATTATATATTATATTGCAATATGTAAAGCAATATAAAGGAATACGTTAAAGCCACGAAGCCTAACAAATAATAAGAGAAAGAGAGATGTGTATTCCCTTTCTCACACATACAGTGCAGTAGTAAAATGAGCACGAAACGCATTTTTCTATTAATTTTTTTCGTTTCTTTCTGATTGACGTGTTCGGTTTATGTCTCTGTCTGTGTGTCTGGTTTTCTACTGCGTCGTGCCGCGTGACATCTTGTGGTTGTGTGTTTGGTAAACGCGTTAAAGTACTATCATTTTATTTTGATTGAAGGTTGACGCGTCAGTGTTCAGGGATGTGTGGGTGTTTCCATGGATGCAATGTGAGTGAAGAATTTCAAAGAATTTCAAGGAATCAGGATGGAATTGAGGAAAGTTGGGAGTGGTTGGGCGGCAGTTGCTTTATTGGGATAGCCGAGTTTGAGTGTCATAGGCTAGTTATATCTACTTATACTAATATAAAAGAGAAAAGTTGTTATTGTTATGTGTTTTTCTAGGGATTTGGGAGTGGGAGGAGAGAGAGAGAAAGGAACTGCAATTTGGGTGTGTATACATGGTTATTTTTATGTATAGGATATGATTGATGATTCTACAGAGGAATTGTTAAAAGGAAGTATAAGCAGGAGAAATAGTGTCGATAATCGTAATCATCAGTATCATGATGATATAGACAAGAAAGAGGGATTCTCTACAACTGCATTATTGATGAATCGGTCACATATAGATAGAGATGCTGTTCATACCCCTGAATATAATTATAATTCAAGTGATGATGAAGATTGGGGTAAAAAGCAGAAAGAGGATGATGATGATGATGATGATGATGATGATGACGATATTTGTAATAAATTTCAATTTGTTCATTTATCTGATCATAGTGATATTAACAATAACACAAATATAGGTATGAAAGAAAGTCAATATAATAGTGTATTAAACGGTCTCTTTAAAGACATTTCTGAATTTCTAACTAAAAATGAAATGTCTCAATCATTTCTTATTGCTTTAAAGTTATATATATCTCATTTGGTCAATGAAGGAGTCGATCCATTGAAAGATGAATACATTTTGAATTTAAATACAGAATTAATTAATAATCATGGTTTGATGACATCACAATTAGAAATTTTAATCTCATATTTCTTATTAAATCCACAAAATTTATTAATGAAATTAACACATTTTGAAATGAATTCAAATTATCATCTTTTGAAAAAAAAATTCTTAAAATGGAGAATCTCTTCAAATACTTCAATTTATCAACAAAAATTAATAGAGTTATATGAAAATTATATTAAGAATAAATTTCTTAATCATTGGTCAAAAAAATATGATCAAATTGTTACAATTGATAACGAAAGAGCTATAGATGCTAATATATTTAGATTGAAAGCATTTGCATTCGATAAACTCTTATACAAATATGATTCTATTGATAAAATGGAACATTTGGCAAATACTCAATTTCTTAATCATATTTTCCAAAATTTTAAGGATAAACAAAAAAAATTAAATGGAAAATTCATTGATTTCAATCATTCGAAGGACTCACAATTAACTAAACTATATTGGAATAGATGGAAATTAAACCAAAAGTTGATTGAATGCCATTCGATACCAACAAAACGTCATGTCTTGAAATCATGGTCTCAAAGGTTACAAACATTCCAAAAAATGGTAAATACTTCTGATGTTGCAAGATCTGATCAATTGTTATACAGCACGTTTAATAAATGGAAATTGGTAACCCAAAGAAGATCCGAAAAAGTTGTAGGATTATATAACACTGAAGGTCATATCCTTAAATTGAAATATTTGTCAAACATGGTTAAACAATACAATTTAATTCAAACTGAAAGCAATTTTATATTGAAAAGAAAATCGATGATTATTAAATATTATCTTTCAAAATTTTGGAAACAAAAATTTCAAAATATGTTACATTTCCATTCTTTTACACAAATAAAAGAGGATATATTAAAAAAAAAATATTTTAATATCCTTAAGAAGAAATTATTCCTAAATTTAAATTCATCAAATTTTGAAATTGATGCACTAACTAAAAAATATTTGAATAAATGGAGAGTAAATCATTATAAAAGAAAAAGACTTGCAGAAAAAAATACGACTTTATTGAAATCAACATTCATACTTTGGGAACAGAAGTTTATTCGCCAGACAAATTATAAGAAATATGAGCATCATTCAATCCTTCGAAATTTTTTCAATAGATGGAAACAAACAACCCAGATACATTTAGATGATATTTCTGTTAGTGAAACTTTCCAAAGACAATGGCAAGAACAGAGATTAGTAACTGTTTGGACTAAAAGAGTAGAGTTGAATAACAACATTAAGATTACGGCCGATTTATTTAGGGATTTGCAATTGTTCACCATGATTGTGAAGAGTTACAATAATGTAAGGTCTAAAAGACTTCATTTTGATACTATAAATAATAAACCAATAGAAATTCATGTGTTGAATAGGGTATTTGCTAAATGGAAATTGCTTGCTGAAGAAAAGAAAACGTTACAGTTAGCTGCTACTTTAAAGACATTCCAAAAATATAAACATGAAAGACTACAAAAAAAATACATTTCAATATTTAAGAAAAAGTATACAATAATTGGTAAACAGTATATTAAGAGCGCTCTAACTTTGGAGAAAAGACATAGGAGTCAATTCTTCTTCAAGTGTATAATCAAAAAATTCGAAAAATTCGAACGTCAGTTAGATATGGCATCGAATATTAACGAGGATCATTTACTTCAAGAATTTATGTTATTTTGGATAGGAAGGTATAATAAAAATGAGGAGTTGGATACATTATCTTTACGTTACATTGATGAACGAAACATCGACATATTATCCTCATATGTAAGTCAATGGAGTATGCAACTTTTGAAAAGGACAAGAAATAACGAATCTGTTCAAGTATTTCGAAAAAGATGGGATAGAGCCACCATTAGAGGTTTACTGATGTTATGGAAGGAGAAATATGAAGAAAGGCAATCCCCCAGAAAGACCGATAAAATTGTTCAAGATATTGAACAAGGAACACAAACTCCTCTAAGAATCCCTCCACAAAACCAGGATACTATTCGTGGATCTTCAAAAGTTAGAAAGTATAAGATGGATGCAAGAATTAGCCATTATAGGAGAGCAGGTAAACCAATTCCTAGTCCTGTAAAAGATGAAGTAGATGAATTTAGAGGATCTTTAAATACTATATCCCCTGTGAGGGCAGCACGATTAGACTTTAAAAATATGGCAGTTCTGAGACCTAATCAATCTAGCTACAGTTCGTCGAGACTCAGTCCCAGGAGAGGTGATCCGGACAGTTATAATGAAGAGGGATACTTGAATGGGTCCCCAAGAAACAAGACTTTTAAAACATAAATAATTTTGTAATAATATTCTAATAAAAATATAATAAAAAAAAATTAACCCATTGTGATTTAAAATTATCCCCTATTGGAGAGGAGATAAAAGAGTTCTTGTGAACCACCACATTTGTGCTTAGTTCAGAAATTTCACGGTATTCAATAAAACCACGATTAGTTCAAAATCGTACCTTTATTAGAAATAGTAAAATATCAAATTATGGAAACAATTTTTATAGGTATAAGAATATATCTTAAGTGTTAGCAAAACTCGTCAGCTTTGATTCGATAGCAATATATATATACGTATATATATATATATATATATAATTCGTTATTTGTTCACGTGATATTTCCCGGGTAATGTTTGATGTTTTAGGGTGGCAAAAGAAAAAACGGAAATTATGGGGCATCCCAAATAGCACACATCAATAGATTAAAAACAGGCTATATTGAAGAGTGAAACTATTACAGTAGGCGCTATATCAATTTTCAATTCATTACTGAGAATATTTTATTGATCATAGTTTATTCAGTGTTCTTGTTGAATTACACTAAATTTGAAGTTAATTGTGCACTCATTATATTTTTTGATTGTGATTCAATACCAGCAAGCCCAATTTTTATTTTAAACAAAAAATACAGGATTAAGAAAAGATGAATGGTATTCAAGTCGATATTAACCACCTAAAGAAGGGGGAAGTAAGTTTAGGTACTTCTATGTATGTTACAAAAGCAAATATAAGTTTACTTCGTTGTTTAATTTTTATCAATTAAACAGTATTATGAATGATATCTTTACTAACAATATTCTATAGGCGTATCCTCCATACGGTTGGATATGAAGGAAAATTTTATAAATAGTATGGCTGTAACTTTCAAGGATGGTGTGATATTAGGTGCTGATTCGCGTACAACAACTGGTGCCTATATTGCTAACCGTGTTACTGATAAATTAACTAGAGTCCACGATAAAATTTGGTGTTGTAGGTCAGGTTCCGCTGCCGATACACAAGCTGTTGCTGACATTGTTCAATATCATCTAGATCTTTATACATCAAGTTACGGTACTCCTTCCACGGAGACAGCAGCTTCCATCTTTAAGACGATATGTTACGAAAACAAGGATGGTTTGAGCGCAGGTATCATTGTAGCAGGATTTGATGACAAAACTAATAAAGGTGAAGTGTTTAGTATCCCACTAGGTGGGTCCGTCCATAAACAAGATTATGCAATTGCAGGTTCAGGGTCAGCTTTTATCTATGGTTACTGTGATAAGAATTACAAGAACGATATGTCCAAAGATGAGACAGTCAACTTCATGAAGCATTCTCTATCTCAGGCAATTAAATGGGATGGTTCCTCTGGTGGTGTTATTAGAATGGTAGTCCTAACAAAGGAAGGTGTCGAGAGATTAGTTTTTTATCCAGATGAGTATGAAAATTTATAATAGGTAATATATAAATATATACATATATTTAACAAATGACATAGTAAATAAAGTATTTCTTTGGAGGTGAGAAAAGGACAACAACACTATTTTTGAAGTTATGGTGGATCTGAATAATTTTTCACTGTTCCTGTATTTTCCATGTAAACTGTGGGCTTTTCCAAATCAAAAGGAAACTTTTCAACATAGAAGTCTATATTTTAAATCTTCATTTTAAGTTATCCTTAAGATTATTGGGGCTAGAAAAGTTACTTCGATCATTTAGGTAGCGTACCATATTTTATAAAATATGGTACACTTTAATAGATGTTTATAATTTTTAGAATTATATGCGACTGATTGATACCGTCCGTTCATTGTTACATAAAAGACATTTCAGAACTGATTAGATATTTATCAGGGTGCACGTAGAGACTTACAAAAAAATTATTTCAAAGTGGTTTCGTCCATTTCAAAATAAATAAATGTGGTTTTCAACGATAACTGACGAACTTCACTTGAAGTGAATATAACTAGCTAATCTCAAATATTAACCTTTGGGGTAAATCAAAAGCGGCCGAAACTGCTTTGAATACGGACTAATCTCGCTCTTTTGATATATGTAAACTATTTCTCTTCCACTCATTATCTTTGGTTACCTTTTGTTAGGAGAAATTGTTGAAATATAACAGTGTAGAGAATCTGAGATAGAGGGTTTGCCTCTAGTAGTCTCTGCAAGCTTTTATTTATTTAATTCGGACATTTTATAATATGATAATTGATCCATATCTTTATAATGTATAATATATATAAGTTACATATTAAAGAACATTTAATATTTTATTTATATTATATTAAGAGCTTCCTTTTTATATCATTTTCTTTAAAGGTTTTTCTTTCTTCAATCACACCTTTCATTTTTGTTTTGTTTGATTCTTATCAATACTTGATTCTTATCAAAGTTTTTCTTTACCTATTTTAATTAAGAGTTGTGCATATTACTCTTAATTTCTGACAAACAGGTACTAACTAAAGGCACATTTATTATTTTGTGTCATCACTAAGTATTATCACAATAAACGATGATGTACATTGTCAAATCGAGATGAAAATTAAAGATGAAGTACTGTATATGAAGAATATTATGTGTTCAACGTTATATAAACTATGTAAAAATATAAACGATTAATTAGTTACACATCTAAATGTATGACTAACAATATCTCTGGTTCAAACACAAATTTCCATCAGAAATTATGGGTGTACCTCGGAAAAGTCGCTTTTTAACACCCCCATAATTTAATTCTGAGCTGAAGCTTGCATAACAGAATTATACTTAGAGTCGTTCATTTTATATAGTGTTAGGTGGAGAGGTGTAGGCGTAGCTTGATATCTAACTAAAATAAAGTATATTTGTTGTTCTTTTCTTTTACATGTAAGTAACTTCTTTATGTTTTATATATAAATTATACAACAAATAGAATCTAACTTAAAATGTAAGTTCAGAATTCTCCAAGTTTATATGTTAGTTGTTTATTTGAAACTGTCAGAAATTAAGAGTAATATGCACAACACTTAATTTCAATAAGTAAAGAAATATCTTTATGACAGAAAATATCTGGAATCAAAATATCTAAAACGTCCTAATAAGAACTAAACATTTATTAAGTAATAGTCGTTTAGGTCATAATCGTTTAGAAAATAAGTTCATTACTTAACAATCGTTTAACTAATGTGTTGAATATGTAGCGGCAACACTAAAAAGGCTAACATTAGCTTAACCTATCTGAAGGAGAAGGTAGCTAATATAAGTAGAATTTAGAGTGTGCTGCACTACAGTATGTATAATAACACATGATATATACTGCATAATGTAGTATTCGTTCCCCCTACATTGGGTTTATTGGAGCTACATTGTCCAACATTACTATGCACAAAAGATGAGCAGTTTAACAACAGCAACTCTGTTTAACACCACGTAAGTTTTATCAACTATGCCTGCTTAATAAGGTTAATATTCAACAAATACTAAATTCATTACCCGGATCGCAATTTAAAAAGATAATCAACAACTTTTTCGAAACATTTTAAAATTTTGTGGCAACTTGGCCGAGTGGTTAAGGCGAAAGATTAGAAATCTTTTGGGCTCTGCCCGCGCAGGTTCAAATCCTGCAGTTGTCGTTATTTTTTAATTTTTTTATTTTTATTTGATCTAGGGGTTTATTCGAGTCTGTCGAAAAATCTTGATTCGAAACTTTCAGTGCATTTACAAAATTTTTATACATATCTTTGTTTTTAGAACTCCACCCTGTGTAATAAGTTAATTGAAAAAAATACATATTTAATAGTCATGCCAATATAATTTGCTCTTAGTTTCTTGATTCAGGATGAAAATTAAACCAAACAACTTGGTTTAGATTTTATTTGTTAGAGTATATTATGATTCTAATCAAACTCTGTTTTAATTTTTTTCAATAAAAGAATAGAAATATTTTAACACTTGAGACCTGATTTATATATACAAGGATCGTAGTCATAACTATGTAGGAAATTTTCTAAGTATTGTTAATTCATGAATACTGCAATAAGCAAGGTTTAAATTCTTTGAATTATCACAAGTATGAAATTCCTCGTAAATTTATTGTTTATGTTCTTGTTTACTGTCACAGTGACAGTTCTTAATTCTACTAAAGTTTTTTTCTTTTTCTGCTTTCGGATATTTATTTTACTTTTTTAAGTTTAGTGTTCAATTGGAAATGTTACATATATGAGTTGTGAGTAAACAAAAACTTAAAAGTGATAATCATCAGTTATACAATCTTTTTAGCTTTAATCACCATTGGAAGTAGACTCATTAGACTAAGAATAACAAAACCAATGATATAGCATATATTATGAGTAATTTAATAATAAATCTTAATGATTTACAAAAGTTGAGACAATATAATGATATCAACCATAATAATAATAGGATCCAGTATTCAACCATTGATCCAATTCGATGTCGTGTGCTAACACAAATAGAGGAACTGGAGTTTATGGACCCTAAGACCACTTCATTAGCAAATTTTTACATGTGTAACATAAAAATTAAGAACATTCCAATCTTCGTTGACATTTTCAACAAACAGCCTCAGGATGTTAGTATTGTTGTTAAGATCGATGAAAATGTATATGATTCTGTGTTCCGCAAAGGGACTGTATCAGTACAAAGAGGTGACTTATGTGAGATGACTCTCGTAACATGGAGCCCACAAGAAAACTGTGACAGTACTACCGATCTATGGGAAGTAGTTGATATGAAGTTCCTTACCTTGAAGGACGTGGAAACTTTACATAATTTTTTATTAAGTGATAATGGTAGACAATTCCTGGAGATATCAAATCCAGTTCAAAATATTACCTAAACAACCTCTATCACAAAGAATGTTTATCAGTTTGGGTAGGTGTTTTGCCAAAAGAGATACTCAAATCGTTAATAAATGAATACAGATAAAAAGCCACAGTGAAAACTGTTGTTTTGTCTTAATAGTTATGTGATTAGTATACAAAATATGTTATATATAAATATATATATATATATAGATATATTAGTTAGTTCCCTTTTTTCTTTAATATTTTATTTTTTTTTAAAAAAAGTTGAGATGAAGTGTAATATTATCGAATGAGGATATAAGTTAAATGACGAGTTTATTTTTATTAGCATAAAACAGTGAGCAAAAACAAGGGAGAAAGTAATACAAAAATAAATCCTTTAGATTTACAATTAGAATGCGATCTTCTTTGAGTTTCTCTTTCTGTTCTTCAACATTATCTTTTGTTTTTGTTGTTCTTCCTCTTCTTCTTCTTCGCTGTCGATTTCCATATCTTCTTCTTCGCTGTCGATTTCCATATCTTCTTCTTCCTCCTCTGATTCTTCTTCTGCCATCTCTTCTCTTGCTTGTTCCTTAGCAAGAACATTTGCAATTTCGATATCTCTAATTCTTAATAGTTCTGGGTTAGATTCGACCAACTTCTTATCTCTTAAGAAGTCTCTCTCCTTATTACCTCTCATTCTGTTCTTGTAGAAGGCTCTCTCACGTTTCTTTCTGATCTCTTCAATTCTAGCCATAGCCTTCAATGTAGTAGCTACTAGTTCTCTGTTATATCTGACTGGAACGTTTCTTCTTTGAGCAAACGTCAATGTAGAGTCAACAGCCAATTCTTTACCGGCAGCCTTTCTGAAAGCTTTAGTCCACTTCAACTTACGTGGGTTACGACGTTGCTTGAATGACTTGTGACACTTGGAACGACAGAATCTGAATTCTTTAGCATCGTTTCTAACAAACATGATACCGTGACCTGGATAAACCGGCGATGAGCAGAAGTGACATTGATAGATTCTCATGACAAATGATGTATATTAGAGTGAGTTGAACTGTTTTTATCTATATATATGGCTTGTGGATACTCTCTCACTGATTCTCAAACTACTTAACAGATGCAACTATAGAATGTAACCAACAACTGTGTGTACACTCCAAATATAATAACAATTCAAAATTTAAAAAAGTGTTTAAAAGTTAGCAAGATTTAGAGATGAGCATTGAAATTTTTCATTCAACTTCAATATTTTCAAGCGAAAAAAATTTTCATCTTTTTTTCTTTCGCTTTTTTCTGTGAGGAAGATAAAACGGAACTTATATGGCGGCCATATATAGTGTAGTGTAGTGTAGTGTTTTCGTTTCGGCCCCTCTCTTCCTGCCCCATCTTCGTCTGATCAAATTAGGTCGATTCTTGAACAATTTGATTCATTGAAGGGCTTTTTGGTAGTAGGAGGAAGGCCATGGGCAAATCAGTCAGACAAGTCCATGAAACTTAAGGTCTTGAGAGAAGGAACAAGAAAAGAAAGTATGCATATAAACATGTATATAGGTCATTGTTATTGTTATTGTTATTGAGTAGTGGCACTTAGTAGACTGATATTAGAAACAGCACCACTATATAGGTATTCCTGTCTATCCCTATACTTTATTGTTATAAATATTTTTGCTGTGACAAACTGGAGAATAGGTGAACAATAATAACCTATACTCGTTAATAACCCTTTTTATTTTTATCAACTACCCTTCACATTTCTACAGCAACGATGAGTACTCCACAGAATGCTGCTCCACAATTACCTATACCTGGTGAGAATAACTTAGCAGCTGATGCTAGTGCTGGTGCTATCCCAATTGGTAACTCGCAAGTGACACCTATGATACCTTCTCAAAAGAGTGGTATGGATCTATACTTTGATAACGCTTTATCTTATATGGGCGAACACCCTGTATTGACAGGTGTTGGTGCATTTTTCGCATTATATGCTACTGCAGGCATATATAAAACTGTACAAACTAAAATGAATGGTGGGAAATCCGTAGCGACATATTTAAAAGGTGGATTTGATCCAAAGATGAATAAGAAAGAAGCTTTACAAATTTTAAATTTGACTGAGAATAATTTGAGTAAGAAAAAATTGAAGGAAGTTCATAGAAAAATTATGTTAGCTAATCATCCAGATAAAGGTGGTTCTCCATACCTTGCTACTAAGATCAATGAAGCTAAGGATTTCATTCAAAAGAAAGGAAGTTTGAGTAAGTGAGATCTTAGTACTTTTTCTTTTGTTTGTAGTCTCTGAACAAGTTTGGTTCTCCTCATCCATTTTGCTTCTTCTGTAATTAAGAGTTGTGAACGTCATTAACCCTTCTACTCCTTTATCTTTTTTTGACTCATAATACCATATTATACATTATCGATCTAAAGAGACAAGTGAGAAGGGATTCAAATTAATGAGGAAAAAACCTCCACATCTGTATATCTATAATAATGTAAATAATCAATTAAACAAATTAACTTTAAGTAAAACAGAAAAACATTGTCCAGTGACGACAAAATTTTATAATATATACATACCTCCAGTCAATAATGATTTTCCACATCCTTTGCAATCATGACTCACATGAGCCAAATAATATTTGAAACAATCGACATGCCATACCATTTTTTTGGGACTATTATCATTATCATTATCAGTATCGTTATCTTCATCACTACCATCGTATTCTTTACTGAAATGTTCATCGATATTACCACAAGTAACACCAATTTGAACAATTTTTTTACAAATGTTACAGGCACTTAAGTTATAAGTGGATGCGAGGAATTCTTCAAGTTCTGCTATACATCTAATATCCATACCAAATTTACCTTCGGAAGTCCTATAAAACCACTTATAATCACATAATTGTCGAAGGACATGTTCTACTTCTAATGGAGACATATCTGCAAATTGGGATAATTGTGTAGACCCAGTTGAATAAGTAATAAAATGATTCCAACCTTCTGTCGTCAATGCATTTGAATCGATATCATTTAAAATATTATTTACATTGCCAATGATACTAGAGGTTAATTGTGGAGGCTTATATTCAATGATATCTCCTTGAGTGACAAATTGTTCAATAGCCCATTTAATAAATTCAATTTCCTTTGTAGTAAATTTTGTTGCAAGTTTGGTTTCATTAGTAGATTGTGTGTTAATATATACATAGTATTTATTACTTTGTGGTAAAGAAAGAGATCCTGAAGCTACTTGCATCATGGCTTCATTATCTATCATATTACTTGTTAAAGAATCATTAAGACTAATATGATTTACACTTAATATAAACTGTTGGAATTTTTGTTTAATATGTGCATCTACAGCATCTTTCCCAATGTCATGATTCACTAATACCAATTTATACAATAATGGACTCAATTTAACGTTAATCTCTTCAATATATTTTTTCAAGCAATCTAACCATTGGGTTATAGACCAACTCTTATCGAATTGTTGTTGATCTATCTTTAATTTCATTAATGCTAATAGTAACACGTTTTCATGGCAAACACCTTGTACTGCCAGTATATATTGTAGCAAATATTTTGAATTATCATCCTTTGTCATTTGCACTGAGTTTTGCAACTCATCATTTAAATCAATATCCATTATATCGTTTCTCAACTGTGTATCTATATATGGTTGTATAACGAACAACTGTTTTTATGGGTTAACCTATTTTAAGATAAGCAAATAAACATATCCTAATATTTTTGTAAACTATTCACCAACAAATACTGTGAATATTGACGCTCTTTCAAATCTTTCATCTGTTATTGTGATGTGATGATTGATGTCTCTACGAAATTTTTCAATTTCTGAGTACGATGTAAATGAATAGATTTTCGTGTTCGCACAGAGGAAAAAGGTATAATAATTACTACGTACACAGTGAAAAATAAAAAAGGGTCTTCTACTCTAGCAAGATTATATATCATGTACACACAACTCAAGAAAGATAGTGCGTGTATGACTATCTTCTAATTCAATATATATATATCATGCGAGAGAGCTATAGGAAGGATCCTTTACGATAGTTCAACTCCGAAGTTTGTAAAAACGGCTAAGTGATAAGTTATTCTACACTTTAGCAATAAGCTTCTCCACCCCCAGTTCACACCCACTCTTTGTCTATCCATCCATCCATCCACCGATCTATCTATCTATATATACATCGAACCACCCATCAACTTTTTGCAAAAAACTATCTGATTATATAGTTGACTCTGCTCTCCCAATTAAAAACAGAACATATCAGCTGTTCTTTCAGTTGATACTAAATTAAAAAAAGCATACATCGCAAAGCTCGCTATTTGCATATCGCGGCGTGTTGTCTTGATGAATAAAAAGAGCGTCTAATGAATGTAATTATATAATGTATGTAGTAATTTATTTCTCGGCCGAGAAAAGAAAGCGAATTTCTTAATCATGACTTCGAGGTTTTTGTATTGGGCAGAGACACCGGAAGAGAGAAAGAGGGCCCTAGTTGTTGCCATATACTTTCTTTCCCAACTCATTGAATCTTACAGGAATGATCTGATGATGTTGCTGCTGCTGATGATGATTACAATGCTGATGATTTTATTGTAATTGACGGTCTGGAATAGTATTCTTCTCTTTTCTTTCTCATCTTCTTCACAATAGAGCTAGAGAGAATAATGTTCCAAGAGCAATGCTACGATTACTTCCAGTAGTAAGAAGTAGAGATACGTTACCTCATCGAAAGTTAATATCGTATTTGTTACTATTCCGACCACATATTTCTAGTTCTTGTTCTTCATTCATTCGATATTCCCTTGCTTTCCTTCCCTTTGTTAAGACACAATATAAAACTAATGAATGAATGGAATAAGATTGAGAAAGATATATAAAAGTTTTTTTATGACATATAAAGTCAGACCACCTTGTTACCAAAAATAATAATATAAAATTGAGATTAATTAATATAAATTAAGGAATTCAGATACACGTTCTTTTTATGTATCTCTATTACTACTACCACTACTACTCTTTATTTGTTGATTGTTCATTATTATACTATTCTACTATTACACCATATTATACAACCCCATAGATCATGTCACCATATAGTAACGAAAAAGTCTTAGAGACTATTGCTAGTAATCATGAATTATCACATTCAAATTCATCTTCTTCATCGATCAAAGAACACTCTTCAGAAGAGAAAGTCTCTTCTTTTACCTCATCTGTAGAGTTAGATTCTGATAGAGATGTTGATGTTGCCGCTAAATTCTTACGTGAAAATAAAGATGAAAGGATTTCGATGTCTGAAGATAATAATGACTCAGAAGGTGCAATCTTTTATGGATCTCATGAACTTCCAAAGAAGACTTTGAGAAAATTAGATATGTTTGTCTTACCTTTCTTATGTATGACATATCTTTTAATGTTTTTAGATAAAGCTTTATTGAATTATGCTGCTTCAATGGGTATTAAGGATCATTTGAAAGGTAATGATTTTGCTAATTTAAGTACTATCTTTGGTGCTTCTTATATATTTATGGAACCTTTGGTTACCTATTTAATCCAAAGATATCCAATTTCTAAGATTCTAGGTGCTTTTATTATGACTTGGGGTGCCGTATTAGCTTGTCATTGTGCTTGTAAAAGTTATGCATCACTAATGATTGTAAGAACTCTATTAGGTATGTTTGAATCGTCAAGTGCTGTTGGTTGTATCGCCATCAGTGGTATGTACTATACAAAAGCTGAACAAAGTGCTAGAATTGGTTTCTGGGCCACTCAAGCTGGGACAGGTTATATTGTCGGTGGGTTAATCTCATTTGGGTTCCAACATTATCATGGTAAAGATTTCACTTCATGGCAGATTATGTTTTTAGTGGTTGGCTTATTTACTGTTGCATTCGGTTTATTAACATTTTTCTATTTACCTGATAATGTCACTAATGCTTGGTTTTTAAATAAAGAAGAAAAATTACAAGTCGTTGAACATATTAGAAGTAATCAAACTGGTTTAGAGACAAAGAAATTCAAAATGAGCCAAGTTAAAGAATTGTTCTTAAAGGATAAACTTACATGGCCAATGTTATTCATCACCACTGCATCTCAAATTTGTACTGGAGCTATCGGTACCTTTTCAGTAACAATTACAGCTACTTTTGGTTTTGATAGTTATGAAACCGCTTTATTACAATTACCTATCGGTGCCATTACAGCAATGATCATCATCATTACCACTCAAATGATATCTCGTTGGGGGAATATCACTTTGATTACAACGTCAATGTATATCCCTGCTATTATTGGTGCTATAGTATTAATTTCACTACCTTTATCTCATAAAGTTGGTAATTTATTATCGCTGTATCTATTGTACAGTGGGTCCTGTGTCATTACAAATATTTATATTTGGAACTCATGTAATACTTCAGGTTATACAAAGAGAGTCTTCAGGAATGCGATCACTATGATTTTTTATAACGTCGCTTGTATCATCGCCCCACAAATGTTTAGAGCTAACCAAGCCCCAAGATATGTTCCTGCTAAGATTGGTCTTTTAGTTACTCAATGTGTTTGTATTCCAGCTCAATTATATGTCGGATATCTTTGTAAGAAAGAAAACCAACAAAGAGATAAAGAACAAGAGGGTCAAAAGAAGGAAAAATACCAATTCTTAGATATGACAGACATCGAAAATAGAAACTTTAGATACATCTATTAAGTTTCTTATCATAACAATAAAGGAACACATAATCTTAAGGAAATCCTCTCATATACAGTTCTTTCGAACAACAAGAATTTTCTCCAATTCATTCAGAACTTTTCAATATTCAATTTATATCGTTTTTATTTCTTACTTTTAAATAATTAACGATTTATATACCCTAATAGACTTCAATATAAATATATATTTTCGTATACTAGTTGAGTTATATTTTAACCATAGTATCGGATTAAATTAACATTTTATCTATTTAATTATTGAAGATCGTTCAAAAATTGGGTCTTCTAAGTAAAATTTTCTTAATTAAATTAAAAAAAGATTAGAATGAATTAGAATCATACCTTTGTCAAAAATGGAAAAAAGAATTGCCGCCGGATTTTTATATCTAAATAAAACAGTTTAAAAAAATGCTTTCACTCGGAGTTGAACCGAGGATCTCCACATTACTAGTGTGGCGCCTTACCAACTTGGCCATAAAAGCTGCTAACAGTGATTTGTGTTGTATCTGAAACTGTTACAATGTAGAAAGTACCAATACTTAGTTATTACAATTTAATGTTTAGTACGAAATTATTAATAACGGTTCAATATTGTGTTGACGTAGATTGGGAAGAGAGTAGATCCTAATAGAATTAGAATTGGGAACGATGTTGTGGGAATATTAAGTAGCGATACTTATTATGGTAACAACAATCACGACAATGATAATCCTGTTAAATATAGCGGCAGCACTAAAAAAGCTAACATTAGCTTAACCTATCTGAAGGAGAAGGTAGCTAATATAAGTAGAATTTAGATTGTGCTGCACTGCCGTATATATAATAACACATGATATATACTGCATAATGTAGTATTTGTTCCCCCTACATTGGGTTTATTGGAGTTACATAGTCCAACGTTACTATGTACAAAAGATGAGCAATTTAACAACAGCAACTCTGTTTAACAGAGCTGAAGCAGACATACTGTTGTTAGACTTATATTCGTTCATTATTTAAGGTATTAGGTATAGAGGTGAAGGCGTAGCTTGAGTTTAAATGTTAAGGAAGCAAAATATATTTGTTATAACTTTCTTATATTTGTAAGTGATTTTTTTATATTGTATATAATTTATAGAACGAATAGAATCTAACTTAGGATGTAAGTTCAGAAATTATGTGGAATCAAGAAATCTAAAATGCCCTAATAAGAATGAAAGATTACGTAATAACTAGGTAATATCATTTCTATTAATTAGGTAATATCTTATTAAGAAAGTATTAGAGAAACAGATTGTTGAGAAAATAAATAATATATAAAGGCAAAGAATTCTGAACTTACATCCTAAGTTAGATTCTATTCGTTCTATAAATTATATATAATATAAAAAAATCACTTACAAATATAAGAAAGTTATAACAAATATATTTTGCTTCCTTAACATTTAAACTCAAGCTACGCCTTCACCTATATACCTAACCCTATAAATAATGAACGAATATAAGTCTAACACCAGTATACCTGCTTCAGCTCATCAACCTTTAGAGTAACTGAAGAACGGTTAATAAATCTATCAGGAGGTTTATTGAAATGACCAGAGTAAGGGATATATCTGAATATTTTGTCTATAAGATGTATTTTGTTTCATCGTTAATTTAGCAATATATAATATTGAAATTATCAAACAGTTTATAAAGTAAATATATGAATCAAGACCTGTTGAAAAGAAAATCGGAATATTAACTCAACCGACCAACATGGGGAAGTAACCCATAGTTAGTTAGAACCTAAAATATTCTGTGATACTGTACCTATATTTCACATAATATTGATATATTTGAGTAACGTAGTCCAATTTTGATATGTATCGAATATGAGTAACTTGACACTAGTAATCCTGCGTATCAAATACCATAAGAAAAACGACTCCATATTACAAAACTATCAAAAGCCACACTTTGAATGTTAAACATTCAATCATCGTCAAATTCAACTAATTAAAACAATCTAATATATTCAAAAATTCATTATTTGTACCAATAAAGTTCACTCGATGCAATCATTATAAAAATAATTATAAAATGTATTACATACAATTTATTTAAAATTTCTTTTTCAAAGTCAATTTTCGCATTAACATTGATGGCTTTCTCGCTAGTTTAGATGGACTGCTAATACTTGATTTTCTGCTACCCTTTAAGTGATTGACCGTTTCAGCTGGTTTATCAAAGTCGTTCATAGTATGTACTACTGGTTTGTTATTTTTGATAGATTTATGGTTCTTTCCGATTACCCTGTCATTCGAGTGAGAAACCCCTATTGATGTTAAATCATCAATCACTTTTAACAAGGACTTGTTCGAGTTCAGTACAGGACTGTTTGGTAAACTTTTCATACTACTCATGCGGAAAATCTGCGAAGTAGGCTTCAAATAGATGGATGTAATGCTACCAACGTTCAATTCCAATTCCTCTAAAATAGCGGAGTCTAATTTTGTATTAAGTTCAATTTTTGGTAGTTCTCCATCGACAATATCTTTTAACATTTCATTCGTCACATTATTCCCATCTTCCCTAGCGAGTGACAGTAATCTCCAGTACATAAATGCCCGGCTTCGAAGATCTGGATTATTAGCATCTTCTGTACACTCACGTAATAATCGTATACACAGTTTTTCGGTTTCAACAGAAGGATATCTAACAAAAAATTTTATACTTGAGGTTAAAACAGAAAATTGAACTTCAGGTGCCTCATCCAATACATTGGTGCAAAAAGTCTCAAAGAGCTTCAAATAATCAGGAAGGATATCAGAATATTGTGTAATAATCCAGATCATTGCATTTCTTGATTCCGTTTCCTGGGCATAACCAGCATACTTCGCCAAAGCTCTTACGTCACTTTTAAAATCTTTTGGATATTTTCTCAATATATTTCGAAACACTGATATTATTTCCTGAATAACGTAATCTACTCCGAATTCAAGTAAATGCAAAAGGATATCGACACATTTACCTGCAGAATTTTCACCTAGTTTAACTGCCAGATTACCTATAGCTCTAACTGCCTTTCTAGACATTTGTATATCGATATCGGTAGCGTGTTCTTCCAACTCATCCAATATTTGGGTCAATGTTTCCTCATTCGATAAAAGGTAAAGACACTCAAGTTTTGTGTCTTTAATATATATAGGGTCATTGTATTCGATAAAAAAATATGGTACATTCAATTTCAATAGTGATTGTTCTCTACTCAATAATAACAGGATTACGTTTCTCAAAACTAGAAACTGTAGTTCTGCCGGTTTTTCCAAAAGTGCTATCACAGAATTAGATAATCTTTTAATAATAGTTTGGTTGACTTCTTCAATATAATTTAATAAATAAAGCACAATTTTTAGAGCACTCAATGAAACTGCCGAATTAACATGCTGGAGTTGTGGTAATACCATATCAATCATATCATATGCATCATCATGAGTCTGCGGCACCACTGTTATTGGTAAAATTTCTAGTAATGTGGCTGTATCCCACTCATTCAGAGTTGGAAGTAATTCTAATATGTTAAAAGCAATATCCACCGATATATGAACTGGCTGAGTTTTCCCATCTACCTCATGAATCATACAAAGTGCATTCAAAGCAGCTATTTGAATGGTTGGTTTCTCTATTTGATTAGTAACAATATCGTACAATAGATTTAATAATGATGCTACCCTTTCATGATCATAATCATCCAGTTGAACCAAGGAATAAATTGCATTCTTCATCAATTGTTCAGGGACTGATTTTTTACTAGTTAGATGAACAATAAAATCAAATGCCTCCTCCGTAAATTTACTGAATGGTATAGATACTAATGTTTCTAATGCCATAATTTGAACTTTTTCATTTCTACTGCGCAGATCATTCATTATAAATGGCAAGGATTCTACAGTGCTTCTTGGTTTAATTGACCCAATCGTTCTAATATACTCGTGGCAAATTCGTTTGACCTCCATATCATCTTCTATCTTCCAAAATTTTAAAATCTCAGGTAAAAGAAGTAACATTTCAGAATAATTACCTAAAGTTAGATTGGCAATTATCTTTCTTAACGCGTTTTTCTTTTTGGTGACACCAGATTTCATCTTTTTTACATCAACCATCTGTAATTCAGATCTAATTTCATTTGCTTTGTACCTTGTAAATATCCTTTGGTCTGACATTGTGACTGATCTCTTTATTTATTATTGACAAATTGGAGCTGTAACGTTCTAATATTCTAGTTATTCGAAATAATGCTGGGGCTACGATAAAAATAGAAGTGTGAAATACCTAAATAAGTCTTAATATTTAGTAAAGACCAAACACCTAGGATTGAATGTTGGTGAAAATGAAAAATAATTCTTCTAATTCGTTGTTATCCTAAGTGGATCCTTAATACAAGCCGATCAGTCTTAGGTCTTTAAACTTGATTTATTTCGTGCTCTTCAAATAAAAAAAAATAAATAAGAAGAGTCTCTCCTACAAGGCCCGCGTTGTCTCTTCTTCCCTTTGAAAGGAAAAAAAAAAATTCAAGCTATACAATTAAGAATTTCAGTATATCAGTTCTCTTGTTTGATGGATTACACTTCTAATGATCGCAGACTGCAAGTAGTTGGAGTTCGAGTCCAGATTATGATTATAATAAACAAAAAAAAAATAACATTATTTGTTTTAAGTGGTTATTAGTACATTACAGTAATGATTAGAAAAATCACAGATTAGTTTTACACCCTCTCCGCGTGCTTCTAATTGATCTGACATTCCTCAATATCTCAAACATGGTGATTTGTCAATACGACAGTATCATAAATAAAAATCCTTTATTTGAGTAGAATGTATCTCCATAACAGGACCTCACAATATAATTATATCGAGGTTATGAAGAAGCCAAGGACTTCATGATCAAGGCATTGCTCTGTTCTTATACCTTATTCTAGGAACACAAATTAAACCCGATGCATCACCAGTATCAAAATTCAGAAAATGCATGCACAATAACGATTAATTATAGCCAAAAATTAGAGGAAAATTTCTTCTAGAAGGCTAAGAATAATATCTGATGCTGCAACATTCGATTATTATGTGCGATGTCTTTATTTATGTCTTTTCTTTTTGTCTCATATAAGGGTTTTAAAGACAAACAAGACGTTATTTTCCATTTCATACTGCGACAGAATATAAATATATTGAGGTATCATATACATATATTCAAATTCAATTGCAATTGGAAGATTTCAAACAATAGGTTCCCTTACTCTACATGGTTATTTACAAAATTACATTAATGGTTCAGAAATTTCTTTTTTCTCTTCATTTTACAGTGCGGCAATAGAAAAATATCATTAGTAGCCCCATTAGGAAAGTCATCAGTGACATATAACTCTAGATACCCCAAATAGAGATCTTTCAAAGAACTTTATTGTTTCCTTCTCTAGAGTAAATAATATATTTTATATTGAGGTTATGGCTATATTATTTCATCCTAAAACATTATCAAATAGAGCTAATTATTTTGCAATGATTTAGTTAGGTGAGTCGGTTCATTCTTTGTGGAGCTGCTCTGGGTATTAGAAAAGTTCTGTAGATCTTAATACGTCGTTATTATTTCTCTTGTTTCTTTTGTTCCTTGTCTGGAATTTTTAGTAACCTCACTAAGCATCATTTCCTTTTTTGTTTCAATTTTTAAGATTGCTTTCTCAACTGGATAGAAACATTTTAGTTTCTCTCATACAAATATAAATACCAGATGTGAATTGATATTTTATGCTAAATTTAAAAGTATTCTATTCTTTCTTTATTACTTGGGAGGATATTTGTTATTATCTACTACTGAACATCCCAAAGAAAAACCACATTAAGTTTGATTATGATTAGTTCTATTAAGTTCATTACCACATTGCTGGTATTTTTATTCATTGCAAATTGTACTGAAATTTCCGATGTAAATTTGTACGATCTATCTATCACTCCTACATCCTCCAGATTACCTCATTTAGGATGGACTGCATCATTCACTTTCTTTTTCCCTGATACCACTTCTATATCTATCGGCGATACCTTCACATTAGATCTAGATCACGTTTATCGTGTCAAATTTGGCGGTACTACTGAAGCAAGTAACGTAACTGCCGCACTAGATGATGGAACTGATGCTCTTCAATGTTATGTTACTCAACAAGCTGCTTATCTTTATGAATCAACGATAATGGAATGCAGAATTATTACTGATTTAACCTCATACAGCTATGCTTCTGGTGAAATATCTTTTGCTTTCAATTTCAATAGCGGTGGTTCTGCATATCAGTACGAACTGACAAACTCTAAATTCTTATCTGCTGGTGCAATGAATGTCCCATTCGGGTCTGACATGTCTACAGATGTTCAATTTGACGCTACTCCAAAACCCGAAAAGTTTTATTATATTGGACGTTCAACTACTTATGGGACTATTGAAGTATACTATTTAGATATGATCTGCCCTGATGGTAACCTATTGGGTGGTACCGAAACTTTTGTCTTTGATGTGGCTGATGGTACAAACCCAATTGATTGCTCTTCAGTTCAAGCATACCTATCAAATGAGTTTAATGATTGGTGGTTACCAACATCATATGAAAGTACAGTCCCTGATGTTATATGTTACGATAATACTGTTGATATTACAGTAGATAAAACTGATAATTCTGGTGACATGTTATTTGTGAATGCCCTCCAGGATTTATATGATGGTTCCAATATCTTAAGCCATACTGTTACTGGTACATACAGTTGCTTTAACACATTATCTAATACGACGTACACTTCTACCATTAATACAATCGCTGTCATTACTGCTACTGCTGGTTCTGTGTCTATGGATATTTCTGCATATACTACTCCATCCATTCTAACATCCACGACAACAACAGATTGGACTGGCACATACATAACCACGTATACAACTGAAGTTACAAATACTGTTGGTACTGATTCAGTTACCACTCCTGAAATTATTTACCACGTCGAGACTCCAAGTAGCGTAACTCCAGAGGTTACTGTCACCTCTACCACTACCACTGGCTGGACTGGTACATTCACTACCACTTGCTCTACTGAAATCACTGAAACTGTTGGTACCGATTCAGTTACCACTCCTGAAATTATTTACCATGTTGAGACTCCGGAAACATCTGCTATTCTGTCTACATCAGTCGAAACGAATTCTACCAAAATTACAGGTTCCACAGCAACAACTACTGAAGTCAAAACCTCTGGGACTGCTTTTTTCAAAACGGTAACCACAACTTCGATTACTTATTGGACTAAATCTTATGCAACTACATTTTCTACTGAAACACAATACACTATTGGTAGCGATTCTCTGACTACTCCAAATATTATCTATCATATTAAAACTCCAGAAATTAGTATAACATCTACCCCAAGTATTTCGATATCAACTTCTTCCCTGAGTAGTGCAACTTCTAAGATTATATCCACTGATAAATCCCAAAGTCAAACCTCCAGTTCTTTGATTATTCCTAAACTTTCGACAAGCATTTCCACTGTTGCTATAACTAAGAGCGGCAGTACCACTATAATCCAATACCCCAGTAGCACATCTTCAGTTGCTACTGCCCACCAATCCATAGCTATATTTTCGGACTCTAGTGATAGATCTGTTTCCACATCTCTCCAATTCATAATACTTGCTTTCAGTACATTTTTCTTAATATAATTGAGAAACTTTTGTGTAACATGGAGTAAATATGCTATATTGATATTCCTTTCAACACCTTATATATTATTATTTTGTTCTTTAAATTCATTATTGTATAATAATATAATTATAATAGTAATAATATTTTACTTTCTCTTAGTTGATAACAAAGTTCAATTTTATAGATGTTGAGCAAGTTATAATATGCTGGAATATCGTTATAATACTTATTTTAAAAAAATTGAGAATATTTATTTACGTTGAATCTAGGTAAAAAAATAATATTACAGTGAAATGCTAAATGATTTATTGTATTGTCCTTGGTCGAAAGTTATGAGGTAATTCGAAAACTTCATCTATTTTTGATCCTTCAAATTAACCTTGAAGGTAAATGTGGAATATCCATTTATTATCGGTGGCTTAAGTTGGAATTTATTCAGTTTAATCTTTGAATCTGCAATAAATTTCCCTGTCAAATTTGGATTTCCATCCTTATCTGAACCAGTGCTCTCAAATTCGTGTAAAGCTACCTTAGATTTTACCAGCTTATGAGCATGACCAGAAGATAGTTTGCATTTCTCATCCTTATAAACCCTAGCAATATCAGAATCACCCTTTTCAGCTCGTGTGTTGACAAGAGCAGATCGCATAGAAGGTAATTCTTCAACAGATACTGTACTTATTCCCTCACTGATGAATATTCGGTGCTGAGTCTTATCACTAAGTTTGCCCACATTATTAACAAAAGATACCTTTTTAACTTTATTTTTATTCGATGGGTTTTGATTTATTTCGCTATCGGAAAACTTAAAGATATTCTTATTCTTATTGCTATTCTTATTGACATCTGTATGTTGGCGTATCAGGGGTTGGTGTTTAATTCTATTCGATTTCAAATTAGGATTATAACGTGGATCAAGCTTGATGACCAATGAATTATCATTTTCACTTATTATATTACTATATTCGGGAGTCACCTTCTTATGTAAGCCATTCTTTACCAAAACTTGTTTCTGATTATCCATCTTTTCTTTTGGTTGTTTATTTCCAGATAAAATTTCAACAACATCCTTCCGTATAACTCCTCCAGAAAAATCCTGCGCAAATTTGTGAAATACTATTGGTACACCTCCAGTACTACTGAATGTTATTTGATTTCTCTCATGATTTTCTTCCCCTTGTATCTTTTTGAAATGATGAAATGTGTTGGATCTAACCTTATCTTTACCAGATTTACTGGGGTCAACCATCACTAGTTTCATCATCATTCTTTGGAGATATCTCAAATGATACTTAACTACAACTACTACTACGCTTTAAACGAAATGTAAACTTACCCTTATTATGTTCTACCCAATGCAACGTAGCCTCTCTGTCTGGTAACCATTTCTGTTACACTTATAATTGTTTTTTTCATCCTTGCTCTAAAATTTTATCTATATTTACTTTTTCTTCACGCTTCTTATTGTTTTTACATCTGCATAGTTTCAGCCGCCTTCAAGTCTGCGAAAGGGAAAAACGAGTTATACATAGATAGACAGAGATAGGGAGAGAGATACCATTCATATGCACATAATCTACACGTCCAATTAAATGAAATATTTATATGGTTCTCGCGATAGTGATAGTTTATGTCACTTCCTTTTTCTCAATATGTAATTTTAAGTTAATTTATTGGTTAAGTACTAATATAGCTATATATTTCTGACTTTATGCGAAGACGGGGGCGGGGGTAGGCACCCGGATACTAATGATCATATATGGAATGGATTATAATCTAAAGTTCGTAACATTGTTACTGTTGCCACTTGATGCAGCCTTACCCTTAATATCCCTCTTCTCACCAGCCTTATTGATAACTGTAATATTCTTAGCACGCGATAATGTCTCGATGACATCGTCCTTCTTACTCTTCTTCTTCGATGGATGATTAGCCATATTCTTAGCTCTCTTTCTCTTAACTGATCTACGTAATCTGTTCTTATCCTCTCTTGTTAACTCTTCTCTAGACATCACTGTACCGTTCTTCAATCTAATTTCGTTGTCATTATCAGCCTTACCAGATTTGTACACTTCTTGTGGAGCTAAAGTAGATGCAGATGACATAGATAATGGTTGAGCATCCTCCATAGTTATTGCAGCAGACTCCACTCTTACCTCTAATGATTTCTTTGCAGGTCTTGGGATGAAGTGAGCAGACGATAGTGCATCCAGTTTATACGTTATATTATTGAATAATTCTGTTATTTCATCATGACTCTTTTGTAATTGTTCACTTATATCATTCTCTTCCGATACACCTTGAGCATCATCTGCATATATCTCAGCTAAAGATTTAGATGATTTCACATCACTAATCTCAACTTTTTGCCTTTGCCCTCTTTGTGCAAAATCATTTATTGTCTTTCTTTGTAAGTCATCAAAATTAAATTCTTTAATCCTTTTTCTGATCATATCTTCTAATGATTCTGTAACCTCTGTAGTGATAACAGGTACAGGTTTGGCAGTTCTCTCAAATTCCAGATCTTCTGTTAATAGAGCATCAGCTGGTCTTTGCTTTGCTCTAACTTCACCCTTAAGAGCCCATTTCTTTTCAGCAACAGCTTCAGCTTCCAATTGGGCAATCTGTTTTTGAATTTCTAATTGTTGTTTTTGATATGTAGATAGTTTCTCTATTTTTGTTTCAGTGCCATTATCAGAATCTTCTTCTTCTTCTTCTGCATCATCAGCGTCCTCGAATAAATCAAGTTTCATGGAGTTCATTGCTGATATGCCGTTGTCCTCACTGCCATCATTCCTATTGGATTCACTTCTTTCCATACCATCAGTTTGAGACACTGTTGCGGATTTATTTGTTTTTGGTTTATCGAAGAAATCTTCATAATAATCAGCTTCTTCATCTTCATCAGATGGTAAATCAGCAAAATAATCTACTTCTTCACCATCATCATTATTCTGATCTTCATCGTCATCCAGATTATTCTCTTGTGCTAGAGTTTGACGGTTGAAGTCTTCAATATTGAAAAATTGATCATTTAGACCATCAGCGTCTGTCTCGTAACGTTGTTGTGGTTCATCCTCTTCCTCTTCCGGTGATTCTTGCCCTTTAACAACGTTATCTTCCAGACCTGAATCCACATAATCATCCTTGCCTTCAATAATTTCATCATCATCATCATCATCGTCATCGTCATCTTCTTTCTCTTCTTGTTCTTGTTCTTGTTCTTGTCCATCCAAAGAACGTACAGACTCATCTGCTATTTCATTATCTTCATTTGCAATTTCTTCATCTTCATTTTGTTCTTCATCCACTGACTCTTCCTCATCATGTGCATCCATTGCATCTCTAAGGGCTTGAATCCTTTCCATTAGATCACCTTCAACATTGTCAATAACCATCTTAGTCTGGAACCAAACTTGGTTGGCATCTAATCCTTCTACTGTCAATTCATCGATTGCAATATTACTATTCCCAGAATTCTCTTTATAACCAGCGATCAATGAGTCCAAATATGTCTTTGTTAATATCAGAGGTTGGGAAGCATCTTCCCCAATGGCATCCACTGGAGTTTCCCTCAACACATCAATAAAATTAGTTGCCATTTTTTATTCTATAACTTCTAAGCAACGAAACAATACTATCGTTGAATATGTTTATAAACTATAAACTATACACAGAAACTTATTCTTCCAATGTCAATATACTAAAAAACGAATATACCTTTTCTTTTCAGTTTAGTATTGTAGCATAGATAGATGTGTATTGATATAAGCTCATCGCAAAATGAATTTTCATTGAAAGAAAATTGCAACTGAAAATTTTTCTTCTTCTTTAATTTCATCGCCCGAGACAGAGAGAAAGAGAAAGAGAGAAAGGCAGAGAGTGAGTTGATGAGTCCAAAGAAATGAGTACCGTCACATCTGTCTTCGCCAGTCTAGTTTTATATAATAACAAATAAGTTAATTTGAGGATGTTACAGTAGAACCAAGTTTTATATTTATGTTAGACATAAATGTTCTTAATTATTTCGTAATTGTTTCTTTTTAACATTTCAATTAAGTGATCGATACGCATCCTGACGCCATTGTATGTTCCATCCTAGTATCCTTCGTCTGTGGAACACCTGTAACTTTTTTACTTAAACCCTCATTAATGAATGACTGTGAGATTAGCTGGGAAAGGTAATGCAAATATTCTGATTGATTATGAAGATCCAGTTTGGCTATATAGATGTTGTATAAAATATCCAGACTCTATTCAGAAGTGTAATGAATATACATACAATAATATTCAATTCATAAATACTCGCATGATACCTCTATTAAAAGATTTAGTGTGTCCTATGACGTTGGTCAATGTCCCTGCAAAAGAAATTTATAACATTTATAAAGATTATGTGGATGTTAATTGTGCAGATTCTGATATAATTGCTTGTTTGAGAATACCAAATTTAAGACCTTCAAAGAAATATTCAATTAGAGTGCAATCGGATCATCTAACTAAAATATATACAACAAAAGACAATCACTCAGTACTGTTGGAGATTAAACCTAAATGGTTACATAACCCGACACCTTATTGCAGAAACTGTACTGATAATTCAAGGAAAAATAGAAATATCAAATATTGTTATTCGGAATTACTTCAGGATATTAATCAAATGAGATTAATTATCGAAACTGAAAGAAAATTGAAAATTCCTCAGCAATTTATTGAAATAATCACAAAATATTTCATTGATAAGGAAAATGTCTTACAAAAACTTCATGATATTCAAAAATCACTACATTGCGATGATGGATTCAAGACTCCATCTCAGGATAATAAAGACATAAATGATATACAAACCTTGATGACATTAAGAGACGTATCATGTTTTATTGAGTGGGATCAAACTATGTTATCAATTACTGATCTAAAAGTAAATGTCGTAGACGTCGACTTAAAGAGTATAGATAAAATGACATATTGGAAAAATACCCAATCAATACTAGACAAATACCAATTAAAGGTTGTCCATTAATCCACCGTATTATTTAGACGTACGTACATATATACATATAGATCAGCTCCATTAATGCTTAAGTACACATCTCTTTATATATATGTATATATAGATATAATAGGCCATTCGTAATATGACAAATTTTTTCGCTTGTTCGTACAATTCTTCTTTATATGTTCGTTGTTCCTCACACAACCAGTAATTGTAACAGCAAATGAACACACAATTCTACAGATAAAATGGTGGTAAAGAAGCTAAGAAATACCAAAAGACCGAATCTATACTAAAGACAGCAACCAAAAACAAAGGGTAATGCAGTGCTAACTATATCTATATGAAAAAACACCTGAATAAGAGACGTCTATCAACTCATGAACCTGAACCTGAAGACACTAACAAAAGAGGACATCTGGAGGATAATCAGACTCTATTTATAAATTCCAATTTAGAAGATGATGAAATAATAGAGTATTTAAGGGAACCTAATTCTGATTACTCATCTGAAGATAATTATTCCGAAGAGGACAGCGTGAGCGAAGCTGAGGAGTTAAGTGATGATGATTGGGAAGACATAGCATTGGACAATATTATACCCATCAATATACCTCTCCAGAAATATAACATTTCAACTGAAAGGCAAAAGAGAGAAAGATTGGCCAAGAAAATATCAGATGGTAAAAAGAGAATCAATTATATAAGAAAATTAAAATTCTCTCTCCACCTGATCATGATACCTTTCATGATAAATGTACTCCGAGATAGAATGAAATGGTGTTATGATGAGAGGTTAAGTAAAAGATTAAAACGGTCTGTTCCTAAAGCTCTTTCAAAGAAATTTAAAAAATGGGGTGAACTACCAAACAAAGAGAAAGATAACAATATCAGAACACTTTTGTTGGGCTTGGTGATGTGGTTTCGAGATCATTATAAGATTAACTCTAATGGATTCCGTCAAAATAATTCAAGAATAAATGCATTATTAGAGGAAATTAATGAGAAAGATACATTTAAACCGTCCAACGACATCGAGCATATATTAGATAATCAGGAAAAATATTATGGCTCAAGATTATCATTAACATCCAAAAACTTTAAAGAAAACGTTCCGTATTATGGAATCATTAGTCATATTAGATTAATGGCTAAACGAAAGATGGCCGGCAGAGACATACTAACGTTATTCTTTTTCATTATATTACAAAATATAATTCCCGATAATAAAAAGTTATTTTTATGTTTTGCATTACCTCTCATAGATTTTGAAGCAGCTGAAAGTACAACTAATAATAAGAATAATGACTTAGATATTGTACCAAATCGGTTTGATTCTGATCTCTTACAACCTTATTTTTGGATTGAATTGTGTTTTGATGATACTGATATGTTTGTTATAGATCCTGTAGTTCACTTAAATAAGGGAGAGATCGTAGCAAAATATAAAGTGAATGACCCGATCTCAATATTCCAACCTAATGATAAATACGGTCTTAATATCAAACAAAATTTCCATTATGTCTTACGGATGGGTTATGGATCAAACCGGTTAGATGACGTCTCTCCTCGATATATTAAAAATTTGTATTATCGATATATGAAACTACCACATGACTCGATTATCAAAAAATCAAGAAATTATATCTCCTATAAACATTTTGAAAGATGGTTAGATAAATACAATCTTTTAACTGGTGAAGAATCTAAGAATGATGAAGAATGTCTGGTAATTCATAAGAAAATGACTCGAAAAAATATCAGTGTGCCTAAGTCGCTCAAGGAATTAAAAAAATCGGACAACTTTATTATTAAGGATATGTTACAGATGAGACAAACATTGATATCTAATAATGAACCTCTCAATTTATCTATGACGATTGGTCATCGTTCTGTTACCAAAAAAGAATTATTTTGGAAAAATGAACTTGTAAACTTAAAAAGTAGACAGCATTGGCTGATATTAGGAAGAGCAATAAAGCCCAACGAGATGCCACTCAAATTGAAGAAACAAAGGAAAAAATCTTTAAAGGTTTTGTACACTAGTACAAATGAGATCAAGGCATTATTTTCTTGGGAACAGACGATACCCTCGTTAAAATTAAAATGTTTTTATATTGACAGCTTTAATACCAAAAGAAGAATTAGGGACGTGGATTTCTACAGGAATAAATATAAAAATGTCGAAATATATATGGATTATAACAAACCAGATGGATTCGAATTTGTAAACTTAAGCAATATATTGGACGTTAAGGCCTTAATCAGAGAATATAATAAGTCTGTCAAAAGAGACTCAGCAAAAACTATAATTAAATATTTGGACGTTGTGAGTGGATTTGATTTTAAGCAAAAGCATGGGTATGCTGTACCTGTTATAAACAAAATTCTTGTAAATGAAACCGATTGTCGAACAGTTACTGGATTGATCAAGAATCGTAGTGAGGTAATTGGTCTTCAATACTGGATGAGCTTTTTGAGTAAATTACAAATCAAAGACAAGCTAGACAAAAGCTATGGAAATGTTTAAATATATAACTTGAGCAATCCCAACTGTTATTTATCATGATTAAGTCTAATGTAGAGGTCTTCAATTTTTCTCTATATAAATGCTGTAATAAAAAAAGGGATATGTATTAGATAATTTACAAATAGGGCTGGTTATGAGACGTCCTTACATAAACCCTATTGGGCGGCATCTTCAAGATCACTGAACAGGTCACTGTCGATATCTTCAGGAACGTCACTATAGTTATGTTCAGAATCGTTATCACTTTCACCAGAATCATCTGACTCAGAGTTGTCATCTCCTTCCATTTTCTCATCGCCTTCTGCATCCTTTTCTAATGCCTTTCTAGCAGCTCTTCTCTCTAGTTTTCTTTCTTTCTTAGCATCCTTGACAGCCTTCTTTCTTGCAATATTAGCTTCTTGTTCCTTCCTTCTTTCTTCCTTTAGTCTCAGTTTAGCTAAATGTCTCTTTTCCAACTTTTTAATTTCAGTGTCTGTCTTATGGACATACTCGTGATATAGAACTTTACCTGAACATATACCTTCTTCTAATTTAACCAATTTTAAAGTTAACCTTGGTCCAACTTCTGTTAATCTAATAGCTTTCTTCTTTGGATTACCAAGATTTTCATCGAGATTAATATTACCATCTGTTCCGTTTGTGGATTCACCTTCTTCATTTTCTATCTTAGCTTGTTCTTCATTGTTAGAAGGTAAACCAGTGGCGATATCCAATTCCTTTTGACGTTTTTGTTCTTCTTTTAGTTTCTCTTTATCAATTTTTTGTTTTATTGATATTTTGCTGTCCGAGTTACCTTTAGTTGTCTCCATAACATTTATAATGTTATCTGGATCTTGTTCATCTATTTCTGATTCAGAGGTATAAGGATCAATATCATGGTCTAATATCAATGATGAAATGTCTTGTTTCCCTGTTAAAACAGGTAATTTCTTATTTGGATTACTTTTGGCTTTGAACAAAGATTTCAAACTCTTGGAGATTTCGACATCTTTAATCTCTATGAAGTAATGACGTAGAGATATTTCGCCAGTCTTTGCATCTTTATTAATCATAAAAACTCTCTTGATTGAATTCAACTGTGTTTGACTTGGGTTTAATGGTGGGAAAATATTTTGAAACATAGACACGACGATTTTTTCTACTCTTTTCTTTTCATCTTTTTCATCTTCATCATCCCCTTGTGTAAATTTATTATTGAATCCATTCATGACTAACAAAGGAGGTGATAAGACATCTTCACTATTCAATGATTTAGGTTTCTTCAAATATTTCTTAATATCCTTTGATAATGAATAATCTTGTACTTGGAAAGTAATAGTAGGACCATTTGGAGTCCTTGCAACTTTTAATGATACGTTACCTGTCTTTTCTGATTGTGTAAATATAAACAAATGAGAGACATCCAATGGACCACACATTACAACGAAATCCTTCAATTTGTTGGACTTACGTTCTTTTAAACGGATAGCAGTATGAGGTTGCATGATTTGACGGAAATCCTTTACTAGTTGATTCAATGCATGATTAGCAAGAGATGTTTGACCAACTCTGATTACCATAGACTTTGGAATACCTTTCAAATCATCAGCTGTAGGTTGAACGTGAGTTCTCTTCTTAGTTCTTCTTCTAGCCATCGCAATAATTTGTTATATGTTTATAATCTTATAATTTGAAAAAAATAAGAAGATAAAAGAATCAGATTATATAATATACCTTCTATTATAATAGTTTCAATCTTTTTGTCTCTGTTCGTTCTCTATATTTGTCTACTAGATGATGATACTTGATGTCAATAACTAAGCTAATCTTGCTTATTACGATGGCCCATCGCTATTGCTCATCGCTTGCTTTTCTTTCATTGAGAAACCCAGAACGGAATTACAAAAATTTTTCACATCTGACCGTCACAAATGATGTTTTATCAGAACGAAATTTTTCGCTGCTTCAAATTATGCGCCACATAATGAAAAATAGAAAGAGAGTACTATGATTTCAGTTAGTAAAGCCAGAGACATATGTACAATACGTATATATTCCAAGGAATGACAAATTGAGATTGTTATCTTTATATATTATTATATCGACTGATTGTGTGGTTAATATTTATGCGAATATGAGGAAACGTTACAGATATCGTTGTGGGGAAAAGAAGGTGTCAGGTGAATGTTTATAATTCTGAATTGCGACATCATCAGGGTGACAGCGTGTATATATACGTTATATAAATATTATTAACATGTTGGTCTCTTGAAATTAGTTTATCATTATACCGTAGTTGATTTTATTGCTAGTTGTTTACTGTAGCACGACTTTTTATTTTGTTTTACGGTATCCCCTTCTCTCATTGGTGAAGACATCCCTTTTTGTCATGGAAAAATGAACGCAAAATATGTGTTTGTAAGTGACAAGAACAGCGTAAATAGAAATATGTAAAGCAAGCGATATATATACATTATTCTACCTCCGCAACTATCTCATTCCGCATTATAAAATTATTTTTTAACACTCTATATTATTCAATATATACTTGTATCCCAATCATTATTCGTAGTTATTGTATAAGAGGTCACACACCTTTATTGACTGTAATTCAATTATTTAATATTTTTTTTTCTTTGAAATTTTGAACTTTTTTGAACTTTTTTTTTTCTGGCGAAGCTGGGATTTTGTTGATTTTGACACCAAACGAAACGAAACAAAACAAACCTCATCAAAAGAATATTAAACAAGAGAAAGTTAAACAGGAAATAATACAGACATACTCTACTCAAATCTGGTGATAAATATCTATTAGGTTGAACTACTTATAGAGACGCTTTTTATTTTTTTATTTACTTCTATTGAATTTAGTTATTTTCGTTGGTTCGGGTCTAAAATTGTGATTTAATATTTATTTTTATTCTTTTTTTGTCATTTATAATTTATCAACTTTTTTTTCTCTGAATAAATCCAAATATATTGAAACATAATCAAAGAAATTAGGAGATTTTTTTCACTTATATTTCTATTACATCTGTTAGAATTTAATTTTCATTTTACGAAGAGAAAAGAGGACAGTCAAAAATAGCATTATTACTATAATTTGAACCATATAATTCCAAATTTATTAATTTTCTTTTATTATTTCAATTATTGACATTCTTTTAAATATTATTTTGAAAATATCAATCACTCTTAATAGAAACTGTGAATAATGAAAGCGACAAATATTGGTGAAATTTCACATATCACCGCTGCTGTGAATGACACTACTACAGAATTGAATGATATAAAACAAGAAGTTCGCTCAATACAAGAGCAACATGAAGAAATGCAAGCTTTAATCATCTCTAGAGATACAACAGTAAACGGTTCTGTGAAAGATCTTTTGGACACCTTACGAACCATCTCCTACAATCAAACTGTCCTGGAAAATAAATTGGAAGATGCTTTGAAAAACCAGATGAATACTGATATTTTTGTTAATACCATCAATGAAAAATTACAATCCTTGACTCAAACTGTAACAAAATTACAATCCTCTTCTGTGTCTCCTACTGTGGTATCAACACGTTCATCAGAACCTTTATCCACTACTAGCATATCCCATAGTTCATTAATGACCTCTAGGAGAGGACCAGGAAGACCTAGGAAAGATCTTTCATCAGGTCGTTATACTCGAGACATTAATGGATTTCAAAAAATAGCACCAATACCACAAAATGGCAAAGTTTCACTTCCTTCTGGTGATGTAACAATACCAAAATCAAAAAGATATTTCACTGACCCGATAACAAACACCTCTAATAACATAAGGACGAGAAAAATGTCGAAGACTATAGGTTCACCCCCAACTCGTAGTGCAAGTGCAACTCCTGCAAATAATACTTCTTTTTCTGCTACGGCAGCTGCAGCTGCTAGATTGTCAAAATCTGCTGGAGATGTGACATTCTCTTCACCAACACCCAAAAAAAGAAGAGGAAGACCTCCAAAAAAGAGAACAGTAGATACTGTCATAATAACAACAACAAATGATGAAGAAGAAGAAGAAGAAGAAGAAGAAGAAGAAAACAACATTTTCCAAAAGGAACATTTTGGTGTGGTAAACCCCAACATTAAAGTAAAATTAAATTTAATAGAAAACAATGATCCGAAAACTGTGAAAAATGAAATAATCAATAAATATGATACTACAGAAACTTCGGTCGATGCAACACCGATGATAACCCCTCTTAATACCAGTCGTTATGCTACAAGAAGCCACACTGCAAAATTTCAGGATCCCAGTTCCGTGGTTTCAGATGGCAACTCAAGTGCTGAAGAAGGTGATAATGGGAATGGTTCAGAAGGAGAAGAGAATAAAGACGTAGATAACGAAGAAGGTCAAAGTGAGAATGTCGATAATGATGGCAATGCATACAAAGAACTTGAAACTGGAACTGCTGGTGGTGTAAATGTAGATTCAAACACAGATGAAGAAAAGGTGGACAAGAAAGAACGAGCCAGTAATGGAAAACAAACAAACTCAGAGCTAAATAGGCAACAAAGGGAGTTAGAGAAACTACGTGATCCTCGTGAAAAGATGTTAGTGAGTTTGAAGTACAATGATAGAGACAGAGCTAAATCGTTTATCAAATCAAATCAAAAATTATTACAAGCAATGAGAGATGAAGAAAAGAAAAGGAGGATGAATTCTTTTGCCATAGAAAACAAGAAATCAAATGATCTATTGATGCTAACCCCAAAATTAACTTCAAACAAAATATCATCAGCACCTGCATCAACACGTATGCGCGTATTAACTCTGTCGTCTCACCCTGATAATATACGCGTAGGTGGGTCGCATGTCGGACCTCCTATTAATGAAGCAATTATGCCAGGGTCTGATATAGTGTCTCGTAGGGAAAATTCTTCGAATAACGAACCTCCAGAGGGTTCTCATCCTGGTAAAAATGAAAATGGTACTGATACTTCTGTATCTAAGAAGATAAGCAACCTTGAACCATCAGAACTTGATGAAGAAGGTATTAAAAAGGGTCAAGGGTTACTTACTACACCTGGTGAAGTCAAAGATAGTAATGGTAACGATTATATAATTGGCCCAAGAAAGAGGGGAAGAACCAATTCGTTGACATTCAAGGTTGCTGACGGATCTATACTAGAGCCCGTTGAATACGAAAATAATGACCAAAGTAAATCGGGAAAAAAGAAAAAAACAATGGCTTCCTCTCCTCCACCTTCCGAAGCGTCAACCATTGAATCTAAAGTAACAACACCTTTTCCAGGAACGAATACGAGCATGGCATCAGTCATTCCTTTAGGAAATAGATCTGTAAACGAGTCAAAGGGTGGTAAGGGACCACAAGATGCGACCATAATACATGAGGGCTCTTCTGGTCATCCTGCCGCGACTGACTATCAAACGACTTTATTACTTGGCGCACCAATTGAGTTGGTATGTAGGGATGGTTTCTTTTTCCGCCGTAATTCTCCAAAGGTTCCAATTACAACTGGAGCTTATTTAGAGTTTAGATTTATTGCCAAGGAACAAGAGCTTCTCAAAACAAAAAAGGGAAATATGAAGAAGGATAATGGGAAAGGATTTATAGTTGCTACATTACCAAAACAAGATCGTAGCAATTCACTCTCATTCAAGAATGTGGTATCCACAGAAACAGAAGTGGCATTTAATATCTTAGGAAAGACGACATTGACAGAAAAATATGTTAATTCTTTGGAATATTTTTTGATGGAGTTCAGATGGGAAAATAAATTAATTAGGTTAGGTTTGAAGTTAAGGGAATCAAAGAGAACGTGGCAGCGGAGAAAGGCATTATTTGCATTATTTGAATTCTGGAGAGATCAGTCGAGAGATAAGAGAGGATTTCCAAACTACACTGTGTTACATGCTGTGAAGGAGATGGAAAACTATAGGATATTCATCAATAGATCTGTTTCATGGTTTTATAATCATATTACCCTATTAAAGATGATTCTATACGATCTATGTTACAAGACAGATTCTCAGTGGAGAGAGTGGATGTTCCCCAAGGATTCTAAACTGCCTGTTTTGGGAGATAGTTTAGATGATGGTACAAAGATCACAGAAGAAAATATAAATGAAGTGATTGACAATTTGCTGGTATTTGATTTCCTAGATGATGGTACAATGAATAGGCAAGTCAAGTCATCCCAAGTTATCGTTCCGGAACACACGAAATAGTAAATAGGAATGATTGTGAACATTGTGTTGGGCTGTATAATTCATATGTCTAACCTATATGTAATGAAACCCATACGGTTACAAATATATAACAATACATGACGTTTTTTTTTTGTGTGTGGCTCTATATAGTTCAAGTTTAATCTCTAGAGAAGTGAATTGATATAATCTCGATATACCTTGAGAGTTTGGTGCACACACACCTTTGATATGTGATAACGGATATAGCATGTCATGATGTAAAACTAATTAAGAGACGTTTTGACTCATGAATAATACTGTTTTGTGTAATGAAATTCATATTACGCTTACATTCTTGACCATAACTCTAAATACCACAACTTGAAACGTTGATGTTCTTTGTATGGTTATAACTCAGGCCAAAATATGGCTAATACATTCTCATTCAATGGGGTATATTTCTTAGTAGAATTCGAGGTCAATATACGAAGCCCTGGATTTCTAACTTCAAGTACATCTGTATCTATAAAATGCCGGAGTGTTTAATTGAAAAACATAAACCGGTGGAGTTCTTATCGGTCATAACATATGTAGATCATTTCACTACAAATTGTTTCATGTTTTATCTTATGGTGAAGAATGTTCCATTTTACCCACTAGATATTTGATTGTAAAAGCTGCCATTGTTGGTAGCTCCCTTCCCTATTGTTCTTTTCGCTTGAAACAGTGCCCTGTCTGAGGTAGACATTCGACGGAAAAGAATTTGCATAGCAAGTTTTTTCTGAAAAACTTTCATAATCAACTAGTGATATTCGATAATTGCTTTTTCACTCCCATCTATTTCGGTAATTTTTTTTTCAAAAAATATCAATCACTATTCCTAATGCGGTAACTGGTCTGAACTCCCCGCAGCCTTTTTCGGAAGATCATGCTAACTTTTCTCGAAGAGAGGTATAGGGACCTTATTTAAACTTATTCCCGTGGAGAATTTTATTGTAAAATTTTACATTAATTTTTATTGTGGGATAAGCGTGGGAAACTGAATAGTTTAAAGAGTTTGGTGGGCTAGCCATTCTTGAATAGAATTCAAGAACAAATTATACGTTAATTTCTTAGCACGGTGGGATTTATTGTCCTTCTTTCGATAGCATGGAGTTCTGGGTCTTAGGATATGTTCTACAAGTAACTATCGGCTTGGTGCACCCGACTCTACTATGAAACGGACGAGAGTCTCTATTACTTTCTAAGACGATCATTCAACGTTCCTCTTCTTAGAAAGTTTCGATATCTCGAGAGTTACAACAAGAATACGGACGTATCTGCCTCTTCCTAATGAACTTTGGAAACAAAATAAAGAGAGGCAAGTAGGAATTTTTTTTTTAAAATTTAGGTTACATGGCACCACTACACCTCTTTTAGTGTGAATAATGTTTTAATCACTTCACGTTTATATTGAAAGGCGAATACATTCACATAAATATTTAGAACGACCACAAAAAATGAAAAATAGTGCATTCTCTGTCCAACTTCTCTGCATGTACTGTATTGTTAACCCCATCTAATTTCATACTCTTTGCGTGGTGGAGTAACACACTGACACTCGAGAATTAAGAATAATCGATTGTTCTTGAGTTTAGTGGAGTTTCTCAGAGTTATTTGAAGAGGTAGTCAATGGAAAGTGGCTCGAGTTCGTAGTACAGTAAAACTTTAGCTTATCAGCTATTGCACTTGAAAATGGAAAAATAGAAAAAAGGTGGAAGATGAACAAAGCATTATATTATCTGGTCATATCTTTTTTTGCGTAGCTAACATGATGCATTGGAATCACTTCACAGTAATACAGAGTTTTATTTATCATCTTATTATTTGAAGTGGTCTACTTCATTTAATTGTATTATCCAAAAAAAAATAGATAGCATATGTTGTAGAAAAGTTAAAAATTTCAGGTTAATTTGAGTATATATATATATATATATATGGTAAACTCTTTCTAGACTTCCAGTTTTGATTATTAAAAACAAAGACTATGACCCATACTTGCCTTATTATTACTTTTTATATTTTGATACTTCTTTAGTGCTGATATATAAAACTGTATACAAAAATAATAACAATGAATCAAAATAATACTATGGAGTCTAGAATTCCACATATAAGTTCTATTTGGTTAGACGAAGATGAGGATAGTGAAAAGTTATATAATTTTCAAAGTGAAAAATTTCTTAGAGATGACGAAGAAGATGGAAGTTTAAAGATATATATGATGGATAATAATGAGGTTAACAAAAGCATTCGAACAGTTCCGGTAAGTCCATTAAGTGAAAAAGTTCCAACTTTTCCTTCGAGCCTTACTGGATCCAACAAGAAACGGTTCTCATTGTATCGATATCCGTCTCCAGAAAATGATATACTGACTACAGATACAAGTAATATAACTAGATCGAATAGCTCTAAATCGGTGTCTAGCAATTTGACCTCTCTAAGAGGAAAATTGTTAGGAAAATTGAAAAAAAAATGGAATAATAATGTCGTATCTTCAGAAAAGAAGAAAGAAGTAATTAGCACGCCATTCAATTTTCAACATATATTTCATGCAAACCTTGATGCTGCAATGGGTAGTGACTGTATACCTAAAAAAAATGCCATACTAGATACAGAGAATGATTTGGATGAAATCACAGAAGTCTCGAGCAATATCTATAATGGTTCCAGTATAGGATTTTCAGAAATACCTGAGAGTCCTATAACATTCGGTAAAGCCTACTGTACAGAAGAAATTAAGAGTTTTGAGTTTGATAGAGATTACCGTAGAGTTCGTAACTCCGATACTACAAATATGAGTTTCGAAATGGAGAATTGTTTAAATTTTTCATCTTATGACACAACTGTTTAAGATTTTATCATTAAGTTGCTATTTCAAAATAAGGTCATTAAGATAATTTCTCACTACTGCATATTGGGATGGTCGTTCTTGAAAATCATATCTTTGGATTTTTTTGAGAAAAATTTAGTTGATATTACAATTTTCAGGAATTAGTTATAGGTTGCATCCCCTCCCCTCGGTTAGTTTTTTTTTCGTTGACGATACATTTTAGAAACCGAGTGTTTTCTGTTATACATTATAATACCCATAAGAAAAGATAGATACTATAATATATTTATCTATCTTTCACATATTTATAGAATAAAAGGATAACGTAATATGATACACCAATGTTACAATTCCTAATTCAAAGTTTATTTAAAGAACTTTCCACATAATTGACACTTATATAATTATTTCGTTGAATATTATTATATATAAAAAAAAGATTAGAATTTACCTTGTTAACACATATGTATATGTATATATATATAAACCAAATTCAAAGAGAACATAAAAAGCAAACGAAAACGAAAATATTAATATAACTTTTACTCATGGGATTAAAGAAGTGTGGGATTCAGTTTGTTTAACAGCAGGTACAGCTATGTATGGTCTCTAAGTGTGTATAGAGATTAAAAAAACCAAAGCGTGGTAAAATATCTCATATAGAAATGGACAATTCAAGAGTATTCTACGTCTACTTGATTATTTCACCAATATATTATCAGAAGAGTTTGTGAAACGGTTTCAAGAACGTACCAGCAAATATGCGCTTACCAACACAAAAGAAGAAAAAAGTAATATTTGAAGATAGTGTCAAGAGCGACAGTTTCATTGATTAACTCTCTTGATATCGTTATCGGTTGTTGATAAAAGACAATCTTAGTTTGAATGGACGTGAACACATATGTCTCGTCAACAGCAACCGTTGATTGGATATTTTAGTTTTTTATTATCTGTCTGATATAGGCTTGTATTATGTAAACAAATTACAAGGTAATTTGAATAGACTTTTATTAAATTGGCTATTATGACCAATAGTAAGATACAGAGTGTGATGTACGATTTTCTTTCATCAGTATAATAAATACTACTACAGACAAGGGACTTGAATTGTTAAAGGGACATACAGTTATATACTATTACAATTTATATATAAACCACATAGAATTGAACCTTTTTTTTCATACTGTATTTTAAATTCATATTCATGTGCATTGTTATATCGTTTGTCTCCTTTTTTTTGCCTTTCTCATCAACTTTTTTTTCTTGATGACTTATCTAAGATGTGGAACAACGGCTAACTATCGTTGCTTGGGTGACTATAAGGAGAGAAAAACTCAATTAAAATATATATATTTAGATACTATTCTGGAGTGGTCTACTTGAGTTTAAAATCTTTATTCCTACAAAAAGAAAAATTTTGAACTGACTCTTAATTGTACTCACATATCAGATATTAATATTCCAATTATAGTTCAAAGAGATATGACTGAAGTGAAGAAAAATATTATCGTAAGATACGTACAAGAAAAGGATAGAGATGACTGGGTAAGATTATGGAAGAAATTTATTGCCACCTATGAGGATCCAAAACTCCCTGATGGGATTGAAAAGGCCAATTTTGATAGATTTATTGATCCGGAAGTGAAAATGTGGTCTGCACTTGCATTTCTACGGGATGAAATTACTGGTATCGAAAAAGCCATTGGTTTCACTGATTTCTTCACACATCCATCTACGTGGCAGATTCAAGATAAAACATATTTAAATGATTTATTTGTCGATGATGAATTCAGAGTTGGAGGTGTCGGTAGAAAACTGATAGAATTTGTCTACAGTGAAGCAGATAAGATGGGCACACCAGCAGTTTATTGGAATACTGATCATTTCAACCATCGTGCACAATTGTTGTACACTAAAGTTGCCTCTTTAACTCATAAGAGGATCTATAAAAGAGACGGTTATTGAAAATATATGAGAAAAAATAATCAATTGTATTTCAAGTACCAATATTTTCGCCTTTTTTATTCGTTATGATTCTATATAGTTGGTTCGTAATATACATTATGAAGTAGACATAAACTAATAACCAATTCTTGGGGTGCTATTATATTTTTGCATTTTTGTATTTTTGTTTTCTGTTGTTTTTCATCTAGAATTTTTAAGGAATATTGGAGTAATACTGAGTACTATTGGAAACTGTAGTAAAGAATTGTATGTAAGTTTTGTTGAGTTAAAGAAAGGTGAAAATAGCACAGCATCCAACAATCTTTCGAGGTCTTTGTTCAGGTAAGATTCAATACCAGAAATTGATAAATAATCGAATTTAAATTATTAAATATCTTGTGCGATGCGTTAGTGATGTAAGGGAAAGGAAAAAAAGTCGAAAACAAATAAAACAAACAAAAAATATTGAAGAAAGTTCAAATGACTACCACTTCTCGTAAGCAAAAAGAGGTTCAAAACTAATCTAAGACTTGGAAAAAAATACAGCTACATAAACCTTTTATTCGACATTTGTAGTTGAATGAATTTATATCTGTGATAATAACAAATAAGAATGAACATATAATGAGTCTTTGGGACAAGTGTAATGCAAATAAGGATTATGTATATCGAATCATAGCTCTAATGTTTTTAATCATTACATGGACATTATTATCATCTGGAGAATTAGATGGAAGTATACCACATAGTAAAATATTTTTCAAATCATTGAACTTAGATAATTATTTCAACGGTTCCAATGATGATTCATTACGATATACAAATGAACAAGACATGATTAAGAATGAAGATCCAAAATATATGGAACTTGGTAGAGTTACATGGAAGACATTCCATGTAACAATGGAAATGTTTCCTGATGTTAATATGAATGATAATGATGATTTAAAGAAAAGAGATAAATTAGTTGATTGGATTAATCTTTTGGGAGAAACGTATCCATGTTCAAAAGATCAGCAAAATACACCAAATAATTTGTTTTTGCAAAGTATTAAAAACTATCCATTACCAATAAATCTTAATAAAATTATTAATATTGAATGGGGTTGTCATATTCATAATTTAGTGAATGAAAGACTTGGAAAAATTAAATACGATTGTTCAATATTAATACAAGATCTTAAACAGACTGAGCAAGATTTTAATCAAAATATAGAATATAATGATCTTGATAAAGTTACATTAAATAGAGAAGAAAAACAATTAGGATAAAACTATGTAGGGTCATTTATTTTATTGTTAAAATAGAAAAGAAAGAATTCAAATTTTTAATATTTTAAATTGTTTTTATTTTATTTTTTAATTAAAAAAGTTTATAAAAATATATATATAATAATAACAAAAGTCAAATTATATAACTAAATTTTTTTATTATTAAAAAAAGGTATTTAAAAAATGTTACTTTATGTTGTTGTTGTTATGATATGAGAATAAAAATGCGTTCTTGAGAATATTAATGAATATAAAAATATGACAATCGTTGTGAAAACTTTATTGAGATGATGTCATAAATGCCTTGAGTATTTTTGTTTTGCTGAAAAAAGCAAAAAATTTGTTATAATAATGCCAAACCATTGATTAACTTAACTAATAATTTAGTATATGTAAATCAATCCAATTAAATTAAATTATAACAAACTCAAAGAACCTTTTCTAGAACGGTTAGAGTTAGAGTTAACAGCGTTACCGTCAACAATAGCAGAATCTCTTAGGTTACCATTAGATAATATTCTGTCAATTTCATCGATGTCTTTAACACTAGCATCGGAGTTCTTTCTTGAACTTGGTTGAGAAACTGGAGAAAGAGATGGAATGACGAATGGTTGAGAAACTTCGGAAGTTAGAGTTAGGAAAGCCATTTTAATGTATTTTTTAGATTTGTTTGTGTGAAAGTTGGTTATGTAGCAATAAACTATTGTTTGTTGTTGTTGATGATATATTTATTATAAATTATATAAGTAAAGACATAAGATTGAAAGAAATAACAATTAATGAAATGGAATAACGGAAAGAATTATCAGTCCTTATATATGATTAAAAAAATTCATTTCTACGATATTTCAAAAATATACATATATTCATATCGTCAATTTTTAATATGAGCAAGAGGTGTAAAAAAGAATAATTTGTAAGTAAAAAAACTAAATTATGATGATGTCAAAGTTGTATAATTTCTAAAGTAAGTACTAAAAGAGGAGAAAATGATATAGAGCGGGAGATCACGTACATGAATGATCAAAAACGATTTTGTATTACAAATTCCGCCTCTTATCTCTCATCTTTTCCTCCTCATCCATCATCGGTCATGAATATATTTTTCTTTGAAAAAAGCGTGCGATCGTGCGAGACTGTGCGCCTTCTCTCTCTCTCTATTCTTGTGGGAAATAGTTGAAAATTACTAATTCCATTCTTGCGGGAGCGATTGCGCATTTAGGCTGAAGAAAACCAAATAAATTTTAGTATTATATTCTCATTAGCGATAGAGTTAGTCATACAAAGCGAGAAAATTATTATTAATGAATTGATCGGTACTTAAAGTGCGAGGTTATAATTCTCTGATTTTCTCTTTCACGTTCGTGCGGGTGAGTGGAGGAGCAAAAAAGAGAGAAAGATTGAAGTTTTTCAATGCGTTCGGCCGTGCGGAGTTGGTCCTGTTCAACCTTTTAAAAATGCATGACAGCAGCAAGTTACAAAATTTATACAGAATTCCTGGCAGTAATTACTTTTTGCCTTCAAAGAAATTTTTGTCTGACGGTCTGTTTCCTTCTATCAGGTTCTACTAAGAACGCCCTTGTAGGACATGAGCTACATTTTTTGCTTTTACTTTTTAGTATCTTTCATCTTTATCTTTCATGAACTCCATTCGTGCGTGACCAAGATCTTATAACAAACGTTCGCACGAAATGTAACTGACGCACATTAAATACCGTATGTACCCTTTTCCATCTATCCATCTATCCATCAAAAAAAAAGAAAATAGGGGAAAGGAGAAAGGATTTTGCAAATGACGAAATATCTAGGTGATAAATAGTTTTTAGTGCACTAGTTGAAAGAGTACTCGGATTTTACCGACCCTCTTTCTAATTTGTCGAGCGGAAACTACCGAAAAGATTAATTGTGGCGTCGGGTCATTCAGTGAGAAATGATAATCTCTATCATCTATATATTTTAGGTGGATGACGGCAAAAAAGTTTATATCATTAGGAACGAGTGAGTGATGCCCAAAAATTTAGAGATTCTTTCTCATACAATATTATGAAAGGGAGGGATGGGACGGGGGGAGGAACAGCGAAAGAGGAGGGAAGCGGGATACAACCGATCATAATAAAATTAGTGACATATACAAGCCGCGGAAATGAAGAACAAATTAGAAATTAGGCTCTTAATAAATAGGTTAACATATTACAGCCACTCACCCTCCTCTATCTCCTTTTTTTTCTTATTTCCTTCAGCCGGTCGTATTTATGTGCCCTTAGTAATTCTTACCTTATTGAAAAATTATATATGGAGAAGTAGTAACAGCCGCAGATTTAACTTTGTTTAGTTAAGGATACAACAAAACAGAATAAGAAGTGACGTCTTAATTTAGGTTCTTTAAAGGAGTTCCGAATGAAAGGAAGGAGGCGGCTGACAAATGCCATTCAGTTATTTTTCTGTTTTAGCTTATTGACCACGAAGTACCTTCATCACATTTATTTTCTCTTAATTGCTTTACATAATAATAATGTATTATCTGTTTCTCTTACCCCTGATGACATTTTTTCCTTCATTACTATCACTCACTACTCCTGTCTATGTATAAGCCACTCTTCTCAATATAAATGACAATAAGGGTGATACAATATTGTTTTCAGAATAATCAAAGAATAATTTATGTGTAATGGTAGTTAGTACCTACAGATTACGTAACTTTTACTATTTATTTTGAAAAGTAAAGAAATATGTGATAAATCTTGTTTACGGATAATAATAATATATTATATTTTATTCTTATGTTAATGTATCAATTATATGTATGTAATATAGAAATAGAAAATACACTGATTAATATAGATCTAAATTAAGTATATACTGGGAATAATGTGAATCCCTTATTCTTCATTTGTTTCTATTTGGTGTATATCTTCTTATTTTATTTTATTTTACTTCTTTTTTTTTTGTTATGTTTTCTTTTTTTTTTAGTGCCTCATCGTATCATTTGGTTTAGAAAATTAAAAAATGTTAACTTATTTGAATTTGTAACCAATTAAAGATTGAGTAGCCTTTAGAGCTTCATATTTCACTCTTGAATCACTATTATTCAATAATTCCATTATAACAACTTTACCATTCATTTTATTTAAAACATCAATACTTTCTGGTAAATAATCAATAACGTGTGTAATATCATTTAATAAAATTTGAATAATAACTTTATCAGTATTTTTTTCTTTAAATTCAATTAATAAAGAAATTAATTGTTTAAATAATTTCCAATCATCTTTCTTAAATTCATCAATATTATCACTCCAAAATCCATTGTCAATATGAGGTGGAGACCAACAAATTAATTTAGAATTTAATTCAGCAGTATATTCATCAATAGATGTTAATTCATTATATTCTTCATCAAGAATTGCCTTTAAATTAACAATACCTTCTCTTAATTCTTCATCAGAATATTTTCTACCAGTTAAACTATCTAAAGTTGGAATACCATTACCAAGTAAGATTAAATTCTTAATAAATATCTTATGACCTTTAACCGGCTTTGAACAACACTGCAATAAGATAGAAATAGAAACTCTTGTAACTTTCTCCTTTATGGTTACCTTAATCAATTTCAATAAATTTAAAAATTCGTTTAAGTATTTAATAGTAATCTCACTAGCAATTTGGTTGTCAAAAGTTAATAACCAAATTAACATTAAGGAGTAATATTGTAATTGAATACCAAGGTTGTTGGTGTTAGTGTTAACAATAACAACATTATCATTACCATCATGATTACTGTTATGATCATATGGTAAGTTATTCTTATTATTAATGGATCTTCTAATAATTTGAAAAATAGTTGGTAAGATTTTATCCTCTTGTTTCCAAATTAATTGACGATATTCTGGAATGGTACATAATTCTTGTAATTCTCTTATGGTAACATAACAAGTTTCCATTTCATTGACATTTTGTAAGATAGAAATGAATATTTGATTATCTAATAATTGTTTAACCATTCTTTCATTAGCCTTTGAAGAAAATTGAACTAATAGAGAAACAATATTAAAGGATGATATTAGAATAGTTTGTTGGTCATATGACTCAATAAATGAAACATCAAACAAGTTCTTCAATTGATCAGGGTTCTTTTCAAAAAATTCAACAGTGTCATTGGCAATGTGAGTGACATCGCAAGATAAAAGTTCACTAATCAAATTTAAGACAGATTTGATGGAATCAGTGTTGCTAGAGGTAGCAAGTAGATGTAGTAATGGTAAGATAACGTTCTCATTGATCTTCAAGGTCTCTAAGTCATGTTCAGTACCGTTATTTTTCACAATAAGATTTTCTAGCTTTTTAGCAACAGCGGCATCTATTTCACTAATTTCAGAGGCTCTAGCTAAAGCATCCCAAGCAACCGAACGAGAACGGATAGCATTACGGATTTCAGTAAAATGGGTACTGTCCAATAGGATTCTTTTGGCTTCTGTAGTCATTATAATTGAGTTGTATCACTTCTTATCTTAAAAACAAAATTTTGGCAATACTGAAAAAATAATAAAAAAATTAGTCTATTTTCCTGGTTTTATAGCAAAAGTTTGAACGTTGATAAGTTTTTAACAATTAAAAATGGTTTTCAAATGTTATTAACGATGTGTTTTGACTTGATAATGGGTCGATTCACCTTATAAGATTGTCTTCTTAAGTACCATTTCTTATTTGGTTTCAGTATATATTTTAAAATATGGTTAACTAAGCAGCCACTTTTTCAAGTTGCTGCAACCGCTTTGAAAGTATCCGCGTTTTCTGTGCAAAATATACTAGAAAAAAACAATATCTCAGACATTTTTCCTTTGTCGATTTTTGGTGCAACCAAACCCAGAAAAACTTAAAGTGAGGGTAATGGGTGACAGGAAATATTTAGTGAACCTAGAACCTTTGATGGAGCTGAGGTTACTCAATTAGAAAATATATATATATATTTTCAAGATTAAAGATTAAAGATCGTATCACTGTACCTCAACGTTATACTTGAAACTCGACATGTATATGTAGATTACAACTAATAATACAAAGAAATTTGCTTACAGGAACCTCTGAACTGGTTAGACCCATCTAGAGTCTTGTTTCTATAACTTTGAAAAGAATGCAGTGCTTGTAAAAGTGTACATTGTCAAATTTAAGGCATCAAAAAAAGATTAAAAAAAGTCATTACGAACAATTACATACCCATTATTATAGTATTACGCACGCCCATGTATAGCCATATTAGAATGTATAAATTAGTAATATCTTGATGAACATAAGTCGGAGACTTATTAGTACGTCAAAAACAATATTAGTAAAATTGATTAAAAAAATTTATTAATTGTATGATTTATATAATGCAGATATATGTTAATTATTATGTTATGATATAACTTAGTATACATAAAAGGAAAAAAAATAAAATATATAAATATTTTGTAAAAGTGTATCATTTTTTATATTTTATTTTCTTTGGGTAAAAGAGTTCGTTATAGTGGGGGGGTGTTGTTGTTGTTCTTTTAGGGAAACACAACAGGAAGTCATGAATATTTAAGTAAAAAAATAGGAAGAGTTAAATTTATGAGGTAAAAATAATTTTAAAAAATCATTTTAACTCAAGAAGATTCCCTGTCGAATTCTTTACTCATGTCAGCGTTTTCAATAGCACCACAAACAGTTTCACACATAATACCAGTGACTAAGTATGGGTCAATGTTAGAGGCTGGCCTACGATCTTCAAAGTAACCGTATCCTTCCTTAGCGACAGATCTTGGAATTCTGATGGATGCACCTCTGTTGGCAACACCAGCAGAAAAGTTAGTCATGGAAGCAGTTTCATGTCTACCAGTTAATCTTTGTTCGTTATCAGCACCATATAGTCTAATGTGTTCAGCATGTCTCTTTGATAATTTTTCAATGGCAGAATCAATGTATTTCATACCACCTGGGGCTCTCATATTCTTAGTAGAGACATTAGTGTGACAACCAGCACCATTCCAGTCACCTTCCTTTAATGGTTTTGGATGGAACGAGATCTTAACACCGAATTCTTCAGCAACTCTATGTAGGAAATATCTAGCGACCCATAATTGATCACCCATGTCGATACCAGTACATGGACCAACTTGGAATTCCCATTGAGATGGCATAACTTCAGCGTTAATACCAGAAAGTTCAATACCAGCGTAAAGACAAGCTCTGTAATGAGCTTCAATGACGTCTCTAGCGTAAACTTTACCGGCACCGACACCACAGTAGTAAGGACCTTGTGGAGCTGGGTAACCACCCTTTGGCCATCCGTAAACACCATCATACATGTCGAACAAAGTATATTCTTGTTCTAGACCGAACCAGATTTCTTCATCCTTGTGAGCAGCGAAAAGCTTAGCAGCTTCATGTCTGTGGTTAAATTTATTTGGAGTACCATCATTGTTGTAACATTCAGCTAGAACAACAATGTTATCACCTCTTCTGAAAGGATCTGGGTAATAAGCACAAGGTTTCAAATAAATATCGGAATCGCTACCTGGAGCTTGGTTAGTAGAAGAACCATCGAAGTTCCATTCTGGTAGTTGATCTAAAGAAGTGATAGCCTTCTTTAAAGTTCTACCCTTTGAACGTAAATGACCAGTACCATCGATCCAAATATATTCGGCAATTACTCTACCTCTTTGATCTAGATCTAGATATTTTTGTAGAATTTGAGTCTTTTCAATACTAACGTCAGACATTATTAATTAATTATTGTTATTTGTGTGTGGGTTTGTTTAAAAGGAGTAATTATATTTGTTTATAAAAATGAAGGGAAACAAATAAATAATAACGCTGTTAAAGTATTTGAATCTAATGAAGGTTAGATGTATATCTTTTCTTGGTTGATGATGTACTTTAAATTTTTTATAATAAAATATAAACTTTCAAATTAAGGAAACTAATTCTGATTTCTAATGTTTCTTTTCAAAACTATGTCTATATATATATATTTTAAAAAAGAAGATATAACTATTAAATTAACATCTGTTTTTGTCTTCTTTGTAAAATAAAATAAAACAAATTACTTATCTAATTATGATTAATTTATTGTTTAATTAAAGATAATTAATTAATCTAAAAATTGGTGATGATCATGACAATACTCAATATCCTTAGTGATGACTGTATGAAAGAAGACGATAAAAATCTTTTAGTGGTCCGTGTTCTGTATTGTAGTAAATATTGTATCTATCATGCAAAAAGAAAGAAACATAGGTCCCTCGCGTCAAATTCTGTGTAATTTATCAAGAAGAAAGAAGAAAAATGTCCGTGTATCCATATGATAGTTAAGTAATCTAATCTTAAATGTATACAAAAAAGACAAAGAGAGCGAGCGCGAGAGTAAGGAAAAAGGACAAATGGGGCTCCGAGACCAGGACAAATTATCTGCTAAGTAAATAGGTATTAAGAAAACGTTTTTGGTCGATGACCTGCGGTAAGTGCTGTGTGGAAATGTGAACAGATCGGGAAGGATGGCCCTATGACTATTATGTGTGGGGGGAGGGGGCTAAATGAGGACAAAGAAAAGAAAAGAAACGAGAAGACAAATTATAACAACAAGCCATCTCTAATAATAGCCTGGTTTGTGTGTGTCGCTAATTATTGTGCGTATTATTTTTAATTAATTAATTAAATACCGCATAATAAGGGTCATGTCACTTGGTACGTGCAGACCCTGTCCACATACAGATTTGAGTATTTCACAAATAAAATATTGTACAAGATTGTTGTGCGACGGTTTGTTTCCATTGTACGACTTATTATTTTGTTTTTTTCGATGAGGCTCTGTTTTCCATTCAGTTATTAAACATGTGAAAGGGGGTCAAAAGAACTAACTGCTTTCCTTGAATATGCAGTGTCATCTAATACGACGTGCACGTTTGACTCGTTCAAGTACTCTTTATTTTTCTTGGCTGATCGAGCCAGAGTGGCTTCTAAAATGCGAGCGACAACACAAAAAAAGAAATTCGGAGAGCATCACCCATGTTTACATTTGTCCCAGTGAAGGACATGAAAGTAGTGTCCCATGCACTCACTCCACAGATATAATGGAAGGAGAGACAAAAGTCGATTGAAAGGACAATAATAATAAAAATATAAGAAATAAGGGATTAATGATCATAAGATATATCAGCACTTTAATGTGCGTGTTATTATTGTCTTTTGCTGATTGCACGGAATAATAATAATAATAATAATGCCAATAGTAAAGGACTTGAGACATCTCTCTTAGAACGGTTGCCGTTCAATATAATTTGTTTGCCTCTTTGATTAGTCTGGTCATTCATTTTAAGCTATCTTTTTCGCACATACACATACATAATACATATATATATATTTTATGTTTTATTTTCTATTTCCCGGTAGTGTGCATGATATTTCGACAACGCCGTTTGTCATTTAAGTTTTGATCAAACAGATAACGTCACAAATGTTTTTGTTTATGATTTTATTTGACTGATTATTTTTAGTTACCAAGATATAATGCAATGTAATATGTACATTTGATTACTATACATTTCTTCTTCTTCTTCTTCTTCTTCTTCTTCTTCTTAATGTTTTTAAATTTTACGTTTAACGAATGCCCAATGGGTAAATAAGGATTGTATTGGTGATGTCAAATAATACGCCAGAGTTATGTAACTTATTTCAATTTATTCAATTTAGTTGTATTTTATTTGTATTATATAGGGAATTTGTCTGTTATTAAAGGGACCTGCTTTATTATTATTTCAATAGAGAGATCTTATTATTTTATTATCTCCATCGGTCTTTTATTTTATTTTATTTTATTTTATTTTATTTTAATTTGTATTTGGTTTTACAGGAGAGAAGGAAGACTTTCTGATTTACAGATAGGTTAATATCATAACTTGTGACTCTATCATATGTTTTTTGACGTTATCAATAAGATATTTCCCCTTTCAGGTTGTCTCTTTTATTTTGTTCTATCTTTCTTTCTTTTTATAATGATCTTAATAGACTTTAATATTGAATAAATTTTAATGCCATAGCATTTGCATCATTCATTTTACCAAATTAAGGCAAGAAAGTTACATTATAATAATCAATCTTTAGAGAATGATTATTATTTTCGAACATTCTACTTATTGAACAAAATCGATGTTGTTTTCTGATTTTCTTTTTTTAATGAATATGTCAAAAAGATTAACAAGAATAACTTGTTTTGATATTACGTATAGAAATCTGCAATTCCTTTTTTTTTTTAATAGAAGGATTCTCGTTATTGTTGTCCTTAACAAATCTTGTCAGTAGAAATATAATGTTATACTTCACTGAAAATAATATCTTTGTCTACGAAATTATTTTTTATTCAACAAGGAGGTAAAATATAAAAAAAACTTTTTTGCTTATATTATTCTTATTATTATTACATATGTTCTTTACTTTTTTTTATATATTTATTTATCTTTATATATATGTACTCAATTATTTCTCATTGGCAGCCTCACCATTAAGTTCCTTTTCATAATCAGCTTTGGTATACCATTTAGCTAACTCCCATGATGGTAAATTAGACATTGAGACACTACTAGTCCATCCTTGAATCTTACGATCCATCGTTATTTGACTAGCAAATGTGGTGATTTTATACTGTGGGAATCGTGTAGATAATTCTTTGATAATACGTTGCTCCATACCATTAATTAATGATGTAGAACCTGTCACGATAATATTGGTTAATAACATTGAATATATATATTCCGGTGTTGTGGCTGTGGTGCCTAAGGAATTGATACCAACGTTGTTGTTATTATTATTATTACTATTATCGTTATTATTACCAAAAATATTATTCTTTGATTGAGTATTCATTGGTTGAATAGTCATAGACGCACCGAGGGCACCAATGGTATTTGTTCCGACAGAACTAACACTAGCACCAGCTTTCTTAATGGCTTTCCCTATTATTTCTCCAAGTCCATCCTCCTTGGTATATTTATCAGATATCATACTTGGATTAAACAATGATTCAGCCAATTCATAACATTGACGAGATTCTAATGATATTGTTTGGTTTGACAATTTATATAAGAAATTCTTCTTCTGCAATAATGGGTTATTGTTCTGAATAGACGCAATTGCAGCACTATCAAGCTTGGCTTCGGCATTGTTGGTGGAATATTGTTGTAGTTGTTCTTGTTGTCTAATTTGCATCTCTGCTTGTTCTTTGTAAAACCTTTCTAATTCTGGTAATTCTTTATCACTTACTTGTAACATATTCATTTTAAAATCATGAATCCAAGTATTGGCTTCCAACCAAACATCAACAGAATCCTTGTAGTTTGATGAATTATTATCCTCTGTAGAAATGTTAATATCGCCTTCTGCATCTATTACTTCTGAAGATGAAGAACTGTTCTTCTTCTTTTTAACGATATCTTCTACTCTTTGAGTGATTCGGTAATCCAAGAAATCACCTGCAAATCTAGATCTCATAACACTAGTCTTGACGACTGTACCATCAACAATAGGTGTAACATTACAACCGGAACTTCCTAAATCGATGACTAAAGCAGAGGTCTTGCCCATGGCTAACGCGATCGCCAATGGTTCAATAATGATTTGTAATACAGGAACATTCAATTTGGTGAACGCTAAATCAAAATATCTTTCAAGAACTTTATTGGCTAATTCACTTTTCAAATGTGGAACAGTAATAACCAATGGTAAATCTTGAGGATCACATTTCAATTGAGTATCATAAATATACTTCAATTGTTGTTCGATGACTGACCAGTTGTATGGAATCCCATTCTCATCTACAGTAGTAAATACTTCTAGATTTTCATTAGTGTCTTTATCCTTTTTGGCTATGGCCTCTTCTAACATGGAAATTGTACCAAATATATATTCATCTGAACCTTTTTTCAAATAACTCGAAGGTAAAATACATTGAGGTAATTCAGTGTTATTAAAACCAGCAATTGTATGGTGAGAACCAATCTTAATAACAACACATTTCTTGTGATGTGACATTGTTTACGTTTTATTTGGTTGTTTAATTTAATTTCAATTCGGTTTGTTGACTTTATTCAATATCGTTTCAAAAAATAAGAGAAGGAAAAACTTGCCACTTTAAAAAGATCAACAGACTAAAATATTATACTTGAAACAAATGTAATATAAAATTCTTGCTTTGCAACTCTATAATTCTGTTATAACCTTCTTTCTTTCCCTTTAATTCTTGTTTTCTTACGTGTTTCTTGTTTTCTTGTTCAAGCCATTATTACCTTAGTGTTTGATTGCTTATTTTACTCGATTCAAAAAAATTGGCGATCACCGCGAAAACTACGAAATTTTTTTGCCTCAAGCCCGTGACTTTTTCTAAAAGAATGATAATGTTGACATAAAAGTTGTCACATTTCATTACGAATTTAACATTAGTATTATTATTTTAAGATTTATATTAAAATTTCTAATGTATTTCATGTATCTTTATGATTCTTTCTTAGATATATTAAAAAAGTCTGTTCTTTACAAAAGGTTTCTTGCAAGACGTCGTCTTGTTTAACCTTATTTTAAAACCTATTTAAGATATTTAAGATTTGAGGATTGATATGACTGCTCCAAGAAAGTTATAAAAGAGATGTTTATTCGTATTATAACGTTTGTTACAATAAAAGGTTTTATTAGAAATTCTATATTGAGAAGTATCATCCTAGACGATTGTTTACGGAAAGGGGTCAACTCCGGCATATTTTATCATTTAGTAGGCTTAAATTAATTTCGATATTCCTTTTTTCTGTCCTTTTCAAAATATTTTATCCCAAGTATTGTAATTAATAAGAAAAAAAAGATAATACCTGTTGAAATAATATCACTAACATAAAAAAATATATATAAATTACGTTCTTATTTAATCAAGAGATGTCTTTTATTCATCCCAATAACACTAACATAATCATTCTCGTAATGTAGTGTTCATTGACCTCCCATTAGCCCTGTGTCGCGATTAAATAAATAGAAAAAACCCAATTGTGTCGAGTTTAATAACAAGTTGCTTAATCAATATTATATCGGCTGCCCTTAGTCTTATAACTGCAATGCCAAGTTAGGTTCAATTACCATTGTGGGAAGATGACCATTCACGCTTATCCATATCGTAATAAGTGATCTTTGGTCGAGTCAAAAATTTGCAAATTTTTTTCTTTTTTCAGTCATCGCAAGAAGTGAAAAATATTGAGTTTAATGCTGTCGACGAAGGATGAAAAATTATTCATACAGTGACATCTTTTTGCTACTGGTAAACGTGTGCGTGGAAGGAAGTAAATACTATAATGTTTATACACTCATATTGTAATCTCATCGTTGCATTCATGATTGAGATGTTTCGATTTAGACTCTCATAGCTTTTCCTGTTTATCAATTTTAGTTTTGTGCATTTGCTTATATGTGAAATTTCAATAAATCCATATATTCTTTTCTTGTATATATTTTTTATTTTATTCTTTTTATTCTTTATTATGCTCAAGAGAGTGTTTGGTTTGCCGTTACAGTTAACAAGTAAACGAACATTATCAACAATATTCTATCAAAGAATGTCTGAACAAGCTACTACTAATCCAGCAACTCCAGCTGCTGATGTCCCAGTTCAACAACACAAACAAAAACCTGGTAAGGGTAAGAAATCCAAGTTACAAGTCTCGTTGAAGACTCCAAAGGGAACCAAGGATTGGTCTGAAACCGATATGGTCATCAGAGAAGCAATTTTCACAACTTTATCAAACCTATTTAAGAGACATGGTGGCCAAACTATTGACACTCCAGTCTTTGAATTGAGAGAGATTTTGGCTGGTAAATACGGTGAAGACTCCAAATTGATCTATAACTTGGAAGATCAAGGTGGTGAACTAACATCTTTACGTTATGATTTAACCGTTCCTTTCGCAAGATTTGTTGCAATGAACAACATTCAAAATATTAAAAGATATCATATTGCTAAGGTTTATAGAAGAGATCAACCTGCCATGACTAAAGGTAGAATGAGAGAATTTTATCAATGTGATTTTGATGTTGCTGGTGCTTACGAATCAATGGTTCCAGATTCTGAGATCTTGGATATTATTGTCGAAGGTTTAACAAGTCTAGGTATTCACGATTTCAAGATCAAATTGAACCACAGAAAGATCCTAGATGGTATTTTCCAAGTTTCTGGTGTTAGTGATGAAGATGTTAGAAAAATTTCTTCTGCTGTCGATAAATTAGATAAGAGTCCATGGGAAGCTGTCAAGAAGGAAATAGTTGTTGACAAGGGCCAAACTGAAGAAACCGCTGATAAGATCGGTGAATATGTGAAGTTGAATGGTTCTCTAAGAGAAGTTTACGGTGTTTTATCCAAGGATCCTACCATTTGTGCTAACGAAAAGGCTTCTGAAGGTTTGAGTGAAATGGAAAACTTGATGAAATATACTGAAGCCTTTGGTATTGACAATTTCATTTCCTTCGATCTATCTCTAGCTAGAGGTTTAGATTACTACACTGGTCTGATTTATGAAGCTGTAACGTCTGCCTCTGCTGCCCCAGAAAATGCTGCCGAATTAAAGAAAAAGTCCAAATCTTCTGAAGACGCTTCTGAATACGTTGGTGTTGGTTCCATTGCCGCTGGTGGTCGTTACGATAACTTGGTTAATATGTTTGCTCAAGCATCAGGTAAGAAATCTGGTTCCCAAATACCTTGTGTTGGTATTTCCTTCGGTGTTGAAAGAATCTTCTCCCTGATTAAACAAAGAATGACTTCAGCTGATATTAAACCAATCTACACACAAGTTTTCGTTATGGCCTTTGGTGGTGGTAAGGACTGGACTGGTTATTTACCAGAAAGAATGAAGGTTGCTAAGCAACTGTGGGATGCTGGTATCGAAACTGAGTATGTATACAAATCTAAGGCCAATCCAAGAAAACAATTCGAAGCTGCCGAAAAGTCCGGTGCTCCATTGGCTGTCATTCTAGGTAAAGAAGAATATGCTGAAGGTAAATTACGTATAAAGAGATTAGGTCCTGAATTTGCTGATGATGATGGTGAATTGGTTGATGCGAACGAATTTGTTGCTATTGTTCAAGACAAACTATCACAAGTTCATGAAGATGGTGTCAATGAAGTTAGTCGTTTGATTAGAGGTCTATAATAATATAGAAAATAATTATTCAATAAATATTTTAATGCCTATATGTATATATAATGTTACAAATTTTACCTTATGTGTATCCATCCATCTATTTTCTCCTTGATCGAAGTTTTCTGGTTTTTCTTTTAATTTTTGTTCTAGCATTCGTCGAGTTACCGTTTAATATATCATCTAAGTGTGATTTATCAGAATCGCCAAGTTCTTCTACATCACTTAAACCTTCATTCTTCATTGCAAGGAAAGATTTCCATTGCAACTCTTCTATATTTAGAGAATCTTGTATAATGAAATCCTGTTTCAACATATCCTGAAAACTATCTTTTACCATTGATGATGGCGTAATTCCCAAGGCTACTCTAGCCTTCTCAACATTTTTGCTTAGCACTCTACTTGTATCTGGAGATTCTGAAATTTCGTTAAACATCTGGTTAATTATTGAATAAAAATCTGAAATACTGTTAAAATGCCTTTCCTCGCACATCCTCAACACATCCTTAAATTTCGACTCTTCAACTGAATATTTCAATTGTTTAAATATATCACTTGACATAAACTTTTTTATTATGATATTATTCAAGGTAAAAAGCTCAGGATCTTTAATTATATCATTAATCAACCTATCAGTCGCCACTTTTTTGATTAAAATATTATTTCTGTCATAAACTAAATTTGATAATTCTTTTAAAGACATTAAATCAGGAGAAAGAATTTTACAAAAGGCGAGTCTATCATTTATCTGGTTATTATCAAGAAGGTCATACGAGTAAATGTTAACATTAGCTGGTTCAAATAATGGGGCACCGTCATTAAGTTCTCTCTTTAGACTCCAATATTTACAAATATCTAGACTAGCATTCCGCAAAATATTATTATTAGTTACAGTCTGTGATAAAACAGACTGTAACTGATTAACAAATATCATCGGTGCAATCGGAAATTTTCTAATATTCGATATAGTATCATCTAAGGTACTATGTTTTTTGCCTGTTACTGTATTATCGAGAAGATCAAATGTATTTAACTCATGAACCTCATCTTTTTGTTCCTGAATTCTATCTTCTACACCTGGTATAGTAACTGAATGTTTATCACAAAAACATTCCAAATTTTCACCACCGAGTGCCATCTCTGCTAAAGATCCGGTAACTAAATGAGTCATTTGATACCCTGCTTTCATTGCACAAGATACATGGAATGCAGTAAAACAATTCTTATTACTGCATTGAATACATGCACCGCGTTTCAATTTACAAATAGAACATACTAATCTCCATCTTGAGGCAGGTATTTTTTCAATCCCTTCGACAGGTTCTAAATAATGCCAGTTTCCGAAACATAATTCCCTAACCCATACTGCACACCAAACATGAACCCATGTCCCACAAGAAGTTTGTTTCAATGGTCCTCCAATCTCGGGACAAACACAACAATATGGTTTAGTTAAAGTTAAATTTTTTTGAATACAAGGCCTACATAGCCATGGGCCTGGGGGTATAAATAATATTCCATAACAATCTTGATGTACTGCCACATTACACGAATCACAAAATATAATAATGTTACTTGTGGTCTCTTCTGTGTTACAAACTGAACATAATTGTTCAAAGGATGCTAATGGTGGAGCTGGGATTGGGAAATGAGATTGCATATATGACCATTGAAACTCTAGAATAGATATTAGGGCTTCAAATTGAAGATCATTTAGGTTTAGATCTGGATATAACTTGTTTAAATGTCTGATAAATAAGATATCCTGTTCATCCATGTCATACTGTATCTTGAAATTTTTCAAACCTGGTGAATCTCGAATAAGGTCCCTCATATTAAATACTTGATTTTGTTCGCTGGAATCATGCCGTATCTTAACCATATATGATAATGATGACAATTCCATATTGTCAATTTGTTCCCGATGAGTCTTTTGTGTTGATATTTTCCTTTTCTTCGATGATTTGGGTTGTTGTTCCATCTCGATAGTTTTTGTATTTGTTTCGATATCTTTAGCTAATTCTGAAATATCAAATTTACATTTATGGAAATTTGCCACTGTATTGCCAATAACTAATGGTTCTGTATTTATTTTCCCATCGATAATGGTTTGTTTATATTGGATTACTGTATGTTTTGATTTATCATTATAAGATTCTTCAAATTCAGGTAATTTTAAACCTGTAACACTTTCAACATCGAATATTAATGGAATTAATTGTGTATCATCAAGAGAAGGATAAAATTCTTTGTAATTATTTTCTTCTCTCAGTTTTGGACCATCATCCTTTCCATTACTTGTCATATTTCCAAAAGGATTTCAGTTTGCAGTCACAATAAAAACAAAAACCTAAAACATAAACATAAACAAACTGTGATGCCAACGATGAAGTTTAATCTACTGTATAATTCCTCCAAAAAGTACTTGCGATGGGTGTATATATAGATATATCTTTTAAAGAGTACCCTTTATTTATCCTAATTTCTCTTATTTGGTCTCTTTCTTTAATTTATATTTTTCAGTTTTTCTTTTGTTTACAATTAAATATTATTAGACAGGGATCATCATCAGGGGACCTTTAAGAAGAGAAATTGGCAATAAGACAACAGACAGAGACAGTTCAAGTATACTTCCGAAACAAATACATACATATATATATTCAACGACACTATAGTAATGACACTAATATCAAAATGTATGCCCTTTGTTATACAGACAAGGCAGTGTAATTAGTTACACAATCACTCTTACTATAATATTAATTATAAAATGTTGTGCAGTTTTTGTTAGATAAACTGAACATAGCGCCTTGTTTTAATTTCAATTTTTTTGACTTTGACGGTACCCGAACTGAACGCTCTCGAATTTCATTATTTTTCAGTTTTCTTGAATGTAATAACAGAATATCGTAAACTTCACATAATGTATTTTATTTTTTGACTTGAGACAGGTTAATTCTTTCTACTTCAACAGCTTCCAATAGAAAATAATACGACTTTGTCAACATTAGTAACACATCTGAAGAAGTATACATTCTTTTACATTGAGTAGTACAGTTTTTACCCAGTGATTATCGTTAGTTTCTATATATCAGGTTAGACCACCTTTTTAAAGTATATTTAGAACAATACATTTTATATTTTGGTTTGTTTTTAAAATATATTCATCGAAAGGTATTTTCAAGATTCAATTATAGTCAAATTTTAAAATGGTAGCGTCTTCATTGAGAAGTTTTATTAAGGATGTGCGTGGTGCAAAGACGTTAGCTGATGAAAGATCAATTATAACTAAACAATCTGCAAAGATAAGAACCAAATTAAGAGATGACCATTTATCTAATGAAAAGAAAAGAGTTAATATCCAAAAGTTGTTATATTTGTATATTCTTGGTGAAAAGACTCATTTTGGTCAAGTGGAAAGTATTAATCTAATTGCATCTGATAATTTTGTTGATAAGAGACTTGGTTATTTAGCTACTATATTATTACTAGATGAATCTCAAGATTTATTAACTTTATTGACTAATATGTTAAACAATGATTTACAACATCCAAATAAATATATCGTAGCTTTGGCATTGAATACCTTGGGGTGTCTAAGTTCTACAGAGTTAGCAAGAGATCTTTATCCTGATGTTGAAAATATTCTACAGACATCTAACGATCCATATTTATTAAGAAAAGCTCTACAATGTAATGCAAAACTAATATTTAAGGATAGATCCTTACTAGAGATTTTCCCATTAAGTATAATCTCTTCGAAATTACTAGCTAATCCAATTGTGTGCACCCATGGTGTTTTATTAGGTGTTTGTAAAGTATTACAAGCTATCTTTATAAGTTTAGATGATACGTTACAGAAAGGTAGTGATAAAAATGATAATGAAGAAGATGATTCAATTGAAGAAGATATTCAAGAAGATATTACTATTATTAAGAGCATCAGCGATTTAATACCACAACTATCTACTCGTTTATCCTCATTGAATTCCAAAAATTTAGAACCTGCATATGACGTCCAGGGGATTCAAGATCCATTTTTACAATGTGAATTAATTGTAACATTGAAATGGTTTTTCAAAATCGGTAATCATTTGAATCTAGATGAAATCACCCAATATAATAATAATTTTAATGATTTACTTACTCAGTTAGCTACCAATACCAGTTCTGCTAAAAACCCAGGAAATGCCATTCTATATGAAGTAACAAAATCTATCTTTGAATTAAAATTGACTCAACCTTTAAGAGTACTTGGTATCAATATTTTGGCCAATTTTCTAACTCCAAGTAAAAATTCAAATACAGGTAACAATGTGAAATATGTCGGTCTTAATACATTGATTAAAGTGGTACCTGAAGAACCGGCATCTGTTCAAAGATATAGAAAATTCATTTCTCAATGTTTATATGATTATGATATCTCTATCAAATTTAGAGCTCTTGGCTTAACATTTGCTATCATGAATGAACAAAACATAACTGAATTAACAACCGAATTGATGAAATTCTTGGGACAGATATCAAAGTCTCATTACAGTTATGTGACATCGTATATTGATATGGATGATTCAAAGGATCTAATTGTTTACACTGTTGACAACCTTTTGAAAAAATTCGAATTATATTCTAATGATGATGAGAAGGCTAAATTGGATTCTTTATTAACAATCCTAAAGATGTCAGGAACTTTTATTGATTTGGAAAAGGCTAATGACTTTCTGGTTGCCTTGAATAATATGGACGATTTGAACTACAAGATTAATACATTTAGTAAAGAGTTAACTGAAATATTAGACCCCAAAAATAAAGCAAATACATTGTGCGGTAATGCTTGTCTAGATTTGGTTATGATTTGGTGTATCGGTGAATATACCGATCTTATCAAACTACATTCATCTACGAACAAGAATATTGTTAATGACAACTCAATCGTTAAGTATTTGTCTGACTTAAATAACAAGTATAGACTGTCTCACGACACTAGAATGATTCATTATATCTTGACGGCAGCTTTAAAACTTTCATCCAAAATAATCGATGGCCAGTCTATGGAAAAGTTAAGACAAATTATTGTAAGTCATTCGAAGGATTCGAATTTGATGTTACAGACGAAAAGTGTTCAATACGAATTATTTTTCAATCAACCTGCTGCGATGAAAAAAATATTTTTACAAGCTATGCCTAAATTTGAAAGGAAAAATATTAATGTATCTGCAGCCCAAAGTCATAATACCACTGGATCCAAACCTGAAAACCAGAATAATGATTTACTTCTTGATTTACTTACAGATACTGTTGAAAAAACATCTCCAAATGATACTTCGAAACCATTCGAAAACAAACAGCATGATATTATCGCCGATCTTCTTGCATCAACAGGGAATAAATCACAAAATAGTAGCTCAACTATCAAAAGTTCTCCGGTAGAAGTAGTTACATTACCTTCTGGTGCTGTTTCAATCCACGATGGCGATGAATTACAAGTATATGAAAAGATAATTGATATTTCACCAGGTCTGGCTCACCTAGAACTATACATTAAGGCCAAAAATAATAAGATATCTAACATCCAACCTTTATGTGCTGTTCCAAAGACTCAAAAACTAACCTTAAGCCAATTGCGTCCAAGTAACGATATAGACGTAGGTAAAGTTGTTAGACAAACCTTAAAGATTTCTGGTTCAGGAAAATTGAAACTCAGAATCAAATTGTCTTTCCAAAAAGATGACAACCAAGCAAGCGAGAGTGAACAATTTGACTATAAGTTGGACAAAACGATATGAAATACTATTTCTTAAGCTCTTTAATGCGGAACCAAGTATAGTATTGAAATGAATTTAATAGCGATCGGTATGGTTAATGAAATAATAAACATTATATACATATTTAATGCAATACCTAGTGATAGCGTGTAAAATATCTACATAATACATATATACATGAACAATCAGTAACTGATAAGGCAATATAATAATGTTTTCAAAATCTTAGTGGGTGAGATATCCTTCTATATCCGAAGAGTTGGATATACTCAGACCTTACATTTCGTTTAGTGTCTAGAGATACCTGTAGCGATCGAAGCGCTAGCATTTTCAACAGATTGTTTCAAGTTGTTAGCTGCTTTATTAGCTCTACTTGCAAGGAATTGGTCATAGAATGGTTCAATAACCTTGCTCCAAATCATGAAAGCACCACCAGTTGATGGAATAGCAATATAAACTAAGAATATAACTTTGAGGAACCAATAAAAGGGGATTAGGTAAATAATGGCACCTGACCAGAACTCAATAACATTTAGAAACCCAAAAATGATCCAGTAGGATAATAGTTTCATATCATCATCTTTTGTAGTTGTTTTAATAGCTTGGATCGAAAAATAGGTAGGTAAAACAAACCCAGCAAAATTTGATAAAATTTGACCAATACCACCAATGTTTAGGAAAGTTAGCAACAGGTAAATAAATGTGAATGCGGAGATCAAATAGGATCTTGGAATTTTAGTCTTCGTTTCTAAATTTCCAAGAAATGCATTTTGGGCAAATTGCTTATTATATTAATTTGATTGTTAGTATATAAGAAATTGATTAGGAGGCTTACTAGCTAATAAAAAAGTTACGTACTTGATCAAACTGTTTGAATTGAGATTGGAAACTAGATTTAAAGTCAGACATTATTAGGGAGTGTGTTTTCGGCAATAAGTCCTATTATGAATTACGACATTGAAGTATTGAAAGCAATCTGAAATTCAATGTGTTTTCTAAAAAGTAGTAGATAATAATTTATGAACAAAATCCCCTGACTTAGTTCTTAAGATTTGCTCTTTTTTCGTTGCGCGGGAATGTCAAAATTTTCGTTTAAAGGGACTGCAAAAATAACCTGAATAAAAAGATAAATATAATAGATCTCTTAACTATTCTAGGATACAATGGCCATGCTCTTTCTTCGCTATAACTAGTTACATAATGTTAAAACTTATGTTTAAAACTAATTACCCGTTTGTTTAAACATTGTTTATAACAGCTTGCACCAATAAGTTCATGAAAAGATAAAAAAAAATATAATGAATTTCTCAGAACTTCCACATATATTTTTAACTTTTAAGAATATGATCTATTTAGGTAATAAGAAAGTAAATCTTATTATGATTTAAAATAATTAACCGCATGATATCTTACAAATTCGAGAAGAGATATTAATATGTATTCTTTCGCGATGAAGCGTACCATTTTTACCAAACTAAGAGAGATCAATAAACTTTACTTTTAAGATACCTATTATGATGTATTTTAAGCTAATTTTAAATTCAAACATATATAAAATCGAGGTGATATTAGATTAATACCGCGTAATATGAGAGGGTGTTTTAACGGTACCACCATGTAATGATATGAAGTTATACCTATCTTGACAATTGCAATTTGTATGGTAGATTAACATTTCTATGCTTTAAGGATGTATCTGTAATATATATTATAAATTTAAAGCGAGAAAGCGAGTCCAAGTAGTTACATGTTAACACTACTATAACTAGATCCTTTGTATTTACTCTTTATCATCAACAACCATCACTCTCTCGGAATATCTGACGATGCCAAATTAGACATGAAGGCCTTAAGGAAATTCTAAGAACTTTTTCCTATCGCCTTAGGTTCCGATGCTACAAGAGCTTTGGACAACTATACTTCCTGGGAATCCATGGTAAAGAACCGTGTTACCCAATGTGGCTTCAAAGGAGAACAAACTATCGATGCTATATCCTTCACTATGAGAAACTAAGTAGCCACATGAATTCATAGTTATTTAACCAATACTAAATCACAGAATGGTCAACTATCAACAGTTGATGAAGTCTTTGAAGTCTGCAGAAATTAATACACAAACGAGACTATTGATCATCAAAAAAATCCAAAGTCTCTAGATCCGAAGATTGGTCTGAATGACAGGGAAGAAATTATGCAACGCTTTAATCAACTGTAGAGAATCTGAGATAGAGTTTCCCCCTCTATTAGTCTCTTCAAGCTTTACTTTATTTAATTCGGACATTTTTTAATACGATAATCGATCAGTCTCTTTATAAAATATATAATTTATAGAACGAATAGAATCTAACTTCCAATGTAAGTTCAGAATTCTTTGTCTTTATATATGTTTTATTCTAATCTCAATTGAGGTTCGAATTATGTTTTGTTTCATAATGCGATTAACTTTGTTTCATGTTGCCACATATTTTGTTTCATATTTTAACACACTTCATAATAACTGTGCTTAAAGGTAGTTCTTTGCCTATTGAAATTAAGTGTTGTGCATATTACTCTTAATTTCTGACAAGATTATACATTTGAATATCTATAACTATGTCCGATAATTTCAACTCGAATACTAATCGTATATTCTCGATTTCAAACTTACGTTTACACAACGTTACTATTCACAAAAGATGAGAAGTTTAACAATAGCAACTCTGTTTAATAATTCATATGTAAAGAGAACAACAATTATGGAAATAAGTTCTAATTAGTTATCAACATAGTAATAGTAATTAAATATAACCGTCTGTTACATATTTGTCTTCAAGCATATAAGATTGCAATACAAGATTTTCAAGAAATGCGGATTTAGCTCAGTTGGGAGAGCGCCAGACTGAAGAAATACTTCGGTCAAAAAGAAATCTGGAGGTCCTGTGTTCGATCCACAGAATTCGCATTATTTTTAAAACTTTAGCCGCTGACATCTTTGGAGACCAAATATTGTTTTTTTTTTTATTTTTTGATTTCAAGATGAACATACAAAAGTTTATAAATGTTAATTGGATTACATATCCAAGAACTTTTTGTTTAGTGATCCTTCAATACATTGAAAAATCAAGAGCGCCACTGACTAATAAATTATTCAATTAGTTTATTTCATTAAGGCAGGGTGTACAAATTTTAATATAAGTTTAAAAAATTATTTTATGTATTCATTAAAAATGCTTTTTAAAATAATATAATTCTTGACCTTATATATCAAATATAAAGGACTGAGTATTTACTACGAACTAAAATGTAGCAATTCCCTCAGCCCATGTCGAGCTGGAATATTCATTTCATAAGGGGTATGTCATAAAAGAAAACCATAGTAATTGAAAACTATGATTGAAGAATAATTTCATTCAAAGTGGCACCATATGGGTAGGCATCATTGTCATAAGTACCTTGTACAGAAACGACGACATATCTGGCCTTCTTCCAATCATTAGAACTTGCACCTGGTAGACAACTCAATGAAGTGTTGTAATTGACCTTACTATAGTCGACAGTAAATTCAGTAATGTTACTTGGTACCAGAACAACTGCATCCGTGACATCAAGTTCAGAATAGTATGGAAGAGATGGAACAACCTTTTGGTCATCTACAATAGTAATAAAAGTTTCTTGTAAAGGTTCAATATTTGGTAAGGATTGAATCATGTTGTTGAAAGAACCTAATTTCCAGTTTAGAATATCAGAAATATCAGAACTGCAGGCACCAGATGTGGATTCATTACCGGAAGACATATAATGTTCTAAGTAAGCCATAGCTTCAGCAGTAGCATCTTCTTTAGTACCATTGCTGTTTTCAATAATGTAGGTCACATTAGTAAACAGAGATTCTAGTAATTCGGAATGTGGTAAGATGGAAATAGATAGGTTTTGAGCTGGTCTGTAGCCCCAATTAATGAAACCCTTGTTGATTTGTTGTTCAGAACCTAGGTCAATCAATAATTTAGCATTATTTTTGTCAACTGGTTGCCAATGAGTATAATTATTACCATCAATAGCAGATAGACCGACATCACCAGCAACACCACTAGTTAGATTGGTAATTTGTCTGTGTTCAGCTAGATTACCTTCGACTGATAGTAAAGGCTTGTAAACTGGAATGACCAATTCTTGACCTGGTTCAATAGTGTAGTAAATACCATCATCAGCAATTCTAACTTGACAGTAAGAAGACCGACGTTGCAATGTCTTGTTAGATGGAATGTAGAAATGAATGTCTGTATCATCAAACTTATCTCTATTTGGAACCTTGATAGTAATAGAACTGTTACCTTGCTTGTTAACGACAGTACCGTGAGTCTCGTCAATAATGAAATCAATTGTATTACCCATGTACTGGAAACCTCTAATAGCTAGACCTTGTGGCAGAGTGCCTAACTCAGTTGGATCGAATTTCAAGAATCTATCCATTTGATTGGTAGAGTTATTTACCTCATAAGAGTATCTAATACCTGTTAAACCAAAAACAATACTTTGCAAAACACCACCATTACCAGTTAAGAATGGGAAAGCTGGGTTTAGACCACCATTAGTGTCATAATTATCATCAGATTGTTCGCTGAATTGAGCAAATGGCATTCTCATGTATGGGACAATAGCCTTGTACAAGTAAGATTGAGAAGATGAACCATGATTTAATAGACTTTGAGCAGCAGCAACAAATACTGGGTAAGTCATAGCAGGACCGGAGGCAGCTTGCTTACCAGAGTAGTAGTACAAATCATTAATAGCGTATGCTGCACTGATAGGGTCGTCAATAGTATCTAATGGATAAACCACTAAAGTAACATCTGCTTGTTTAATTTCGACACTACTGTTCATACCAGTATATTCCAAAGTAATATTAGATTCGGCTCTTGGAATGATGATATTGTTGGAGATAACCATCCATTTAGAGTCTACAGCTTCATTCAAATGGTGTCCGATATCAGTAGCCCATTTCATTAAAGTCTTAATACCTGTGTTAGTAAAAGCACCATTGTCAACATGGTTAGCATATTCATCAGGATCAGTAGAGTTTAGAGTTTCATATTTACCAGTTTGGTTGTTCACTCTAACGAAACTGGTGAAGAAATCAGCAGCATCCTTAACTAATGGCCAAGTAGTGTATCTCAAGTAGTCTTCGTTTAAATCCTCGGTAGCTCCACTTAAGAAGATAGATAAAGTAGAAAATGCAATATCAACATTTAGATGGTATTCATAATCGACACATGGACCAGTAGAAGTACAATTGGAGAAACCACCAGAAGTCCATGGGTAAGCAGCACCAGCGTAACCATATTCTCTTGCGTTCAATTGAGCTTGGTGATGAGTAGCATTTCTATAACTGTTAATGTTTTTAGCGACCTTTGGAGCAAATGGTAACAAAGCTGGAGTCATCCACATATCAGCATCCCAGAAGACTAAACCACCGTAAGAATCAGAAGATAAACCACTAACTGGCAATAGCATACCTCTTTCTTGAGTAACATTGTTAGGTCTACTGTTTGCCAATAAATGGAATAGAGAAGACTTAGCAGCTAGTTCCAAGAAGGAATCAGATGGAATTTCAATCTTAGCATCACCGTAAAGTTCGGCCCAGGCAGTATCATGGGAAGCTAATAGTCGATTATATTGACCCTTGTATTCGTTTGCACAAGAAATAGCAGTATCTAAGTTACTACTGTTAGTTAGACTAAAAGTTGTAGACATAACACCGACATATTTTCTTACTATAATCTTTGGATTTTCTTTGGTTAAGATAACAGCAGCAGTTTGAGAAGCAATGTTATCAGTCGAGTTCGATTGTGTACCAGTAAAACAAACGTTACTAGTGACATCACCAGTCGAAGAAAGAAGTTCAATTTCAGCAGTAGAGAATAAAGCAGCATTGTTATAAGGAACGTTGTCAGGTTCAACAATCATGAAGATACCATCATTCTTTTCATCATAACCAGAGTCTTGTAAGTAAGTTCTCCATGAAGTACTGTGGTTGAATATATCATAAAGTTCCAAAGGACATTCAGTGAAGTTAGCTGGTAAGTTTTCAGTGTTCAAAGAGACTTCTAGATTGACGTAACCTAATTGGTAAATATCTCTGTGAGAGACGATTTGAGATGAAACGTGTAATAAACCATCTAACCAATCCATAGTAGTGTTCACAATACCGTTATTTATGGACATGTTTTGAGAGTAATTAGTGACTTGGTCAGCGGTGACGTTCAAAGCATTGAACCATAATGGAGTTTTGGCAATCTTAAATTGTAAATCGGTCCAATCTGGAATTGAGGCGATAATGTTTGGATAACCTTTGTCATCCAATTCAGGAAAGTTAGTCTTTGTTAAATGTTCTTCCAAAGCGTAGAAATCAGCAACAAACGAACCCGCATACCTTGGATTAAATTGAGGCCAGTCATTATTCAAAGCGGCTGATTCATTAGTGAATAAAGTGATTTCATCTTGAGCATAACCTAACCCTATATTTGGAATTCTTGAACCAATATAACCGTTAGCAACATAAGGTTGTCTACTGAAGACATTTGGAGAAAAGAACGAAGTACCCAAGATACCAGTTTCTTCATTATAGTATGTATTATTGGTATCTTGCAATAATTCAAAAAATTGTTTAGAGGCTAATCTATTATCGTTGTTATAATCCAATTCATGATCTTCAGCAGGCTTAATAACACCAGTTCTATCTTGAACAATAGAAGTTGGTAAAGCTTCAGTTTTAGAGTTTGAAGTATCTTGAGCAGATGATGAATTTGGAACGATAGCTAAAGCTGCCAAAAAAGATGATAATAATAAAACCATAGCGAAAGTTACAATAAAATAGAATTTGTACCTTCTTAGGGTATTAAAGAAATTTGAATTTGTTTCAACTAAGAGTTTATAATTGTTATTATTATTATTATATTTTGATAAACCAAAAATGTTAAGCATTAAAAAGTAATAAAGAAAGAGATATTAAAAAGAAGAGGAAGAAGAGATAGATGCAAATGAAAATGAATATTATTGAACAGTATTTATATGTCTTTTCGAAAACATTTAAATATGAAAAAAAATATTAAATTTTTAATCAAATAAAGTTGAATTCAAAACGAAAGTCAACAAACACCTGAAGGGTATATGATATAATTTGTTAAATGACTAAAAAGAGAAGGACAGATTAGGTTATCAAAAATAATAATTAAATGGTGGTGGTGATGATGGACAGATAACGTTAATTTATTAAGAAATGAAGATACAAATCTCAGTAAAACCTCACAGACATATAAAAGATATACAAAACAAATAAAATGATGTATATCTCTGTCCGGATATGTCGATGAGAGGAATATTATTATTTACAGAAGAAATAGTAGAATAATAGTGAGCAATAATAATAACAATAATACTAAACTTAGTTAGGAAAACAAAATAAAAATGCGGGGTGAGGTGTATATGTTATTGAAAGTAAATGTAAAAGTAAAGTTAATAATAATTGTGACAGTTTTTTTTAAATAACAAAACTAATACGAAGTTAAACCCGATGATTTTAAGTTGTTAAAAATTTCTCTCTAAGTGTTCCAAATTATCCCTTCCTCTTAACTAATTATCGCTCTCAAAATAGAAGTTAAATATATTGAGAGAACTTTTTATGTAATGAATATTTTACTCTCCTACAATAAAAATTTAAGTTCTAAAAAATAGGGATAGTTAATATTCTCTTTTATCCTCTCATGAAATGAAATAAAATTAAGGGAGTGAAGAAGTCCACACAGAAGCACTTAATGTAGTTAAATAATAAGGTATATACAGCTTTTTTATTTTTTATTTTCTTTTTCGTCTCAGTGGGGATAATAACAATAAAGTTGAGGCTGAGAAAAGATATGGGGGGGGCAAGGGAAAAAAGTCCGAAAATTAGGGAGACCAAAAAGAGAGCGGGTGTGGCCCGAATAAGAAATAGATACTTTTTGTTTAGAGGATCGGAGAGTTCGTAGTGACAAACAAACGTACAAAAGATCGATTAGTTACCACTAACACTAAAAGGTCAATTACTGTTCCTAAAACAATAAAACTTAAAAGCTTAAAAACTAGAAAAGAGGGTGGGGTTAATAGTTGAAAAGGAAGTAAAAAACCAAGAGGAGGATATAATAGGGTAAGCCCTACTAATCAGAAAGAAGCAACTGGTGATATAACACAATACTTACTTATTATAAAAACAGAAACAAAAATAAGAAAGAAAATAGGACCCGCGGTTTTTTTACTTTGATGAACTTCACGTCAATAAATAGAATAGAATAGGAAATAGAATAGTAAATATTTTCATCTGGTGATGACTCGTTCTGGATGACGTGAAATCTCACCAATTTTATAAGGGGAATGGTTTTACTAAATGTGCCATACAGAGAGAGAGAGAGAGAAAGAAGTAGAGAAAAAAAATAAATAAAAAGGAAGTACGGGCAAACCTAAAAATTATAGAAATATTCTAAAACTGACACCTGAATTTTGCCCTTACAAATATCTTTCGTAATTCTTCGGCTTCTTTCTCACGCGGGGGGGGGGGGG